CCGTTGCCAGCCGTTCGACCTTCCCAACAGACACCTGCCCTCACCTCCCCGCACCCCTCACCCTCCTCCCAATGCCGACCGCGACCTCCTCCGCATGCTTGATGCCCTCGACCGAGGCGGTGTGCGGCGTGCCGGGCCGTACGCCGAAGCCGAAGAGGATGAAGAAGAGCCTGCGCGGGGAGAGGGGCGTCAGTTCCGGGGCTAGTGGCAGCCAGAGCGCGCGGAGAAGGGATCGCGGTAGAGTGTCTTGAGGAGGAGGACGAGAAGCGAAGGAGAAGCGAGAGCGAGCGAAACGCACCAAGGAAGCCGGCGAGGGTTGAAGAAGTGGAAGACGAGGATCCAGAGGCACATCTCCGAGTAGCTGCGGGCACAAAGAAGCGTCAGAGAGCAGTAGGGAAGACGAGCGAACGGACGCACGTGAAGAAGGTCAACCCCGACGACGATTCCCCCCAAGCCTGCGAAGCGGGCGTCAGCGAGCGTCGTGCGCATCAAAGTGATACGCGAACGCACCTCCCGCTTGATCCAATTGATCACGTCGACCCAGCTGCGCGCACAAACGACATCAGGGAGAACCCTGGCAGACGACGGAAGGGGGACTCACGTCTTCATCGCCGCCGGCTTTGGGCGGGTCGACTCGTCCAAAAGGAACACGAACAAGATGCGCGCGAGGAGCCCAATGTGCCAGTTGCCGACCGTGCCGAGTCCGTCTACGAGGACGAGCGTCAGCGAGGCCAGCAGCGAGAGGTACAAGCGCACGCACCCTGATACGACGCATTCGTGAGCAGGATGGACCAGTCCTCTGTCGAAAAGTTCTGCAGGTAGAGCGACGGCGGGGCGTACGAGCGGTCTTCGTCCGTGGGGAAGAGGTCTTTGGGGAGAAAGTCGATCGAAGGGCGCTTGTAGCCCGTTGCGATGATCAGGCTGCGAGAAGCGAGCGTCAGCGAGCGAGCGCAGCAAAGAGTTGAAGGCTAGCGCGCACACGTCGGCAGAGATGAGCGTCTCGTCCCCGCCGTCGCCGCTCTTCGTCCCGCGCTCGCGCTCGACAAACTGGATCCCCTGGCGGACGACGCGCTTCGTGTCGCCGCGCTTGTACGTGACTTTGCCCTGCCGGACGTGCTGGAGGAACTCGTCGTTGACGATTGGAGTGCTGGGCGAGCCGGAGCGAGGTCAGCAAAGTCAAATGAGCGAGCGAGCGCGCGCACCCCTCGAAGAGACCCTTGCTCGACGGCGAGAGGTCCTGCAGGTCGCGGTAGTGGAACTTGCGGATGAGCCACTCGGGGATGAACGAGAGGGGCTGCCCAACGCAAAGGTCAGCGGGACTTCGAAAAACGGCGGCAAGAAACGCCCGGGCGCACCATCTCACGCCCGAACGGCTGCAACGAAAGAAGGATGTCGACGAGGGTATTCCTCGGGATCACCCACTTGTCGGACCGGGCGAGCATGACGACGTCGCCAGCCTTCTTCGCAACCGCCAATTCCGCCGCCTCGACGCCCGACGCCCCGCTGCCGATGATGACGACCTTCTTTCCCTCGAGGTCTGCGTCGTCGAGCTGCGACGAGTGAACGATCTGTCCCGCAAACGAGTCCTGTCCCTCGAGCTCGACGAGCTTCGGGTCGCCGCAGGTGCCGAGCGCGCAGACAACGGCGTCAAATACGCCCTCCTTGCCATCATTGACGATCCACCTCGCATGTCCGCCCTGCCGCGGATCCGTAGACGTCTTCTCGTCCCGCGTAACCTTGGTAACGCGATACCCGAAGCGCGTGCGGCTCTCGAGACCGTAGCGGTCCCAGACGGCCTTGATTTGCGAGATGATCTCGTCGCGCTTGGGGAAGCCTCGGCTCCATTTGACGCTCGGGTGGAAGCGGTACAGTATCGAGTTGAGCTGGAGCTGGCTCGTCGAGTTCTCGCTGCGTGCGGGATCGAGGGTGAGCGCAAGTCGCGAGGAATCAATGAGCGGCCGCACCGAGCCCAAACTCCGCCAACTCCCTGGAGAGCGGGCAAGGATCAGCACGCCAACCTCGAGCAGCCAATAAACGCTGGCGCACCTGCTCGGCCTCGAAGATGACGACCTCGAATCCGTGATCCACCGCGTGCGCCGCCGTCGACACGCCCGTCAAGCCCGCACCGATGATCGCAATCCGTCCATACGGCTTGTCGCGAGGGATATGCGGGCCGCGCTGGCGATTCGGAGGGTATGCAAGGTCAGCGTCGATTTCAGGCGGAAACGAGGAGGGATCGCACCGAAGCAAAGACGAAGCGGATGGCTTCCTGGTACAAGACGTAGAAGGCAAAGCTGAACCAAGCGATGGGAGCGTAGACGAGGGCGTGCACGAGGCTGTAAGCTGCGTGGAGGGGCGCTCTGAGGGTTCCCGGCGATGAGGAGGGTCGGCGAGAGTGAGTGCGAGTGCGGCGTGGAGACTGTCTGGGTGAGCTGTTGACGGCCGTGTCATCCGAGTGGTCGCTGTCAGCCATCGTGCGAGCCAGCCTGAGCGAGTGTGAGAACAGCGAAAGGGATCATGACGGCGAAGAGGAGGAGAGCGGCCTCTTTTCGCAGGAGTGCTTACTAGAGGTACAGTAAATCTCATTAGACTGTAACAAGCTCACACAGTCACACAGCAAGCCCTACTTCGCCGGGTTGACCCTCTTGAATTCGTCCACACCGCCTCGCTCCTTCATCAGCTTCACCCTCGACTCGCTCACACACGGCTTACAGCTGCCACAATGGTCGACAAGAAGCAGCACAACTACCAGCAACTCGCTCAGACCGAGCAGGACGCACCTCCGACTTACGACGACGCAGTCAGCCTCGTGACGAGAACCGGCGGACTGGTGGTGTCGCAACCGGTGAGTACCGCGCAAGGATGGGTGCAGGAGAGGCAGAACTGACAGCGAACTGTCACGCAGCTCGCCACGCCGCAAATGAGCATCGCAGGCGCGCGCAACCCCAAGTTTGTTCCCGCTCACTCCTCCCTCCCCATGCCGGCGGAACTGACGCGTCTCTACCGCACAGGTCCAAGCCAGTCGGCTTCGACGGACAGAGGGACTGGAACCATGGGCTGTGCGACTGTCTCGAGCGACCGGGCTTGACCATCGGCGCGTGCTGGTGCGTTTCTCCTCTCGGTGTTCCTCCTCTTCGCGGACTGGGGGACTGACCTTGATCTACTCCCGCAGCTGCCCCTGCATGGTCTACAACGACAACCGCACTCGCCTCACACACCTCTACCAATCCGGTCAACGTTCGTCGCCCCCTGCTCCTCCTCTCCTCTCCTGCACTAACCCTTACGTACGCACAGCCGCCCCCTCCCCCTCCTACTGCGGCCTAAGCTGCCTCCTCTACGCTCTCGCGCCCCAAGTAGCAGGCATCGGACAGATGGCTCTCCAGTGCATGGCGCGCTTCCAGACGAGGAACAGGTATGCGATTCGCGGGAACGCGGTGGAGGATGTGCTTGTCGGTGCGTTTCCGCCTCTCCCCTCCACTCATTATCCTGCGAGACTGATCAAGTGCATGCGGGACAGGCGCCTTCTGCGCACCCTGCTCGCTCGTCCAGGAATCGCGCGAAATCGAAGATGAGGAACAAGCCTTGCGTGCGGGCGTGCTCGGCACCGATGCTCCGCCTCCGACGGTCGAAGGAGCGTACCGCGACGAGGTGGGAGACGAGGAGCGTGCGGTGGGCAACTAGTTAGGCGGAGGTCTTTCTCGTCGTTGTCTTGGCTCGGTGGCCTCGGCTGAGGCGTGTACGACTCGTTCCTCTCTTTCGTTCGTGCTTGTAACATTCCCTTCGTCCCCTCTTACTCTCCTGACCCGGGAGAGCAGCCATCGAACGACTCTTTGCAAATCAGCGAGTCGGGACCGACAGCTCGAGAGGGCGTGACAGAGACGAGAAGCTACAAGCGTGCTACGTAGGAGGGTAGATATCGTGCGATGCGTGATGGGAGGCGGGGTATGGTAAATCGTGCGAGGAGGGGGAATGTACGGCAACAAATCTGTAGGGGGGGACTTCTAGGCATGCGAGGGTGGAGAGAGGGGAAGACAACAAGCGGTGCCACCATCGAATCACCTTCTTCAACAAGCGAGGGTAGGGAGAGAGAGAGGAGCAGCATCAGACCCCCTGACTCGCGACCTGGTACAACGCATAAACGTTCGCGATGCCGACGAGCAACCAAAGCGCCGAGCAGAGGTAGATGACCGCGACTGAATTGGCGAAGGAGGTTGTGCCTTCGGGCGCGGAGCGGCGGCGGAGGGGGTTTAGGGTGTGCATGAGGCGGGAGAGGCGGGTGCGGAGGGGGAGAGGCGGGGAGGGAGAGGGAGCGGGCGAAGGGGCGGAGGGAGCGGAAGGAAGCGACGAGGGAGTGTGAGGGATCGCCATGACCGATTGTTGCGAGGTGAAGATGATCAAGCTGCGCACAACGACGAGGTCAGCATGCAACCTGGCTGCGGCTGCAAGGGAAACTCCTGGGGTCGAACGTACGGGATCATCACGAACGTGAGCACAATCGACAACGCGACTTGACTGCCAACGAGGAGGGCGTCGATCCCCTGCCTTCCGACCGAGACAGCGACCGCCAGCGAGGGGATGATGCCGATGCAGCGGGTGATGAGGCGGCGTTTCCAAGGCTTGGTGCGCCAGGCGATCATGCTGCGCACAGAGGGAGATCAGCACGAACGCGATGGGGAGAAGGGAACGCTAACGCACCCTTCGCTGACGATCTGGCCCGAGAGGGTGACCGTGAGACTGGCGCTCTGGCCGGCGGCGAGGAGTGCGATCGCAAAGAGGTACGCAAAGGCTGCGAGCGCGACAGATAACCTCGTCAGCGGACCAACCAAGGTGAGTTGGGAAAAGAGTCGCGGCGCACCCTGCCCGAGGTACTCCTTCACCAGCTCGTACGCATCAAACAAGTCGCTGACGCCACCCGCATCCCTCCCCTGCGCCCTGCCATCCCCATAGTAGAACACCGCCGCACCGAGGATGAGGATGCACGAGTTGACGACGAGCGCGAACCCGACGAGCGAGAAGGCGACGTCGATACTTGCGTGCGTGAGGTGCGCGCGGACGCAGGCGAGGGTCGGGCGCGGACGGATCCGGTGCGTCTTGGCTACTTCGTCCATGGGCGCTTCGGTCTTCCCTTCCTCACCTTCCTCGCCAGCCGCGAGGGGACGCCTCCGCTCCTGCACAGGACTCCGACTCCTCGTCCGCGCCCGGCTCAACGCGCCCAAATCGAATCCGATGTTTCCGAGACTGACTGGCTGGGGAAGATGGATCGAAGGGAAGTATGCGCGAGGACGGGTGGGCGACGAGCGCGTGCGGGCGGGACGGAGGTGCGAGGGGAGGAGGCTGGCGAGGCGGCCGCGTGGGCTGGCGGGCGAGTCCTCGTCCTCCTCGTGCTCGGGCTCGACAGCGGTGTTGGTCGAGGCAGACGACGGCTTGAGCTCTTTCGATTGGTCATAGTCGTCCGAATCAAGGCCGCGCGAGGAAGGAGGGGACACCTCGCCGTAATCCTCGGGCTTGAGGCGGCGCATCGTAGCCATCTTAGAACCGATATAGAAGGCGTGGGGCATGACGGTTGCGCCGACGATGCTGTGGCCGGCGAAGGCGAGGGCGGAGTCAGCGAGAATTCGGCGCGAGGTGAAGCTCGCGAAGACGCACCCGACTGCGATGTAGATGCCGCCGTTGCCAATAATGCCCGACCCCGGCACGTAGCCACGGAAGACATCCTTCCACACCGGTCCAACCTTGACAAGCATCGCCACGAACGACGCCAGGACGACAATCACCAGCACGCCGATGAGGAGCTCAAAGAGCCTCATGCTCCTCGTCACAGTCCTCGTCGGGTACTGGTTAAACAGCAGGAGGATGAGGAAGACGTCGAGCGAGGTGAGGAGCACGCAAGCCCAGAGTGGGATGGGCGGGATGAGGAGGTTGATGGCGATGGCGGAACCGAGGAGCTCGGCCAGGTCTGTCATGACGATGCCGATTTCGGCGAGGACATAGAGAGGGTACAGGAGGAGGTAGCGGTAGTACAGCTTGTAGGGCGACGGGCGGTCGTACAGCGCGAAGCGGCAATGCGTCGCGAGGTCTGCGGGCAGGTCGAGTCAGGAGAGTCAGTCTCGACACAAGTTCAATGAAGTCGATATGCACCGCCGCTGCTTGAGGCGAGGCGCTTTCGACACTGAACGAATAAAAGCGAGGAGACTGACCGTAATCGCTGACGCAGCCGAGGCGGGTCGAGAGGACCTGGAAGAGGAGCGCCATCATGCCGGCGAAGAAGATGACGAACAAGTGGCTGTATCCAAACTGCGTACGAGCGCAACCATGCACAGAGGAAAGGGAAGTCAGCCCCGGCCTTCCCAAGTGGCGAGCAGGTCGAACGCACCTGCGAGCCAGCAGCCAAGTCGGTCGACCAGTTGCCCGGATCGAGGTACGCGACCGACGCGATCACGCCTGGTCCAACAAAGGCCGCATGGCGCTTGAGGGCGTTCGTAGCCTTTTTGAAGACCGACTCGCGCGAGGAAGGGGAGGGAGCGTTGGCTTCGAGGTCGGAGGGGCTGCGGGAGGGTCTTTGCGAGGGAGAGACGGCGTGGTGAGGCTTGTGAGGGCCGGGCGAAGGCGAGCCCGTGCGTTTCCCTCCTCCAGCGAGATCCCGCTCCGACCCGTCCTCCCCGACGGCTCCCTCCTCGACACACTCGTTTCGCCCTGCCTCGCCCGCCGTCGCGACAGCCTCGGGGACCTGCTCCGAGTCTGCAAGCTCGATCTCGTCCTCCGGTACGTGTGTGAGCGCGTACGAGCGTCCCGGGGTGGCTGCGGGGTTGCGGTCGAGGTTGCCGCGTTCGAGCTGGTTCGGGTCGATGTGCATCTCGGGGGTAGAGAGGGTGTCGTGAGTGCCTTCGAAGGCGAGAGCGAGTCCATGCATGGCGAGTTCGGGGGAGAGGTGGACTCGATCGAACGATGAGGACGAGAGAGGGTGTGCGGGCGCGGGCGCTGGCTCGTGCGGGTGTTTCGCGTGTGTAGAGTGGTCGGCTAGTCCAGCTAGCTCGTCGCCATGCACACCACGCAGCAGCAGGCAGACAGAGAAGCGCGGAGAGTGAAGCGGAACCAGCCGGGACTTGGCGACAGCAACGGTCGAGTTGTAATCAGCCATTACAAACTGAATACACCTGCAAGTGTATTCCTGTACTCGTTACAGCTTGAATACAAACTCGGTTGTAATCGCAGTCAAGCACCGCCTTGCTCTCCTCCTCGGCAAGTCCGCACGACTTCGCTCACCTCGTCGTCACTCGACGCGACTCGCTTGGCTGCTCACAGAGACTGCTGTACGTGCTGCTACGACGCTGTGGACGAGCGAAGCCATCTAAGCTCACCCTCGACCCGGAACCGCGTCGTTCAACTCGCACCTCTCGACTGCGCACACCCACTCGCACTCGCTCAGAGGGCCCCAAGACGAACAAGTACGCTACCAGCACGACTACACTTCCTACCGACGCGACCACCCAACCCCGAGCACCCTTGACGGACGCACATTACCCCTCTTCGCCTCACAACTCCTCTCTCTGCGCGCAGTCCTCCTCCCCTCCAACCTCCTTCGCCGACCTCGCTGGACCCCTTACCCCACTCCCACATTTTCACCATGCAGCCCTCCGACCTGTACGCCCGTCCCGCTCCCCCCTCCGACCTCGCATCCGACAACTTCCACTGGTCCTCCGACGCTGCGTCCACAATCGCACCCGAAGACTCGGTCTCGCAACTCGATCGCCGCTTCACGGGGAGGAGGAGGATGCTAGGACCGAGACCGATGGATGCGCCTCCTGTCCCGGGCGTGCCGGAGGAGTATACGGAGCAGCTCAGAGGGGAGTACGTACCGCCGGAAATGATTGCCGAGGGAGACGAGGATGAGAAGAGTACGGTCGTACCTGCGGAACCAGTCAAGCGGGCGGCGCAGGCGGTGGGACCGCTCGCGAAGGCGCGAGGGGAAGGAAGCGGCGGCGGAAGCAACACGAGCGGCGGCGCGATCCCCTACGTCTCGCCTTCGCAGCACCCCCGCGATAACTACGCCCAAGACGAAGACGACGACGACTCTCGTCCGCTCGTCCCTTCATCCGGCCCTCCCACCTCATCTTCTCGCTCTGCACCTACCCCCGCTCCAGCGTCGACTATCACCCCCTACTCGCGCACAAGAGGCTATGCCGCGCTCGGCAACGACGACGCAGACACGTACGACGACGACGGAGGAGTGTACGCTGCGTACTCTCGCTCGAGGGACGAGGACCTCGAGTCGAAAGCTGGGATGAGGGCGGTCGAACGAGGGTCGGACTCGTCCGCTACGGGATCGAGAGAACTTGCGGGAGCGCTCAGCGATCCGGTCGGGTACTTGCGGCAGTCGATCCGAGGCCGCGGAGGAGGGAGCCGAACAGACCGCGACCGTGAGGGGTCCTTCTACATGCCCAACGAGCTGGCCTTCCGCCCACCCTCCTCCTCCTCAATCGACAAACACCCCTCCTACCCGCCTCACACCCCCAACTCCTACCCGCTCTCGAAGATCCCCTCGCTCGACGTCGCGCCCGCGACCGACCGAGGCGCGAATGGCGAACAGATCCGGCCGGATCCGCTGTGGAAGAGGTGGGTATGGGACGGGACGGATCAGGAGAGGAGGGTGTGGGAACATAAGAGGGGAGTGGGGATGCAGAGGTGGCCGTTTGCGAGTTGGGCTTTGGCGGTCGTCATGACGGCTGTGAGTCTCGCGACACGCTTGCTGGCTTCCTACTTCGGCGGGCTTGCTAAAGAGTGGGAGCTGAGCATTGACGTGCGCGTTGTCGCAGGTTCTCATCTACGAGCTGGTCAAGATGAAGTCGTACACGGGCTCGCCAATCCAGACCAAGCCTTCCTTCAACGTCATGATCGGTGCGTCCTCTCGCTCGATAGCTTCCTCGGCGCAGTCGCGGACCAGCGCGCAGCTTGCCCGTCGTTCTGAAACGAGTCGTAGGATGCTGACTCACGATATTCGACAGGTCCTTCCGCCGAAGTCTTGATCAATCTCGGCGCTCGCTTCGCCGGCTGCATCAAATACATCTCGGGCGTGCGTCTCTCCAGCTCGCATCCGTCCAGTACGAGCTGACCTTCCGCCACCGCGCAGGTCACCGACCTAACCTGGACTTGCCTGCAAGACACGAACAAATCCACCCTCTCCTCGACCGACGCACAGTGCACCATGTCGGATGTCTGCGGCTTCGGCGGCTTCAAGATTGTCGATGGAACGGGCGGACCGAACCAGTCCTTCCGCTTCTTCGTACCGATCTTCTTGCATGCGGGTGTTGTGCACTTGCTGCTGAACATGCTCGCGCAATGTACGAGCGCAGCTCAGGTGCGTCCATGTCACTCACTGGTCGACCAATCTCGCCATCGTTCTCGCTGACCTGTTGCGACAACTTGAACGCACAGGTCGAACGCATGATGGGCACCCCACGCTTCCTCGTCGTCTACCTCGCCTCCGGCATCTTCGGCTTCGCCCTCGGCGCCAACTTTGCGCTTGTCGGCCAGCCATCCGTCGGGGCGAGCGGCGCGATCTTCGGGACTCATGCGGCGTTGCTCGTGTGCGTCTCGCTTCTCCCTTCCCTCTTCCGCAAGCAGCAAACTGATAGCTTGAGCTTGCGCAGAGATCTACTTGCGCACTGGAAGATCGAGTACCGGCCACTCCGGAAACTCCTCTTCCTCGTCGTGGAGATTGTCATCGGTCTCGGGCTGGGATGGGTACCAGGTGCGTTCGCTCTCTCTCAAGACTCAGCTCGCAAAAGCTCCGAACGCTCAACAGCAGCTGATCCTCGTCTTCTTCGGGGACGCACAGGCGTCGACAACTTCGCCCACCTCGGCGGCTTCCTCATGGGCCTTCTCACCTCGATCCTCCTCTTCCCCATCGTCCACCCCTCCCGCACGCACAAATACGTCTTCATCGGCCTCCGCCTCCTCGCACTCCCGCTCGTCGTCGTCGTCTTTGTGGTCCTCGTGCGGAACTTTTATACGGGCGATCCCGCGACGGCTTGTTCGTGGTGCAGGTACTTATCGTGCTGGCCCACGGCGGCGAACAACGTGAGTGACGCTTGCGTATTGCTCGAAAGGAACGAGAACTGACTGCTCTTTCGGGTTCTGCATGCGGTTGCACTCGCAGCACTGCAAGGGAACCGGCCTCGCAACCTACTCGACCTCGTCGACCCTCCCCTCGGTCCTCACCATCCTCTTCTCGACCTTCGTCCTCCCGCTGCTGTAACGACCCTCACTTCCCCTTCGCATTCCTCGCACGCATACGCACCTTCGCAAGCCTCGTTCTCTCTCTCTCTCCCCCTCCGACTTCGTTCCGTCTCTATCGCACGCCGCACTGCACTTCTTTCGTACTTTCTATGCCGGACATAGCCTTGCACTTCTTCCTCTCTCACTCGCAATGCACAGACACTCGCCCTCTTCTCTCTACAGACGGCTCGCGAGCGGAGAGTGAATGCACTGCGTGGGATTTCGAGTCGTATGCGGGTTGTAATTCTGCACAAAAGTGTGTACGTCAAGCATCAAGCGAGCGAGAGAGGGAGAGATCTTGCGATACATGGGGAAGCAAACGTGAGAGATGGGAAGGTATGTGCGAATAAGTTGGATGTGTACGATGAGTGGGAAAGGAGAACTAGGATGCAGGGTTGTGGGGTAGTATGCGCGGGTGTGGGTGGAAGAGGGGCATCAACATGAAGAGAGGGTATAGACTGCAAGCGAGGTAGATGGGTGACGAGGAGGAGAGGGAGGGCGAGGCGTCAGGAGGGCCTTCTTTTGCGAGAGAGAGGAGAGGGGCGACAGCCGGACGAAGACTGTCGATGCGGGAAAGGTGACGGAGGGCAAGGAAATCGGGCGGGTCGTCCTGCACCGCCGATGCGAAGAAATCACGAAATTCCCCGGCGACGACGACGAAAGAACGGAAGCCCGGAAGTGACCGCACGAAAAGAACCCGAGATAGAGACATGCTGGGTGAAACCTTAAAGAGGCCGCGAGAACGAAATAGAGAGGCGAGGCGGGCTGCGTCGCTTCGACGCGCGCCCGCTCAATAGAAACGGCCGGCGAGGGCAGAGGTCGAGGAAGGAGGGAGGGGAGTCGGGTCGTCGAGGGCGAGTTCCTCGATCGCGGGCCAGTCGAGCGCGGCGTTCTTGGCGGCCGAAGACGACGAGAGCCAGTCATGTCCGACGCGGTGGAGGACGGGCGAACCAGCGCCGGACGAGAGGCTCGACGACGATCCTGAGCGGGTGAGGAGCGGCGAGCACGCGACGGCGGACGACGAGGTCGACGAGCTCGTCATGAACGAGTGGGTGCTGTCGTGGCGCGTGTGCGGGGCGCCGAACGCGCTCGAGGTTGGGACGGTCGGGCTCGACGAGGCGGCGAGCGAGGCGAGCGAGGACGAGGAAGGTCCGCCGCTGAGGCTGGCGAGGCGCTGGAGGCGGCTCTGCGGGGCGTCCTTGAAGACGGGCGGAGCTTGGCCAGGACGCTCGCGGATACCGAGGCCGAAGAGCGTCGACGACTCGAAATGGGCGGTCGAGGTGGATGCGGGCGAGGCAGCGGGCGCAGCGGCGCCAAGCTCGAGCTTCATCGAGTGCTTAGGCGAGCCACCGTTGACGGACGACGACGAGCTCGACGTTGAGCCGATGAGCTCGGAAAGGGCCGGTCCGAACGTGCGGGACGGAGCGCCTGTGATGGCGGTCGAGGTCATGCGAGCCTGTCCGCGAGACGGGCTTGCGGAGCGGCTGCCTGCGACGGAGCCTTTGCGAGGCGAACCGGCGGGTGAGTCGGACTCGGGCAGGGCGTGGATGAAGCAGCACCGCTTGCCGTACGGGCACGACCCTTGCTGCCAGAAGGTGCGGCAGATCTCGGACTTGAACTGCGAGCAAAGGCGAGGGTTCAGCTTTCGCTCGGGGGCGGTGAGGAAGCAGCCGCGACGCACCTTGGGGTGACGAGCAACCTCGCGAAGCTCCTGAATGCCATGCGCAAACTGGCACTTGACGCCGTAGCGGCTGCAGACGCCGAAGTCCGTCAGCACTCACTCCTCGACTGGCTGCGAAAGAACCGCCAACGCACCAATTGCCCTTCTCCTCCCAGCTCCTGCACAACTCGGTCTTGTACAGGCTGATCTTGCGGTTGTTCGGGCTCGGTCCGGGCAAAGCCTGACCCATCGCGCTCCTCTGCACGCTCGCCAGCTGCTGCTGCCTCCCACGCATGACCGCGACGCGGAGGACGACGTCGCTGACGCCGCTCTTGGCTGGATCAGCGAGGAGCTGGTTCGCCGCTTCCTGCGAGAGGCCGTAGAGCGTCGCGAGCGGGTTGAGCGTGTGCATCGCCTTGTCAAAGTGCGCGCCCATCGTTTGCCTGTGCAGCGGCGTTGGCGGGCCGGAGAGCGACGAGCACGAGGCGTTGATGAAGGTTTCGCGCGCTTCGAGGTAGAGAGGGTCGTCGGGGAGGAGGTTGAACGGTTCCGGGTGCGCGGCGAGCGGGCTCGCGAACGGTCCTGGTCCTGGTCCGACTCCGGCGAGACTGGCGTACGAAGGCGTGCGAGAGAGGTAAGGCGCAGGAGGGGGGTACGGCTCGACGGGGAACGGGACGTTGACTTCGGTCGTCGACGGGCCAAAGTAAGACTGGAGCTGGGCGGCCGTGTTGGCGCGGTCGAACGACGGCCTGGCGGCGGCGGGGAAGTACGAGCTCGTGGTCGAGGCGATGCTCGAGCTGCGCGAGCGCTCGAATGTACTAGCGAGCGAGGGCGACGAGAGCGCCGGCTGCTGCGGCAGGAAGCGAGTGGGCGGCTGCTGCAGACGCCACGCCTCGATGCCGCGGTTGAACGCCGACTGTTCGCTGACCGTGCGGAGGCGGGACGCCATCGAGGTCGGGAAGGGCACGGCGGGCGAGGGCAAGTCGTCTTCGAACAAGCTGTCGAGCGTCTCGAGTTCGTCGGGGTGGACAGGACCGAGCGGCGCCGACTGGAGCTGGAGGATCTCGTCTGCGATCGAGTACTTGGCGCCTTGCGAGACGAGATGGCCTTCTGCGTCGAACTGCGAGCTGTTGGGCGGCGTGCATGGTTCGAGGGAGGAGGAAGTCGTCGGGCTGGTGGTCGTCGTCGCGTAGGTGCCCTTGGCCGGGAACGAGAAGTGCTCGAGCGTCGTCGAGAGGTCGAGCGAGGGCAAACGGTGGGTGCGCTGCGGCTGAGCGGGCGACTTGGGTGCGAACGGCTGCGCAGTCGGCGCGAGTTTCGAGCGGGCCTTGACGGTTCCCTCGGTGGCGGGTGGAGTGCTCGTCGACGCTTGGGACGGCTGGGACGGCGGGGACGAGGCGGTGAAGGCGCGCTGCTTGTCGTGGTCGCGAGCGGACGCAGCTGTCGAGGTGGTGGCGGCAGGCGTCGTCGACACGCCCTCGTCCCCCGCGAACGGCGCAAAGGTGAAGCTGCCCGCGTTCCACCCGCTCTCGCTCCAGAAGAGGGGCGAAGGCGAGTCGGACCTGGTGGTCGATCCTGGCGCGACATGCGACTTGGCCGTGAGGGTGCGGTCTGCAGCGGCGTGCGAGTCGGTGTCCGAGGTGTCTGCGTCGTACTCTGCCGCGACTGCGAGAGTCATGTCGAGCGGAGGAAGAGGGGCGTGGTAGTCCTCCAGCTTGTGGGCGGCGTGGGCGAGTGACGAGTCTGTCGAGGCGAGCGAGCGAGGGACTGTCGACGACGAGAGTGGCGCGGGCAGCTCGTCCTTTTCGCTGTGGCTCGGTGGGGTGGTCGAGTGAGACGCTGTCGAGGGGACCATGGCGTCGAATCGAGCGGGGTCAGCCTCGTGTGACGACAGACGGGGACGCAGTCGAGTGTGAGAGCGGGAGAGGGCTCGCAGACTCACCTGGCGAAGTCATCCTCGCCGTCCAGTTCAAGTGCTCGAGTGGTGTGAGGGAGGGAAGAGAGCCAGCACGCGCACTCCTCGAACCCGTCTCGAGCTCGTCGGCGGTCCTTGCGGGATCCGACCTCGACAGGAGCTTCGAGCTTGACGATGCTCGGGAAGTCCTCTCGGCGTGTGTGCGTGGTTGGCCCTGTTGCTGGGTGTCTGGGCGTGCGTAGTCGTCCTGACAGCACCCCGAGTGGCGCAGTTGGTCCTGCGAGCGAGGCGGGACGAGTCGTGGACGAGTGATGTCCCTCGGCGAAGCTTCGAAAGCCGTTGGCGTGCGCGCGCTCAGGAGGTGCAGCAGGGGTCTAAAGGGCCCTGCGTGATCTCCCACAGCCAAGCACTCGAGGCTCAGTCACCCGGAGTTGCGCCTGGTGAGCGCTGTCGAGGTTGTGCGAGCGAGCGGGAAGGGCGTTCGACGACGACGGCGCGACGCTGAGTGTATGCGCTCGAGGGTGGCGCTGTACGTGTTGCAGAGGGGACTGTGATGCTCTCTGCGTGTTCACCGAATGGCTCTCGTCAAGAGAGCGGCGAGTCGCGCTGTCCCTCGCGGGAGGAGAACTCTCGCGAAGTCAGAGGGTGGATGGCGCCATTCCCTGCTCTGCTGCTTCGAGGGCGTCTGTACAGCACCGTGTACAGCTTACATGAGATCTACAAGGCTAAGGGAGGGAAGAGAGGGCGAAGGAGAGGGCGGACGAGGGACTTGACCGTTTTCACATGCCTCCGCCTCTTCCTTCCCTTCCCTCGTCTCCCTCGACAGCTACGACTCTCCCAGTCCATCCTGCACACTCTACTTGACGCTGTTGAGACTGGGGAGACACGACGCGCCTGCCGGTATCCCCCGCGAACTCGCGGACTGGCTGGGGAACGGCGGGGGTCGACCAAGGGGTCGTTCTTGCACTGGTCCTGCTACTTCCTGATTGCGGCTCTCGTCCTGGACGACGCTGTACGACGACACATTCGGAGAGGGCCACGCTGCTGCTTCCTCTCCTTCACCATTCTCCTCTTCCTCTCCTTCTCTTCCTCCGCCTCTGCAGCTTGCTACTGGGGCACACGTCCATCGCTCGCTTGCGTCTGCTCCTCTCATCGACGTGCAGGGGAGGCTCTGACGCTGGTTGGAAGGCTGGACGGGAAGCAGGAAAATAGGAATGTGGTGCGCGCGGAAGAGAGGAGGAGAGGGATTGGGACGGCGTAAGAAACGCGGGAAGCGATCCGAAGCAGCTGCTTCGAGTGAAGATCACAAAGGCAGAAGACGGCTGACCGCGTCTTTCGAGCAGGTTGAGCGAGAAGCGGAGGAGGGATTCGTCGACGCTCGACGTCCTCGAGCGCCGTAGCCTCGCAGTAGAAGGGCATTGAAGACGCTGGACGTCATTGCACTCCTTTTGCGGCGCGGAGAGACGAAGAAAAGTAAGGGCGAGAAGAAAGAACTTCCCCGCTTCGCCCGCTCACAACCCCTGCTTGAGCACCAAGTTCCCCCCGACCAGATTCGCGACCGCCTGCAAAAGCCCTCCAATACTCGCCTTGTTCCTCGCATCACCCTTGATCGCCTTCCTGAAATGCGTCAAGACCTCCTTGGTCGTGCTAGTCTGGTTCGCCTTGGTCTTGAGGTACGCGATCAAGTCCGCTTGCGTGATGAGGGCGGTTGGAGCGGGAGAAGGAGATTTGCCGTGCGCTTTGCGGCGCTTCGAGGGGTCGCCACCGGCGTCCGAGTCGGACGCGGCGCCATCAGCCGAGTGCGCGCTGCGCTTGCGCTTCCCTGAGCCGGAGGAGGAGCCTGGAGCAGGCGACGTCGCCCTCTTCGCGACGAGTGCCGAGCCCGAACCGGCAGGCGACCCATCGCGCGAGTGGGAGGCGTTGCGCGAGCGGGCGGCAGAGGAAGGAGAGGCGGGGTTCGGGGAGGCGGCGCGCGAATTGGAGTCACCGCGCGGAGCGGAGGTCGTCGAGGCGTTGTCGTCCGAGTCGGCTTCGTCCTGCGCGTCCAAGAGATAATCAGCCCAACTCAAGGCGGGGAAAGGAGAGACTCGCAACGCACGCTCGCATACGGGTTCTCGTCCTCGTCGTCCGACTCGTACGCGCCCGACTTGTCCGACTTCTTGACGAGTTTTTTGATCTCCTTGCCTGTGCCCGTCAGGCGCTTGGTCGCCTCGTCGTCATCTTCCACTTCGGGCGTGTCTTCCATCCGCTCGACGGCGCGCATTTCGCGGCGGATGCGTTCCTGGTGCAGGAAAACCGTGAGCGAAAGCGGGCGGGAGAGCGGAAGGTCTTGGCGGGCGCACCTCCAGCTCCTTGCGCTCGTCCTCGTCCGCCAAGTCATCAATCTGCGCGATGCCCTCCTCATCATCCTGAAAGTCCTCCTCGTAGTCAAACTCGTCCGCATCCTGGTCCTGCGCCCGCCCGCCCCTCGCTCCGCCTCCACCTCGTCCGCCCTCTCCACCAGCCGAGATGACCGTCCTGACGCGAGGCCTTCCCCTCTCGTCCACATCGCTCGAGTCCGCACGCGTACCAGTCGCTGAGCGAGCCATCATACGAGCACGCAGAGCAGATGCAGAGACTGCCCCACCGTTGCCGGTGCCGTTGGAGCCGGATGTCGAGGCGGAGGGCTGGGGAGTTGAGCTGCCTGAAGCGGGTGCGGTGCGGCGGTGCATCATCCAGCGCTCGGTCTCCTTCGACTTTTGCTGACGATTGTACTGCGGACGCGAACGGGGTGAGCACTCTCGGTGAGCGATTGCAAGTTTGGAAAAGAGGGAGTGAGCGAGACGAACCTCCTGCTCCGCCTCTTCCTCCGCCAGAGTCATGTACTTCGGGCCCTGGTTGAAGCGGTACCACCGGTTGATTGGGACGACCTCAAAGTGCTCGCCGTCGTCGCTGAGAACGAAGGCGACGTAGGCGCTGCCTCCGCCTCCTGTCGCGCTCGCCTCCGCCGCAGGTCGCCAGCCCGACAGACCCGCTCCGTTCTTCGAGTCCGTCTGCGAAGACTTGGCCTCGACTTCTCCTGCGCCTCCCTCGAGCCTGCCGATCCACCTCTCCTGGCCCTCGTCGTCCTCGAGAACCCAAGGCTGCCACTCTTCCCGCCTCAGCCGCCGCGCCTCCTCGCTCGAGACGTACACCCGCTTCGTCTTCTTCTTGAACTGCCCGCTCGGTCCGCGCCGCTGCATCCCGGTCGTCCCGTTCGCGCCCCTGCCCACGAGCTCCGGGTTCAACTCCTCCTTGTCCTCGTCTCCCTCGCCTTCCTGATCCTCCGCCTTGACGCCCTCGCCAGGCTTGACATCGATATCCATACTCGTACCCGCTGCCTTGGCTGCCCGCGCAAGCGCCCGCTTGTTATGCCTCTCCCTGTCCTCGTCCGTCAACCGCCTGACCGTCCGCGGATCCTTGCGGTTCAGCTTGACAGGGCGCATGAAGAGCGACTCGTCCGTGGGGTCAATCTCGCGGTCGCCCGACACGGCAAACTTCATCACGTTGTGCTTCCACCCCGACGAAGTGGACGGCGCGGTCGAGCGGAGGATGAAGTCGGTGTAGTTGGCCGAGGTCGGGAGAGGGGAAGCGGTGGCAGAATTGGCGGAGGGAGTGTCGGCTGCGCCGGGCTCGGCCTTGATCTGGCGGTCCATGGCGGAGGATGCGCAAAGGGAGATGAGGAGGAGAAAGGGTGCAGGCGAGGCGGTAAGGGCTCGAGGATGCTGTGCGAGGTTCGACCGTCAGCTTGTGAGCTTTATGCACTCGGTTCAGCTGTCTCCCATGCCGCTCTAAGCCGTGTAGCGTGTCGTGCGAGTTGCGATGTCACGGAGAGGAAGTGGGCGATGGCGACGCAACGAGCGAGCGCGGGAGCAGCGCAGACAGGTGGAGGCACTCACTGTTGATGCAACGGGGGTCTAGCAAGCACAAGCAAGCGAGTGCAGTCCTCGTTGCCGTGACTGACACTGGCCAACCCCACCTCGCGACTCTCTCGCTCACGACCCTCGCTCGCTCTCGCTGGACTGGCTGAAGAGTACGCTGAAGAGTGCTCGATAACTGTTCTGGACTGCACAAACAACGATGGTCGTCCCCGCTTCTCGCGCTGCTCCCTCGACCCCTCTCTCGGGAGAACCTGATCCGGCGTACGACGTTGTGGTGATTGGGTGCGGGATGGCAGGCGCAGTGGCAGCGAGACAGCTTGCGGGACATCGTGTGGCGCTGCTCGAAGCGCGCAACCGGGTAGGAGGACGGATCTACACCGCGGGAGAGGTCGAAGGTCTCCCGCAACCAATCGACCTGGGTGGCTCGATGATTCACGGCTTCCGCGAGGGCGTGCCGACTGCCAAGCTCATAACACACGAGCTGGGAATGGTGCGTCTGCTTCCGCACGTTCCGCCGTGACTCTGGACTGACCTCTGCGCAATCTGGCAGGACGTCCATGTCCCTCAAGGCGCCAAGGGTCTCGTCTACGGCCCGAACGGCCCTCTCGCAGAAGCAGAAGCGACATCTCTTTTCGCGACGTCCGCCCAGAACGCCTTCACCCCTCCTTCAGGCGTCCCAGCCGATGCATCCATCGCCTCTCTCCTCTTCCCGACCCTCAAGTCGGACCCACGACTCGTCGCTCTCGCACGAACCGCAGAGATCGGTGCAGGTGTTGAGTTGGAGGGAATGAGTGCCAAGTATGCGGGCTTCGAGCAGGGTTTCAAGGGCACGGACGGCTTCCCCGAAGGCGGATATGGCGAAGTAATGAAGAACCTCGTCGCGGACATCAAGGCGGCCGGCGGTGAGGTGCGTCTTAGCGTCGAGGTCACAGAAATCGAGGATCTCGGAGCGGGCAAGGGTGTCAGGGTGGAGACGAAGGACGGACGCACCTTCACCGCCAAAGCCGTCATTTCGACCATCCCGCTCGCTGTCCTGCAGCATTCGCCTCCGACCTTCCAACCCCCTCTCTCGCCGCTCTATACCGCAGCCATTGAGCGGATGCGGACTGGCTCGCTCGAGAAGATCGTACTCTCCTACCCGTCGGCGTGGTGGCCCAGCCCGGACGAGAACGGCTCGTTCCTCCTTCTCCCCCTGCACGATCCATCCGTACCTCTCGAGGAAGCGAAGCCGGCATCACTCCACGACCTCTTCTCCCGCACCGTCATTCCCGTTTCGTCCTTCCAGCGCATCGCCTCGACTCCCCATCCTACCCTTCTCGCCTACATCGGTCCAGCCGCCGCTCGGTACATTGCCTCTTACCCGGCCGACGAGGTTGCCTCCGCGTTCCACGACTACCTTGTCACCCGCCTGTCTCCCTCGGCTGCTCCTCCCGCTCCCACCGTCAAGCTCGTCACCGAATGGCAACGCGACCCCTTCTCACGCGGCGCGACCTCGACACCCGTCCCGCTCACGCAGTCGAAGGACGGCGAGCGCGCCTCGCCTCTCGACTTTGTCATCGTCTCCCGCCCGACGTGGGACGGTCGGCTCGGTTATGCGGGCGAGCATACGGACCTCGACAATCACGGAAGCGTGGCGGGTGCGGCGATTAGCGGGCAGAGGGAGGGAACGAGGGTGAAGGAGTTATTGGAGAGGCTGGCGGAGCAGGAGGCGAACGAGCAGGGCAAGGCGTTGCTGTGAGCGGGGCGTCGCGTCCCTTGGACGAAAGGGCGCGTTTTGCAGGTACAGTACTGTGCATAAATCATGCTCGCAGCTCGCCTTACTCCAGAACCGACGAGGAGAGAACCCTGCTCGCTTCGACCCGGGTGTTCTCGCTGTCTTCGCTTTCTCAAACTCGATCTCGCTCATATTCGCGTTCTCGCTGCTATATACGACCACAACTCGACGCTTTGAACCTGTCAAGCGCGCTCGCCCGCTCGTCCGAGTCGCTCCACGGACCTCGCGACCTCCTCTCTTCCTCCTTCTCCTCACTCGCTCTCCCACAACGCCCTCGGACGGCCTCACACCCACCTCGAGCACATTACAAGCATGGCTTGGGGTGCGTTCACGCTTCCTTCCGCCCATACGAGCATGTGCTGACGAGTCTGTCCCCACCCTCACCTCCTGTCCACAGATTCGGCTGCAGCGGCTGCCAAAGCAGGCTGGGGAACGAGCAACAGCGCCCAGTCGACTCTGACAAATGATACGAGCGGCTGGTCGACCGGTGGAGGCGGTTCGAGCGGTCAGCCGTTGCAGCAGGCTTCGGGAGGAGGAGGAGGAGGTTGGGGAGGACAAGGTGGAGACTGGGGCCGCCGTGACTCGCAGCCTCAGCAGTCGAACGACGGATGGAACGCTGGAGGCGGCTACGCCCGATCCAACGACCGCGGCGGGAACGGCGGAGGAGGATACGGTGGGCAGGGACGCGCTCCGCCTCCTCACATGCAGCAGCGCGGCCAGGGAGGATACGATCGCCCGCCTCGTCAGCACAACGACTTCGGCAACGGCGGAGGAGGCGAGAGGAGGCCGCGCCGTGACGACCGCGTGGACATGGGAGGCGACAACGTCTCGGGCGGAGGTGGTGCGTCGACCTCTACTTGACCCGTCCATCTCCCGCCTAACTCGTCTCCTTCTCTCGCAGGCTGGGGCGGAAGTGGAGGAGGAGGCGGATATGGCGGTGGAGGAGACGGCGGAGAAGGTACGCACTCATCTTGCCGTCCTCTCGTTTGTCGCTCACCCACCCCACCGCTTGCAGGCTTCGGCGGGCGCGGTGGCTTTGGCGGTCGTGGACGCGGACGTGGACGTGGAGGTTTCGGCGGCGACGGCTTCGGAAGGGGCGGCGATGGTGAGCTGCACGTCCTCCGAGACTTCGCGCCTCATTGGTTCAAGAGCTAACAAGTCATCGCCCTTTTCTCCTCACAGGCTACGGTGGTCCTCGCGACGACCGTAGGGGCGGCTACGGCGGCGGCGGCGGTGATGGTGCGTCTCGTCGCGCTTCTTTCGACCTTCGCAAAACTAATCAGAATCCCGCGTATTGCCCTCTTTACAGGCTACGGCGCTCCCCCGGGCGACAACGGAAGCCCCTACGGCGGTGGCTACGGCGGAGAAGGGCCTCGTCCCGGCTTCGGCGGTCGGGGCATGTCGGGCGGCTACGACTCGGGACCTCGTCCTCCCATGAGGGACAAGGGTGCGCTCCGCTCGTTCCACTCAGCGCTAGCTTAGACATTGACGCGCACCCGTGTCGCGCAGGCCCGTACATGGCCGACCTCAGCCCCATCGATTTTTCGAGGGTCGAGCTTCCGCCGTTCCAGAAGGTGCGCTTCGTCCTTCCTCCGCACGCCTGTCTCTCTCCTGTTCTCCCTGTCTCTCTCACTCCGCCTCTCCCCTGCTCGATTACTCTGCCGCTGCATGCATCTACTGACTCCTCGTCGATTCTTGCGCCTCTTATCGTCATCTGTCGCCGCTTGCCCTTTCGCAGGACTTTTACACCGAGCACAAGAACGTCACGAACCGCTCGGACGAGGAGGTCGAGGAATGGCGCAAGTTGAAGAAGATCAGCGTCTTCGGCAACGCCTTGCGTCCTGCGCACAACTGGATCGAGATGCAACTCCCGGACTTTGTTCTCGAGTACATCAAGAGGAAGGGCTTCATCGAGCCCATGCCGATCCAGTCCCAAGCCTTTCCGATGGCCATGAGCGGCAACGACCTCATGTGCGTACCGCTCGAGGAGCGGAACCTCTGCTCAGCGTCTGACCTTCCCGCTCCCGTAGCGCCATCTCGGAGACCGGCTCGGGCAAGACTCTCGCCTACGCTGCTCCCGCTATCCTCCAGGTCCAGGCTCAGCCGCCGACGGACGCTGCTCAAGGACCCAGTGCGTGACCTTCCCAAGCGATACTCCTTCGCTCGGTTGCTCACGCTGACCTCATTCTTTCCCTGTCCTGCTGTTGCATAAATCACCGGTTTCTTTCTCGCCTCTGCCGCCGCCGCCACTCTCGCGCCCGCGCGCTCTCCCGTCTCTCCAGTCGCCCTCGTCATGGCGCCGACTCGCGAACTTGCCATGCAGATCCTCGCCGAGTTCAGGGCTGTCGGCGAAGGCTCCCCCGTCACTTTCGCGTGTGCCTATGGCGGCGTCAGCAAGATGAGGCAGCTCGTCGACATCTCGCAGGGCGTCGACATTCTCATCGCCACGCCGGGTCGCCTCCTCGAGTACCTCGGTGCGTCGCAAGCCTCCGTCCCTGTCGTTGATGTGCTACTGACGCTTCCTGCCGACGCTGACAGCCGAAGGATCGGTCACCGTATGTTGATCTCCCAAAGTCCTGCTTTCCGTTCCTCTGCTGACGACCTCGCCTCCATGCGACAGCTCAAGCGCGTCACGTACCTCGTCGTCGACGAGGCCGACAGGATGATTCATGAGGGTTTCGAGGAGGAGCTCAGGCAGATCTTCAGCTGCGTGCGCCCCGACCGCCAGGTACTCATGTGCGCCTTCTCGTCCTCCCTCACTCTCCCGCCCCCTCGCTGCCTCTATCCTCTCTTCACTCTCCTCTTCGCTCGCTCCCCCGTGGCCCTCCTCTCCCTTCTTCCCTTCCTTGTCTTGTACTGACAATCCACGAACTCACAGGTTCTCTGCAACGTGGCCGGAGGAGGTGCGCGACCTCGCCAACGAGTTTTTGAAGGACGCCGCAAGGGTCCACATCGGGAAGGACGAGATGGTCGCCGCGAAGAGGGTGAGTTCTGCACCCTCATTCCGCTGCGCCAGCTGCTGACGAGCTCCTCGCGTTACTGCAGATCAAGCAGGAGGTCATTCTTTGCCACGGGTACATCGACAAGCGCGACAAGTACGTGGGCTTTACGCTTCAAAGCCTTCGCGCGCTGACCGCTCGCCTCTCGCAAGGCTCATCGAGATCATCAACGAGGTCAAGGCGGAGAATGGCAAGATCCTCGTCTTCCTCAATACCAAGCGCTCGGTGCAGGAGATGACCGACTGGATCCGCGAGCTGCCGGACAAGTACGAGGCGCTCTGCTTGCACGGCGACAAGCGTCAGGAGGAGCGCGACTTTGCCCTGAACGAGTTCCGCAAGGTCCATCTGCCCTCTCGTACTCCGCATTCGAAGCATGCTGAATCGACTTCTTTCGTTCTTGCCAGGGCGGCCACCCGATCCTCCTCGCCACCGACGTCGCGCAGCGCGGATTGGACATCGAGGGCGTTACGGTCGTCTGCAACTTCGGTGCGTCTCGCACGTCTCGAGTCCGGCTCGATACTCACCTGCTCTCTTCGCAGACGTGCCCGACTCCGTCGCCTCTTACGTTCACCGGTGCGCTTGCTCCCTCTCGCAGCAGAGATGCGTCGGCTGACTCGCTCCATGGCAGCATCGGCCGCACCGCTCGCGCTGGTCACGAGGGCCGCTCCATCACCCTTCTCTCCGGCAGCCGCGACCGCGGTGCGTCGACTGCCAATACAATCACTCTGCGCGTGAGCGATGACTGACTGCCTCTCCCCGCAGCCATGGCCGCCGAGATCGTCAAGTTGATGCAGCGCGACGAGCAGGACATCCCGGAAGAGCTCGAGGAGTACGCTCGCGAGGACTGTGAGTGCTGAGGTCTCGCCAACGCTCACGCTTTTGCTGACGAGTCTGCATGCAGCCTCCTTCGCCCCGATGGAGTCGTCGACGTCCTCTGACAACGCTGCGGCTGCGTCGACTTCAGCCGAGGCGGCGCCGTCGGCTTGGGCTTCCTCGGCTGGATGGGGCGGTTCTGCCACGAAGAGCGAGGAAGCGACTCCTGCGGCAGGCTGGGGAGCGCCCGACGCGAAGAGCGACCAGCCGAGCGGTACATTGTCGGGGCAAGCGCTCAAGCCGTGGGGCAAGCCGGCTGCCGAGGTCAAGAAGGATGAGGAGTCGACCGCGGCGGGGTATGACTCTGGCTACGGCGCGTCGCCGGAAACGAGTCCCGCCAAGTCGACCAGCTGGGGTCGCTCGTTGTCGGCCTCGCCGCCTGCCAAGGAGGAGCATTCGCCCATCGAGCTCGACGAGAGCAAGTCGCGCACGCTCGAGACGGTCGACGAGGAGGAGCGCCCCGAAGACTTCCTCGCCAAGATGCGCGCGACTGGTGACGCCGACAGCGACGGCGGAAGCGGCACCATCACGCCGACGGAGGCGGCAAGGCTCGAGGCCGACCTCAACAAGGTTTCGCTTGACGACGATGCCTGAGGAGACGGGCTGAAATGAGGGGAGGAATCGCTTGTCGCTTGTTGTGATCCGCTGTGGCTTCGCTTACTCAAGACTCTTCCACTTCGTACTGTTCCTTCACCGCCTCTCGTTCGTCTGGACCGCTTACCCTTCGGGGTTCTCGGGAGATAGATGCAACGATCGCTTGTTCTCGTCCTCAGTCCTGCGCATCCAGAGAGCACACACATGCGAGTTGCAAGTCAATGCGAGTCTAAAGCGATGCGAAACGAATCTACGCCTCCTTCCTGCCCGCCTTCTTGTGCTTCTTCTCGCGTCGAGCGATGATGGCCTGTCGGATACGAAGCGTGAGCAGCGCGTCGGGGAGGAATACGGAGCGAACGCACCTCCATCGCCACCGCGCCAAAGACCATCCCAACTCCCGCCCACTGACCCTTCGTCAAGCGGTGCTCGAAGACGAAGACGCTCAGCAGCATCGTCGCCATCTTACGCGTGACGGTGATCGTGACGAGGGTGAGTGAACCGTAGAGGGAGAGAGTGGCGAAGATGAAGAGCTGGCCGATTGAGCCGGTCAAGCCGAAGAGGAGGATGTCCACTTTGACGGAGGGGTGGGTGCGGATGAAGGCGAGGGCGGAGGAGAGCTCGTTGAAGTGTGCGCCGGAGCCAGCCGAGGCGGGAAGGAGGAAGGAAGGTGTAAGGGAGAAGGGGAAGATGAGGGCCGCGAAGGTGAAGAGCGTTGCGAACGCGTTCATGAAGAACATCATCTGCTCGCCGTCGAGAGTGAAGGTCGAGAAGACGTGGTCCTGCGTCGCGTTGACGACGCCGTCGAAGATGAGGTTGATGGCGAGGAGGACGAGGCCGAGGACGCTGCTCGTCTCGCGGCCCCCGACCTTGCCAGGCTTGGACGGCTTGAACGCCATGAAAGCCCAAATGCCCGCCGTAACGAGCGCGACGAGCGCATACTTGTGGAAGGGGAACTTGCGGCGGTAGAGGAGGATGTTCATGAGCATGACGGGAACGAGCTTGCACGACTTGCCGAGGAGGAGGGTCGGGAAGGAGATGTGCGAGAGGGCGAGGAAGCCGAAGGGCGCGGCGGACGAGGCGACGAGGGCGATGAAGGCGTAAAGTCGAAGCAGACGGCCAACGTCGGTCGACTTCTGTGTTGCTGTCCCGTTCATCCCGTTCACCCCGTTCGAGGTCGCCTTCTCCTTCGGTAAGGTCGGCTGCGAGCGCGCGCTCGGCAAGCCCAGGACTTCTCTCCAAGCGACGCCGTGTCGCTTCTTCGTGATGACGAGGTAGAGGAACGCCGAGAAGACGGAGAAGATCGACTGGACGGTGTTCATGAAGAGGACGGAGCGGAACTTGTCGCTTGTAGGGAAGGTTCCGGTTGAGAGGTATGGCGTCGTTGACACTGTGGAGCATCAGGTCAGCATGATGTACGCGCCTGAAGCGTCCTGCCTTGCAGTAGATCGCAGGAAACGGCGGAGGAACAGGCAAAACGGAGCTTACGCCGCTCCTGACACTGTCGAGAAGACTCGGGTCAGCTTCTCTCGCCAGGGGAGAGAATATACCGTCACGCACCAGTGCCCAAACGAGGAACGAGACGTAGATGCCGCCCACACAGATCCCCAGCTGCACGAGCGGATTCACACGGGTGTCCTGTGCGGCCATCTTCACTCCTTTTCCGCCTGCCGGTTGACCAGTCGTGTACAGCTGTATCCTTCGAGGTCTCTGCGCCTTACTGAGCCTTCCGCTGCTGAGTTCGCTGAGGTTGATGTCGCCGGAGCGAGCGGGACGTGGAGAGGTGTTGCGAGATGGCGGCGAGCTGCTGTTCGGGTCGGCGCGTCTAGAAAGAGTGCGAGAGGTCCTCGGTAGCTTCAGAGCGTGTCACAGGCTGCTCAAGCCGACTTGAGGAGCGAGACGGGGACCAAGTCGGTTCACCGCCTCCCTCTTCGACCTCGACAACCTCGCTGGCTTACTCCGCCGTCCTCGCGGGCGCTGTGCGCACGCTCACAAGCTCCATGGTGTCATCGTCGATGCTCCCGCGCTTCTCACAGCTCGCCGGAATCTCCGCGGGCGATGTCGACGGACCTTGCACTCCTCATCTCTCTCTGACGCCTGCCTGCTTTGTGTGACTCTACCGGTTGACCTGAAGACCTTGCTCTTGATCGCCTCGTCCGCTGTGGTCCGCGCCGGCTCCCAGGCTGAGCGTCTACCCTGATTCTCCTCCTCACCCATGGCTATCGAGGCACTCGCGGCCGTTGGCGCCGCCGTTCAGATTCTCAAGACTCTGTACGAGTACTACAACATTCACAAGGTGCGCTCTGGATCGCCCCCGGGCTCCCGAGTCTCTCGCTCACTGATGCTCCCTTCGACAGCGCAACAAGGCTTTGCTCGACATACTCGAGAGCTTCAGCGCAAATGTGGAGATTGCCTTCGAGCGCTTGAAGGCGAGGGAGGACATGCTGAGCCTGGGGCAGAACGATGCTCTCGGTATGTCCGACTCTCGCTTTCCGCACAGGCTGCTCGCTCGCTCATGCCGTCGCCTCGCACCCAGCCTCAATCGAGCGCGACTTCACAAACGCCAAGAACTGGCTCGTCGCGAACGACAAGAACCTCCGCAGCGTCTGGACGGCATTGCAGGCTGCCGACAAGCTGAAGGACCTTGACGACCGCTTGACGAAAGCCTTCGCCTCAAAGATGTCGATCGCCATCTTCACCGCCTTGCAAGACACACGCGCCGGCGTGATCAAGATCCAGACAACGCTTGAAGGTCTGCCGACGAATTTGTCTGATGTCTGCCGCACCTCGACGAAGGAGGCGATTCACGAGGCCATTTCGGAGCTGAAGCAGGAAGCGTACGCTGCGGTTGGCGGGAGCGACGGGCGGGACAGGGGATTCAGGAATGGCGAGGCGGAAAAGATCATCTCGCAGCTCGTCGACCAGCTCGCCGAGCAGGAGCGGATCAAGGAGGACGAAGAGCTCCTCTTCGAAGCCGGATATGCCCCCCTCGAACCGACAAAGCCCTCGCCAGTACCTTACACCCCCGCTAGCTCCTCCGCCAGTCGACGGTCCTCGCAGTACATCCCCGCCTCCGTTCCGTCAGATCTCGACAACCCGTTCGAACCTTCCTCATCCCGAGCCAGCTCAATCTCCTCCCGCCGTCCCTACTCCTCTTCCTTACGCTCGTCGACGCTCGTCGAGTCAGACAACGAGAGCCTAGCGACGGTCAGCAGGGCGAAGGGTAAAGAGCCGCTCTACAAGGTCCCGAACGACTTGGTCCTGCTCAGCGCCAAAGATGCCTCGACCGGCACCGACCTGATCGACCCGATCCTAGCGAGCGGTGAGTCGGTCCGCTAGCTGCCGAAATTGCGCAAGCTGATTTGCCTCTCGGTAGACGGGAACATTTACGACCGCTGGAGTCTCGTCGAGTCGTCCACCACCCCGGACGCATCGCTTCGGATCGTCGGGAACGTCGTTCAGCTGCGAGACGTCCTCTTTACCTCCTTTCCTGAGCGCCGAGCCATCTTCGAGCAGCGTCGGCGGGACTTTGAGCGGAAGACGCTCGACTTGTACGCCTCGGCCAGCTACAATGACCTACCGCGACTGGCACACCACCTCTCACACGTCCTGCTCTTCGATGCGACTTCCGTCTCACTGCGCGTCAGGCGAGGACTCGTCTACTATCGCTTGCGGTTCCTCCAGGAGGCGCTTGTCGACCTGAACGAGGGTGTCCAGCGAGCGGAAGAATCTGGCGAAGCGAGGATAGACGTCTTGCGTGCGCGAGCGTTGGTGTTGGAGGAGTTGCAGTGCGTTTCCCTCCGTCTCATGATGCCGCCGATGCTGACTTCGGCTCGCCCAGCGACACCGACGCATCTCTCCGCGACGTCGAGGCTGTCCTCTCCACCGAGTCAAATGACGTACTCTGCCTCTCCCTTCGCGCTTCGCTTCGCGGCAACACCGGCGACACCGCCGCCGCTCAAGCAGATCTCGCCGCGACGAACACCGCCATCCGCAGCGGCAAAGTCTACCGAAGCAAGCTCGGAGACAGCGACTGCGACCTCGAGTACCTCGCGCGTGGATGGGCGTACTCTGTGGTGCGCGACTTTGCGGCGGCTGCGGCGGACTTTGGATTCAGCGCGAATTTGCGGAACCCACCTGATCCGTATGCGACGGGTGCGCTCCCCGCTCTTCGCTGGGTTGGTTGTCGCTCACACACGCTCTCGCAGCCTGCCATGCTCTCGCCAAGCTCAAGGACGAAGAAGCGCGAGGCGTCCTGTCGTCCGAGACGATCGCGACGACTGGTATCCAGCTCGACGACGCTATCGAGCGAATTCGTAAGGTCGCTCTCTCAACAGCCGAAGCCAGCGGCGACAGAAGCTTCACGACCAGCGGCGCGCCGGTCTTTCGCGTGCAGAGAGACGAAGGTCTCCCACCCGCCGTCTTCCCGACTCTCCTTCTTCGCGCCTCCGCTCGAGCAACACAAGGCGAGTTCGAGCTCGCCCTGCACGATTTTGAGACAGCGATGCGACTCCGTCCAGCCTGTGTTAGGGACGCGCCGAACTTGCGGTGCGCGCTGGCGGAGTTGCGCGTCATGTGCGGTGACAGGGAGGGTGCGGAGCGGGAGTTCGACCTGGCGATGGCAGCAGCGGCGGGTAAAGAGCAGCGAGCGGATGTGTTAGCGCAGCGGCGGCAGCATGGACTGTGACTGGACGCATCGAGGGGAAAATAGGGAAAGGGTATTGCATGCGATGCCTACTCGTCCATGACACTGCCGAGAGGAGCGACGTCAGTCGGAGCGCGGGACAGTGAGGCAGACTTGACCCACATCTTCTTGATGTCCTCGAAAATCCTGTCCACCTCGGCCGTCTTCTTCTTGGTCGCGTCGTCCAGCTGCACGTCGAAGCGTCAGACAGCCTCCATACGTCAAAGTCGAGCTACTACGCACCTTCTTGCCCTCCTGCCTCGCCTCGGAAGTCCCGATAATCTTCTGGTCCGTGTCCCGCTTGATATCCTTCTGTCCGTCCGTCCTGACCTTCCTGATCGCCTGCCGCGTCTTCTCGCACAACGTCTGCGCATCTCGGACGAGCTGGTGTCGCTTGTCATCGTCCGCCTTCGGTACCGGGACGCGGAGCTTGGTGTCGCCTTCAGGAAGCGGGGCGAGGCCCAGGGGCGAGGCGTAGATGGCGTCCGAGACGAGCTTGACGAACTGCGAGGCAAACGCGGGTCAGGAATCGTTCACAAGCGCATTCAAGAGAACGAGGCGCACCGAGGGTTCGTAGCAGTTCACGATCAGCTCCTTGCCGTCCTTGACCGAGACAGCCGCGAACTCGTTCAACGGCCGCCGTCCTTCGGGCGAGTCAACGCGAACATTGTCGAGCAGGGCTGTGGAGGAGAAGGTAAGACGAGCGTCGCTCCGACACAACGAAACGAGCAAACTTACACGGCTTGACCGTGTCAACGCGGCCGACGATCTGCTTAAGCGATACCCTGAGCCGGTCGATAGCTTCCGACATGTCCTTCTCCAGCTTCTTCAACTCGAACTGCTCGCCGGGAAGCTGCGTGTCGGTCAAATCCTCCTCGACGACATGCTTCCCCTTGCCCTTCCTGGAGACCTGAACGACGACGTGCTCGTCTTCCTCGTCCTCTTCCTCCTCCCGACCCTTGTTGCCACCTTTGCCGCCCTTCTTGCCCGCCTTTGTCTTCTTCGTGCGGACTTGGAGCGAGTTGAGAGGTGAAGGCGATGAGAATGCGAGAACGGCGAAGGGCGGGAGGAAGGGAGTTGCGGGAGAGATGCGCGCGGCAGCAAGGCGCATTGTAGGTCTCAACAGAGTCTGAGCAGCCCTGGAAGCCATCTCGAGCGAGAGCCAGCGAACAGTCACCGCGAGACCTCCGTCCTCCTCGACGGTCGACCTTGCACGCTTCACTGCGCCTCTCAGAATGGTGCGTACAGCCTGACTCTGGGTTGAGACAGACATTGACAGCCGGTTCGCGCAGCCCCGCGCACACCCGCTGTCCTCGCTCCGCCTCAAGGTCTCGAAGAGTGCGTCCTCCCTCGTCGTGACGCACCGCTCGTCTCGCTGACCATGGAAGAGCTTCTCCTGCACAGCTACCATCCTCCTACCCGTCTCATCATCCACAACCCTCGCCTCCCTCCGCTCGCTCGCCCTCACCGCCCTCCAAGCAACCGCCTCTTCTGCCTCCCAGGACGACCCCGACCTGCCTGCCCTCCCTTCTTCCGCAAACGACATCGCGCTGTGGCGGCTAGAGGCGCCGGAGAAGCAGGCGGACGGATTGGCGAGCGAGAAATGGGTCAGGCTTAGGGACGAAAAGAGCGGTGCGGACAGATGGGGAGTGTGCGTGCCCGCTTCGCTTGCTTCCGCCAAGTTCTGCATGAGAGCAGACTTGCTGATTCAGGATCCTGTTGGTGGCACAGTGCGGAGGCTGAGGAGATCGGCGTTAGCTTCAAGTCTGCGGATGGTTCGTTTCGCTCGCTTTCCCTCTATCCCTCAACTCACTCCATGCCGCTCGCAGGCACCTTCCCTACGCCCGTCATCGTCCGGCCAGTCGACGACTACGAGGAGCAGTAACTTTGAGGGAGCTTGTAGCCGTGAACGATACCCTATCCATCCGAGCAATACCCATCTTCACCCCTCTCCGAGCCTAGTCTGCGTGGCAAACTACTGCTTTGCTCCGTCGACAAGCCCGTCTACCACCCGCAAAGCACCCGCTCTCGCCTGCTCCCACCCGTCCTGCTCGCTGCGTAGGAAAGGCTCAATCTCCGCTTCTTCTGCCGACTTAGCTCGTCGCCAGTTCGGCGAGGGTCGTTGGGGCGTCGCGAAGGGGTCGTCGAAGTCTTGGACGGCGAAGCTGGCGGTCGAGGCTGAGGAGGGGTTCTGCAGACGGACGGAGAGTCAGTCACAGGACGCGCCACAAGAGAGCAAGCTGGACGCACCGGGAGCGAGCGAGGGTGAGAACCAAAGACGAGACCCTTACACCGCTCGATGATGGGCGAGCTGCCGGCCGCGAGGAGTACGAGGCAATTCGTCGAGTCGTGCACGCGGAACTGCGCGATGCGAACAGTCGGCAAGCTGTCGTGTTTAGGCGAATGGCGAACGCACCTGATGTCCGCCCAATACTAGCACACAGCGCTGACAGTTCTGGACCATGACGCTTCCTCCGCTGATGAGGGGCAAGACCACGACCGAGTCCACGATGTCCGACAAGTACAGCGCCGAGAAGCGGTCCGACAGAATCGAGCTGGCTGGAGTTGAGGTGAGGTTGACGTAACATCGGGAGAGGGAGGTGAGGGCGAGAGCTTCAGCTGCTGAAGAGGCAGGGCTGGCGGGCAGATCGGCGGAGGAGAGGTAGGAGTCGCTTCGGGAGGTGATGGTTAGGGGTGTGGGCGGTATCGAGGAAGATTTAGACGCCGTTGCGATGGAGGAGGCGGGAGGCGGAGGTGTTGCGGCGGGAGGTGCTGGAATCGCGCTTCGCGGAGCGGCCACCGAGCGCTTGAAGCTGAACTTCGACTTCGGTGCCGCCTGCGAGCTCAGCGCATCCTGCGCCGCCTTGAGCTCCTGCAAGAGTTCGCGGTCAGTCACAACGTCTTAAGCAGACGACATCCGCCGGACGCACCCGCTCACACCGTCGAAGCTCCGAGTTCGGGATCTCGACCGCGCTCGCGGTCAGTTGTTCCGACAGGCGCTGTAGGCGAGGCGAGAGTTCGCTAGCTGCGGCCAACTTGCCTTCGATTGCGCTCTGTAAAGCTTTAGACGAGGGGAAAGAGCATTAGAAGCGGGTTCACAGACGTGTGGAAGGTGTGAGACGGACACACAGCGGAGCTCGGCAGTCCATCGCTCAACAAACGCTAAGGGTGACTCGTCCATAGCGAGAGATGAGGCGGAAGTCTGTGAACAGCGCTTGAAGTGAGCCGGCACAGATTTGAAGGGAACGAGATGAGCGGCTTACAAGGTCGCCGACTAGAGAAGAGTCTGAATCGCACGTCGAGAATGAACGGAGGCTGCCGCCGTGTGCAAGAAGAAGCGAACACCCAGTCGACCAATCGAGCGAGGAGCAGAGGGACGAGAGAGGCGTTCGAGTCGCGGGAAACAGCCGCTGGCGGGATTGTCGAGTCCTCCCAGTCAAGCACGAGTCTCCAGCAAGCGTCTCGTCGCTGTCGAGTGTGTGGGAACGGAGCAAGCCTCGCTCGAGGACCGGCGAGAGGGTCGCCTCTGGCTGCACCACCCTCCCGCTCTCCTCGCCAGCATGGTGAGCTGGCTGTTCAGACGGCCAGATAGACCGCAGCTGACGACTCTGATCGCACCCACAGTCGTCAGAACGCGAGGCAAAGTGAGGACGCCAGCGCTGCTCCATCGCCGACTCGCTCGCATCGTGTGCTGACCCGCTCTCTCCCGCTTGCTGTGCACCAGGGTCCCGTCGAAGAGCTATGTCGAGTGCGTGGATCCCAGTCCCATTCGAACGAAGCCATTCGAGCTGACGGTAGTTGCATCCGACCCGTCCCCCTCCTCATCGCATCCTGCCCGACCAACTCGCTCGTTCGACCCGCTGTGTGCGCCATGACAGGCCGGCACCCATGCCCTCGTCGGTACCGCACGTCGACGAGCTCGGCGTCACCTCGGCACCGCTCAAGTCGGCATCCTTCTTCCTCGGCGAGTACTGCAAGCCCTACAACGGTGAGTCTGGCGCATTCGGCAGACTGCTCATCCCGGCCATGCTGCGGCACTGGCGACGAGGGGCTACACCACCATGTCCTTGCGCTGACCTGGCTCGCTCTCCGCAGAGGACTTCATGCTGTGCAAGGCGGAGAATCGGGATCCTGAACACTGCCTGAAGGAGGGACGGAAAGTGACGCGCTGTGCACAGGACTTGTGAGTCTGAGCGGTCCCTTTCGGTGATATGTCGGCGGCTTGGGTGGGCGAGCTGCTGACTGAGGATTCCAACCGCTCGCAGGATTGCCAAGGTCCGGTCGACGTGCTTGAAGGAGTTTGACGCGCACTGGCAATGCCTGGAGAACAACAACCAGGTGCGTGAACAGCTGAAGCACAGGAGGCCGCTCAGGGATGCTGACGCCGCTTGTTCCGTCACTTGCAGGAGTTCTACCTGTGCCGAAAGGAGGAGAGGGTTTTCAACAACTGCGTGTTTGAGAAGCTGGTGCGTACAATAGTCCTGTGCTGCCGCTCGCCCAGCGCTGACAGCCGCGCTTTCGCATGTCTCCGCAATTCACCCCGCTCCGTGTCCTTCGCCGACGTCTCGTCTCTGCACCCCTTCCATCTACTCCTTCTCCGCCGGCTTTTCGTCCCGCCTCGTCCACACCGACTTCGCCGCGAGCAGAAGCTGAAGAAGGACATCCCCGGCTCGCCAGAAGGCAAGCCTCAGATCCACGAGAAGACGTGGCCCATCTACGGCGCCATCCAGAAGTAAACGCGCTTCCTCGACCTCCCTCGCGTTGCGGTCCCCTTTATACCTTTCCAGCCGCCGTCTTTTCGCCGCCCTCGAGTGTGGTAGAAGGGCTTTTGAAAGGAATGCAGAGCATTCGGTTTTTGTTCTTCGAGGCCTGGCGCATGCTCTCGAGAGACGGGCGAGGCGAGGCAATAGGGGTATTACATGATGCGCTGCCGAACAAGGGGAGGGGGAGCAAATGAGGGAGAGAGTGCAAAGCGTCCTTGGGCAACGAGGGAAATCTAGGAGCTTCGCGAAAGAAAGAAGAGAGGGCATAGAATGAGAGGACGAGGGCGTGATACGAGCCACTTACGCCTGCACGGCGGTAGATTGAGGAACGACGGCGGTTCCCTGACCCGGACCGGCAATCAAGCCCTGCTCGTCTCCCCGCTCGACGCTCACGCTCTGCTTGAGCTTCTCCAACGCCTGGACCGTCTCCTCCTTAGTCTTGCCCTTCCAAGGACCCGCATCGCTCATCGAGCACCCGCCAGCGCACTCGCACTCGCCGCCAAGGAACTTGGGGAGCGAGTCGGCCGGCACTTGCTTGAGAAGCTCGTCGCGGTACGAGGAACCGAGAATGTGGATCTTGGCGACTGTCGCCTCGTCGAGCCAGCCCTTGACGAGGGACCAGACGGTCGAGAAAGCCCACGGCGCGTTGATGATGTAGAACTTGCCCATCTGCGCGGTGGACGAGTGTCAGCGGCAACTCCGCGAGAAGCTCGGGGATGCCATGCGCACCGATTCAGGGTAGTTGTTTTGCGAAACTGCGAGGCAAGCGGGGAGTCAGCCTGGTGTGAGAATAACGAGGGACTGCGGCGGGACTCACTCGCCGACGCCTCCTGAACATAGTTCTTGACCTTCCAGAACTGGCTCAACCCGACGCCCTTCAAGTCCATGATGGTGCAGCTCGTCTCGATGACATGGCCCTGGAGCTCGGAGCAGATGGGGAGGCGCTCGCGCTGGAACTTTTCGTACTCGACGACGAGCGACTGCATTTGTCGTTCCGGCGTCGTCACCTTGTACAGCTCGGTCAGGTCGAGCTTGCCGAGCTGCTCGATGTAGACGGGGCGGCCGTCCTTGTCCGTCTTGTGGTAGAATCTGCGAACGCAGCTTAGCACTTATCAGCTTCGGGAGCAAATTATACGCTACATCAGTCGAACGAGGGCAGCTGCTACGCACCGGGGGTAGAGCTTGTCGACCTCCGGCTTCTCCTTGTAGTCGAACGTCTCGTACAGCTCGTCGACGTGGAACGACTGCTTCCACTTCTGCGTGTCGATCCACATGATCTTGGCCTTGGCGAGGTCGAACTTGCGGGCGCGGAGGAAGCGCCTGTGCGGGTACAAGCGAGTTTAGACTGGCGAAGGTGTGAGAGCGCGAGGAGGGGGACGAACAGGAGCATGGCGTCGTCGTGCTTGGCCGGGTCATAGTAGCCCTCCGCAGCGAGCTCCTGCTTGAACTGTCACGAGCACACCGCAAGCACCAGCAGAGCGTGTGGGCGGGGCGAGAGCGAGGCGTGTGCAGGTCGCGTCGATGAGCGAGATGGGAGGGCGAGCACCTCGTCAGCGGGTGAGCTTGCTTGGCCAGTGAAGTGGCAGCAGGCACCTGTTGGAGGGTAGCCTTTTGCTCCTGCGTCAGGTTCCCTGGGTGTCCGCTTGTTGGGTACTGCGGGCGATGAGGACGAGCGAGTGAGCGACGGGACCAAACGACGCGCGAGTTGGACTGGCTGGGTAGTCGAGTACTCACTCTGCCTGCAGCCATCGTTGCTTGCGTACTTGCGCGGTTGGTGAAGCTGCGTGAGCTGGTCGTGCCCGACCCCGTCGACGTCGTTGCTCTTCCGGAGACCCGTACTTGGTTTCGCTTACTCTACTCGCCAGGGACTGCTTGACTGCTTCTATCGTCTGTGCTGTCCATACTTATCACCCCAGTTCTGCTCCCATTGCGCCAGAGGTCGTCGTTCTCGCGCCCTCTCCACCTCGCCGGCTCACGCTCAATAACAGCGATAACAACCTCATTCGACCCGACCATACTCGCGAATACTCGGCGACGATGGATGGAAAGGATGCAATGTCGAAGGAAGTCGGAGCGCGCGGCGAGGTGAGGCCAGTCAGGCGCAAACGCTCGCGCAGCCGACACCACCACTCCTCGAAGAAGGGCCAAGGGCTCCCGGCGATGTACTTCCACTTCTCCCTCTCCATCACGCTTGCCGCCATCGCCGTCGTATGGTCCGTCACGCCCCTCTCGTGGGTCTACGTCCTCTGGACCGTCCTCACCTCGGCCATTCCAGCTCTTCGCCCCGGTCGACCCGCGACAGTCGCCCCTTCGCCGCTCGTCTTCCGCATCCTCCACTACATTACTCTCACCTACTGCTCCGTCGAATGCGCGTTCAGCATCTGGTACAAATGGAAGGCGTACCAATGCCAGAAACTCCGCGAGGCGCCGACCTACTCCCGCAAATACCTGCGTGGCGTCTTCCTCCGCGCTCTCGAGAACGGCATCGACATCGAGGAGGAGCTGGCGGAAGAGGCGGGCGAGGGCGCGAAAGGCGGCGACCTTGGCGAGCAGGAGTGGGCGGAGGATCCGCGTGACGAGGAAGAGGCGACACGCGGGTCAGACGGCGAGCTCTCGTCGAAGAGGCCCGCAACCTCGACTCGACGTCGGGCGTCGCGCCAGTTTGGCGACGGGTCCAACACGCCCGACTTGCAGTCGAGGGATGGCGGCGACTATCTCTCTGCCCGTCCTGCTCCGTCCGACACTCGCTCGACTCGCTCAGCGAATGTCAGCCAGTCGCTCAATCTGGTCCAGAGTCGCGCATCGCTCGACTCGCGCGACGAGGGTTACGGCGGCGACATCTCGCGACTCTCGCTCCGCTCAACCGAATCCTCCTCGAAGCGTCCGCACCCTCACTCCCGCTTCATCCCTCACCTCTCGCCATCCGACCCGCGCGCACACGACTTCCGCCACCTCCTCGTACACTGGTTTACCGGCCCTCGCGACTTGTCATTTACCGACCTGAAGCGGGACGATGTCGCACAGTGGCTCGCTTGGTCGTTGTATGGCAAGCCACTGGAGGAATTGGAGAAGCAGCGTGCGGAATGGGACAAGGCGGGTAGGCCGGCGCTGTATTGCGCTGATGGTGTCACGCTCGACGACGACGCGGACTTGGAGGACGAAGAGGACGAGAAGGACGGCGAAGACGCGACTCGCCGACAACGCAGACGCGAGGAGGCACTCGAGGCGGACCCGCTCGGGCTTGTCAACTTCTGCGTCTCGCTCGTCGAGCTGCGGTCGGCGCACAAGTTCGCTCCCGGCAGCAACCCAGCTGTCAAGCCTATGCGGCTCACCCTCGACCCTGTCCGCGTCACCTCGCGCCCATTCCTCCTCTACCTCGTCGTGGCGGCGCTCCAGAACGCCGTCATCGCGCACGCAAAGGCGAAGGGTTTCAAGGAGGCTCGGGACGACGAGACGATCACGCGCGCTCTCGTCCGCGTCCCGCCTGGATGGGCAGCGAGGGAGGACTTGCCCGAGGACGAGCGCCCTCTCGTCTTCATCCACGGTCTCGGCATGGGCCTCGCGCAGTACACAACTCTCGTCTCAGTGCTCGCCTCCTCCCGCGCTCTTCGACGCAGGCCCATCATGGTCCTGATCCAGCCTGCGATCAGTATGAGCATCTTCGAACGCGGATACCTCAGCCCGCCCGACCAGCAGCGTTCGTCGAAGGGCATCGAGCGCCTCATGCGAAGGTTTGGGTTCGATGAGCGGGCGGGCGGTGCAACCGTATTTAGTCACTCAAATGGATCGGTGCGCTCGCGCCACTCGGCGCTTTGCCTTGTGCGCGGAGAAGCTGACAAGCGTGCGCGCGTCTGCAGATCGTCCACGGGTGGCTTCTCAAGGACTGCCCGACTCTCGCGACCCGGAACTGCTTCGTGGACCCCGTCGCCTTCTCGCTCTGGGAGCCGTGGGTGTGCCGGCATGCGCTCTACTCGCCGACGAAGCAGCCAATGGAGTACCTGATGCGGTGAGGCGACCTGACTAGCACAGCCTGTCCCGCTCGGAGCGCTTCCTCGTGCTGACTCGTGTTCGTTGCAGCTACTTCGTCATGCGCGAGCTCGGCGTCGCCAACCTTCTCTCCCGGCACTTCAACTGGACGTCGAACCTGCTCTTCCCCTCCGAAGTCCCCAACCTCTCCGACCCGCAGAAGACCGCCATCTTCCTCGCCTCGGAGGACTCGATCCTCGACGCTTCCCGCATGCGCGCCTACCTGCGTCGACAAGGCCTCCGCGAAGTGTCGCCATCGAAAAAGGTGGGCGAAGTACCTGGTGGAGGAGGACTCAAGGTGTTCCAGGGCTTCAAGCACGGCGAGTCGATGATCGGGAAGGGCGAGCCGTTCGCCGAGGTGCTCAGCTGGGTGACCTGGGATGAGCGCAGCCCGTCGGCGTACGAGCGAGGTCCGGAGGCCTGGTCGTCGACCGACACGGCGGGGGACGCGAGCCCTTAGCTCTTTGTAGATTCCCTTTCCCATTCTTTCTAGACTTCTTTCTCGTGTTCGCGCTACTTCTCCGCTGTCACTTGTATCGCGTGCGTCCCAGCCGTTGTCCTCGAAGTCGTCCTCCGCTTCGCTCATCTCGCGCTGACGCTCCAGCCCTTCGTCCTTGGCCTTCGCAGCGTCCCTTTGTACTCCAGCTGAGCGGTAAAATCAGCCTTCAGCCTCACTCGCGCCCGTACCTCGTATCTCGCGCACCACCTCCCGCTCAGGCCTTCTCATCCTGGGCTTCCTCCTTCCCTCTTCACATCGTGGTCTGCTGAACCACCGAGCACTGTACGACGCTTTCTTGACGCTCCTGACCTGCTCAACCGCCTGCCTCACCGCCGCGCTCCCTCCTCCACGCATCACAGCCCCTCCCAACTCCCCTCGCCCTCATCGACTCCGCACGATCACGATGCTTCGCGCCTCGTCAAGCCGCTTCGTTCGGCCCGCCTTGCAGCCTCGCTCGCACATCTGCACGCCGTTCCGTCGCTGGGAGTCGCTGATCGCGTCGAATCGTGTCCTGCGGTTAAGGGAGGAGGTCGGGCCTGACACCAAGGTCGACCTGAAGCAGATCATGGACGACTTGCGGGACCTCGAGTTGCTGGACTTGCTGGAGAACAAGAAGCCGAGGTCGGGGAATGGCTGGAAGGACGCGGCGCGTAAGTTTCGTCGAGATCGAATGTTCTCCGCGTCCCTCAGCGCTTACGATGTCCTCCTTCGCAGGCGCACTCTATCCTCTCTACCACAAGGTCGACACGGGCCGCCAGGCCAAGGTGTCCTTCGCCGAACTCGAAGACGCCCTTGCGCCAATCTTCACCATGCCCTGGGGCGTTATACGCGAACGCCTGCTCGACGGCAAAGTCCGCGCTCTCAGCTCGCTTTCACCGGTAGACGCGGCGAAGCTCAGGTTCTTGCAGATCTTCAAGTGCGCCTTCTCTCCGCTGTGCTCCTCCCTCCGTTTGCTGACTCCGCCTCATCAGTGTCGGTCCAGCCCGCGCGCAAGCCATCGCCGACGCAGGATGCAGGACGTTTGACGATGTCTTGGATATGGCGAAGAAGGCGGAGCCGAAGGTCAAGATCAGCAAGTCGCAACAGGTTGGCCTGGAGTTGCGAGAGGTGCGCCAGCGACACCGCCTGCAGCCACTCAGATGGTTCAACGGATCTCTTTGCGCAGGACCTGAACCGTCTAATCCCTCGCGAGGAGCTGGTCGAGCTCGAGAAGAAGATCAAGAAGGCTGTTTCGGCGGCCGGTCGTGGCTTCCAGATGGAAATCCTCGGCTCGTATCGCCGCGGCAGCGCTTTCTGCAGCGACGTCGACCTCGTCATCCGGCACGAGCGGTACGCTACCAAGGATCAGACGGACGAGGGGAAGGAGCTTCTCGGCAAGATTGTCGACCAGCTCGTCGAGCATGGGCTCGTCAAGCCAGAGCATCAGCTCGCTCGCGGCGCTTCGAAGTTCATGGGCTTCATCCGCCTGAACGCCGGGTCGCGGTTCCGCCGTATCGACATCCGCCTCGTCCCGCACGCTTCGTATCCCTACACGGTGCGCTTCGCGCATAGGACGCCGTCTGCCAGTACTGACGACCTTGTGGACCTACAGCTCCTCGGTGGCAGCGGCGACAGTCTTCTCATGAAGTTCCTCCGGTGGAAGGCGAAGCGGATGGGCTGGACGCTCAACGAGTACGGCATGGGCAAGAAGTATTCGGCGGTCGATGCGAACCCAAACGGATTCAAAGTGAGTGTCGCGGCCGGGTCTTGGACGCTGCAAGTCGCGCTGACACTTTCTTACGCGTTGCAGCCTGGCACGCTCAAGGAGGTCAAGGACGAGCAGGAGATCTTCCAGCTGCTGAAGCTACCCTACGTAAACACCGTCTTCCTTCGCCTCCGTTACCCCTCTGATATCCGCTCGCCCGCAGCTCAAGCCGGAAGAGCGCGACTATCGGATCTGGAAGGAGAAGTATCTCGTAGCTGGTGCGTCTCTTCCCTGCTTCGAGCAAGCGTCTCCCGCTCACCGCCAACTTCTGTGTGAGCAGGCGTCAAGGAGGTCGAGGAGCTTCACAAGATGAACTTGTAAACCGTGTCTTGGCAATTGTACTTCTCGTCCTGCAATCTTTACAGACCGGCCCACTACTCCTTTTGCTCGCCTGGGAAGGGGAACTTCTCCCGGAACTCCTTGTTGACTTCCTATGCACAGGCCCGGGGGAGCGTCAGCCCATGCGGCACGAGAGAAGCACATCGAGACTCACCGCCATCGTGACCCACTCGACACCCTCGTGCTCGTTGATAAAGTCGATGAGCTCCTCGACGGCGAGAAGAACGTGCGGACGACCAGCCGTGTCGGGGTGTAGCGTGAGAGGGAAGACACACCAATCCTGCGAAAAAGGAGGGTCAGCGAGAAGCGGAGACGGGAGGCGCGCAAGGGCTCACGTATTCCCGGTAGAAGTAGGCAAAGTGCTTCTTCCACAGCTTGAGGGTCACGTCGGCGTCGACAAAGCCGTGTGAGTTGGGAGCGGCTTTGATGAACATGTGCGGCGGGAGGTCCTGCAGGAGGCGGGCTAGCGATCAGCAGCGCTCAAACTCCAGGAATTGATTGGATTACGCACATCTGATCACACGGGCGCCGACGACGGGTCGTTCGAGGAAGAGGGAAGGGAGGAATGAAGCAGGAAGAGAGGAGCGGCGAAGTTGCTCGTCAACCATCGGGGCACTCGCTCAGTTGCGAACACTCACCGAGATACCAGTTCGCGGGGATGTTGACGAGTTTGGTGAGCTTGCCCTTCTTGAGCGGGTGCATCCAGTCGTGCGCGGAGGCCGACTTGAAGTCGATTTTCGTCCAGGTATCTTCGTCGCGGGTGTAGAATGGCATGCAGTCGTGCGCCTGCGACGAATGGTCGTACTCGATGCCCTTCTCGAGCAGCAGCTCGATACCTTCCTTGCTAGCCTCCCACCAAGGGGCGACGGAGCCGACGGGGGGCTTGCCGCAAAAGTCGGTGAGCTGCTTGAAGGTGTGGTCGAGCACGGCGCGCTGTTGCTCGAGTGTCATGGCGACCGGATTCTCGTGGGAATAGCCTGCGGATCAGGACTTTTCGAGGATCAGCAACTTGCTTGGAGGGTAGACGGAGGTACGGCGCACCGTGTAGCCCGATCTCGTGTCCAGCATCCCTAACCATCGCCATCTCCTTGGGAAACGAGTCAAGGCTGTGGCCCGGGATAAAGAAGGATGTCTTCATGTCGCCCTTCTCCTTGAACAGCTTGAGGAGACGAGGCACGCCGACTTCCGCCGCGAAACAGCCGCGACTCATGTCGTTGGGCGAGTCTTCACCGCCGTACGAGCCCAGCCAGCCTGCGCAGGCGTCCACATCGACCTGCGGGGACGCGATAAGCTCGAGTCCGGTCAGGCGGGGAGGAGGAGGCGGGGCGACGCACTCCGATGGTGCAGAGGATCCGCTTGGGCATGGTGCGCTAGAGTGCGTGTTATGTGAGCGAGTGCGAGTAGCAGCTAGTCCTGCGAAGGGGCAGAGCGAGAGCGAGACGAGCGAAAGCGGAGGAGGTGGGGCAACAGCCGCCCGTTGCCGACGGCGACGACGGAGAACTCTGCGCCGAACCAACTGTTCGAAGCGAAGAAGAATCTGCGGGAACGACGACGATGGAAGAGGAGAGTTGGATGTGAGCGAAAAGCCGCTGCTGAAGTCCACGGGAGACAACAGATGCGCTTCTTCGACGCCCCAGCATGCTCACTACTGCGCAACGTTGCAGTCCTCAATCCATACAGGCATGCTTGTACCGCCCTTCCCGTCCGCCAGCTGGTTGAGGCGCTCGAGGCATCGCTTCGTCTCGTCGTCCTCGAGGTCGGCCTGGCCGAACGCAACGTACTTGCCGTTGAGCTTCTTCAGCTTGACGGGGTCCGAGGCGAGCGTGACAAAGAACTGTCGAGCGTGGTGATTAGCGACATATGCAGAGTGCGAGAAGGCGAGATGCGGCGCACCTGGGAAGTATTGGCTGTGCGGCTTTGAATAACATCAGCTCGCTTGCCCCGGTTCAAGACGAGACATTCGGCTCACAGTTCTTGCCCGAGTTCGCCATCGCTATTGTGCCGAGCTGGAAGGGTGTCTTCAGGCCGTCCTTTTCGTCGTTGAAAGATCCGCCGTCTAGAGAGCGCTCGTGTCAGCTCGTCAGCGTAGCCGACGTCCGGACGGGCGTCACGCACATATGGACTCCCCACCACTGCCGTCATGCCGCGTCACATCACCCGTCTGCGCAACGAAGCCCTCTTCGATCCTGAAAACGCGGTTGCCCTTGTACCGCAACGGCGGATTGGGAGGTCGCTTCGAGACGAGCTTCTTCTCGTCCGTGAGGAGAGCAAGGAAGTTGGCGGTTGTCTTCTTCAGCCCGGGCGCGGAAGAGAGAGTGAAAGATAGTCGAGGGAGGAGAAGAGACGGCGGAGGGGAGAGGTCGGATGGCTGGAGCGAAACCTGCATGCTCGCAGGTCAGCCATGAGCAAACACCTCTGTTCAGACGTCACGGACCTTTGTGTCACCCTCGTACACTGCTGTCAACGTTTCTCGCCCAGCGTCGTCCAAGTCTTCCAGCTTCCCCGCCAGGCCGTACTTCACCCCGTTCTCCCCGAGCCACTTCACGAGCTCTTGTTGCCGTCCCAGCGCCTTCTCGTACGCCTGCGAGTCCCCGGCAGCGAAGATGATCCAACACCGGGTTCCGGACATGAGGAGGAGCAAGCGAGAGTCTAAGGGCGCTGCGGAGCCGGTGAAAGCGCTGACCAGTTCGTTGGAGGTTGTAGCGAGATGCAGGCGAGCCCAGCTAGCCAGAAGCAGCGAGGTGAGCGAACAATCGCTCTCCAACCCGCCGAGGGGATCCCCCTGCGCTCCTTGACAATCTTCCACGCCCGCTGTCGCCTCCGATGCTGCTGCGGGGCGCTGTGCGCAGTGCTGGGCTACTCCGCACGTGCTCTAGACCCGCCATTCGATTCCCGCCAGCTTCCTTCTCCCGTTCCGCCTCATCATCAGCCGCTCTCCTTCCAACCATCTTCGCCCCAGCTACAGGCAAGGGAAAGTCGGCGATCTCAATCTTACGGATATCTGGCGATGATGCACTCGAGGTGTGGCGGCGGATGACCGTATCGGTGCGAGGGGCGAGGCGTAGCAAGCCGGTGAAGGATCCGCCGGAACGGAGGGCTGTCTTGAGGAAGATTGTGCACCCTGAAACGGGCGAGGTGCTCGACGAAGGGGTTGTACTGTTCTTCCCGGGTGCGTACGCTTGCTCCATAGTCTTCAGAGAGAAGCTGACTCCTCGAACGACAGCCCATTCCGCCCTCACCGCACAACCAACCCTCGAACTCCACCTCCACGGCTCTCCCGCGCTCATGCAGCTCCTCCTTCGACTGCTACCGACACTAAACAGCTCGTTTCGGATTGCCGAGCCGGGCGAATTCACGCGACTAGCGTTCGAGGCGGGAAAGATGGACTTGACTGAGGTCGAAGGGATTCGGGATCTCGTCGAGGCGGATACCGAGGCGCAGAGGAAGCTCGCGGCGCGGCAAGCGAGCGTGAGTAGTACTTTGAGGTTGGCGGTCTCGTCGTTGCTGATCCGATTTATCCGCAGGGACTGATGCGAGAAGCGTACGACTCGATGCGGGCTAAGGCGATAGAAGCGACGGCGCTCATAGAAGCTCTAATAGACTTTGGGGAGGACGAAGGTATCTCTGAGGGTGTATACGAGCAAGGTGCGCGAGTTTGCCCGTCTCTATTTCGGAGAGCTGGTTGACCTGGTTCGCCTGGTGGTCCTGCAGCAAAAGATAAAGTCGTCTGGCTACGAGATCGAATAGCGAAGTATCTCGACGATGGCCGACGAGGCGAGATCATCCGCTCCGGCATCCACCTCGCAATCGTCGGACCACCCAACGCCGGCAAGAGCTCGCTGCTGAACTGGCTGGGTGCGCCGACATCAGCTCCTCACCGCTGATTCCTTCTTCGCTTACGCACATTTCACTCAGCGCAACGAGAAGCGGCCATCGTGACCGCGATACCCGGCACAACCCGCGACGTTGTCGAACTCTCGCTCGACTTTCACGGCCTTCCCATATCCGTAGCCGACACAGCGGGTTTGCGGTCAACGAAGGATCAAGTGGAGGCGATCGGCATTGAGCGGGCGATGGAGAAGTGCGTCGCAGTTCAAGCGCTTCTCTCGCCAACCGTTGACGAGTCCCGCCATGCAGGGCTGCCGTGGCCGACATCAAGCTCTGCGTCCTCTCGCTCGACCAACTCTTCCACTCTTCAGCATCCAACACGCCGACCATCGACCCTCTCACCCTTTCGCTTATCGACTCCCACACCCTCCTCCTCCTCAACAAGGTCGACTCATCCGTCCCTTCTCCCATCCAGCTCGAAGCGCTCGAACGCACACTAGAGACCGAGGGAAAGGAATGGTTTGGGAAGGGCACATGCGAGCCGTTTAGGTTGGTGAGCGTGAAGGAGGGAAAGGGGTTGAGGGAGTTGGCGGAGGTTATGCGGGCAGAGCTGAAGCGGCGGTGAGTCCCGTTCCTGTCTGAGCGACGTGCTTTACTGACACATACTACGCAGGTTCGACTTGTCGGACGACCTCGAGGATACGCCGATCGTGACGCAGGAGCGGCATAGGCGGCATCTCGAGGTGTGTTCTGGCCCTCCCTGTCAAGCTGAGCTTTTCTGACGTGCTGTACCTCGCAGGAAACTCTCACACATCTCAAAGCGTTCCTCGGTCTGTCTGCTCGCCGCCTTAGTTGCGATTCTTACTGACCGAGCGCTCGACGCAGCTATCCCTGCTGAAGACATCGTCGATGCCGGCGAAGAGCTTCGCTACGCCGTCCTCGCGCTCGGCAAGATCACCGGCGCAGTGGACGTCGAGGAGGTGCTGGGTGAAATCTTTCGCGGGTTCTGTATCGGCAAGTAAGCGTCGCTCACCACTGCAACGCTGCAAGTAGGTACAGGACGGGCGACGTTGCATGAGAGTCGGGATAGCGATACAACCTTGCGGCAAAAGTGTGCGATGCGGATGAAGAAGAGGGTGCGGGGCGATCATGAGGGTCGCTGAGGGGGAGGGTCGACGAAGCCTTCGAGGAGAGGGTCGTCCTGCAACTTCTGCTTGGCTGCCTCCTCCTGCAGGGCAGTACTCTCGTCAGTCGGGATCCTTCTGAAGTCACGCACGCTGTGTACGCACTGCTTGATGCTTCTTCCATGCCTCGTCCGCCGCCCGCATCGTCGCCCGGTGCTGCTCAACCATTCCGACCATGCCGTAGATCGTGAGACCGAAGAGAGCCGAGACGGTGACCCTGCAGGCGTCCTCGCCGTCAGCTTGCGTCCGTACGACGAGCGATCACCGAGGAAGGGGTCGAGGAGGAGAGAGTTGGGAGAGAGCGGCGCTTGACGGGGACAGCGTGCGCACCTCTGTGCGATGTCTGCGACACGCGTCGCAATCCTCGAAGTCATCTTTGCTGGTTTGCGGTGAGCTGTCCTGGCGAGAGCTGTTCGTTCGCTCCTTGTCCTCCTCTGACAACTCGCTCTCCTCGCTCTTTGCCGTTCTGACCGGCTCTGTACGAATGTCTGCACCACCACGCGCATCAACTGGCAGGCACGTCTTCCTCTCGCTTCGTCCCGCGTCGAGACGAGCTCACCGTGTTCTCATCTCCCCACCTCATCAATCTGGCCTCGCTCGCGTCCCCCAGGTCGAGCAGGGACGACGTCTTGCAGTTCCTCGACTCGCTGGACACATACTCGCCGACTGCACCCAGACCCTCGGCCGCAGGAGGCGCAGGCGCTGTTCCTAGCACGACCCTCCCCCGCTCGTCGTCGAACCATGGAGGACTCGGCTCGAGTGTCGGAGCTGGCTCAAAGCCCCCTGCATCGGCTTCAACGGCTGGCGGTGCACCGGCTAAGGCAGCACCGAACGCGGCAGAGGCTCAATCCGTCCTCGACTTTCTCGACGAGATCACGCAGCGCTCGTCCACCCCAACTGCGTCCGTCAAGACTAGCGACCGGTCACTCGAGAAGAAGTCGTCGGTCCCGTCTGGACTCGGGCGGAGCACGAGCAGGCAGAACTTGACGGGTGCGGGAGGGTCGGGCGCAGCTGGACAGGTTCCGCCGAGGAGGAGCACCGACAGCGTCAGAAGCCAGCGGACAGTCGGTGGCACGCCTGTGGGAGCTGGAGGTGCAGCGCTGCCGGCGAGCCCGCGAAGCGCGGCAGCTACGGCTCCGAACGCCTCCATCGCCTCAGCTTCAACGACTCCCGCAGCATCAGAAGACGCCTCGAAGCAGCAGCAGCAGCAGCAGCAGCAGCAGAGTGGCGGATGGGGCTGGTCCTCGATGTGGTCGCAAGCCTCGAACGTCGTCCAGCAGGCGTCGCATCTGGCGCAGCAGGCTCGCACCGCTGCGGAGGAGCAGGTCAAGACGGCGACGAGCGGTGGAGCCGGCGGCGTTGCTGGTGGTATCGCGGGTATTGGCGGCGGGCTCATGAAGGCGCTGGGAGAGAACGAGCAGGCGAAGAAGTGGAGCGAGGGCGTGATCAGCTATGCCAAGGGGGCGCATCTGGACCAGCTGGGTGCGTTGAGCCGCTCTGATCTGCTCCATCAGTCTCTAGGCCACGTCAGGAAGCATGCTGACACCTTCCTCTACGCAGGCAAGGACTTGAAATCGACGACGCTCAAGTCGCTCACCGACCTCCTCAACGCCGTTGCGCCGCCCATCGCCGAGCACGAGGTGATCCAGGTCAGCCTCAGCCACGACATGGTTGGCTACGATGGAGTCGAGACGCTGGTCTACCGCGGACTTGCGAAGGTGCGTCCCGACGCTTCTTTCTGCGCCTTCTCACGACTAACGGGCAGCGCATCGAGCAGATCATGGACCAGATCGAGGGCGGCTCGCTCATCGTCAACAAGGGCACGGAAGAGAAGCCGCGCGAGATCGAGGGCGACGAGGACGTGCGCGACTTGAACATCGTCGATGGGCTGACCGAGGCGTGGAAGCTGGCAGAGGTGCGTTATTGTTGTTCTGCCTCAACTCAAGCGCATTGCTGACCTACTCTCCCGTTCTTGCTCGCCCCAATCCTCCCCGCTCCCCCTCAACCCTGCAGGCCAGCATCGACCAGCTCATCAAGACGACGTACAAGCCGCCTGCGCCCTCGTCCAGCAGTGCCGACGGCGCCACTGTCCCTGTCACAACCTGCCCCGTCTACATGCGCATCCAGCCCTGTCTCGCACCGGTCCCCTTCCTCCCGCCCGCCTGCCTGCCGTCGACCTCGTCCGAACCGAACGCGTCCAAGGTCCTCTTCTTCCTGCTGCTCCTGCGCGATCCGACACACAACCTCGTCCACACTTCGATGAGCCAAAGCATGCCCGCAAGCTGGCTCGACATTCCGTTCGAGGAGAACGAGTGGGTCGAGGACCAGATGGTCGAGATCATCCGCCGGTCGGTCGAGATTATCGGCCAGGAGTACATCTCGCACCGTATGCGTGCGCAGGCGGTCGCTATCTCTCAGGCGAGGGCGGAGGCGCAGCAGGCGCTTGACCACCACAATGCGGAGCAGGACCAGCAGGAGCAGGAGAAGACGGAGGCCGAGGCGAGTACGGCTGCGCAGGAGGCGAGGGTTGGCGTTGTTTGATCATCTGCTCGTCCTCTCCCACTGTTTGACTACGTGCATGGCTCTCTGTCTCCCGTTTTGCCATCGTCGAGCATCCGTAATCTTGCCATTACAATCGACTTGTATTCGTCTGATTACAACCCTCCGCATCGCCTGGACCGGGTCTCTCGTTGTTCACTGTGCTCCCGGCTCTTGTACTGCTCTCCAGCCACTCGAACTCAGTCACCGCATGCAAGATGACCCGCCCGTCGACTCAGCTCAGCGCCCAGCAGTCGAATTGAACGCGCCCTCCCCACTCGACCACGACGACCCCGTCTCTCCCGCCTCGTCACGCCCCGCTGGAGACCAGGACGCGTCGCTGACGGATGAAAACGGGGCTGATGGACCGGGTGGACAGGCAGACGAGCCGCGCGAGCGAGGTGTGGGCGCGGAGGAGGCGAAGAGGGACACCAACGTGAAGGTCGACGTCGAGGCGGGGAACGTTGCAGCGGGGTCGCAGGGAGGGATGGCAGAGGCAGTGAGCAGTCCCCAGATGGTTGAGAAGCAGGACAAGGAGACTCTGGCGGTCGAGGAAGGACAGGCTCACGATCCGTCGATCGAGTCCAGTGCAGGCGGTGAGCAGGATCGTAAGGAGGCTGTTGCGGTGGACGGTGTAGTGCAGGATGCTACGAAGGAGTCAGAGACGCAGGAGGACACTGCGGCATCCGCCTCAACCCCGCCAGTCCCGACACTCGTCGAACCCAAGCCTTCGAACCCCCTCACCTCGACCAGCTCGCTTCTTCATCCGCCAGACGCCCGATCCGCCTCTCCTGCGACACCGGCGGGCTCCGCGTCCTCTGCCGCACGCGCGATTGCAACGTCGGCGGCAGGCGCGAGTCCCGCTCCTTCTGTCTCGCCCGGACCGACCTCAACATCCGCCGCCTCGCCTCAGCCAACGAAGAAATTCCAGAGCTCGCTTGCAGTGAACAAGAAGTTCTTGGAGAAGGCGGGGGAGAAGGCTAAGCCGGAGGTCAAGCCGGTCACGAGTGCGTCTGAGCCCTTTCTCCGCCTTCTGCGCGTGTGCTCAACTTCGCTTCCGTGCAGCTCGCCTCGCCACGCCGCCCGTCCCAGCACCTTCCTCAACCTCTCATCCTCGCCTCTTTGCCGGCAAGCTCTCCTCAGGACCGATCACCCTCTCCACCTCGTCTTCCGCCGCCGCCGCAGGATGGAGCAAGAAGTCGACTGCACCTACCCCTTCGACCGCTGCGTCTCAGCCCGGCGCCCCTGCTTCAGCTCCGGGTGCTGGAAGCACCGCGAGCGCATTGGCACGCGGAAAGGCAGGAGCGGTTTGGGCTGCTCCCAAATCGACGCAGCCTACGCCGTTCGGAGCGAGGATGGTGAACGACTTCCCGACGGCGGCAGAAGCGGCGCATGGTGCGTTGCAGTCTTCGTCTGCGCCAACTGTACTTGCTCACGGTGATTCCGCTTGACAGCCAAGGAGGCTCGCGCACGAGCGATCATGGAGCAGATGCAGGCGCGCGAACGGGCTTTGCAGGCTCGGGCGGCTGCTGCCGCGGCGCACAACCAGCATCTTCTCGAGGAGCTGGACGCTTTCCGCGGCGTGCACCTTGACCCGAACGCGTCTCACTGGGACGAGGTGCGTCTTCTCTTGCAAGTTCCTGTTCGCAGCGCTGATGTGGCTGCTCGCAGGACGAAGACGACTTCCTCGACACGACGATCGAATTCGCCGACGGTACGCAGTACAAGATCACAGAGCAACCGGATGAGCCGGAAGAGCTTCGCGAACCTGGACCTTCGGAGCTGGCGCTGCGCGAGAAGCCGCTCGCGCCGGGCGAGGTGGTTGAGGCGCCGAAGCGGGAGGAGCGCTTCCGCGACGACTTTGACCGTTCGTGGCCGAAGAAGCCGGCAGCGGCTGGCGACTCGCGCGCGCTCTTCAACGACAAGGCTGGCCGACTCGAGCCGGCCGCGTCTGCCGCTGCACCGCTCGCCAGGCGTCCTGTCGCAGAACCGACCTCCATCGTGCGACCAGCCGACCGCCGCCTCTCCGACGTTCCCCCTCACATGGCTGCCGCGCCTCACCATCTCGAACCTAAACCTCGCCGACCATCCGTCACTTCGCCCCGCATGTCCCACGCTCCTCTCCACCCCGCACCGCGCCGCGAAAGCTTCAACGAGCCGAAGCCTTCGCCGTGGGCGCGGCGACCGAGCATTTCGCAAGGAGAACGACAGGTCCCGCCGCATCTCGCCGCTGGGGGCGCACGACCGCCTCCTCCGCACATGCAGACCGCTACTCGCTCGCCGCCGACTCAGCGACAGCCTCTGCCGCCAGTCCAGGCTGTTCTTTCGCCTCCTCGCGCGCCAGCTGCCGCACTGCCGCCCGCCGCGCCCGCTGTCGTCTCGCCGCCAGTCGCAGCGCCCGCTCCCGCAGCGGTGCCGGAGGAGGGGAACATCGAGGAGATGCACGCGCGGGAGATGCATGCCGCTGCTGAGCGTGCGAAGAAGCGTAGGGAGGAAGAGGAGCAGAAGCGGCTCGAGCAGATTGAGCGGGCGAAGCGGAAGGCTGCCGAGCTGGAGGAGAAGATGAGGGCTGCTGAGGAGGCGAAGGTCAAGGCGAAGGAGGAGCAGGAGAAGGCGAAGAAGGAGGCGGAGAACGCCGCAAAGGTTGCGAAAGAGGCGACTGCACCCGCGTCCGCTTCGTCCGCTGCCGACACGGCTTCGTCCTGGCGCGCGGCGGCACGACCACCTACCGTCCGTTTCGGCGCTACAGCCGGCCCTGCCCATCCCCCTCCTGCGACCCCGGCTGCAGCTCCGACGAAGATCCTGGCGCGCGAACCTCCTGCGCCGGTTCAGCCAGCCAAAATTCTTCCTCGCCCAGGTGTCCCAGTAGCAGAACCGCCAGTACGGCAGGCAGCATGGCGCCCAGCGCCGCAACAACCTGCACGACCTCTCCAGCCTCCTCGTCTCGCTCCGCCTCACCAGCTTCCGCCTCACCTCGCCGCCAAGGCAGCCGCCGCACAAGCCGCTCAGGCGGAACGAGCTGCACCAGCTGCCCCTGCGCCCGCGCCCGCGGCTGCCGCCGAAGCGAAGCCATCGCCGTCTCCCCTGGCAGAAGCAGCCGCTCCCGCCGGGCAAGCCCAGACTTCCCCTCCTCCACGACCTGTCACGCCTCCACCGCCAGCGGCCCCAGCTATCGCTTCTCCGCCAATCTCGCCCGCGACGCAGGAGCGCCGTGCGGCTCAGCAGGCGAAGCAGGCTGGGTACAAGCTGCCAGCCGTCTCGCAATTCGACGATCTCATGTCGCGCATCAAGGGCGTCATGACGCACCCCGAAGAGCGCGCTTCCCAGGTGGACTCGGCAGCTTCGCACGAGGCGGAAAGGCCCGTCGTGAAGCTTCCGTCCAGCAGTCCCGCCACCGCTCGTCGCACGGCTGCGCCTGTCGAGACCGGCACGCCGGCACCTGCTCCGCAGTTCGTTGTCGCATTGCCGGGTGCAGGGCGCGGACGAGGGCGTGGCCGGTCCGAGATCCCTCGAGTCGCTCGCCAGGCCGTGCCGGTCTTCGAGAACCGCGAACCTGTCCTTCCGATCCATTCTTCCCGCCTCTCCCGCTCCGCCTCCCCTCCTCCCGCTTGGCGGCAATACACCGTTCGCATCGCCCCTCACCCTCCTCGTCGCCCGCCGCCTGCTCGCGCCGTCAAGAACTTCCAGAACCCGAACTTCCCCCGCCCCCTCTACCCCTTCTCCTGGTCCCCTCAGCTTCGCGATGTCAATCCGCGCCGGCTCAGTCGGGACGACTCCCTCCTTCCGAAGCGCTACGACAAGTCGGGCACGGTCATCTACACCGTTTCGCTGCCGAAGGAACGCCTCCGACGCCGTTCCGTCGTGGAGAAGGAGGATCCGCCCGCCATGGTCGTCAAGATCTCTTCCCTTTCGCTCGTCCGTCAGCCTGCGCCTGCGCCGCTGCCGCAGTCTGCGCAGGCTCATCCCGCCGTCATCAACGTGATTCAAGGGGAGGACCTCTCGCTCGCAAGCCCCGTCGACGCAGTATTGGGCTACTCGCCCTTCGGCGTGCCCGACCGCCGACGAGCGCCCGAGACCGGCTCATGGCGGCGAGAAGCGGTCGGCGCACCAGAACCGGGTGCGGATCAGGCGCCAGCAGCAACGAGTCGCTTCTTCCCCGGCGTTGTCGGCCAGGCGGTGCCGTCCGCCGACGACGTGTCTCTAGGCGCACCTGGACCAAGCGACCTGAACGGTGAGAAGATCGAGACGACCCCTCGAAGGGAGACGACCGCACCAGGTCTGGGTGCGAATGGCGGCGTGAGTCTCTCCTTGCCCCGCTGAGTCCCGTGAAAGCGAACTGACGAGATGAACTCGTGCAGATACCGTCTTCGCCGCCGTTCAAGCAGCCCGACATGAGCCAGTCGACCGCTTCGCCTTCGGCAGCGTGGACGAACAAGTCGCTGGCGCTTTCAGTCCTCGACCCCACCGCTTCGTCGGTCTGGTCTGCCGCACCAGAAGAGAGCAGCGTCCATGCGCGCGTCAAGTCTGCCGTCCAGCCGGAGAACTCGCTCCAAGGCCTCGTCGACGAGGACCTCTCGGAAGCCTTGCCCAACTCCGTCGCCGATCTCAAACTCGACGATGGTCATCTGGCGGAGGACAAGGATGCCTCGAAGGCTTCTGCCGCGAAGGAGGAGGCCAAGCTCCGCGCCGTTGCGCCGTCTTTCTCCTCTTTCCTCCACGAGTCGGCGGGCGCCGTCGACCCGTCAGCTGTGGCTGCTATCGCAGACCACCCTCGCGCGCATCCGCCTTTCGGCCCCGCAGCGTGGCCAGGCATCCCTCCTCAGTCGACCCCATCACCCATCTCCGCCTACTCGCCCGCTCAGTCTTTCTCGCCGCAGCTGTACACGTCGGTCCCTCCGAACTACGGCCGCACTCTCTCGCAGCAGCAAGTCTACTCGGCCTACCCTACCCAGACGCCCTCTCCCTACGCACCGCAGCACCTCGCCCAGCCGTACTCCCCGCAACACTACCCGTCCGCTTCTCCCGCTTCAACGGCCGTCGGCTACTCTCCCATGCCGTACCGCGACTCGGCCTCTTCGGCAGCTCCTCACGGCATCACAAACCCGGCTCTCATCGCGAACTACGGTTATGGCGGCCAGAGCGGGATGTCGTCGGCGCGAGCGTACGGTGCAGTCGGCGCGCCGGGGACGCCAGCGTACGGACGACCGCAACAGCACATCGGGGCCTATGGTCGTCCGCCTACGCAGCCTGCCGTCGCGCCCACAGCGTACATTGCGTCAGGGTTTGGCGCGCCGTTCCAGACGCCGGGCCAGTCCTACCGCGTCGAGAGCCCGTACCCGCTCGGCACCGCCTACTCGTCTTCACCCGACGCTGTCCGCCCGCCCCTCCCTCCGCAGCACCCTTCGGCGACTACGATGGCTTCGCCGGTCATCATGCCTCAGCAGCCGCCGCAAGTTCCCGTCTTCGCCCCGACCTCGTACCCTGGGCAAGTCCTGCCGCCGCACGTCGCGCAGGCTTCAACTTTCGGTGCTGGATATGGCGATGCGTCGCATGCAGCGTATGGCCAGCCTGGCGCCGTCTATGGACGACCGGGACCTGCCGCCCGAGGAGGAGGAGCGTTGGGATCCGTTGGTGTCGCGCGGTGGTGATTGTGCGGGATTTGCTTTGCGAAGATGCTAGTACTTCTTGGACTCCTAACTACTGCCCGTACTTCTACTACCCGTACTTTGCAACCCGCATCTTGCTTCCGCTTCCTCGTCGTGAAGCGAGAGCGCGAGCCTTTCTCCCTTTGCCTCCTCACACGCTTCCGCTTCGCCGACTGTCACGGCCATTAAGACTGGCTCTCCTGCGACTACCATGCCGCCACGACCGCGCCTGCCGACGTCCCCGTCGACTCCCATCTCCTCACTAGTCCCCACATCTCCCGCGCCGTACACCCTCGTCTGGGCTTCGCACGCCCGCTGGCCGCTTCCGGTTGACGCAGGCGAGACACAGCATGGTCCCGCAGCTCGCCCACTACGCATCTCGGTCCTCGACTCGTCGTTTAACCCGCCTACGGCCGCACATCAGGCTCTCGCCTCACACGGCTCAGACGGCTTTGACGCCCACCTGCTCGCGCTGAGCGTGGGGAACCCCGATAAGGGCACTATCGAGCAAGAGGTCACAGCCGTGCGGCTCGAGATGATGCGGCAACTCGGCATGGACTTGCACCGACGGTCGGGAGGGAAGGGAGGGCTGTCGAACGTCGCGGTGGTCCTTCTTCAGGCGCCGACGTTCGTACGCAAGTCGGAGATACTGCGGGACGAGCTGGACAAGCTGGTGCAGGCGCAGGCGGGGTCGGACGAAGCGTCAGTGCGGTTGACATTCCTCGTCGGTTCGTTTGTTCCCTTTCTCGCCTCTCCAGCCATCATGCTGACTCTCTCTTTGACAGGCTGGGACACACTCATCCGCATCTTCGCACCACGTTACTACCAGCCGCCCGGTCCCGACCTCGGCTCGTCCATGTCAGCCTTCCTCGACCGTGACGATTCCTCCCTCGCCTGTGCACGAAGAGGCGACATCCCTAGCGAGGAAGAGGACGCCTTCCTCAACTCTGATGAAGTCAAAGAGTGGGTCAAGCGGGGAAAGGTGGAGATGTTCGACATCGAGGAGCGGTTTAGGACAATCAGCTCGACGGAGGTCAGGCGGGCGGTCAAGGAGGAGCGTTGGGAGGACGTTAGACGAGACGTGCCGATAGAAGGGATCATAGACGTTATCAAGCGCGAGGGGCTGTATAAGGACTAGAAACAATGCAGGGGTTGGTCTCGTCTACAACAACCGAGAAATGCGGGAATGCGAAGTGAGGTGGGAGGGTCGCCCGCGACCTGCTACACTGCTGTACCGAACTGCACGTCGTCCGCTGCTTCGCCGTACAGCAACGTTCGCTCGATAACATACCGCTCGTGCCGTTCCTTCTTCCGCCTGACGAGCTCGCGCTGGCAGTACACCTCGATTCGCACGACCTCCTCATCTGGTGCGATAGTACCGGATGCCGAGAAGATGGACGCGGTGTCGGGAACGGGTGGAAGAGCCTTTTCGAGTCGTCGTGAGCTTCGTGAGGACCTTGACGAGACCGTCCCGCGGTCGTCCTCGCCGGAAGGTCGTGCTGGCGATGTGACACGCTCGGGTCTCGGAGAAGGGCGAGTCGTCTGGAAGGTCGTCTCGGTCGGCGAAAGGTCAAAGACGACAGGCCGTCCTCGCGCCTCCTCTCCCAGCGCCAACTCCGCCTGTCTCGCAGCGGAGAACGCCCAGTCCGTTCGCCACTCGCCACGAGCGAGTCCTGAGCCGCTCGGCGCGGGGCACTGCTCCTCCAGCGTCGAAGGGCCCGGTGACTCGCGAGTGAAAACGCTCGTCGCGACTGTCACGGTCGAGGAGGGTGCCGAGACTGGCGGGTCGTCGAAGAGGGAGGCAGCACGATGTGTGAGGTCCGATGACGACGCCGAAGAGGTCGAGGGGAAGCGGAAGGCTGAGAACGACGGTTTTTCGGAGAGCGGGAGAGGCGCGAAGAGCGGTTCGGTAATGGGGAAGGTCGCGTCGAGCGAGCGTTGTGAGGCCGGCGAGGCGGGTGCTGAAGGAGAGAGATCCGCGCCGGAAATAGCGAGACCCTCGAGACGAAGCGAGAGAGGCGTGTTTTCGGGCGACGAGATGGGCGAGAAGTACGAGGCGGGTTCAGGGCGGGTGTCGTACGCCGGGTTGACAGGTGTCTCGAGGTCGTCTTCGGGCTCTGAGGCGAGAGAGTAGACGGAACTCGACATGGCGGATGCCCTGCGTGATGGGGCAACTTCGATGTGCAGGACTGGGCGGTTGGAGAGGGTGGAGGAACCGCTGACTTGGCGGGGTGCAAGCGTGAAGGGGTTCGTGAAAGAGACGTCGAAAGTGTCGGCTTCAGGGATGGGCGAGAGGTTCGATGGCGCAGACACGGAGAAGCGAGAGAAGCGAGGTTCGGAGGGGAGAGGAACGGAAGTGACAGGAAGATCCGCCAGCAGCGCCGGTCCGGGAAAGGCGATCGTCGAGGGAGTGTCGGAAGAGATCGAAAGGCGTTGCGGAGCGTCCGTCTGCGAGATCGACGAGCGCAGGTTGCCCAGCTCGTCGACCGAGGCGTCCGCTTCCTCAAGGAAGCCCCTCCATACCGAGCCGAGACTCATGTTGGCCGCCTCCGTCACTTCTTCCTGCTCGTCGAAGTACACCGCTCGTCGTTTGCCCTTGTCCTCGCTCAGCGGTAGAGGCGAGTAGTCTCCGTCCCAGGCGAACGACTCGAGTCGCTGCTTCTGTTCGCCGTCGAGCGGGAGGGGCTTGACGTCCAAGTACGAGCCAGACCGCGGTACATCAAACGAGGAGCGATCTGGCAATTTGCGAACGTCAGCACGAACGACGGAAGCTGGATGGGAGGCTCGAGCGGACCTTTGTGAGCGGAAGGACGGCACAGAACGGGCGACGACGCGACGGCGACGTTCTCCTTGCCCTTGAAGTCAACCGAGACGCTCACGCGTGCCCGCCTTGAGCCATTCCTCGCCGAAGGAGCCGTCAGCGCGTGCGCAGTTCGCGGCGGAGGAGTCGGTGTCGGCTGGAGACTCCGCCTGTTCGCGCCCGCCTTGGGCTTCAGGAGCGTGTTGAACCACGAGCGCGACCTCCCATGCCCCTTTGGCTTCATGGCGGCGTCGAGAGGCGAGGGGAGCGGTCGTGCAGCGGAGGCCGAAGTCGCGGGTTTGGCGGCGGGTTGGGCAGGGATGAGGATGGGTGCGCGCGCTGCTGAAGTGCGCTTGTCGTGTCTGTCGACCATGTGCGTCGTCTGGGTCGTGCAAGCAGTCCAGCGAAGGGGTTGTGGCAGAGAACGAAGGACAACCGTTTGTCGCTCGCGTCGCCTCGAGGAATGCGGAGCACATTAAGCTTCTGCCGCCTCGTGGGGATCGCCTGAGCGTGGCCGCGACCGACTCGGCATTCGTTTCGTCATCCAGCGTCGTTCGCAGCGCACAAAGTCGCTGTCCTCGTCGACCACCTCCTCCTCCTCCTCGACTCGTTCGTCTCGCGCCGATTTTTTCCCGCTAGGCAGTGCTAGACGTGTCTCACAGCCTGCAATCACGACCCACTCATTCAAGCGCGCCCGCACACTGCGACGTTGGCTTCATCGACCGCTCGCTCCCCTTCCCTTCGAAGGGCTCGTCTCCCATCTCTGCCGCCCGCCAGAGACCCCGCCTGACATGCTGCCGTTCCGACAAGCCGCCCTCTTCACACTCGTGCGTCCTCGCTGCCCTCGCCCGTCGACCTCGAGGCTCACACCCCCACTTCGTCGCAGACCGCCTCGACTCCCTCTCCCGTCACGGCTGAACAAGGCCTGACTGGGCGACATACGCTCAATGTGCACGACCTGGATGGAGAAGGCCGGACATGGCGTGTAGACGTGAGCGTCGCGAAGGTGTCGATTTGTGAGCAACAGACCTCGCCCATGCAGTCTCGCTGGCAGGCTGACGCATTGCCCTCATAGACAAGAGCAAGAACCTGACACTGCATCTCGCTGGACGGATCTTGACGTCGACGGTGGAAGTCTTCGAGAGCAACGACATCCATCTCCGCATCGGCGACTCTTCCTCAGAATCCTCTTCCTCGCCTCTCGGCACTCTCCAGCTCGACCCGTCTCTACACAACGTCTCGATCCAGTATGCGACGCCGGCCAATGTCGGCAAAGTCGTCCTCGCCCCTCTCCTCACCGAAGACTCGCTCGGAGCCCGCTCGTTCGGCTTCTCTCAGCTCTCGCTGCAGGCGGGCTCGAATGACGAGCCGTTCGTCGTCGTCGACGCGGAGGGGCGGATTAGACAGCCCGGCGAGGCTGGCACGGTCGTTTCGCCGCTGTCGCCTCCGGCTGAAATGGCGCGGCAGCTCGTCTATAGCTTTGACGGCGGTCAATGGCGCGTCGAGGGTCTCGAGCGGAGGGAGAAGGACTATCCGAACTTGGCGTCCTAGACTGGACCTTGGGAGCGAGGAGAAGAGCTGGATTCGAGGTCAGCCTTTCCATCTCATGCAAGGTCGCGAAAACTGATGCTTTGCAATCATCAGCTGTCGTTGTTCCATCGCCTTTCTGCTAGCCATGTTCTTCGCCTTGACATGCTCCACTTCTCCCCCGTTTCCTTCTTCGTTTCTGCTTCGACGCTCGCCGCTCACGTCTCTCGCCTCACGCATGCTTCGCTCGAGCCGTCCAAGAGTACCAACTCGAGCCGGCTGACGCGCGCCAGCACCAGCTCGCGTGGAGCGGCTGCGGAAGGGGATCTTTCGAGCGCGTATCGGGCGGTTCAAAGACGCGAAGCTCGACCAGTTTCCGCCGAGATGGATGGCGCACACTCGCAGCAAGCCGGTGATTACGTATATGCAGGGTTGACGATGGACTCGAAATGCGGGAGAGCTCCCGGGCGGTCGACGCGACTTGCGGTTTCACCCAGTCGAGCCTGCTCTCGTCCCGCTTGTCCTTCCCTCTTTCCTCTTCAACTCGCTACTCCTCCCAGCGCAACCAGTTGCAATGGGCGCCACCGAAGGCTCCGCTCGCGTCACTGCAGGCTACGGGGTCGCTGTTCGCTTGCTTTGCCTTGTCAAAGCTGGCCTCGCGTTCCAAATTGTCGAGGACGCCCTCGCCTTCCTTGATGAGCACTCCGCTCGCACGCCACCAACCTCTTCTGCACCTCTCAATCCGCCAGTCTTGCGCGTACCCCCGGAGACTTGGGCAAACGTGCGCGCACACCTCATTGCGCTCGGCGTCGAAGAGGCGGAACAGGAACTCTTGCGCGTCTTCATTGACCATCTGAAGAAGCATGGGGAATGTTTTGACCCGTCGGAAGTACCCTCAAGCTTTACTGAGGGAGAGCTGTGGTCGTCGGCAAACGAGGCCGGCGCGGAGCTACCCGACGACGTCGGCGAGTGGTTTCCTTCCGGTTGGGAGACAGTACGTAGCCAGGTGACTCCTGTCACCACTGCCTGTTGATGTTCTTCAAGCACAGGGCGTCTTCCGTCTGGGAACTTACTTCGGCCTCGAGGTCGACCTCTCGCCCATTCGGCCGCAAACACTCGTCGAAGGGTACGACACCGACTACACCCTGGATTCGGCAGTCCTACTTCAGCTGCCATCCGAGGACAACGGGATCGAGATTGAGACGCACACGGGCATTGACCTTGTGAGCGGCTTCGGCTGCTTTGGGTTGCCAAAAAGCTTGCCTGTCGATGCCGATAAGTCCTTCAAGCCCCTGATCATGCAGTTCGATCTGGACCCAGTTGAGATCCGTCTCAGGCAGGCCAAACTCTCGACAGTCGCGTCGGTGAAAGAGGAGGCGGAAGAGCGCCTCTTCAAGCCGGACGACGACCACTACGCGACCTCCGGCCACTTCCCCTCCATTCCGCGGGACAAAGTGGAACCAAAATGGCTCATTGTCTGCGTAACTAGTCTTCAGGCATGAGCAAGCACGTCGATGCCGTCCTCCTCCTCCTCTTGACCTTCTCAACCTGGCGCCGCTGCGCCCTCTTGTTCTTTTTGACTTACCCCCAAAGCTGCTCATAGCGAGCACCCGCTCTTGTAACGCGTGGCATTCCGTCCCGGACTTGCATCGGAACAGAGAGCAGGTGACCGTTCCTTCATTTGGCGAAGCTCTCCCGCTCCCCACTTCCCTCCCTTCTGCTTTTCTACTTTCTTGCGACCGTCGCACGACATGCCCAACGCACTCGCCGAGATTGGAGCGGTGTTCGGCATCGCGGTCCGCCTCCCCTCGCTCGTCGTCGCAGGCATGGCTTTCGACCTCCTCGAGGGAACGCTTCCTTTCCTCGACGCTTGCATCGCTCTCGCTCCGCTCGCTTCGCTACCAGAACCGTCGCTAGAGTACAACCCGGTCCTTCGCCTACCGCCAGAAATATGGGCAATCATCCGGACGCACGCAATCCGCTCGGCTCTCACCGACTCCGAAACGGTGTTCGCTGAGGCCTACGTCGGAGAGGGCCGATGGTGCACCTGCATCAAGTATAGCGGGGTCGAAATGCCGAGACGGATAGACGATATCGCCAAGTTCATGGAGGAAGTTGGCTGCGACTGCGGCGAGCAGGACACGGTTCGCAAGGATGCGGTGCACTCGCTGATGGACGGCTTGTCGAGAGACAATACTGTGCGCTTTGACTTTCCCCCAGGCTCAGCTCAGAGGCTATAAGCCGACGCCACTCTCCCCAGGCCCGCAAACTTGTCAGCTACTTCTCCCTCGACTGCGAACGCGACATAGTCTTCAACCCAGATCGTTTGGCAGAATCGAACCAGCGCGATCTCGAGACGGCAGTACTGTTGACGGTACCGCTCAAGAAAGCCTCGACGTACAGCATGGCGGCCGTGCGGGGTCATGAAGACGAAGGCTTCGACACCGCAGTTCTCGCTCTCCCCACGACTCCCCCTCCCGCAGCCTACAAACGCTTTCAGCGCATCATTGCGGATTTTCATCTCCAGCCAGTGGACGTCAGGCATCGCCAAATACATTGGGAGGAACCTCAAGTCGGGCAAGCGGAGCAAGACGGCGACCCGCCAGACGGTCTCGCACTCGAGCGGCGGCTTTGGGACCGTCGGAAGCATCTTGAGCGCTTTCGGGACGTGACGCTAGAGGAGCTGCCGCCGCGGTGGATGTTGTACGCGATGGTAGAAGGATCCCCTTGAGGTGTCGCGGTTTATCTGTCTTTCTGAGGTATCAAGCGATATGAGCATGTTGTGTGCAACCGTAACATGACAGTGGGACGACGAACTAGTCTGCGAGACAACAACAGTGAGAGGACCGCGAAAGTCTACAACACCTCTCTTCCTTCAACCGCAAGGACAACCTCATCTCCGACGCTGATGGTACACGCCATCTCTCCCCTGCTCAGCTCCTCACGCCACATGCAGTGGACGCCAAACTCGACGCGTCCGGATGAGGCGGATTTGCGGTAGCGGGAGAGCGTCTGTAATGGTTCGGCGGTGCGCTGACCCGTTGTCTGCATGAGCGTGAGAGCGTCAGTACGTCAAAGCCAGCTTTCAAACGCGAAGTGCACCGCTTCAACGCGTTGCGGGAGAAGTCGAACGCACCTGGTCGACCGCGACCATCAAGCACCTCCTGCACCGTCCGAGCGTCGCAAAGACCTCGCCACCAACCCTCAGCTCGTCGACCTCGTCCTCCCAGAACGGCGGCAACTCGGCATCGTCGCCCTCGACAACGACGTTCGGCCTGAACGCCGCAGCCTTGACCTCCTTCTCCTGCTTCGTCCCACTGTCTCGCTCGATCCACTCGTTCACAGCCCTCAGGCTCTCGCTCGTAACGAGGAGGAAGGGCGATTCGTTCGAAAGGCGGATGGGAAGAGGCGGGCCGGAAGAGTCGAAGTGGGCGTGGCGGGACGAGCCTGGTGGGAGACGGCGGAGCTCGACGGGACCTGGGCCCGTCGTGGACGACGACGATGTCGATGGGGCGTTGAGGAAGCGGGTGAACCAGGCGTCGGCGACGGAAGAAACGCGGACGGAAGAGACGGCTGAACCGCACAAAGTCGTCGGTCGAGGGTTGTCGTGGGGTCGTAGCCGGCTGTCTGCGTCGAGTGAATGGCCGTCCTCGCTCAGCGGAGGCGTGTCGAGGCCACAGTAGACCGCGTCGTCGTCGAGCTCTGGCAGCGGCAGGACAAGCGGCTCCATTCCCGGCGCTTCAACGACGAGCATGCCCTTCTCGCGGTCGACGGCGGGGCGGATGAGCGCCATGCGCGAATACCGCTTCTGCGAGAGAGCGCGGCCGGTCGAGGTAGAAACGAGCATCAGCTCGCGGTCGTAGAGAAGGCCGGAGGGCGTCAAGGGCCAGGGAGTCGCGGGCGGGAGCGATTGAGCGGCGCAGGATTTGATTGGATCTGCACAACACGTTGAGGTGAGCGATGCGCTGGAGACTTCAGGGGGAGGAGGACGCACAGATCATGACTTCCTTCAGCATAGCCCGTCGCACCCTCTTGCCATTCGTCTTCTCCTCGAACGCCAACATCTTTTCCAGCGCGACGACCTGTTCGTTGACGACGAAGAATTTCCTGACGAACTCGACAAACTTGAGTACGTCGTCGAGCGTCGAAGCGAGCCCAAGCGAGACCCTCGCGATCCCGAGTGGTTTGTACGGCTCGAACGGCGCAAACTCCTCCTCATCCCAGCACTTCCTACCCTTCGCCTCGAGCGCAGCGAGGTCCGCGTCGGAGAGGTCCCAGACACGCGTCCAGACGCCGGTGTTGCAGAGGCCGCCGGAACGGAGCGCGATGGAGTTGAGAAGCGCAAGGCGAGAGAGGTGGACGTGGCCGACGACGTGAGTGCGGTAGTCGGTGATGTCGGCGTTGGGATCGGCCGATGCGGATGAGGGAGGGAGGAGGAGCGAAAAGCCGACAATAGGTCCTGGCGCCTCGAGGTGGACAGCCTCCGTCTCCTCCATTCCACCCTTCGCAGCCTCTTCCTGGAACGCCCGATGCTCAAACAACACCTTCTCTCCACCCTCATGCCTCAACCCCTCCAACTCGCTCACCAACACCCCCCTCAACCACGCGACATGCTTCCCCACCGCTTCTAGTCCTCGGCCGTTCGTGATTGACGCCAGCCAGTCGAGCGCGTGCGAGAGAGCGATGATCTCGAGGAAGGGCGGGGTGCCGGCTTCGAGAATTTCGTGGATTGAAGAGGATGAAGAGAGAGCAGGTTGCGGCGAGAGAGTGGGCGGGAAGGTGGGAAGGGACGGCGATGGCGACGTGTAGCGCGATGAGTGCGAGAAGGGCGAGGAGAGTGAGAGGGAGGAGACGGTGCCGCCGCCAAAGTATGGCGAGTTGGTGAGGAGATGCGCAGAGCAGCGGCGCACGATGAGCAGACCGAGCGACGTCGGAAAACCCTGCAAAAAGCGTAGGTCAGCTTGAGGCCCTGGATTGACGGACTTGGCTGCCTTGACAAGGTGACAAGGTGGTGAGTGGGTGAAGTCGCCAACTCACGAAGATCTTGTACACGCTCGCAACGATAAAGTCCGGCTCCTCGCCCTCTTCACACGCTCCCAGATTGAGTACACTAGTCGAGGAGTAAGCCGCAGCGTCGACAAGGACCTTGGCCTCGGGATTCTCACGCTTGATCTGCGCGCAGAAGCCGAGTCCTAGTCGTGCGCCGGTCGCGTTGCACTGCGCGGGGTAGGTGTAGAGTATTGGAGTGCCGTTTGGCGGGTCGAAAGATAGGGAGCGGGACGAGCGGGCGGAATGGAGGAGGGAAGACGGCGTGCGGTGAGAGCGAACGGGGGATGAGCGGGCAAGGGAGATGCCGCGGAGGCCGACGAGGCTGCAAAGAAGGAGTCAGCGTCTCATGTTCAGGGTCGCAAATGCGCGAACGCACCTCGTGTGGCTCTCGACAAGATACTCGAGACCGTTCCTCCCTCGCAAGTCTCCCTCACTCCGCCAATCCCACGCCTCGCTAACCATCTTGATCCCCTGCGTCGCTCCGCCATGCGTGAACACGACGTCCCACTCGCCGACTCGCTCAGGCGACACGCCGAAGAGGTCTGTCAGGACTCGAGTCCGGGTGCGGTCGATGGCGAGTGAGGTAGCGACACCCGAAGTCGACGCCGAGTGTGGATTGCTAAAGAGATTGGACTGCAAGGAGCTGGTGAAGCTGTCGAGCGGGGTCTTTGGGATGGGAGGCGAGGCGGCATAGTCGAGATAGACGGTGTCTGCGAGGAGGAGGACAGCGCGGTCAGCTCGCGCGCTACGGACGCCGGTCTAAGGCCAGTCCCACAGTCTAGTGCTCACCCTTCAATGCCGCATACTCGCTGCCCCGCATACGCTCGAATGCTGCCGCATCTCCCCATCCGTAGTCGCGCGAGTCGATGGAGGCGGCAAGCCAGCGTTCCCTCTTGCGCTGCATGGTCGCGGGTCAGGTGCAACGTTGTCAGGAGAGTGTGTAGACGGTGCCAGAGTGGCTCAGCGGGTCCATCGGGCTTGTCACAGCGGGAGGAGGTCGGCGGAGGACTCTTCGGACGGACCTCGACGGGAGTCCCCTCTGCTCGACTCCGCGCTCGCTCGTGTGACTGCTGTTGACCCGGATACTGCTGCTGCACTCGTGCTGACCACGATCCAGCTCGACCGGAGCGTCCCGCCGCTGTCGACGCGCGACTCTCGCCTCCTTATCGCTCGCCCCACTCGGACAGGCAACAATGCCCGCCGTGCCGTCGCCAACGCAGGCGTTCGACGACGAGGCATCGTCCAAACTCACATTCTACGTCAATGGGTCACGCGTGCAACTCGACGCGGCTCAGCTCGACCCGGACCTCTCCCTCCTCGCCTTCCTGCGCTCGCAACCCGGGTTGACCGGCACGAAGCAAGGGTGCAACGAGGGTGGCTGCGGCGCATGTACGGTCGTGATCCAGTCTGTCCACCCGAGAACGAATGAACGTGCGTCTTGCCGTGTTCTCACCCGTCGACCAACCGCTCTTCCCGCTCACCCTCTCTGTCTCGCGCGCTTGCAGTCCAGCACCTCGCTATAAACGCCTGTCTCGCCCCGCTTCTTATCCTCGAGGGCAAGCATGTCATCACCGTCGAAGGAATCGGCAACACCGACAACCCTCACCCTCTCCAAGAGCGCATGTGGAAGCTCAACGGCTCGCAATGCGGCTTCTGCACGCCCGGAATCGTCATGAGCGTCTATGCGATGTTGAGGAATGCCGCATACAAGGGCAAGTTGTCAGTCGAGGATGTCGAGCTTGAGGGAGCGCTCGACGGAAACTTGTGCCGATGCACCGGCTACGCACCCATCTTCCAGGCCGTCAAGTCGTTCTGCGGGGATTACCTCCGCCCGAAGACGACAAATGGCTACTCGAACGCCTCGGATGGGACTTCGTCTCCGCCCTCTCTCACCTCCTCGTCCAACTCGTCCGACTCGTCTTCTCCGCCCGCGACGCCGAAGGACGAAGACTTTGTGGTCCCGTTCAACCACGGCGCTGCTGGACTCGAGGAGGGCTTCGAGACGCAGGACACGCGGTGCTGCGGAAAGCCAGATGCGTGCGCTAAGAACGTCAGCACCGATGGTGAGTCCTCCTCCTTGCGAGAGCCGTCGAACCTTGAGCTGACTCCGCCTCGAGCAGTCTCGCTGCCCGCTCCCTCGGCTCTCGAGAACCCCACGGCGCCACCCATCGACCCAGTCGCCGGCGGACTCGGTCGTACAGCGCCCGTGGAGCCTTCTCGCCAGGCGCCCGACGCCTCAGCTCTCGTCCACGGTCCTGTCGACTCCTCCAAGCCGAAAGGCTGCGGACGCGCTGACTGCTGCCAGCTCGGCGGCGACAAGAAGAAGGTCGAGACGACCGCTCCGAGCGCCGCCTTCCCTCAGTTCGAGTTCAAGCCCTACCGTCCCTCGACCGAACTCATCTTCCCTCCCGGCCTGCGCAAACACCCTCTAAAGCCGCTTAAGTTTGGCTCGTCGACGCCGTACAGCAAGACGTGGTATCGCCCCGTCTCCCTCGACCAGCTCGTCGAGCTCAAGCGCGCGATCCCCGATGCGAAACTTGTTGGTGGGGCATCCGAGGTGGCCATCGAAGTTGGCATCAAGGGATCCGCGTACCCAGCTTGCATCTACGTCTCCGACATCCCCGAACTTGCCGGCGTGTCCCTTCCCGACTTCGACTCGCGCGCTCCCTCGCTCGAGTTCGGCGCCAACCTCTCCCTGTCGGACCTCGAGCGCGTCGTGCGCGACTTGATTGCCCAAGCGGCCGCTGCGCAGACCGGTGCGCTTAAAGCGGTGCGCGACCAGCTTCGCTACTTCGCCGGCCGCCAGATCCGCAACGCCGCCAGCACGGGAGGCAACATCGCTACCGCCTCACCCATCAGCGACTTGAACCCTGTCTGGGCCGCAACGGGCGCCAAGATCGTCTGCGTCGCGCCGGCAAGTCGGCCGAACGACGGCGAGTTCGAACTCCCGATGGACGACTTCTTCACCGGTTACAGGCAGACCAAGTTGCCTCAGGACGGCATCATACTCCGCGTCGTCTTGCCTATCCCGCCAAAGAATCTTGAGCGGGATGGAAAGTTCGAGGTTGTGAGGGCTTACAAGCAGGCGAAGAGGAAGGACGACGACATTGCGATCGTCACGGCGTGCTTGAGCGCCCGGGTCGACGTGCGCGAGAAGAAGATTGAGGACGTCAAGATTGCATTCGGCGGCATGGCGTGCGTTGCGTCGAAGCTCCCGACGGATCTCTCAAGCTGACCTTGACCTTCGCAGCGCCTACACGATTCTTGCGAAGAAGACGCAGGACTTCCTCGCCGGTGCGTTGCCTTCCAACGTCCTTCTCGGGCTCTTCTGACGCTTGAGACATGCAGGCAAACCCATCAATGCCGAGACGCTCGACGCCGCCGTCGACATTCTCGCCTCCGAGTTCGACCTTCCCTACACCGTTCCGGGCGGCATGCCCTCGTACCGCCGCACCCTCACGCTCTCCTTCCTTTTCAAATTCTTCGTCGAAGTCGCCAAGCGTGCCGACGTCGTGCTTGATGGCGTTCGCGAGGAGGACGTGGAGGAAGTCACCGATGTGAGACGCCTCTTTCCTTCACCCCTCACCTCGGCTGACCTTCTTCTGCAGTCCATCCACCGCTCAGTCTCGTCGTCGACTCGCGACAACTCGGACCCGTACGCCCAGACCGTCGTCGGCCACCAAGTCCCGCATCTCTCCGGCTTGAAGCATGTCACGGGCGAGGCCGTCTACGTCGACGACATCCCTCCCTACGCCAACGAAGGGCAGCTCGCGCTTGTCCTCTCGACTCGCGCACACGCCAAGTTGCTCTCGGTCGACCCGTCCGAAGCGCTCGAGATGGACGGCGTTCTTAGCTTCGTCGACTGGCGCGACATGCCGTCGAAGAAGGCCAACTGCTGGGGTACTGCAGCGCAAGACGAGTACTTCTTCGCTGAGGACGAGGTGACCTGCCACGGCCAGATCATCGGAGCCATCGTTGCAAAGACGAAGCTCGAGGCTCAGCGGGCGGCGAGGAAGGTCAAGGTCGAATACGAAGACCTCCCGATCATCTTAACGATCGAGGAAGCCGTCGCAGCGAAGTCGTTCTTCCAGTCGTACGACAGGCGGATGTCGCGCGGCAAGCCCACCTCGACCGCTCTCGCCGAGTCTGAATGCACCCTCTCGGGCACGCTCCGCATGGGAGGTCAGGAGCACTTCTACCTCGAGACGATGGCGTCTCTTGCGATCCCCAAGCTCGAGTCGGGCGAGATGGAGGTCATCGCGTCTACTCAGGACCCGACCGGTACCCAGCGATGGGTCGCGCAGGCGACGGGAGTGCCGCGTAACCGCATTGTGGCCAAGAGCAAGCGGATGGGAGGAGGATTCGGAGGAAAGGAGAGCCGTACGGCCATGGTGAGCGAGCCCTTCCCGCTCGGAAGGCCTCTCTATCGCCTCCGCCCCGCTGACCTGACTTATTCGCTCTCTTGCAGCTCTCGGCAATCTGCGCCGTCGCAGCAAAAAAGCTCCGTCGACCAGTCCGCTGCATGCTCGAGCGACACGAGGACATCAAGATCTCGGGCCAGCGGCATCCGTTCCTCGTCGAGTGGAAAGTCGGCTTCACCAAGGAGGGCAAGCTCACCGCGCTCGACGCCGACCTGTACGCCAACGGCGGCTACTCGCTCGATATCTCGGGAGGAGGTGAGTTGCGCATTCGGTCTTTGAGGCGAAAGATCCGGCTGACCCAGCATTCCCTCGCAGTCGCGGACCGCGCCATCGCCCACGCCGACAACGCTTACTACATCCCGAACGTGGACGTCAGGGCGAAGATCTGCAAGACGCACACCGTCTCGAACACGGCCTACCGCGTGAGGACCGCCTCGCACCTCATCCTTACCGAACAGCCCGCTGACCTGCTCCGTCTTCATCTCGCAGGGCTTCGGCGGACCGCAAGGCATGCTCATCGCCGAGACGTACATCGAGGCTATTGCCGCTCATCTCGGTCTCGACGTCGACACCGTCCGCGAGATCAACCTTTACAAGGAAGGTCAGGAGACGCAGTACCACCAGGCCGTTGTCGACTGGCACGTCCCTCGGTTGCTGCAGGACTGCAAGCGCGACAGCGACTACGAGGCGCGGAAGAAGGAGGTCGAGCGCTTCAACCAGGAGCACCGCTTCCGCAAGCGCGGTCTCGCTCTGGTGCCGACCAAGTTCGGCCTCGCATTCGGCGTCAAGGCGATGAACCAGGGTTCTGCTCTCGTCTCGATTTACGTGGACGGCTCGGTCCTCGTGGCGCATGGCGGGACGGAGATGGGTCAAGGGCTCTACACGAAGTGCGTCCAGATCGCCGCCGAGGAGCTCAAGATCCCCCTCGAAGCCGTCTTCACATCCGAGACCGCAACGAACACCGTCGTCAACACCGTTCCGACCGCCGCTTCGGCCGGCTCCGACCTGAACGGCTACGCGGTGCTCAAGGCGTGCCAGGAGCTGAACGAGCGGCTCAAGCCGTACCGCGAGAAGCTGGGTCCGGAGGCGCCGATGTCGGCGCTCGCTGCCGCCGCTTGGGGCGACCGGATCAGTCTGAGCGCAACCGGCCACCATGCGACTCCGAACCTCAACTATGTCTGGAACGTCCAGGAGAAGACGGGCGATCTGTTCCACTAGTGCGCCCTTTCGTCGCTCTTTGATCGATTTCAGTGACTGACTCGCCGTTACCTGCAGCTTCACGCAGGGCGTCGCTGCAGCCGAAGTCGAGCTGGACCTCCTGACGGGCGACTCTACCGTCCGCCGCGTCGACATCAAGATGGACGTTGGTCGATCGATCAACCCCGCCATCGACTACGGACAGATCGAAGGCGCCTTCACGCAGGTGCGTTGCGGCTGAAAGATGCTGACCCGCACCTTGGCTGATTCCTCCCTTACCGTCTCGCAGGGCATGGGCTGGTCGACCATGGAGGAGAGCTTGTGGGTCCGCAACGGCGCCATCTTCACGACTGGTCCCGGCGCATACAAGATCCCCGGCTTCGCCGACACTCCGCAAGTCTTCAACGTCTCACTCTTGCGCGACGCCGAGTGGCCGAACTTAGGCAGCGTGCACAGCTCGAAGGGTATCGGAGTGCGTACACCCTGCTCCTACTACACTTCCAGCTCTGCTAATCCGTTCCTTTGCGACGCTTGCAGGAACCGCCCTTCTTCCTCGGCTGCTCCGTCGCCCTCGCGCTCCGAGACGCGCTCAAGTCCGCCCGCTCCGACGCCGGCATTCCCCCTACCGACGTGCAAGAGTTCCGCTACCCTCTCACAAGCGAGCGGTTGCGCATGGCGGTCGGCGACAAGTTGGCGAAGAAGGCGGAGGTCAAGCCGAAGGAGGGTGAGGAGGGCAAGGGCTTCTTTGTTTGCATCTGAGGGGACGTCGCGCGTTCTTGGTTACTAGCTCTCCAATCTCTGTCGCATGCGTTTCGTACACGCAATCTAGCTGTTGTTTTCTTGCGCAGTCTTGCATGCCGACTAGAGGAAACGGCTACTGGGCTATGCATGGGAGCACGCGGTTGTCTCAAAGGCTCAAAACAAATGAAAGCGAGCGCAATGAGTGGTTACAGGCACAGCTGGAACGGCCAAGGAGTACAGGAGAAAGGGTATCATCGTCTACGTTGCGGTGTCACTCTCCGAGGTGCTTCTTGACCGCCTTGAGGACGCTGTCCTTCGACGGATCTGCAGGAAGGCGATGTCAGACGTCTCGCATCCAGTCGAAGCGGAGAGCACCGAGCAGCGCACCGTAAGGGTGATCCTTGGCTGGGATCTCTAGCAGCGCAGGGAAGGCCTGCTGATACTTCTCAATCGTTGGTCGAATCATCTCGGCAACCTGTAAGACGCGAAGGTCAGGCAAAGCGGATCTTGGTGTAGAAGGAGCGGGTCTCAGGCGGACATGCTGGTTGATGAGGAGGATGGCGATATCGCTTCGCTCGGTGAACTCGGCAAAGGCAGACTCGATGGTCGATACCGGTGTCTCTGTGCGGAGTGGAAGGCGAGAGAGTCAGCCCAATCGCGGCAGGAGAAACGGACCTCATTGGGACGCACTCGAATCGACGACCAAGAAGTTCTTCTTGCCTCGCCCGTCGATGTGTCCCGTTCCCGCCAGCAGCAATCCCGTGATCGTGTCCTGCCCGTGTCCACCGCGCAAAGTGACCGTGAGAGTGAGATGACGGTGCAGTGATGAGGTTCGAGAGGGAGCGAGCGAGCGATGTCAGCACAACGGGGCGACGCGGAAGTTGTACGGCAGCGCACTTCGTCTCCAATGGTGGCGATCAGACTCCGGTCGCGGTACTGCGTTGCGTTGGACATGCTGGTGGACGGCGAGGAGCACCACTCGACTCTCTCGCCTCGACTTGTTGCTCGCTATGGCTGTAACTGCTGGCAACGGCACTGTTGCGACTGCTGCGAACGGTGTCAGGACCGTCAAGCTCGCCTGGTCGCACAGCAACGAGCTCGACGCCGAGTCGCCCCTCGTCGCCCTCGGGAGGACTGGAGACGAGTTCGTGCTCGTTGTTGCCGATCAGAAGTCGCGGGACGAGCGGGAGTGTGACCCTTTCATCAGGGCGCTCAGCGTCATGGTCAACGAGGACCCATTCCCGGGCTGGAGCATGGACAACCGCCAGATGATTTGGTACGTCCCCCTCGTCCCCTCTTTATTCGCCAGCCACCCGAGTCTTTCGTCGTGTGCAGGGTCAAGACGTACTCGGAGAACGATGGCCTGCTGCCGCAGCTGGAGAAGGAGGGCTGGTTGCGACCGTGGGTCCCGTTTCTCTCCTCCTTCCTTTGCTAAAAGCTGATCCCTTGTCTCGTGTAGCGTCGGATCAACTATCAAGCAGGGTTTCGTAACGCTACCACTCGCCGAGGTCATGTTGAGCGACACTGAGATGGTCCAGCGCTGCGCCCTGTGCGAGGCATGGGAGTCGACCGAGACTAAGGAGCGGTTCAAGCGGTGCTCGACCTGCAAGAGGCGCTACTATGTACGTTCATCTTGTTTGTCGCCTTGGAAGCGCGCACTGATGCGTTTTGCTTGCAGTGCTCGACCGAAGTCAGTTCGGCACCTCCCCTCGCAGCAGGCCTCCTTCGCTCCTTCTCGTCTTGCTGACCCGCTCACGTCTCGCCTGCAGCATCAACACCAACATTGGCCGAAGCACAAGAAGGACTGCAAGGACCTCGTCAAGGGCCGACTCGCCGATGTCGAGAATCGGCGACGAGAAGCAGGATACGTCCCGCCCAAGCCGGCAGATCCAGAGGGCGAGAAGATTGTCGAGATGACCGAGTGAGGCTCTCTCGCCGCACACGACAGCGTCGCAATCTCTTCCTTCTCTCGACCTCCCCCCTTTTCCCTTCAAAGACGTCCGCGGATGCTCCGCCAGCACACTCCGCTCCTGTCACGCTTTTCGCCTCTTCCCTCTCAATCGGCTCGACACCTTCGACCAATCCAGTTTCGCCACGATGGCGGACTATCTGGTCAAACTCGCCACTCCGACTCAATGCGCGACCCAAACCATCTCGTGGTCGGGAGGTGCTGGCGCGAAGGTGAGCAGCCTCGCGCACTTCTTCGGCTATGCGCTGGACCGGCAAGACAGAGCTGACGAGCTGTTTCTGCAGGCGCTGTCGATATTCGTGCAAGGACAGGGTTGGTTCGCCGAGCAGCTGTCGAACAACTTGACGGATACGCTGGGCTCGATCAATTGGACTTGCGGTCCGTCCTGGATCCCTTCCCACACTTTCTCCAGCAGGACTGACGCATTCCCTCGCACGAACAGACATCCCCGCTGGCGCCTTCATCGCCTTCGAGCTCTACTCAATGCCGGACGCGAAGAACCACTTCACGACCGGCTTCTTCCAGGTGCAGCAAGGCACGACGGGCGACTGCATCGGAAAGAACGGTGGACAGCTAGCGGCGGACAAGATGTCGACCATCTACAATTCGCTCACGAGCGCGAATCCCCAACTCTTCACCTACCCAGCGTGCGTCTCTTCTCGGCCTGGAGTGGGATGAACTTCCCTTTGCGAAGGGCGCTCCACTTTTGCAGAGCTCTGCGGTGGGAAGGCTGGTTCGCTGACATCGCTCTCGCCTGCAGCACTTCCTCCTCGGCAACTCCGACCTCCTCATCCTCGTCTCCGACTACCGCTGCCCCGTCCTCCTCCTCCTCCGCCGCGCCTTCCGCTACTGCAGCGTCCGGTAAGAGCACCAGCACCGGAGCGCTCGTCGGCGGAATCGTCGGAGGCGTTGCCGGACTCTGCGCCCTGTTCGCGCTCCTGCTCTTCTTCTTCCTCCGTAGACGCCGCGGCTCGTCATACGATGGACAAAGCACAGTCCCGCCGAGCGAGAAGACGTCGCCAGCACCGGTAGGCGGAGCGGGTGGAGTCGCGACATGGAGGAATCGCGTGCAAGACGGCCGACCTCCTTCTGCCTGGACTCGGCGCAGCAGGCTCTTCTCGATTGGCACAACGCAGAATGGCGGACCTCTCAGCGAGTATGCCCCCACGGTCCCGGCCGCCTTCCCCAGTACCGCCAGTCCACCTCACCAAGTCCCGACGCCCTCGCAAGGTCCGCGTGAAGGCGTACCCGAAGTTGGCGAGTCGAGCGATTACTCGAGCAGTCGTCGCGCACCACCAGCCATCTTCTCCGCCGTGCCAGCTCAGCGCGGTGGACTCGCGTCGCACCCTCTCTCGCAGGAGGAAGAGGCGCTCCTCCACTCGGCGCCGAGGGTCACGCCGTACCAGCAGCAGGAGACGCCAAAGTCGCCGCCTGGTCGACTGCCGACGCCCGGAGCTGCGACGGCTTTCGGTGGAGACGGCACGGCGAGTGAGGGAGGCGAACGGTGGTCGACAATCCCGTACACCAGCTACGGACGGTGAGGCGGCGGTCTCTACGTATCTTCTCCTTCAGTCTGTGTTAGTAACTATCGCTGAGGAATTGTCTGAGTTCGCTAAGCCCTGTGCGCCTCTTCCTTGCGAAAAGAGAGGAGAATGGCCCTTGTCCCTGCCTCCTTCTCGAGTTCCGCTTGCAGGCTGCATTCCTGTCACCTCCAAACGAGCTTCTGGACAGGCTCGTCGTCTTCCCCTGCGAGATCAAGTCGTCTCCGACGTTCGTCTCCTCCTCTTCTTCCCTTCATCGACGACGGCGCGCCATGCCCTCGCCCCGCTTGAGACCGTTCGTTGGCTCGTTGAGACCGCTCTTTACTCCCTTGCAACCCCAGCTACGCCGCTACTCGACTCCATCGACTCCAGTCGCCCGCCGTTCGCTGGTTGACATCGCTCTCATCGGGGTCGCTGGAGCAAGCGCAGTGGGCTGGATGGTCTGGCGCAACAGAACGAAGGAGGAGGAAGTTGTCGAAGGCGACGCAGCGAGCTTTACAATTCCTGTTCTCGCGCAGTGAGTCTCTTCTCTCCTGAGCAAGGTGGGGCTTGCGTCACAAAGCGCGGCAAGGGCGACTGCCGGCGTGTCAAGAGCAGGGTGACGCTCTCAGCACAGGCCCGGATGAGCTGCGGGTTCACGGAGCTGACGAGAGGACCGTCACTCCTTTTCGATGCCTCACCCTCGAGGAGGATCGGATCGAGCAATCCGGCTGGAAGGGGGCGGCAGGTCTCCGCACACGATCAGCGTACTGAACAGAGCTACGTCTCCACGCAGAACCGGCACACCCGGCACAAAAACCCTCACCCGCCTAACCCCGTCCGAAACGAACGCTCGCTTGAAGGAGAACGAGGCATCGTTCGCTGTCCAGCGACGAAACAATCCCGTCATCAGGTACGACACCAACAACCTCGCATCCAACTCGCCCATCGAAGACGACTCGTGCTGCGTCATCCTCGAGCGAGACCACTCGAGCAAAGTTCAAGGCGACCTCATCTTCTTCGGCGTTTTTGACGGACACGGCGGCTGGCAGACCTCTCGACTACTTTCCTCGTCGCTCGTCTCGTACGTCGCGAAGGAGCTAGACCTCGTCTTCCGCGGCTCCGACACCTACCTCTCCCTCCTTGACCCAAAACCCACTCCCTCCGGCTCGTCCCTCTGGTCCCTCTTCGGCGGCAAATCGAACGACGCGCCGAAACCCCAGCTCGACGTGCACGACCCGATCATGCAGCAAGCGATCAAGAACGCCTTTGGCAAGATGGACCAGGAAATCGTCTCGGCGCCTATCCGGCTACTCGAAAAGCTGCAGAAGGAGGGCAAGCTGCCGGACATGAAGCAGGGCGGGATCGGGATCGAGCAGTCTGAGGCGCTCAATACGCTCTTGCCGGCGCTGAGCGGCAGCTGCGCGTTGTTGGCGTTCCTGGATGCGGGGAGGAACAAGCTGCATGTCGCGTGTACGGGTGATTCGAGGGCGGTGATGGGTGTCTGGGTACCGGACGGTCAGGGCGGAGGTCAATGGCGGGTCGAGCCCTTGAGCGAGGATCAAACTGGGCGAAACCCGTCAGAAGTCGCTCGGTGCGTTCGCGGGTCATCCTTCTCGGCGTCATGGGCTTGCCATGTAGCTAGTGTTCATTCGGTTGCTGCCAGCCGTACTGACATTTCCCGACTCGCAGTGTCCAGAGCGAACACCCCGCGAACGAAGTCGACACCGTCATCAGCCGCGGACGCGTGCTCGGCGGTCTCGAGCCGACGAGGGCGTTTGGCGACGCGCGCTACAAGTGGCCGCCTGGGACGCAGCAGAAGCTCGCGAACGCCTTCCACCCTGGTTCCGTCCGCGGTCCGCCTCGAAACTACCACACGCCTCCATACGTGCGTTCGCGTCTCTTCGGTTCGTCCACTGTCAACGAGCTTACCACACGTTCTTCGCAGGTTACCGCAACGCCCGAAGTCGTCACGGTCGACCTTTCCGCGGAACGCCCGAAGCGAGCCCGAAAGTCGATCGGCTCGTTCCTCCCCGTCTCCAGCCCTGAGGAACCTCCCGCAACCCGCTTCATCGTCCTGGCGACAGACGGGCTCTAGTGCGTTGCGCTCCCTCACTTCCCAGTTTCGTCCTTCCCGCTCACACGCTCGTTCCCCGCAGCGACCGACTGGACAACCAGGAGATTGTCTCACTCGTCGGCGCCCACCTCTGCGGCTTGCGCGGCGACCAGACTCGCCAAGCCGTCCTCTCGAACTCGGTCGACCCAACCGCGGTTTCCGGCCCGCACAACTCGCACGCGCCACGGCAGCAGCCTACGCGCGGAGAGGGCGAGGTGTTCACGTTCGAGGATGGGAATCTGGCGACGCACTTGATTCGGAACTCGCTGGGCGGGGCGAAGAGGGAGCAGGTTTCGGTTCTGTTGAGTGTGCCGGCGCCGCTGAGTCGGAGGTACCGCGACGATGCGAGTCGCTCTTTCTCTCCTTTCTATTTTTGTCGACACTGACCGCTGTCTGCATGCGCAGATCACCTGCACGGTCATCCTCCTCGGCGACGCGTCCAAGGACGGCGAGGGGGGCAGCGGCGGCGTGTACAGGCGCGAGGAAGGGTTCGAGACGCCTCTCAAGGCCAAGCTGTAACGACTGAACGTGTATCGCTCCGAGCGGAACAGGCTGTGACCATGCGAGGAGCTGCGGCCGAAGCAGCGTACGGACAGGTTCGCTCCGCACGATCTCGACTCGCTGATGGCGAGCGCATCGCGCGACATCATGTACCGAATCGAGTGTTGCACGCCACCGTCCCTGAAAGTTGTATCACAGCTGGCCCGGCGATATGGAAAAGAGGAAGAGAAGGAGATGTAGCGGGAACAGAAGAAGGGGATATCGAGCAGCGATGTGCTTATTGGGCGGCCTTGACGGCAGCGGCAGCGGCTGTGTGGGAGTGACGGGTCAGCGTATCAACAACAATACGGGACGAAGCCATTGGGAAGAGCGAACGCACCCTCGTCAAGGTTGTCGTAGGCAAAGATCTTCATCTTCGAGTTGCGGATGAGCTCCTTGGCCTCCTGCTCCTTGGTGCCTTGCAGGCGAACGATGAGGGGGATGGTCATCTCCAACTCCTTCGCCGCCATGATGATGCCCTCGGCGATAACGTCGCAGCGCATGCTGAGGGAAGCGCGCACACGGGTCAGCGGGTCTGTGCGGACGGGAGAGAGCCACTGCTGACTCACATGCCACCAAAGATGTTGACAAAGATCGACTTGACAGCGCCGTCCGCAAGCAAGAGCTCGAACGCCTTCTTGACCGCTTCGGCCGTCGCTCCTCCACCGACGTCGAGGAAGTTGGCGGGCGAACCGCCCTGGAGGTTCAGGACGTCCATGGTGGCCATGGCGAGACCGGCGCCGTTGACGAGGCAGCCGATCGAGCCGTCGAGCTTGATGAAGTTGAGGCCGTACTTGGCCGCCTCGACCTCGGACGACGCCTCCTGCGTCAGGTCGCGGAGCTTGAAGACGTCCTGTGCGAGCGTGATCCCAAGTAAGCGCAGCGTCGACGCACTTCAGGACGCTTTTCACCTCGGCGGGAGGCGGAATCGTCCAGCGTGAACGATCGAGGAGTGCGCACCTGCTGCCTGAACTCGGCGTTCTCGTCAAAGCCCAACTTCGCGTCCATGCAGAGCACATCGCCGCCCTCGACCTCGGCAAGCGGGTTGATCTCGACCTGGGTCGCGTCCTTCTCCTTGAAGAGCTTGTACAGGTTGATGAAGATGTTGGCCGCCTTCTCCTGCGACTCGGGCTTGAACTCGAGCTTCTTGGCAATGTCCAAAGCGAGCTCCTTTGAGAGACCCTCCTCGAAGGGAATGGGGGTGGTGACAATGGCCGAAGGGTCGTCGCGCGCAACGTCCTCGATGCTGTCGCGGGGCGGGAGCGTCAGCAAACAGATCGCTGGGGATCCTTGCGAGCCTGACGCACTTCATACCGCCCTGACGAGACGCAACGAGGGCGGGACCGCCGAGGCCGCGGTCGTTGAGGATGGCGACGTAGTACTCGTGCGTGGGGTTTCGTCGCTCGGCAAGCATGATCTGTGCACACACGAGGCGTCAGCATTGGCTGTCGAAGTCGCGATGGGGACTCGAGACAACACACAGCGTTACAGATGCGGCCCGCGGCGCCCGTCTGCTTGGTGATGAGCTTGTGGCCGATCATCTGAGACGCGTACTTCTCCGCCTGCTCCGGGCTGTACGAGAACGGGCGTTAGGACAGCTGGCGGAGGAAGGGAAGCGAGCTAATACGCACGAGTCGACCATCTGGACACCACCCTTGAGACCGTTCGGGCCGTCAAAGTGACCCTTTCCGCGACCGCCAGCGAGCACCTGTGCTTTGATGACGAGCTTGTCGGCGCCTGTGTGCGTACAGACGGTCAGCACGAACGAAGGAGCCCTGTCAGAGGGAATGTGCCCTCACCGAAGTTCTGCGCGACCTCCTTTGCCTCGCTCGCCGAGAATGCCGCCTTTGATTTGGGGGTCGGTACATCGTACTGAAAGCGTTGCCGAAGCGGGTCAGCGTCCACGGTGCGAGTGAGGCCCGCAAAGGAGCTCGTCACGTTCGGGGAGATGAGAGGACGCACCTGGTTGAGGAGGTTCATCGAGAGGTACTCGTGGATGCTGAGGTTGCGGCGCTGGTTGGCGACAGAAGGCTGCGTGTCATGGCAGTCACAGCGCACAAGCAAGGCGAGCAGGAGGGTCAGTACGCTGTGAGCGGTTCGGAGAGGGCCGGTCGAGGACGAGCGGGTGAACGCATCGAGGCGGGACAAGCGTGGCTGACCTTGAGCGCCTTTGAGCGGGTTGCTGTGCGGAAGCTGGACGCGAACATGGCTGCGCAATGTCGAGGAGTGACGAGGACGAACGAGGACACCAGCGGAGGACTGCACTTCCGGGTTGGCATCGTCCACTCCGCTCGATTCTCGCTGTTCGATGGTCTATGTGCTGCTTCGAAATGCTACAAGTGTCTACAACTGGTCCCGCCAGCTTCCGCCAACCCGCACGCTCCAACCGCGGCACTGTCCTCCTCGAGGCCGACTTGGCTGGCCTGGACGTGCCAATGTCGTCTCCTAGGCGATACCTGCTGCTCGAGCGCGGTCTACTACTCGGTCCTTACCCACGAGACCCACGCCTAGTTCACCAACGCCGTCATGACCATCTCAAACACCCCCAACTCCTTCTCCGCATCCTTCGGATCCGTTTTGACCGGCTTGCCATGCACGACCGCCTCATACAGCTGCTCAAGCTCGAGCGTGTAGGCGTCCTTGTATGTGGGGCGGATCGTGCGCGAGGAATAGTGGCCGGAGGAATCGGTTTCCTTGATCTCGAGCGTGATGGGCAGGCCTTTGACGTAGGGCTGCACGGCCGGCGGTCAGCTACGAGCTGAGATTCCTGAGTTAGGGAGCTGCGCACCGTGTCGTACGCCAGCTTCAGCCGCTTGTTATCCCCAAACACCTCGATATGCGCATCAAAGTCCGCAACTTCATCAATACCCGTCTCGTACTTCGCCGTAAAGTCGCCATAGTCAAACAGCGCCGAGATGAATGGCGTAGCGTCGCCCTGCGACCGAGTCGCAGCGATACACCGTTTAGGCACGCCAAAGAGTTCACGCATCGCAGAGAGGTCGTGCGAGCCGAGTGAGCCGAGGAGGCGGTAGGTCGCGACCTCGCGCTCTGATTTGGCTTGGGATGGAGAGAGGGCGGAGTTGGCGATCTTGCGGGCGCGGGAGAGGCGGTCGGAGGAGGCGTCGGCGGGAAAGTCGGAGAAGGTGACGGGGAAGGACTGCGGATTTGAGTGCGGTCTTAGCTATCCCTACAACGAACAAGCATGCTCCGCGGCACTACGAGAAAGCGAGGGCAAGGGGCAGGAAGCGAAGCAGAGAAAGCGAGACGCACGCCTGACTGGTTGACGAAGAAGTGGTTCTTCCAATCCACCACGATTAGCGGGCTGCTCGGCGGAAAGAAAGTCGCAAGAAGGAGCCCACATGCCCAATGATGTCCCGCACAGTCACGTAGCGGATCTTGTTGACGCTCTTGAGCTCCTCCTTCATCCGCTCGAAGGCGCCTGCATAGCGTCGCATGTAGCCGACGAAGATGACGACCTGTACCCTCGTCGACAATCGTCAGCTCGTGCAGCCCAGGACACGAGTTGAGCGCTATAGCGGGGCCCGGGAGGACGACAGCGCACCTTGTTCCGTTCTTGCGCGTCGATGATAGCCTGCGCGTCTTCCCGCGTCAAAGCCATCGGTTTCTCTGCATCATCGAGACTCCATGAGTGACAGTCGAGCTCTAAAGAGGAGAGGCGACGCACCAATGAAGACGTGCTTGCCAGCATCTGCTGCGGCAACAGCGTGCGAAGCCTGTCCATCGCGACACGTCCAGTTCTTCGACGTTCCTACGACTTGAAAGTTTTAACGCACATGGTACTCGTCTGCGGAGAGCACGAAAACGACGTCCACCTCCGGATCCTTGACGAGTTGCGTGCTGTCCGAGCCGCAAAACTGCGTGTCAGCGTCGCCTGTCCTGTCCAATTCAGAGTCCCCTCAACTGACATGTTGCTGTACGTCTTCTCGGTTCCGAATTTGGTCGCGCAATGCTGCAAGAGGCCGGGGGAGACGTCGCAAAGGGCCGTGACTTTGTAGAGGTGCGAGAGGAGGGCGAGCGTTGGCAGGTGGGTGGTCTGTAGGATATCAAGGCGTCAGCGTCGTATGCTCCTGAATGTCATCTCCCTTCACGTGTCACTCTTGCGCCCGTCAAGAGTCTGCACTCCGTCGGATCCAGCGAAAAGGAGGACGGACGCACCTGAGCGACCTCACCGCACCCGACGATGCCAATGCGCAGAACAGGAGCCATCAGTCCTCGAGTCGAGCAGCACAAGCCAGCAACCTGAACGAGCGAGAGGAAGGCGAGTGCAGCGAATGACGCTGGACGCCCCACAGGCGTGCGCGAACGAGGGCGAGCATTACAAAGTAAATTGTAATCACCGAATAGAAAGCCAGCTTGAGGGGGGGGGCGCGGGAGAAGCTGTCTCAGATCGAGATGCGAGAAGCGAGCAGGCGAGAGGCGGAGCAGGAGGAGCGGCGAGACGGAGCTCGCTGGCGATATGCTGAGGCATGTAGCTCGATAGCGGGTAGAAGAGCGCCTCGCAAAAGCCAAACGAAGAAGCGCTGTCGCGCATGCTTTTTCCCGAGGCCACACCTCTTCAGTCTACGTACTCGTCGCCTCGCCTCGTCCCGCTCTATGCCTCCTTCTTGGCCGCCGAAGGACGGGGCACCGTCTTCCTCCTCCTGCCACCAACCTTGCCCATGCCCTCAATCCCCCTGCCCTGCTTCTTCCCGCCCTCCTCTCCTCCGCTAGTCGCCTCCTCGCCGCTCGTCGCGCCCGCCTCGTCCGCCGAGACGGTAGGCTTGCGGTAGGTCTTCTTCGGGCCGGTGGACTTCTTTGCCGCGAGCGAGGTGGAGGAGGGAGAGTAGCCGAGACGCTGAAGGACGAGGCGGGGGAGCCAGGTGTCGCGGAGGGCGGGCTTGACCGCGAGGTCCTCTGTCAGAAGGTTCTCTGCGGGGATGCGAGAGTCAGCTCGCACCAAGCTAGACAAACGGGAGGAAGCCGGCTGCAAGCCCAGTGGCAGGCCCCGAAGAGCCGGGCAGGCCAAGCGGACGCACCCTTCCTGTTCTCGACGATGAAGACGTTCTCGCCCTCCACGACCATCTCGATCGTGCTGCCGGGCGGCGTGGGCTTGCCGTTGTTGACGCCAGGCATGCCAAGCGGGTCACCCTGGTCGCTCGTCTTGACCTTGAGTTTCTTCTTCCCCTGCTGCGGCTTCTTCGTCGGGCCCCACGCCGCCTCGAGCGCCTGCGTCCTGAACGCCGCGATGCGCATCTTGCTCAAACGGAATGAGAGGTACAGGAAGACATAGTGGATGAAGATGGAGAAGACGGTGAGGCCCGCGACGACGGCGCCGAGTCCGGGGCGGTACCGCGAGTAGTAGTAGCCCGTGCCGCGCCAGCGCGGAACGCCGTTCTCGTGGAAGTGGTCGTAGCGCTTGCGCTTCTCGGCGTCGCGTAGGATCTCGGCGATCACGCCCAGGCGGGCGAAGCGGTCCGCGACCTTCTTGTTGTTGGGGTTCTTGTCGGGGCTGCGGGTGCGAGAAGTGACGTTGGAAGCGAGTCGAGTCAGCCAATGGACGAGAGTTGTGGCCTGAGCGAAAGAGACGCCAGCGCAAAGAAAGAGAACGCACTGCAACTCGAGCGAGCGCTTGCGGATGGCCTTGTTGAGCGCCTTCTCGTCGACCGCCTTGGTGACATTGAGGTACGAGTCTGCACGAGTGGAACAAGTGCTGAGGGTCAGCTCCGCCGCACGCGACCTGAGGGTGAGAGGGCGACACGCACAGAAGTTGGTTCCCTTGCCCTCTGCAGCCTCGAGCGCAGACACCAGGTCAAAGATCTCGTGGTCTTCTGCAGTCCAGGCGAGCGCCCTGCGTCCCACGGTCGGAAACACACGCGCAAGGTCAGCGAGACGCGTCGACGAGATGGGGAGGTGGAGGGCGCACGGAGAAGCGAGGGCGGCGAAGGCAGCTGCGCCGGCGAGCAGTGGAGTCAAGCGCATCCTGGAAGAGTCTGACTGGCTCACAGCAGCGAGTGCCGTTGAGTGAGGAGGAGAGCCTCGCGGTCGATGGGTTGGATGCGTACACTCACCTCGACATCGCCAGAGCCTGCTTCTGGACCGCTTGAGTGACCTGCTGGGCTGCGTTGGACCGTTCTCTGCACGCCGCACGCTCCTCCCGCTCGAAGCAGCCCGTCTCGTCTCGTTCCCGTCGCCCCACCTTCCATCTCGCTCGCTCTTCTCACACCCCATCGCACGCGCCGGCGAGGGCATCAGGAGACTTGTCAAATTGCAGCTGTCACGGTAGACAGGCAGATAGGATGCTCACGCAGGGCGACGGTGCGTTTCCCCTCTCTCGACCGCGGGTTCGGCTATCTTTGGGATCGCGAGGCGCGCAGGAATAGCCAGGCGAGGTGCGATAGAGCGAAGGCAGCGTTCAGGACTCTATGGGCAGGACGATGGGAAGAAGCGAAGGGCGACGGAGAAGACCAAACTGACCTCGCTCTCCTCGCACGCCTGCAGTCGTCCGCCTCTTCACGAAACCCGAACCTCCCCCTCAGCAAATCGCCTTCTCCATCCTGCACGCCTACACATGGTCGAAAGCGCGGCGAGGCAACCTTCCCTCCGAGATCCTCGGCAAGCTCCTCTCCATCGTCCGCAAGCTGCACCAGAAAGGCGGCCATGCCCTCTCGCCCAACTCGCCTATCCTCGCCGCGTTCGAGGCGATCAAGACGCAGTTGATGGCTGTCAATCGCAAGTGGCTGCAGATGGGCGCGCAGGCGTTTGGTCCGCTTGGAGCGATTGGAGCGACGGGAGGACACCCAGACGCGAAGTGGGCGTGGACGAAAGCGACAGACGGGCTGGTGAAAGACTTTCCCGACGGCGACGGATCAGGGGCGATGGGATGGGTACCGGGCGAGCTGGACGCAGGACGAATTGTCGGACCCGAGTTTACCGACTCGGCGGATCCCTTCGCGTCGCTGTATCGCAACGGCCAAATCCCGCCTACCGACGTCGACTTGAATGCACCGCCAGGGTACGACGGTCCGCCTCAGCCGGACGACGAGGTGGTGCAGGCGCTCAACGACCGGATCAGGGACGACGCAGCCGGCGTGCACACGCCAAATCGGGATTCGGTCGACGAGGACGCACTGCGGCATCGAGTTGGCGGGTCGACCAGTCCATCGCCGCCGCGGGATCACATTGACGAGGGTGCGGCACACCTTGCACGGCTGCGCCGGCTCAAGGAGGAGAAGGAGGCCCAGGAGGCAGCGCGGGAACAGTCGGCCGTCAAGACGTGACGGGTGTGTTCTCCTGCGCGTCACGCTATTATACAGAATTGAGAATTGCACCAACAGGAGCTGCGCTTTGGACGACAAGTCGCAACTACGAGGACAACGCCGGCCGGAAACTTATCCCCTCTCTTGTTGTCGGTATCATTACCCGCCCTGCGCCCACATTTCTTCTATGTTATCTCGCAACGAAGCATCGACTGACCCACTTCAAGCACAAGGGCTCCCGCTCTCGTCTCGAGCACCTTTCGATCCGGCGAAGAGACCTGCTTCCGCTCCGCTGCTTCCGAGCGGCTCGCTCCTTTCTGGACCGAGCTATTGTAGTCAACGAGTCCAATGGAGAGCTCTTTACCTTTAGCGGAACACTTCGCCCTCGAGACCCTTCCCCTTTCTTCACGCACAACCTGCGACTCCGCTCGTCTCGCTCAGGACTCCCGCTTGACTGGCCAAACTGCTTGCTTGCGATCCACTCTACATCGGACATCACTCGCCCGCTCCTCCCGCGTCTTCGCTCGTCTCACTCGGCGACCCCACACCGCCTCTTCCCGCCGTCAACCTCGTCTCTGGCCAGCTCCTCGCATTCTAATAGCCGGTGAGCAGGCCCACTTACTCATACAGAGCATTCGCACCGCTGACAGCTGCTCCGAACCCTCCAGTCGACCGTCTCTACGTCACCCACCTCCCCTCTTCTCCTCATCAGCCGAAAGAAATGGACAACCCCGTCAACGACATCCGCCGCGTCGTGAGCGAGCTGTGCGAGCCGGACGACGCGAGGGAGATGGTTGCCGCGGTGGACAAGTACTTCACGGACGACGCGAGGTTCATTTGTGCGTTGCGGAACGGCTTCTTTGCGGATCGTTCTGCTGCGGGAGGAGGAGGAGCCGCTAAGAGGGTATCCAATTGCGCAGACCCGCTTCTGAACTCTCCGAAGGGGTCCGGCAAGGAAGGCATCAAGGCGGCGTACAAGATGCTCCGCGGTCCGTCTCCCTCCTTCCTCCCTTTCTCCCCTCTCCTCTCTCTCCTGCTGACCCTTTCTCGACGCAGTCCTCAGCTACGGGCAGAAGTTCACCTTTCACGCTGTCGGCTTCGACCGCAAGAGCGTCAGCAAGGGCGTCGAGCGCCAAAAGGGCTTTCTCGACTTGACGGAGCACTTGAAGTTCAAGTTCATTCCATTGCCCGATAGGTTGAATCCGGTGAGCTCGCTGGTCAATTCTCTGCTGCGGCTCGAATCGCCTGAAGCGGCTCGCACGCGCTCTGGAGTGACCTTCGTCTTACGCTTCGTCTCCCCGCCGCACGCAGACGTTCCACATCCGGTTCCTCACCCGCGTCGACCTCGTCAAAGGCCACGACGACAAGTGTGCGTGTGCCCTCCGATCGCTCTTGGCAGAAGTGCCTTTCTATCGGGAGTTCTGCTGATCCATGCACCTTGGGCCGTCCGCACAGGGTACATCGAAAAGCAGGAAGACTCGCTGCCGAGCGACTACGGCTCGACTGGGTTCGTACTGCACCTCCCTGTCCCGCGGAAGAGACGTACTGACGAGCGAAGTTCGACCGCGCAGCCTCCGCCTCTTCCCGTTCGACGTCGAGATTTCCAACTTCATCAAGGTGCGCGTGCGCCCTCGCTAATCTTCCTTCGCTCGATGATGAGCTGCACGGTAGCTTATGATCTTGTGGCGCATTCCGCACAGTGGGTCACGGGCATGGGCACGCTCATCGTCGGCGGCACGCTCAACCGCTTCAACCTGCTCTGAGGGACGCAAGAGTTGCTCCTTCCCTCTCGACAATCTCTGGTAGACGCTTCGCTCCTTACTGTAGCCACCCCTTTGACTCCGCTTGCTTAGTCTCTCACGTTTCTCGTTCGTTGTGCATGTTGTAACGCATCGACTCTCGTCGGATCCCTCAACCCGCTTCGTGAGAGAGAGGATGTGCGCGAGTACTAGCGAGTTGCGGGGTTTGTACATGGTACAGATGCGGTGGAGGGTATCGAGGACGTCGAAGAGGGTTCATCGTTGGCGGATCACGACTGCAAACGATGGGGGTGGTCAGCTGGAGACGACAAAGCCGGAGGGAAGGTGAGCGCACTGTTGTTATCCCGCTGCCATTGCGCGAACGCCGATTCCTGCGCGGCCGAGCGAAAGAAAGGTAAGTATCTTCCCCTCGTCCGCAGCCTCGAAAACGCCCGCCAACCGCACCTTCGTCTTATACTGCCCCGTCAGCGTCTCCAATACCCCCTTGAGTTGCTCAAACTGTCCCTCAAGCTGGGGCAACACGTCCTTGACCGTCCGTTCGACCAGGACTCCGCCGACAAGGCGGAAACACTTTCGGTCGGGCGTGGATTGGTGCGCTTCTTGGAGGGTTTCGATGACGAGGCTGTGGTAGAAAGTGTGTGGGATGGTCAGAAAGTCGGAAAGAGCGGGAAGAGGAGGAGGGAGACAGACGAGTGCTCTTCTGCCTCTCGTTCGAGCTCCGTGATCTTCTGCAGGCAGCTCGAATAGGCGATCAGCGGGTTCTCCCGGTTAATATGAAGTCACTCGAGGTACGCACCTGCACCAACGCCTGCAACTCGCCCTGCCGCTGCCGCAACTGCACTGCGATCTCTGCGACGGGAAAGCGAGAGTGAGCGGGCGGGCGCGACACTCGGAGCTGGGCTGGACTACTAAGATGGCTCTGTGTAGTGCTCACCTTGGTCTGTCGGGGCCTTTGAGCCTGTGGAAGCCATGGGTGACGAGATGGACGAGGAGGAGAGGGTGGTGCGTGAGGAGGAGATGAAAGTTGACAACCTCGCTTGAAGACTGACGCGCACCTGGACAATTCCTGCGACACACTATTGAGTGGTACTGCAGCATTATCCAGCCAGTCTGTCGTAGTTGTGACTTCCCCTCGTCCTCACTGGCTCACCCTCATCGCCACCGCTCTCCCGCTCACCGCGCTCTGGTGCTCGCCTGGTCGACAGAGGGAACAGCTATGCAGGCTCAGATCGCACGCACGCTCGCAGGAGCAGCCGCGCCCCGCGCCGCCGCCGCCGTCACCGCCCGCTCGTTCGCTACCACCTCCGCCGCCCGCCTCGCGACACCCACGACCGGACCCGAGCAGGCAGGCAGGGCGCCGCCGCACTCCATGCCCGTCGAGAAGGCTCGCTACCAGACCGCCATCCAGACGCCCGACTACTCAAAGGGCCCCTCGGCGCTCGACAAGGCCGCCAGTCTCTTCTTCTTCTCCGAGATCGCTCGCGGTGCGTGCTGCCGTCCCGGTCCAGCTTACAGGCTTGCGCTGACCCGTGTTTGGGTTTCGCAGGTATGGCCGTTGTTTTGGAGCAGGTGCGCTCTGCCCGGAAGTGGCACCTCTTCGCTTGTTACGCTCGCTGACCTGTTCTTTCTGCGTGTTTGCTCTTGCTTGGTGACGACAGTTCTTCCGGTGCGTTGTGCGAAGCGGGGCGCGGCGCGGTGCTCGAACCTGAAGCTGACCTCGTTCCCCTTTCTCCAGCCCTCCCTACACGATCATGTACCCCTTCGGTTCGTCCCCCTCCCTCCCGCTCGCTCGATTCGAACAACGACTGACGCTCAGCTCGCGCTTGCAGAGAAAGGCCCGGTCTCGTCCCGCTTCCGTGGCGAACACGCCCTCCGCCGCTACGCCTCAGGCGAGGAGCGATGCATCGGTTCGTTCTGCTCCCGCTCCCTGCCACCCTTTTTATGCTGACAAGGTCCCACACACAGCCTGCAAGCTCTGCGAAGCCATCTGCCCCGCTCAGGCTATCACGATCGAGTCGGAGGCTCGCGAGGACGGCGCGAGGCGGACGACTCGGTACGACATCGACATGACCAAGTGCATTTACTGCGGCGTACGTTCGAGCTTGAGCTTCTGTTGGCATGATGCGAAGCGGCGTGCTGACGGTTTCGTTCTGCGCCCGACGAACAGTTCTGCCAGGAGGCTTGCCCGGTCGACGCCATCGTCGAGTGTGAGACCCCCTCCTCTCCCTTACACTTGCAGCACACATGCTGACCCGTCGAACCCGCAGCGCACAACACGGAGTACACGACCGAGACCCGCGAGGAGCTCCTCTACAACAAGGAGAAGCTGCTCGGTGCGTTTCGTCTTCCTACCTTCCCCTCTTGCTTTCGCTGATCGCAAATGTGTGCCCAGCGAATGGAGACCGCATGGAGGCTGAGCTCGCTGCTGCGATCCAGTCGGAGCACCGTGCGCCTCTTCCCGCCCTTTCCGCCCCCTTCGATGGTGCTGACGCCTCTTCCACCTTGCAGCCTACCGGTAAAAGCGCCATCGAACTCGCATCTAGCTCTCCGCGCGGTCGAAGGGTGAGGAGAGGGAGGCGGTTCGAGAGGCGGTAGATTCGAGGGTTTCCGAAATTCGACTTCTGCTTGTATTTACGTCTTTCGCGTCCTTGGGGGAGCTTTAGTGTGCTCTTGTGTTCTCAGAGCTGCTCGAGCGCACGCTGGTTGCGGTAGAACTGCGATCTTCCTCCCTTCCTTCCTCACCCTCTCCCGCTCACTCGCACCGCGCCTCACTCGCTCCAGACGCCCGCGCTGATCCCGCGTCACTCGCCTGCACTTTTCTGAGCACCGCAAAGCCGCTCGCACGGTCTGAAACGCTTCTCATCGTCCGTTACCTCCCGGCCAGACCTGATCGCCCCGACTCGACCGCCCAGCCTCTCACGCGCCTAGACGGGATGTGCTACGTCAGTGCGACCCTCTTCTACGGCGTGTGCATCAAGACGCACTCGCTGCAACTCGCCGCGCGAGCTTGGCCGACCCTCAAGCGCACCCTCGAAGTCATCGACCTCCTCCTGGCCAGGAAGCGCAGGGGGTATCTCCGCGTCAGCAACTCGACAGGCGCTGCGAGCATTGTCGACTTGACGAACGAGGTTTGGGAGCTGATCCGCCTGCACACGCGCGACGCCATCTTCGAGCAGAGCTGCCGGGAGCTCGTCGGAGGATGCCACTACGCAGCTTCGGGAGACGATATTGGCCCATCGCAGACTGCCACGATGCGCCACCTTCAGACTTGCGACGACTGCTACGACTACCTCGTCTGTGACGGACGGCTCAGCACATTCGTTAGCCAGTCTCTGCCGGTGCGTCTGCTCTCACCCATCTCTCGCGAAACGCTGTCACTGATGCGCAATATTATCCATACAGGTGATTGAGTTTCTCCTCACCGACTTCGGCCTCCGTCTCGTCGGCGACGACAGCTTCACTCACGAATTGCCGAACGACGCTCCGTTCGAATTCCTCTCGCACTCTCGCGCGGTCGCTATCCTTTACTCGGGTGACGAGGGTCTCGGCGAGCCGCGTATCCGCAGCTGTCCCTGCGCGAACAACAACGGCAATGGCCAAGGCAACGAGATTGTCGAGATTGACCCGCTCATCTTCCAGCTTCCGCCTGACGCCAACGAGCGCTTCGAAGATCTCTTCCTCGCCTTTCCGCAACTTGAAGCAGTCTATGCGCCTTCGAACGAACGATCACCGCCGAAACGCTCCAGAACTCGCAAGACGGCGCGTCGCAGCCGGCCTTCCGGCACGATGCGAGGCCGCACCCCGGCGCAGAAGTACCGCGATCAATGGAACTACGAACAGGTGTTGAACAGGAAGCCCAGGTGGCTCCTTTGGGCGCACGGCGAGGAGTAGCTGGGGCGAGGATCGACTGAACGCTTTGCAACGATGCTTCGTTTCCATGATTCTTCCGGGCGTCTTCGAATGTGATGCTGCGCTTCAATATATTGGCAAAGCTCTACGCATGCGACGCTCGGAGAAACCACCAGTTTTGCCGTCCCGCGAGTAATCTCTCCTTCCGCAACTTCACTGACCTCCGCTCACACCCATTCAAACATGTTCGCCGCTCTCTGCACTTGCTCAAAGACTGCTCCTGACGCGCCCTGACCGTGCAGGGCTCCCCGCGGTCGCTCTTCTATCGTGCAGTCCGGTACAGAGGCGTTCACGGAGAGTGAGTGTGCCCCTCCCTGCGCAAGTGTCGAGGCGCATGCTGACCCGCTTTGGACAGACCTGCACGTCAATTATTGCCTCTGCGTGAGTTCACTCGCGGCCTCGACGCCATGTCGTTGAGGTGTAGCCCCCTCGCATCCTCATCAGTTCAAGGCTGACCTCCGCTTCCCGTCCGCAGGGCGAGTTCATCCTAGTCGTCGACGCACCCCTAGCATCCCTACCACGCCGACCAGCCGACTCATCACATTGCCTCGTCAACACCGGTCCCTCTAAGCGCGTCTACAAGCTGAACATCACCGAGACCTCGAAGGACTACAAGCCGCCCGAGGTGCCGAAGCAGACGGAGGATACATTGGTGGTGAATCAGTATGGCGCGGCGGGCAAGAATGGGAATGGGGTGTTGGTGAACCGGGATGGCGGGTTCGAGTTCCAGCGTGCGCCGAGCTGGTTCGCCTGGGACATGCCAAGCCGCCTCCCGTGCTGACCCGTTCGACTTACAGGACGACTGTTCTGCCCTCGGTGTCAACTACAGGTGGGTTACGAGACGGTACCGGGCGAGGGACAGAAGGGAGACGCGACGTTTATCCTCGCAGGTGCGTCAGGTCTGGCTCTTAGCACGTTGAACGCCACTGACCATCGACTCGAACAGGCGCACTATCCGATATCCAGAACAAGGCTCCGGCCGAGGCGTTTGGCGAGCCGACAGTCACGCCGGCGGGGAACTTGGCGGACCAGGGTGCCCGAGAGGCGGTTGCGGCGGCGTGAGTGGTGCGGGCAGCTCAACGAGATGGATGTCAATTCGGAGGTTTGCAGTATGGAGGGCTGGACATGTTGTAACACCCGTCTTTTCGCACTATCTACTGCCCGACGGTCTGAAGAGACACTTGCCGCTCTCTCTGCCTCCGCTCGCTCCGCCTATATTACTGTGCAGTCGCAAAGAGTACCTTGACTGCTCAAGCAGCCTCTCAGCGAGCGATGCCGGGATGTTAACTTCGACGCTCACTGACTTTGGCGGGTTTCGCTTCGACCGCTCACTGCTTCGATGCCTGCGACGCCGCCGCCCGCCGCTGGACCGTCTCGACAGCTCGACTTGACTCCTGAACAAGTCCGCAGGCTCGAAGAGAACCGTCTCAAGGGTGCGCCACCACCTCTCCACCTCGCCCGACCACCACCAGGCTGACCTCATCATTCGCCGTCCACAGCCAAGGCAAAGCTGCAGGACCGCGAGCGACAGATCAGGCAACACGCTGCTCAGATCGGGAGCGACCGCCCGAACGCGCTTGGCAAACGCCCGCTCCAGGTCATCCCCGCCGACTCGACCTCTCCGACCGCACCGAACGCTCGCCATGTCCCCTCTCGACCGTCTACCTCAGCACTTTCCGCTTCCAATGCTCTGCAAAGCGCGGTAGCAGGCCCGTCGCGCGGCTCGCCGGTGAAGCATTTCGCAGGCGCAGACGGCAGCGGAAAGGACAACTCGCCTCTCAAGCCCATGATCGGCCAGTACGTCGAGTACGACCTCTCGACGCTCAAAAACAGTCGTGGAGGTTTCTTGCTCGAGGGCGAGGAGGACGACCCGAAGAGGCTGAGGGAGCGGCAATTGCAGGAGGAAATGAAGATTCAGCGATTGGAGAATGCGCGGAAGCAGGGACAGCTGCGAGGCTCAGGTGCGCACGCCGAGCCGGACTACCGCTCGTCTCTCTGCTGACGCTACCCCGCCTCGCAGCGATGGCTCTCGACCCGCGCGAAAACCCGAAATGCGTGCACTGCGGAACGACCGACCTCGACGACCAGCTACGAACCGTCTTCGGCGTCATGTGCTGCACACCGTGCAAGAAGGAGCGGCCAGAGATGTACTCGCTGCTGACCAAGACCGAGTGCAAGGAGGACTACCTCCTCACCGAGCGTACGTTCAGCTCGCCCTCTACTTCTTACTACGCGTGCTCATGCTACTTTGCATACAGCTGAGCTCAAGGACACCGAACTCATGCCGCATCTCCTCCGACCAAACCCGCACCGCCCAACCTACTCGAACATGATGCTCTTCCTGCGCTGCCAAGTTGAAGATTTCGCCTTCTCGGACAAGAAGTGGGGGTCTCCCGAGGCACTCGATGCCGAATTCGAGCGACGCGAGGCGGAGAAGAAGGAGAAGAAGAGCAAGAAGTTTGCGAAGAAGCTGCAGGAGTTGCGCAAGAAGACCAAGACGAACGTCTGGCATCGCAGGCAGGAGGCGGAGCATCAGCATGCGTTTGTTGATGTGGAGAACAGCAGCGGCGACAAGGTCCAGCGGTGCGAGGAGTGCGGCTTCGAGGTGGAGGTCGAGAGTTTCTGAAGGGTAGCGTTCCTTTCCCCGATCTTCATTCTAGCTTGTTGTTGCATTCCTACTTGTCTGATGGCTTTACTGCTGCGGTGCTCCTTGAGGCGCGACCTCGGGAGGGGCAATAACCTTCTTCTTGAGTTTGACCTCGACGAATGAGATCTGGTTTTGCTCGATCTTGCCGCCGAAGACGTCGACGCACTTCTTGTCTGTCCGGTCCAGCATCATCTCCTCGACCTGCGACAACGAGACGTTGAGCGCAAGCTTCGAGAGGCACGGACTCGCGAGAAACGCACCTCGGTACTGACGTCTCCCTGGACAAGAATCTCCTCGTCACCCTGTGGCGTCTTGCTGACCGTCGCGCCGGCGCCAAACTTGTTCGCGAGCAGCTTGGCGGCCTTCTTCAGGTCGACGCCGAAGTGATGCAGGCCGTTGACGGTCGTGACCCACTTCTTCTTGTTGCGCTCTATCCGCTTGACGACGATCTTCGAAGCCTGCGTGCGCGACTCTCGATCAGCTTTGGCCCGGGAAGAGGCGAACGAGTCGGGACGCACCGCAATCTTGGCCGCCTCCTTTTCAGCCTTTTGCTCCTCCTTCTTCTCCTTCTTCGCCAAGTCCTTCTCCAACGCCTCGCGCTGCTCGACCGTCAAGTTGGCAAGCTTGTCCTCGAGGGCGCCTGCGAAGGAACAGGTCAGCGGTGAAGCTGGAAAGTGAAAGAGGGGAATGAGACGCACTCTCCGAGTAATATTTGGCGTGCAGGTCCGGGTGGTTCTCCTCGAGCCAGGCTTTGCATCTGTGAGCAATCTGTCAGTATCTGAAAGGCCAGGGATGAGCGAACGGGACGCACTTGGCCTTCTTCGGCTGGAACTCGCAGTACTCGGGCGGGAAGTGGCACACTGTCAAGGCAGAGTTGGGTCAGTAAGCCCCGAACTGGGCCTTCTGTGCTCGTTTGAGCGTCCTCAGTCACCAGCACGCCGTTCAACCCCGTGCTCATCTCGACTGACCTCCCCCTCGACCCTCCAGCTGATGAGGACGAAATGAAGCGCGAGACGCACCTGCGCAGTAGAGGACAGTCTGCGGGACAACTTTGCCGGTGCTGGTAGACGCGACGGGTGCTTCGGTGGCCATAGCAAGCGGAACGAGCGGTGTCAAGCGTGTCGTCTTGAGGAGACCTGGGTTGCCTTCTTGCCGTTCGCTTTGTGCGCTACTCTCGCTCGTGCCGCTTGTGAAAAGGTGAGAAACGCTGTTTGCACACTCCCTCGACCGCCTGACTGTGTGCATCGTCGCCGCTGGCCTGTCCCGCTCTTCTTTTCCTGGTGGTGTGGAGTGGACTGGGCGTGTGTCGGCTGGTGCAGTGGGATTTGCAACAATCGTGCGGTGAGCAGGGCTGCTGCTCCAATGGCTCTCGCCGATGTCCTAAAGTCAAACCAGCGTTCGCTGTTCCGCCTGCTTACTCTCCTCTTCTCCTTCAGACGATGGCCGACGCTCTCAAAGCCAAAGGCAACGCTGCTTTCGGCGCGCAGAAGTGGAAGGACGCGATTAGCTGGTGGACCAAGGCGATCAAGCTTGAGACGGACGACGTCGCGCTCGCCTCGCTCTACTCGAACCGCTCGGCCGCCCATCTCAAGGTTGACAAGTACGACGAGGCGCTGCAGGACGCCGAGTCGGCTGTGCTGAAGCGGCCGACATGGAGCAAGGCGCTGGCACGCATGGCCGAAGTCTACGCCCGCCAGCAGGTCTTCGACAGGTCGCAGCAGTGCTACGAACGCGCTATCCAGCTCGCCGAAGACGATGCGGCTCGCAAGCGTTACGAGGCGTCGCTAGCGACGACTCAGGCTGCGGAGAAGAAGGCGGAGGAGAAGAACGCGCAGCCTCAACGACCGGTTCGTGCCGGGACCTTCGACGACTTTTACTTGGCCAAGATCAGGCTCACTCAGTTCAGGGGGGAGTACGTACTCCCGCCTGAAGGTGGAGTCGCCCTGGCAGTCTATGCGGCAGATGCCTGCCACGAAGGCATGCTTCAGGTGGACCAGAACCTCGTCAAGGTCTCGGACTCGCAGTCCCACTTCACGCCTTTCACCGATGCGCTGGCAAATTTGTGCGACTGCTTCATCACGGACCGGTCAGGCTTCTACCTGCGTCCTGGACGAGACCCGAGCTTCCCAACTGAGCGAAAGGTGCGTTCAAGGCCGAAGCACCCTTTGCTGACGCTCTCCTTTGTCGCTAATGATGCTGACGGAGTCGAGCCTTCAGATCGAGGAGATCATCAAGGGCGAGCTCAACGAGGCGCGGTGCACGAAATACTTCACCAACGCAATCTGGTCTGCCCGAGCTATCATCGCCGACCTGGACCGGCGTCTCGCGACCGAGGGTCGCGACGCCATCCGCAGAGCGGTCTCAACCATCATCCGCGGCCGAATCGTCTCGGCGGGAATGCTGGCACTCGGCGAGAAGGATCGTGGCGCGGAGGTGCGCGAGTTGAAGCTGGCGCTGGCGCTGCTGGAGGAAGGGAACCGCGTGTGGGCGAACGTGCCGTACAAGGAGAAGGTGAGCCGATGATATCTTGTCGCTAGCTTCCAAAGCTGACACTCGAGCGTGGACAGGGCAACACCTTCCGCTCAACCTTCGTCCGCAACGTCCGCGTCACGCTTCTCAAGGCTCTTCTAGCCGCGCACCGAGACCTCAAGACTGCAGCGGCGCGGCGCGTGTACAAGCTCGAGCACATCGAGGAGCTCGCGAACCAGGTCATCCAGGTGCGTTGCGCCGCCAGCACTTTCAACCGCAGGGACTGACTTTCCTTTGACGCAGGAACACCCGCCCGAACAATGGATTCCTCGAGACGGCACCGTGATGCGGGTCGCTTACTCGGTACGCTGAAGCTCCGCTCTCCCCTGCCCGACTACTCGTTGACGAAGTTCCTACAACAGGCTTTCCCCGTGTGGGAAGCCTACAACGCCCTCGCCTACGTCTGGTCTGAACGCGCCAACCCACGGCTGCAAGACCCACCCCCCGGCACACTCGTCTTCACCGACCTCGACGCCTCCAAACGCGCTGCCGAGTACTACGACAAATGCGCGTCGATCATAGCTTCCGAAGCGCCGGATTGGCATCAGCGCAGGTTTGTGCTTTGGCTTGCGCTGTATTGGAGATTGAGGGCGGGAGGGTTGACGGTGAGGGAGTTAAGGGCGAGGGTCAATACGGCGAGGGAGGTGTCGCTCGAAGCGGAGCGGTTCTGTGAGTCGCGACTCCCTCCCGCTTCTTGCGTCCAGTGCTGATTGGCGTGCTTTGCGCAGTTCCGCTAGAGTCGGAAGAGCAGTACGGCGAGTCGCGCAAGTTCACCGGTATGCAGCTGGACAGCATCAACCGCACGATGCGCGACCCGCCTCCTCAGATGACAGTCGCCGCGCGTCAAAAAGGCGATCGGGCGACTCTCAAGCCTGTGCCGACGATGAACGGGAAGGGGATGACGCAGGAGGAGATGGTTAGGGTTGTCGAGGAGAGCGAGTTGATGAGCTTGGAGGGGGATATTGATTCGGTAGACTGCTGGGCTTAGTGGGCGAGCGGTGTGATATTGCTGTATATGTCTTGCATTGGCGTCTCTCTGGGCGGTCTCGAGGGTACGGCGGGGCAAGCCTTGAGACCTGGAAGCTTGCATCGTGATGCGAAGCTGGCCTTCGTCCGACGCACTCTCCTTGCTTCCACCCCTTAAGCACAAGAAGGAAGATACCGGCTCGTTGTTGCAAGTGAGCCAAACTTCGGAGACGAGACAGCTGCGACATGGGAGCATCGGCGAATGCTGGAAGAGAGTCGCTGGTCCCGAGACGGCGAGGGTTGCTTGGGTATCGAGAGGCGAGAGGGGTATCGAGAGAGTGGATGCAAGTGTGGGTACATTGATGCAGGCGGAGAGGCGAGAGGGTGGACGGATCAACCGAAGAGGATGAGGTAGACGACGACGAGGATGTTGATCGGGATGAGTGGGACTGTGCGGGCCAGGCCAATGCGTACAAGTCAGCAAGGACCTGCAAGGAGCTGTCGCAGACGACGGAAAGAACGACACGCACTCCGCATCAACGTCCGGACAGCATCTACCAGCTGAACCGCCCTCATCTTGATGCCCGGTTCTCCCCCTCCTCCACTCATATTCCCCTGTGGCATCCCGTAGCTGTCGAATCCAGCCCCGTACGCGCTGTTCTGCGCAAACGCCGCCTGCTGCTGCTGGTGGAAGTGCGAGGTGGTCAAGCCGAGGGGGGCGAGGAAGCGCTCTTTGTTTAGGACGGCGACGGCGTTGACCATGAAGAGGGCGAAGTAGGCGACTCGGCCTAGCCCGAACCAGCCTGCCATCGGTTTGCGAGGGGGTGTCGAGAGGGTTGAGGAGGAGAGGAAGGGCGGGTCGTGACAAGGGGAGCTGCGAGCGCGGTACAGGGTCAGTGAGCCGTTCCAAGCAATCGTCTTGATCTCCCTCGTCCCCCGCTACGCCCTCTGCGACCCTCGTTCGTCTCGTCTGGCTCATGACGACGAGGCCAGCTGGCGGTCCCTCCAGGCGGTCTCTGGTGAAGCGGTCAAGACTCACGGGTGCGCGAGGAGGTGTCGAACGTAAACGGGAGCCTGGGCTGATTGGAAGCGCGAGTCTGAGCGGCTGAGGACACGGTCGAAGTCCAGGAGTGAACCTCGACGAGGAGGACGACCTCCCTCGCAGCTCGGGAAAATTGACAGACTGTTCCGATAGCTCCAAAATACAGTATGATCAAGCTAGGGAGCCCAACGAGCTTACCTTGAGCGGCTGCCAGGAGCAGCATCTCACGGACCGCATCTCGCTCGTTCACCGTTCGCTCAACATCGCTGAAGCGCGCTATCGTGCTGCCAAATTGCTTGCTACGAGGCTCACAACCATGTCGACGTGGCCAGCGGGCGCCCTGCTGCTGCCGCTCGTCCCGTTCAGCGTGGCTCCGTCGGTGAACTTGGCGGGCATCATCACTCGACTCGTCTCATCCCTCTTGATAGGTCAGTGGGTTCTTCGATAGACTGTGCAGACGAAATAAGGGGCTCGACGTGAACGGCAAAGCGGGGCGAGGGATGTGGTGCGTGGGTTGCGCTTTCACGTTGGAAGGGTCGCGGAGGAAGGACGCAGACAAAGGCGCGGTCTGGGACGTTGCAAGGGCGGGAGCGATTCGAGAATGATTGTGCAGCAGAGCTGACGCGCGGAGAACTCGTTCGCTGACCGCCCTCCACGGCGCAGCCCTCTCCCTCGTCCTCCTCACCCGCCTCGTCTTCTTCCCGCCTGTCAAGCGATCTCTAACTCTCACCGAACTCAACACCCTTCTGAACCGGCACGAGAACGGCGGGACAGGCGTCGTCGCGCGCAAATGGCGGAGACGGTTCTTTGCGCCTGTGAGGTACGGCGACGAGGATGAGTTGGCGGGCAGCGGGATTGAGGGAAGCGAGGACGAGTTCGTCGAGTGGACCTTCTCGTCGAAGCCTACGCCCGACGGTCTGCGAGGCTGTCTCAAGCGGGTTGTTCTGGAGACGAGCGTGGAAAAGAGGGTCGAGGTTGCGGAAGTCGAGAAGGAGGGACGCTCGTCGCCTGCGCCTCGCTCGGCGAAGAGCGTGCGAGTTGTCGAACCCAATCTCGACGACGTCCGTGCACTACGGGAGCTCTGGGCGTCAGCAGAGATGCAGGGACCTGGAGGTCTCGGCGGGATAGGCGGATACCGGCGCACGAGGGACTTTTACTCGAAGAGCCAAGGCGGGACGGCGGTGGTCAAGGGGACTACGGATGTTGCGCCAGTCGTGCTGAAGAAGGTGGCAGGGCCGGGGAGCGTGATATCCGCCACGAAGGAGGACGAGTCGGAAACCGTCACGGAGGACGAGGACGATGCCGACTCTGCGCCCTCAAAACCTCGACGAGCCTCGCGAGTCTCGTCTCTCGCCTCATCCACTGCTCGCTCCTCCTCACTCTCCCCTTCACCCGCCACTCGCCGGCAACGAACCCTCTCTCCGACTTCTTCCTCCACCCGCTCCGGCTCGCCCGCCTTCTTCGTCGGCGCAGCAGCGAAGTCCTCTCCCTCTCGCCGAAGAGCTCTCAGCCCTACCCTCGGTACCTCGCCGCGCTCGTCTTCGCTCTCGCCCGGTCCGCCGTCCGACCGAGCTGTCGTTCCGAAGTGGCTCAAGACGAAGAATGGCAAGCTTGCTTCACCTGCGCCGTCGAAGCTGGGGCGGGGCGGCGGTGCAGACGAGGCGGAGACGACCGAGGAAGAGTTTGACGAGGCTGAGGCAGAATCGGCAACACCGCCGCCGACAAGTCTCGCCTCGACCCTCGCCGGCATCGCCGCAGTCGCAGCAGCGATCCCTCCCATCCCTTCCGACGCATCAATCGCCGCCGCACCTCTCTCGTCTCCCGCCTCCGTCCTGAGCGGCGGTGAGTCTCCGCAAGAATCGCCGACTCCCGCGCCAAAGTACATTTCGGCACGCCCGCCAAAACTCGCTGTGACGACTTCTCCGCCTCTCGAAGTTCGCAAAAAGCCGCTTTCGCCTCTCGGGTCTTCGTTGCCTTCTCCACCTGCCTCGCCTCTCTCGCAGCAACCAAAACCTTCGCCAGCAACCGCCTCTCCAGCTACCAACCCACCGGTCTGCCCGCCCTCTCCCGTCTCACCCTCACCTTCACCCTCGCCCTGCGTCAAAGCCGAACGCCGCCTCAGCCTCCGCGTCCAACAATCCCTCAAAAACAGAACGCACAACACCGTCCGCGGCGCAGCTTGAAACAGACACTCTTCGCATCCATTAGTCGCCTCGTTATTTGTCCTCTCTCATCGCATCTGCCACTCCTCGTTGTTCGTCTTTCCGTTGTTGCCATACCCCTCGTTTGTTTTCCCGTTCTTGTTTGTCGCCGAGATACCCGGTCTCGTCTGTGCAACTCTGCATGTTCTCGCATCGAATGTGTTCAACAGAAGCGAGTAAAGACTTGCAAGGCCTGGCGACACGAGGTACTCTACGCGCATGCAGGACCTCACCACATCCCACCACTGCGCTCTCCCTCGCGCCTGACATTCATGCCAACATAACTCGTCGCACTCGCGTCTGCGTCCTTCCCAACCGGAACGACAATCCCCGTCTGCGCGCCGCTGATCCACCTCACGCCGGCTTTCCAGCACGTCTGTTGGAGCTCCCAGCAGGCAGAGGGGGAGGCCCAGCCATGTTCTGTGCCGCCAAAGGTCGAGAGTTTCGAGAGTCGAGAGGCGGAGGGGGAGGAGGTGATGAGCGTGACGAGCCTCGAAGGCTTGATGTCGGGACAGGAACGGATGAGGAGGTGTCGGACCGATGAGGGGAGGAGGAAGCGGGTCTCGCCGCGTGCATGCGGGATTGATGTCGACGAGGAGGAAGCGATGGGCTCGAAGAGAACGGTGGTGACGACTGTTCCGCCGACGTCGAGAACGGCTAGGTTCTCGAGCTGAGCAATGAAGCCGTCGAGGACGTGTTTGGGTTGCGCATCTGGGAGAGCGTTCCGCCGCCTTACAGGCGACAGAGGCGGACTCGTCCTGACGGTCGGGTGTCGAGCGGTGACGAGCGGGTAGTTGAACAACGTCACCCTGAGAGTCGTGAGGCTCGTCTTGAGCAGACTCGCGACATCTTGTAACGACTCGACCGTCGGCGCCGCCCAAAGTCCATCCTCGCGGTACTTCCTCGCCTGTGCAGCCGTGAAGACGTCGTCGACCGCGAGGTGCCGCAACTTGCCTGGCTGGACGTGCTCGAGAAGCGCGCGCAAGTCGGATGGCGACATGTTGCATTCGATGAGGGTGAGGCGTTCGAGCGGGACGAGGGCGCGGGCGCGGACGCGGGAAGGGAGCGGGCGGGCGAGATGGCCGGAAGGAGTCGTCTTCGGGGCAAAGTCGAGCGCGGAAGAGGCGGAGGAGACGTAGCCCTTGAGTGTGAGCCGTCGTAAGCCGGTCAGGGCGAGAAGGGCGTCGCGGAGAGAGGTCGACGAGAGAACGGTCTCCGCGCTGCCATGGAGGAAGAGGGATGTGACCGTCGAGAGGCGCAACTGGTGTAGGTGATGAAGGGCGGAGAGCGAGTTCGAAGACGACGTGAAGAGGGTGGCAGGGAGAACGCCCGAAACGTCGAGGGAGAGGAGATGCGCGCAGCTCTGGAAGATAGCTCGAAGCTGGTCCGCATAGGTCGGGGGCGATTTGAATCGCTTGCTTGGCGACGAGGATGGCGTCAAAGGCCGTGCGCCGCGTTCAAGGTCGCTGTCGGCTTCGCGAGGAAGTGTCGGTCGCTCAGCGGACGGGACAAGGTCAAGTTTCTCGGCGGCGGAGTGCGGCAGGTCGACCGCCAAGTGCCGAACGCTCGCTGGCAGGTCGGCGTTCGCGGCGAACGACTGGTAGAGCGAGGTGATGCGCGAGAGGTGCGAAATTTTGAGGAAGCGGTAGGCGAGGTGCCGAACGAGCTGTCGGCAAGCGGGTAAGTCATAAGTCTGCGCACGGAGCGGAGCGGAGCGCACCGGAAGCCAGCGCTTGCAGACCAGCGCTACGCGAAGAGGCGGAGTGTACCATCCGGGTGTCGTCGAGTACTTGGTCGGAAGCGGTCGAAACCCTTGCTGGTCATTCAGGAAACCGAAGACGCGCAATAGCAGCTCGTCTGGCAGGTCCTGTTGAGCGCCTCGAGTCAGCGAAGAGCGCAGGCTACTAAAAGAATCGTCGATGTACGTTGATGCCGGTCTTTACACGCCTCGTCCGCGTCTTGCGCGTCGTCACGGTCGGCCACCTAGTCTCGCTTACCCGCCTCGGCGGTGAGACTGGCATGCCCGCGATCTCGTCGATGTCCATCCGCATATCGTCAAGTGCAAAGACGTCTTTCTCCCCATCCCGCCGCGGTTCCACTGGAGCCACAGTCGCAGGCGTCTTCGTCGGCGAGAAGGTGAAGCCGCCTGGGCCGACAAGCTCGCTCGATGTCTCTGGTGAGATGGGCGTCGACGTCCCAGAAGGCGCAGGTGTGCCATCCGGACTCGAAAAGCTGAGTTTACGGTTCCACGCTCGAGTTACTGCGGGCGAACGCTTCGAGCTCGATCGCGGTGCCAAGGGCGTCCGGCGACGAGGAGTCGACTGAGCGGAACCTGAAGCTTGTGGAGTGGAAGGGGATTTGACGGGAGGAGAATTGCGGGCGAAGGTGAAGGTCGAGGAGGAAGGGGTCGACATCGCAGGTTCTGCCAATGCTTCGGGAGGATCAGTACGGGTTTAGGAGTGCACGATCGTGGGTTCCACGTCGTCCAAGCCCAGCCAGAGCTGCTCCCTGTCGTCTCGTGGACGCATATCTCGAGAAGAGAGGAGGTTCGGGCGTGGCATTCAAGCGAGGCGACACGAACACCAGCGCAGTTCAGATAGTCGTCAACGCACCTGTCTGCACCACTGCACGCCTTCGCTGCTCCCGTTCAGCGCTTGTGAGACGAGTTGGCGAGGTTCGAGTGGGGCCGGGTGACCTCGTTGCAACGATGGCGGTCTCCAGGAAGCGGCGCGCTCTTGCAGGAGGAATGCAGGGCTTCTAAGAGCGCAGAGTATCCAGCAGACCAGCAAACGAGCGAGACGAGCGAGGTGGAGTCGCCCAACCCTGTCCTCCTCACGCTCAACCAACGACTGCTCGCTGCTTCAAGCTTACAAGAGCTGCTAAGGTGCCCAGTATGGCTCCAGTGTCTCCCTCGCGCGAACCCATCCTCGTCCAGATTCCCCCGACGACTTCACCGCTCCTCCTCCCTGCCCGCGACCCCATCAACGGAGGCTCCTCCCGTCAGCGCCGCTCGTCGACAGACTCGTTCTCGCTTGAGCACAACAGGCACAACCCGGACATCCCAGACGACCTCGAGTTCGTCGCGCCCGGCCAGTGGGACGAGGCGACAGGCCAGTTCACCGAGGAGGACGAGGACGAGAGCGAGGACGATGGCGCGTTCGACGAGGACGACGACATCGAGGACTGGACGCTCGAGGATGGGCATGTCGAGGGCGTGCCGTGCTCCAATATCCGCCTCGGCGCCAAGTGAGTCTTGCCAGCATCACTCCGTTTCATGCGACACCAGCGGGTCTCTCTCGCTTCGCCGTGGACAAGGCTGACGATACTCTGCACAGGTGCTACCAGTCGACAGAGTTCCTCGACCAGCTGCTCACGCTCCTGCGCGACGAGCTGGGCGTACCCGGCTGGGCAGACCTTCCCAACGGCACCCCTTCCTCGCTCGTCCAGATCCACAAGATCTCGGGCGCGCTCACCAACGCAGTCTTCTTCGTCTCGATTCCGGAAACCGAGGCAGAGATCGAGGTGACCGTGCCGGTCCAGTCGCCCGAGCCGTACGAATCGCACGAGAACGGGTTCGGCACGCCTGTCCAGCGAGATGCGCCGCGCCTCTTCCCTGCGACGGTCTTCTCCGAGCTCGAGCGCGGTCGAAATGCTGCCTCGACGCCGCGGCCCGGCCAGGACACGTCCTCCACGCCTCCTCAAGCTTCTGCACCCGAGACGCCCGTGACCACCCACACCGCCCTTCCCGGCTCGTTGCCCGACATGCCCTTCTCCGACTCGCCCACCGACTCTCCCTCAGACTCGGCACCGCAGTCTCCCTTCTCCCGCCCTGCAACACGCATCGAACAAACCGTCTTGTCCGCCCCAACCGTCCTTCTGCGCATCTACGGCCCCTCGTCCGGCTCGCTCATCTCGCGCAAGAACGAGCTCTACATCCTCCACACCCTCTCGTCGCAGTATGGCATCGGCGCACACGTCCTCGGCACGTTCGGAAACGGCCGCGTCGAAGAGTACTTCCACTCTCGCGCGCTCGTCAAGGAGGAGATGCGGGATCCCCGTGTAAGCCGGTGGATTGGCAGGCGGATGAGGGAGCTACACTCGGTCGACCTGGAGCACATGATTTTGCCGCTGACTGAGGCGGAGGAGGAGAAGGAGCGGGAGAGGCGGCACCGCAGGAAGATGAAGTCGCGAAGCGCGAGCGCCGAACCGCAACGGCCTGGTCCGGACCCGCTTGTGCACAGCAGCAACTCTTCAACCAAGAGTCCTGTGAGCGGCGCCAGCATCTACTCGACCTCATCCGCCTCGTCTGTCTTCTCCTTCGGCACCTGCTCATCCTCGTCCTCCAACTACTCCTCCTACTCGACTTCGTCACTTGCATCCAACTCGACGATTCACTCGGGATCGGGCAGGTCGCGGTACAGCAGCACGGCCTCGTCCCTCGTCTCGTCACCTCTCCTCTTGCCTCACCGGACACCGTCCGAGTCGGCCGCGAGCGAGAAGAAGCGCTCGAGGCGGTACGGTACCGGTTCGCGGGGCCGCAGGTCTCGCGCACACGACAAGCTGTGCATCTGGGAGAACATCACGCGGTGGACGAGGGAGGCCAAGCTCGTCATGAAGGAGCTCGACGAGCTGGCGCAAATTCCCGGCTTCGACAAGCTCCTCACAACTCCTTCCGCCGCATCGACACCTGCCGGCCCTTCGTCCGACGAGCACGTCCCGCCCCTCTCTTGCCCCTCTCGCACCTTCGCCATCCGATCAACCCTCAACCTCCCACTCTTCGAGCAGCAAATCCGCCTGTACCGCCAATTCGTGCACAAGATCGAGCGTGCGGGGGGCAGGTCGAAGCGCGTCTTCTCGCACAATGACACGCAGTACGGAAACTTGTTGCTCATGACGCCGACGAGCGGGAAGAAGGAGGACGAGGAGGAGCTGGAGCGGGCGGCGATCAGGGAGGGTGGAGCGCACAGGAGGCTGATTGTCGTCGACTTTGAGTATGCGGGAGCGAACCCGAGGGGCTTTGATATCGGTGAGTGCGCTCCGAGCTGTCGCCCCGACCAAGACTGACGAGTCTTGTCGCTGCAGCCAACCACTTCTGCGAATGGCGCGCGGACTACCACCACCCGTCCCTCTCGCACTCTCTCTCCGCCCACCAGCCGTACCCGACTCGCGCCGAGCGAACTCGCTTCCTCCGCGCATACGTCGGTGCGGACCAAGGCTATGACGGCCCGGACGACCCTCAGCAGCCGCCGAACGGGTCGGAGGACCCACGTGTCGAGCGCCTGCTTGAGGAAGTGCGCATTTGGGAGCCCAGCAGTCATGCGATGTGGGCGGTTTGGGGAGTCGTGCAGGCGAAGGAGGACCTGCTTGCGCGGATCCAGGCCTGGAAGGACAAGGCGCAGCGGGGTGCGACGAGTTCTTCGCCTTCGCCTGTCTCGCCCGGCACCGAAGCCGAGTTGGTCGCAAGCGTCAAGGCGATGGGACTCGAGGGACAGGATGTCGCGGAGCTGGTCGACATGGACGACTTGGCGGACGTCGGCGAGGTTTTTGACTACCTCTCGTATGCGGCGGAGCGGATGGAGATGTTCAGGCAGGAGTTGCGGCAGCTGGGCGTCGTAGAATAGAGCCTGTCTCGTGCAATGTTCGCACTTCGAGTCGGAAGAGTTCATGCGGCACGTGCAGCGAAATGTCGCGAAGGGGAGCGGGTTGACTTTGCCCTTCGCTTCGCACTCGACGCTCACTTGGTGCTTCGCTGGCTCACGAGTTGGCTTCCATTCCGTCTACGGCGGCTTGCGCGACCTGTCTGCGCGGCCACGCTTCCCTCACACCGCCCAGCCGACCTCTGTTCATTCATTCCATCAACGCGACTCGTTCTCGCCTCTACCACTGCTGAGCGCGCCGAGCAGCTCACGAACGTCACTCACGCACCATGCCGGCCCGCCTGAAGCGCGCGCAACCCGCCGAACCCGACTCGCTCGACTCTCTCGCCCCTCTCCTCGACGAACACCTCCCCGCCCTCTTCACCGCCGCCCAGCACACGACCGCGTCGCACCGCAAGCACATCAACACCCTGCACTCGGTCTTCCTCCGCTGCGCCAAGGTCACTACACTCAGTGCGGATGGCAGGTTCACGCGGTTGAGCGGTGAGAAGGCGTTTGGCGAGAAGTTTCGCGAGATGGTGACGCATCCGCTGGGCGTCAAGAAGGGTGCAGACCAGGGAGACAGGGTCATCAAATTCATCGCGGGCTTCGTCGGCTTTGCGGTCGAGTACGGTGGGTCCGCAGTCCGCCCATCTCGCTTCTCGCCCTCGCTTCGTGCACCTGTGAGCGAAGCTGCTGACGCATCACGGTCGGTTCGCAGACTTCAAGCAGCGTGAGGCGAACGGAGACGATGACGAAGACGAGGACGGTCCTGCCTCTCGCCTCGTCGCGCAGCTCCTCGCTTTCCTCCTTCGCGGCTTCCAGGCCAAGAACAAGATTGCACGGTACCGATGCGTCCAACTTGTCGCGCTGATGATCAACAGCCTTGGCGAGATTGAGTAAGTGAAGCGATTCCTTTCGTCGGTGCCGTCCTTCCGCTGACCCTGCCTTGTCATACACAGTGACGAGTCGTACCACACCCTCAAGGCTGCCTTGCTCGAGCGCATCCGCGACAAGGAGGCCTCCGTCCGGCAACACGCCGTCGTTGCGCTCTCGAAGCTGCAAGACGCCGACGAGGGTGCAGGCGACTCCGATGACGACTCGGACGACGAGGATGAGGGTAAAGAGAAGAAGAGTGTGACGGAGGTCCTGATCGGCGTATTGAACCACGATCCCGCTGCGTGAGTTGCGTTTGTACCCCGCCTTCACGCGAGGTTCTGACAATCTTGCCTCGCTCGACAGCGAGGTCCGCCGCGCCGCCCTTTTTAATCTGATCCCCTCCGCCACGACTCTTCCGCATCTTCTCCGTCGCACTCTCGACATCGACACCACGAACCGCCGCCTCGCCTTCTCGCACGTCCTCGTTGAGATCCCGCCTCGCTCGCTCACCAAGACCCAGCGGCGCGAGATCATGGGTCGCGGACTGCGAGACCGCGAGGAAGCTGTCCGCAAGGCAGCGAAGAAGCTCGTAGCGAAGTGGCTTGAGCAGGTCGACAAGGACGAGGGTTGTGAGGCAACGATCGAGGCGTTCGTCGGCTTCTTCGACCTCTTCGACGAGGAGGGACAAAAGGTGGCGGAAAAGGCACTCGAGGCTTTGTTCGAGGTCAGGCCGGACTTGATCCAGGACGTCGAGTTCAGCGGTGCGTTCCGATCCTCCCCGTCTTTTACGCTCAATCGCCCACTCGGCCGGCCTGCAGACGACTTCTACCAGACCCTCACGCCGTCGACCGCCTTCCTTGTCCGTGTCTACCTCAACTACCTCCGCGCCGTCGACTCACCCCTCCTAGCCGATCTCGAGCCCGTTGTCACAGCTCTCGCTTTCCACCTCCAGGCAGCATGGACGCAACTCGTTGTCGCGCTTGAGGCAGACGAGCGGGATGAGCAGAAGGAGGCAAGGGAGGAGTTCATCGTTGGCGAGCTGGTCGGCATCGCTGTCAACCTCGACTACGGCGACGAGATTGGGCGGAGGAAGATGTTTGAGCTCATGCGTACGCCTTCAGCATCGCTCTTTGCCCCGCATGGCCGCTGACCCTGTTTGCCCCCGCAGGCGAGATGCTCCAACACTCGCTCCTCCCGCCTTCGCTCATCCCCAAGTGCCTCGATGTCCTCCTGAAGGGCACCTCCGAGCGCGATTTCATGCGCATCGTCGTCGAGAGCGTCCAGTCCCTCCGCAACGACTCGCATCTCGTCACGGACGACTCGGAGCTCGGCGAGCAAAGCGACGACTCGAGTGATGACAGCGATGAGCTCGAGTACGAGGGTGACGCGGAGGAGCGCGCGGCGCGGAGGAGGCTCAAGCAGGCGAAGAAGGGGAAGCGAGCGGTGCAGGAGCCGCAGCAGGCTGAGCGGAGGAAGGAGCTCGACTTGCGGTGCTTGTTTGTTGTCAAGGCCCTGCTAGAGCGGGTCATGAGCGTGCGTTCGAACACACCCTCCGAGGCTCTGACCGCAGCTGACGAACCTTTTACGGCCTGCAGGCTCTCCAGGAGAATTCCATGCTGCACGGTCTTGTCGCCGAGCTCATTGTCCCTTCTGTCAAGACGAAGGACTACGAGGTCAGGGCGCAAGGCCTAATCTGTCTCGGCTTGTGCTGCTTGCTCGACAAGGTGAGTCCCAGCGGCGGTCGACGGAGAACACGAGATTGACCGATTCGTCCCCAGTCTATGGCGCTCGACTCGTTCCAGCTCCTCGCCCGTCAGAGCGAAGCAACCGAGGGCGAGCTGCAGATCAAGGTTCTGCAGACCCTATTCGACGTGCTCGTCCTGCATGGCATCAACTTTGGCGAAGAGCGCGGCTTTGGCGTGCGTCCACCCTCCTCCTGACGGCCGGATCTGACGAACATGTCAATTTGGCAGACCGACATCATCCTTGGCTTCCTCGGCAGCTCGCTCGATCAGGAGGACCCGAAAGCGGCCGCTACCGCCGTCGTGGGCATCGCCAAGCTCATGCTTTCCGGCATGGTCACGGACGAAGAGGTACGCTAAACTCGCTCGCTCCTCAAAATTTTTCGTTGACTTCTGCTGCGCACGCAGATTCTGGCCCGCCTCGTGCTGCTGTACTTTGCCGGCGAGACAGCCGACAATCCCGAGCTGCGACAATGCTTGTCGTACTTCTTCCCCGTCTACTGCTACTCCAACCCGCAGAACCAGCGACGAGTCTCAACGGTGGGTCGGCATCCTCGCGCTTCGGTGTCGCTCGCAGCCTCATGAGCCGAGCTGATGTAGGGGGAGATCGGTGAGCAGGTTATGATTAAGACGCTCGACGTTTTGCGAAGCGTGTACGACGAGCTCAAGGACAAGTCGACGATGGTCACGCCGCTGCAGATCGGGTCGCAGCTTGTCGACTGGACGGATCCGCAGAAAGTCATGTGCGTCCCCGTCTTGCTCTTCCGCTCGGACGGATCGTTGACCTTGAGTGCGGCCGTCAAGCAGCGAGTCCGACTCGATTCAGCCGGACGAGACCATCCAGGCCGACTTGGCGCTCAAGATGCTCAAGGCGCTCTACAAGTCGGAAGAGAGTGCGTTGCAGCGCTTCTCCCCATCTTGACTTGATGCTGACCCGTGCGTGCGCAGAGGACGCCCGCAAGTTGTGGTGTCAGCTCCTGCCGAAGCTGTACATCCCAGACGAGACGGACGACTTGAAGATCAAGGCTTTGATGGTCATGATCGAGGAGCTCAAGACCGTGAGTCCACTTCTGCCCTTTCTCCCTCTCGCTTACCGACAGTCGAGCGCCGCAGAATCGCCCGCTGGCCGACGCCGTCCCCCGCAACGCCCTCAACCGCTTCGAAGCCTCTCTCACCAAGACTTTCGGCCTGCGGCTCGAGGCGCTCGAGGATGTGCAGGTCGAGGAGAATGACGATGTGCGGCTTGTCAGGGAGTGGGTGGCTAAGGTCGAGGGAGAGGAGGAGGACTTCGAGGGGGAGGACGACGAGGAGGAAGAGGAGGAGAGTGAGGAGGAGAGCGAGAAGGAGGAGGAGTGATCTCGGCGCGGTCATGCGGCTTCTGATTCGTCTTTCTCGCGACTCTGTCTTTACGATCTATGCTCTCACTAGCTGTGCGCTCTTATCTCGATTCTGCAACATCGTCTGTCTGGCGCCGTCTCCGTCGTGTTCACCTCACTCCGTCCGTCCGGCTGCCTTCGTGTTGCTCCGTGTCACTCGGTACACACGCATGCCACGCTGAGCAGCCGTTTGCGCCCTCCCAAGCGAGTTGAGCGATAGCGGCGCGAGCGTCGGCGAGAGTTGAATTACTCGCCAGACGTCCTCGCGACCTCGTGAGCGGCGACAAAGACGTAGAGCGCGGTTTTAAGGCTGTGGAATGCAGTCCCGATGGCGACGGTTCACGCAGAGAGCGAGGGGAGAGCAGACGGCGCTGGTCAACGGCACCTCCGCTCGCAGCAGAGGCTGCCTCTCTCACACCCACGCTCTCTCACTCGCTGAGAGAGCACAGCTGCACCAGTACACCGCTACACGTGCTTGGAGACCGACCCACGCAGAGACAGTGCGCTCCGACGGTCGACATCAGCACTCGCGCCGCTCGAGGACCCTCGAGTTCATCACCCCCGACAGCCCGCCCTCTGTGCGCACTCGGGGACGAGCAGACCCCGCAGAGGACCAGGATGGCGTACCAGCAGCAGGGGAATAGCTTTGGACGCGACCCGGCCAACCCGTTCGGCAGCAACCACGGTCACGCCCACCTCGCGCAGACACACGAGGGCGCTCCCGGCTACTCGCAGGGCGGTGGGGCGTACGAGTCGGGCGATTCAGACGAGTACCGCGAGCAGTACACGAGCGAGGAGGACGCGCGGCGAGGTGCGTGTCGCCTGCTCTCCCCCGCTTTCCCTTGGGACCCCCTCCGCCGCATCGCTTGGCTCGCCGTCACTCGCTCATCGAAGCTCGGGCGGCGCTGATGACGGTTCATACTCGCAGGAGACGGCTCTCAGGAAGGCTACTACGGCGGCTACCAGCAACCGCCCGGTCCCTTCCAGGGTCGATCCGACTCGCCAGCTGGGTTCAGCGACTACGAGTCGTCCTCGGCCCACAATGCCGCCAACGGCGCGACGTTCGCACGCCTGCGGGAACCGTACCCAGCATGGTCGAATGAGTCGCAGATCCCGCTCACGAAGGAGGAGATCGAGGACGTCTTCATCGACCTCGCCAACAAGTTTGGCTTCCAGCGCGACTCGATGCGCAACATGTACGACCACCTCATGATCCAGCTCGACTCGCGCGCGTCCCGAATGTCGCCCAACCAGGCTCTCTTGACCCTCCACGCCGACTACATCGGCGGCGAGCACGCCAACTACCGAAAGTGGTACTTTGCCGCCCAGCTCGACCTCGACGACGCGATCGGCCTCGCCAACAACGGTGTCGCACGGCTCGCGCGCAAGGCCTCGCGCAAAGCCGGCGTCAAGTCGGTCGCGACGCCTGCCTCGGTCAAGACGCTCGACTCGGCCAAGCAGCGGTGGCAGCAGGCCATGTTCCAGATGTCGGCGTACGACCGCGTCCGCCAACTCGCGCTCTACCTCCTCTGTTGGGGCGAGGCGGCGCAGGTGCGGTTCGTGCCCGAGTGCCTGTGCTTCATCTTCAAGTGCGCCGACGACTACTACCGCTCGCCCGAGTGCCAGGCGCGCACCGAGGCCGTCCCCGAGGGCCTGTACCTCCGTGCCGTTGTCCGCCCGCTGTACCGCTTCATCCGCGACCAGGGCTACGAGGTCGTCGACGGGATCTTTGTCCGCCGCGAGAAGGACCACGAGGACATCATCGGCTACGACGACATCAACCAGCTCTTCTGGTACCCCGAAGGCATCTCCCGCATCGTCCTCGCCGACAAGACCCGCCTCGTCGACGTCCCCGCCAGCCAGCGCTTCATGAAGTTTGACAAGATCGAGTGGCACCGTGCCTTCTTCAAGACGTACTACGAGCGCCGGTCGTTCCTCCATCTCCTCGTCAACTTCAACCGCATCTGGGTCCTCCACATCTCGATCTACTGGATGTACACGGCGTTCAACTCGCCCAACATCTACACCCCGGCCGGCCAAGCGAAACCGAACCCTGCGATGCAGTGGTCCGCTGTCGCACTCGGAGGCGCCGTCGCGTCCATCATCCAGATCGCAGCGACCGTGTGCGAGTACTCTTACGTCCCGACGACCTGGAACAACACCTCGCACCTGATTCGCCGCATGGCCGCCCTCCTCATCTGTCTCGCCATCACGCTCGCCCCGACCATCTACATCGCCGGCTTCAACCAGACTTCGACGGCGGCCAAGATCGTCGGCATCGTCCAGTTCGCCTTTGCAGTCTTCTTCGTCGTCCTCTTCTCGATCGTCCCGTCAGGTCGCCTCTTTGGCGACCGCGTCGCGGGCAAGTCGCGCAAGTACCTCGCCTCGCAGACATTCACGGCGTCGTACCCGAAACTCTCGCTCCGACAGCGCCTTGCGTCGATCTCGCTCTGGGTCCTCATCTTCGCCTGCAAGTTGACCGAGTCGTACTTCTTCCTCACGCTCTCGTTCGAGAACCCCGTCCGCGTCATGGTCGGCATGCGCGTCACGGCGTGCTCCGACAAGCTGTTCGGCTCGGCGCTCTGTCGGTACCAGCCGGCGTTCACCCTCGCCATCATGTTCTGCATGGACTTGTGCCTCTTCTTCCTCGACACGTTCCTGTGGTACGTGATCTGGAACACCGGTGCGTACCACGTCTCCCCTTCCTCTTCCCATCCTCGCTGACGAATCTCTCCGTGCAGTCTACTCGATCGTCCGCTCGTTCTCCATCGGCCTGTCTATTTGGACGCCTTGGAAGGGTGCGTCTTGCTTCCTCTCAGGTCAGCCAGTCCGTTACTCACCGTATGGCCGTGCAGACATCTTCGAGCGACTGCCGAAGCGGATCTACGCCAAGATCCTCGCGACGAGCGACATGGAGATCAAGTACAAGCCCAAGGTCCTCGTCTCGCAGATCTGGAACGCCATCATCATCTCGATGTACCGCGAGCACCTCCTCTCCATCGACCACGTCCAGCGACTGCTGTACCACCAGGTCCCGTCGGAGCAGGACGGCAAGCGGACTTTGCGCGCACCCATGTTCTTCATCTCGCAGGACCAGGAGGGCCTCAAGACCGAGTTCTTCCCGCCCGGCTCGGAAGCCTCGCGCCGCATCTCGTTCTTCGCCCAGTCGCTCACGACCGCCGTCCCCGAGCCCCTCGGCGTCGACGCCATGCCCACCTTCACCGTGCTCACGCCGCACTACGCCGAGAAGATCCTCCTCTCCCTCCGTGAGATCATCCGCGAGGACGACCAGAAGACGCGCGTCACGCTCCTCGAGTACCTCAAGCAGCTCCACCCGATCGAGTGGGACAACTTTGTTCGCGACACCAAGATCCTCGCCGAAGAGTCAGACCCGATCGACGAGAAGACGGACAAGAAGACGGACGACATCCCCTTCTACACGATTGGCTTCAAGTCGGCTGCGCCCGAGTACACCCTCCGCACGCGAATTTGGGCGTCGCTTCGCGCGCAGACGCTCTACCGCACGGTCTCGGGCTTCATGAACTACTCGAAGGCGATCAAGCTCCTCTACCGCGTCGAGAACCCCGAGGTCGTCCAGCTCTTCGGTGGCAACACGGACCGCCTCGAGCGCGAGCTCGAGCGCATGGCACGCCGCAAGTTCCGCTTCGTCGTCTCGATGCAGCGCTACTCCAAGTTCAGCAAGGAGGAGATCGAGAACACTGAATTCCTCCTGCGTGCATACCCGGACCTCCAGATTGCCTACCTCGACGAGGAGCGCCCGCGCAAGGAGGGCGGTGAGCCGCGCATCTTCTCAGCGCTCATCGACGGCCACTCGGAGATAATGCCGGACGGCCGCCGCCGCCCCAAGTTCCGCATCGAGCTCCCGGGCAACCCAATTCTCGGTGACGGCAAGTCGGACAACCAGAACCACGCCGTCATCTTCCACCGCGGCGAGTACGTTCAGCTCATCGACGCCAACCAGGACAACTACCTCGAGGAGTGCCTCAAGATCCGCAACGTGCTCGGCGAGTTTGAGGACTACCACGTCTCGCCGAAGAACCCGTACACGCCCGAGGGCGCCAAGGACTTTAGCAAGAACCCAGTCGCCATCGTCGGCGCGCGCGAGTACATCTTCTCCGAGAACATCGGCATCCTCGGTGACGTCGCGGCCGGCAAGGAGCAGACGTTCGGCACGCTCGCGGCGCGCTCGATGGCGTACCTCGGCGGCAAGCTCCACTACGGCCACCCCGACTTCCTCAACGCCATCTTCATGACGACGCGCGGCGGTCTCTCGAAGGCGCAAAAGGGTCTCCACCTGTCCGAGGACATCTACGCGGGCATGCTGGCGAACGAGCGCGGCGGCAAGATCAAGCACACCGAGTACTATCAGTGCGGCAAGGGTCGCGACCTCGGGTTTGGCACCATCCTCAACTTCCAGACCAAGGTGTCGTCGGGCATGGGCGAGCAGATGCTCTCGAGGGAATACTATTATTTGGGCACGCAGCTCCCGATGGACCGCTTCCTCACGTTCTACTACGGCCACCCCGGCTTCCACATCAATAACATCCTCGTCATCCTCTCGGTCCAGCTGTTCATGTACACCCTCACCTTCCTCGGCACGCTCAACTCGTCGCTCCCGATCTGCCAGTACACCAGCGGCGGTCAGTTCGTCGGCGGCCAGGGCGGCTGCTACAACCTCGTCCCCGTGTACGACTGGATCAAGCGCTGCGTCATCTCAATCTTCATCGTCTTCTTCATCGGTGCGTGCACATGCTTGCCCTTCCCCCGCGCCGTCCGACTGACCCGCCTCGTTTGCACAGCCTTCCTGCCGCTCTTCCTGCAGGAGCTCACCGAGCGAGGGCTGTATCGCGCCATCATTCGCCTCGGCAAGCACTTCCTGTCGCTCTCGCCGTTCTTCGAGGTCTTCAGCACCCAGATCTCGTCCCACTCGGTCATCAGCAACTTGTCGTACGGCGGCGCTCGATACATCGCGACCGGACGCGGCTTCGCCACGACCCGCATCTCGTTCTGCATCTTGTACTCGCGCTTTGCCGGACCCGCCATCTACCTCGGCATGCGGACGCTCCTCTTGCTCCTCTACATCACCCTCTCGCTCTGGATCCGCCACAGTGCGTTCTTGCCGTGTCTCCCTTTCGTCTCCGCCCACTAACGCATCGCTGCTCGCAGTCATCTACTTCTGGATCTCGATCATCGCGCTCTGCATTGCGCCGTTCCTCTTCAACCCGCACCAGTTCTCGCTCGGCGACTTTATCATCGACTACCGCGAATTCCTGCGGTGGATGTCGCGCGGCAACTCGCGCGCACACGCCAACTCGTGGATCGGCTACTGCCGCCTGTCGCGCACCAAGGTCACCGGCTTCAAGAAGAAGCGTATGGGTCACCCGTCGGAGAAGCTCACGCCCGACACGCCCCGCGCGAGGTGGAAGACTATCGTCGCGAACGAGATCCTCGCGCCGCTTGCCCTCGCCATCATCCTCACGGTCGCCTACCTCTTTGTCAAGTCGTTCGCCGACCCGCAGGTCGACGCCCTCCTCCGCATTGCCGTCATCGCCCTCGGACCGATCGTCTATAACCTCGTCCTCCTGTTTGTCCTCTTCTTCGTGTCGCTCTTTGCCGGCCCACTCTGCGGCGGCGGCAAATTCGGCTCGGTCATGGCAGGCATCGCCCACATCGGCTCCGTCGTCGGCATGATCGGCTTCTTCGAGTTCCTCTGGGTCCTCGAGCGGTGGAACACCTCGCACGCCGTTCTTGGCCTCATCGCGACCATTGCGTGCGTTCGCGTTTCCTCTCGATCGCTCTCACACGGAGCTAACGCACCCGTCTCGCCCGCAGCATCCAGCGTTGCATCTTCAAGATCTTGATCGCGGTCGGCATCTCGCGCGAGTACAAGTCAGACCAGATCAACAGGAGCTGGTGGACTGGCAAGTGGTGGGGCAGCGGTCTCGGCGCGTCGGCCTGGACCCAGCCTGTTCGCGAGATCGTCGTCAAGGTGCGTGAGCGCAAGTACCCTCCCGTCTGCCCTGTTACTGATGGCTCGCTCGCCTGCAGGTAACCGAGATGAGCCTGTTCGCCGGCGACTTCCTCACGGGCCACATCCTCCTTTTCGCCCTCGCCATCCCCTGCCTCATCCCCGGCTTCGCCCAGCTGCATTCGATTGCGCTGCTCTGGCTCCGCCCTTCGAGGCAGATACGAGCGCCGCTCTACTCGATCAAGCAGGCTCGCCAGCGCAAGTCCATCATCGCGAGGTGCGTTCCCGCTCGAGTCTCGTCGACGAAACATTCCTGGCTGACCTTTCCCCCTCCCGCAGATACGGCATCCTCTTCCTCCTCGCGGCCGTCGTCTTCGCCGCCCTCATCGTCGTGCGTTGCATCGACACTTCATCGCTCTGCGAGCGCCCCGCTGACGCTTCGACTCTTACACAGGTGCCGCTTGCCCTCAAGAGCACGATGGATCTCGCCCTGAACGGCGTCAACCTCTGATTGCCCTCTCTCTTCGCTTCACGACTCCCACTTAGACTCTCCTTGACGTGCCCTCCTGTGCCTACGCCTCCCGCTCATCGTAACAGACATTCGCGACTCTCGACCCCCCTCTTCACGTTTGATACCCCTTCCTTCCCCCTTGCATCCTCGCACCCGCGCCGTCCTGCACCCAGCAATGGACGAGCGTGACTATCTCTGCGGTGTCGCGTCGAGGGAAGGGCTTCAGTCGCGAGAGACTGCCAGGGCGAGAGAACACTTCCGCCGCCAAGCTCTCGCCGCTGGCTCCCGCCGTTTCTCTCGCCCTCCGTGCCCTCTCCCTTTGAGTCTGACTTCTTCCTTGACGATGCTGCGACAGCGAAGACAGACGAGGGAGGATTAGCATGGGGGAGCGTGCCCTTTGCGTTGCAGGAAAAGACCGTTGGCTATGTACAAGACTGGAGGCGTGGTAGCTACACAGAAGGCTAGTTAGAGCGCTAGATGGATACAAGTGAAAGGCTGGCGCCGAGTCGTTAAGGGGAACCTGGGAGGGGAGAAACGAAAAGTCTAGGGAAGGCAACGAAGGGAACCGTCCATCGTGTCGAGTCGGTTGATACACTAGAACGCGACCGCTTTTGCTTAGACGTTGAGAGGAGTACCGTAGCAGCTGTGGGTGGAGAGGGAGTAGGTGGAGGTTGGAAGAGCGTCAGCTGGATGCTCGGAGTCAACGAGAGGATAGGTGTACGCACTAGAATGCGGACCGGTCCTGAGTGAGGCGGTTGACGGTACCAGGAGGGCAAGCTGTGCAGCGAGGGAAGGTCAGCACTTCGTTCGGAGGACTAGCTGCTTCTTCGCTTCGCAACGTCTGCTCTTCAACCTCAAGCATGAGAGAGCGACGACTCACCAATGCGGCAAGAGCCACCACGGCAGACGGGCTGGCCGACACCGTTGTACGACGCCGGGCAGGCGTTTCCGACGCTACCGCAGTTGGCGGCGTCGGTGTTGGTGTTGATGCACTGGTTGCCGCGAGCCGTGTAGCCGTTCGAGGTGTCGCAAACGAGCGTGCAGGTGTTGGCGCCCGAGCAGAGGAAGACACCGTTGGGGGTCGTTCCGCAGGTGTTCGGGCCGCAGGTCGGCTGGCTTGCAACGCAAGCGCCGTTGGTCAAGACGTAGCCGGGCTGGCAGCCGACTGTAGAACGTGTGAAGTGGCGAGTTAGCCTCGGAATCAAAGGTACAGGGCGCGGAAGGAAACGCACCCTGGCAGAGGTGGTTAGGTCCGCAGACAGCACGACCGTTGGCGGGCAAGTCGCTGGGCGAGGTGACGGACTGAGTGCAGATGCGGTCTGTGGAAAGAGCGGGACAGCAGTCAGCGACGATGCACGAGGTCGGAAGAGCTCGGGGGAAGGCACCGTTGACACCGCAGCGAGTGCGGCGGAGAGCGCGCTCGACGATCGCGCGGCGCTCGAGGACCTCCTCCGTGACGCCCTCACGCTCGTGGAGGGCAGCGACGTGTCGCTTGACGAGCTCAGAGGTGTCGCGCTCGCGGTTCTCGCGCTTGGCCTTGCGGGCGGCGGCGATCTTGGCGCGCTTGAGGCGGGCGGCAATCTCCTTACGGGAGACGTCGCGCTTCTCGATAGCACCCTCGTTCGAGAAGAAAGCGGGCTCGGGCGCACGGCGGACGAGGGCAGCGTCGTTGACTGTGGAAGATGGCAAGGTCAGCGTCGAACACGGTTCGAGAAGACGGGCTCGGCACTCACTCTTCAGGGGAGTGGCAGCGACGGGGCTGATGGCGAGAGCCACGAGGGCGAGGGAAGCGAGGCAGGACTTGATGGAGGGCATGGTAGCGGGGCGGGAAGAGCGATAGGGTGGAGAGCGAGGAGTTGCGGAAACTGGGAGGATCGTCGACTAGTCGAGGAAGGAAGAGCACGAAGAGGAGAGAGCTGCCTGGAAAGAGAGAGAGAGAGAGGAGAGAGAGAGCGGCGAGAGGCGAACAAAGCGATCTCGGGAGGGAGTTTTCGCGCAGCTGGGCGGGCGTACAGGGAGAGACCGCAGTCACCCTCTCAATTCTCAGGCGATAACGCGAATCCTCGAAGCACGGAGCGTCGCCGGACCAAGGCAAGCGGAAGGTGACGAGCTGCCTGATCAAGCCAAGTGGCTCTTCTGCAGAACGATCACATCTTTCCGCCCCGATGTTCTCTGTGCCTTCGAGACGGCTGATCCGACGATCGAGAGATGGAAAGAACAGTCCACCGAAGCGACGTGCGCTCGGGCTGACCATCCGGGCAGCTTCGAAGGACTGTCACGAAGGCAGCTCGCCCACTCGACAGCGTCCCGCTATCGCAAGTGAGCCTGTTCGAGCTGCAAGGTTTGCGTCGTTGCCTTGCAACCCCAGGAAGACACCGAGCGCAGCTCCTGCCTCCTCGCCATCGACAGCCAAGCGAGGGTGCCGCCCGGATGCGCCGGACGACGAGAGGAGCCTAGCGGACCTGCTCGAGCCGGACACGGAGCCGCTGCAGTGAATGTGAGCCCGTGGATTCGATGCGGAGTGGTGGGTAAGAGGAAGCGAGCGACGAGTCCCCGGATGAGGCAGGTCAACCCGCCGCTCTCACGCCGCTCACCTCGCTGACGCACGGTTAAGGCTGCATTGGTAGCCAGCTACACTCCTGGTAGTGCTGCGACGCTCTTCGGCCCCCGCGATGGCTTGCACCCAATCCTCCAAACTTCATCACTCGAATCGAGGAGGAGGAGTACACAGGTTCACACCTCGGCTGTGACGGCGCGCGGGTACTCTAGGGCGCTAGTGGTGGACTCTTGCGCTCGCCCGCTGCCGGCTGCGATCCGCCGAGGAGCGGTTGTCCGCTACCGACGTCTGCTCGAGCTCGCTCACGACCGCTTTCCGCCTTCGTCGACCCACTGCCTCGTCCCCCGCATCCCAGCGGGCTCTACGACGCATAAGACGCACCCTCGCAGGCGGGCAATGATCCGATCGGCGCCCTGATTGATTGCTGGCCTTGGCTCGCTGCGTTCGCTTCCCCCGTCTCGCGCAGAGTGGGAACGAGCTTCTCCGCTTTCCCTAGTTGCTCAACGCATTCAAGGAATCGTGCATGAGTGACGCAGTGCATTGAGTCTGCGGTGCGGGGTTGTTTAACGACGACAGACTCGCCCACAGGTACTTGCGAAGCAGTGGTTTGGCGTCTCAAGCCGCGCTCGCCTCCTTCCAATCGGCGCCGCTCAGCTTCCGCGCGAGGCTTGTATGACTCCAGCACGACGCAGCAGAATGAGGAAGTCGTACGGATGCACGAGCGAGGTCTGCCTTTTGGTCACCTTCAACGACGGGTTTTCGCATTCCGTCGACTGCCTCTTGATGCGTCGGCTCTACTTCGCGTGCAATACAAGCGACATAGCACTACAAACCCTTTCGAAGTGAGATGTCAGTCGGGAAGCCAACTTGGCGGAGCGAAGCACGGTGCGCCCGTTGACCGGCTCATCCACGCTTGACATCGCCCGTGTGACTGTGCTGCTGTGCTAGACTGCTCGCTAGACTCCTCAGAGCGACACACACGCAGCCATACCCGCTCGAACGCGCTGCAGCGACCGCAGCATGGCCGACTTCTCTCGCCTGGTCGTCCCCAAGGCGCCGAAGACGGTCGTCGAGAACCAGCAGCAGAAGGAGTCTGTATACTGGCGCAGCTTCAAGGTGCGTTCCAGTGTCACCCGCTGCGCGCCTGTCAAGTCCACACGAGCTGACGCCGTCCCGCTACTCCGCCTCACCTTTCTCTCAAACTGATGAACTCGCCTCGACCCCGGTAGTCCCCCGTGTTCCTCAAGTCCTACGCGCCAATCACCCACGTCCACTTCTCGCCCTCCCACCCGCATCGCTACGTCGTCACCTCTGGCACACGGCTGCAGATCTATTCCCCCAAGACGAACAGGGTCGTCAAGACTATTGCGCGGTTCAAGGAGACGGCTACGAGTGGAGAGATTCGGACGGATGGGAAGCTGTGTGTCGCGGGAGACGAGGGCGGACTCGTGCAGGTGTTTGACATCAACAGCCGAGCCATCTTGCGGACGATCCGGGCGCACAAGCAGTCCGTGCCCTTTCCTTTGGCCTTTCCTGACGCTTCCGAGCTGACAGAACCTTCCAATAGGGCCGTCCACACTACCAAGTTCTCTCCCGGAGCCGGCACCCAGATCCTCACGACCTCTTCCGACACCACCGTTCGCCTCTTCGACCTCTCAACCTCTGCGCCGCTCCGCACCTTCTCTTCGCACTCCGACTACGTCCGAACAGCCTCCTTCGTCCCCTCCTCCCCCTCACTCATCTTCTCCGGCGGCTACGACTCCACAGTCCGACTCTGGGACGCCCGCGTGCCCGACAGCGAAGGGAGTGGATGCGTCTGGATCGGACGGCATGGGAAGCCAGTGGACCAGGTGCTTGTTGGCGAGCAAGGGACGATGGCCGTCTCGGCTGGCGGACCGATCTTGCGCGTGTGGGACTTGCTCGGCGCGTCGACTTCGAGGTCGAGCGGTGCGGGTGCCGAGATGGAAGGCGGATACGACGCAGCGACCGGTGAGGAAGAAGAGGAAGTCGACACCGGCACGGCATACTGCTTGAAGGCGCTGAGCAACCACCAGAAGTCGATTATGGCGCTGTGCTGGGCCGAGGCGGAGAATGGCGAGAAGCGCGTGCTGAGTGGTGGATTGGACGGGCTGGTGAAGGTGTATGACCCGCAGGAGAATTGGCGCGTGCGGCATACGATGCGGTATGGTGGGCAGGTCATGAGCTTGGCGGTTTCGGTGAGTGCAACTTCCCCAGCTTGTCCAGCTTACGAGCTAGTCAAGCTGATACTGAGCGCTTCTTCCAGCCCAACAACTCGCACCTTATCGCCGGCTTGTCGGACGGCTCGCTGTCGATCCGGACTCGCGCAGGCGTGGGTCGCAAGGCCGGCTTGCCCGTCGAATCGGTCACACCGTCCTACGACGCGATTCTCGCGGGGATGGGGCACGGAGGCGTAGTGTACAGCGGCAAGCAGGCGGGTGAAGGGCTCAAGGCGACGTTCGAGGGCGAAACGAAGGTGACCAAGGAACGGCGGAAGAAGCTGAGCGAGTGGGACCGGATGCTCAAGAACTTCCGGTACGGCGACGCGCTCGACTCGGTCATGCGGAGAGACGTCACGCCCGCCACGGCGTTTGCGTTGATGGACGAACTCATCCGGAGGGACGGGCTGGCGATCGCTTTGGCGAACCGGACGGACGTCTCGCTCGAGCCGGTCCTTTCGTTCCTCGTCAAGCACATCATCGACCCGCGGTATTGCGTACTCGCCGCTGACGTTGCGAGCGTGCTCATTGGTGCGTTCGCGCGCCTTGCCCCTCCGCTCCGACCTGTACTGACCTGCCCCGCCTCGACAGACATCTACACTCCCACCCTCGGCCTCTCACCCCTCATCGACACCCTCTTCACCCGCCTTCGACGAAAGCTCGACGACGAACTCGACTTCCACCGCGAATTGACCATGGTGCAGGGCGCGCTAGATATGGTGTTCGCGAGCAGTGCGCAGCCGAGGGCGTGAGGAGTGTGTGTGTAACGATAGCGCATCCTTTCGCATGTTGTCCTCTCTCTTACTCACTCGGTCGCTTGAGAGGCTGCTCGGACAGCGCTTGAATGCGCGAGGAGAGGAAAGCGCACTACGTTCGCAAACGAAAGAATGGAAGAGAAAGGACCAGCCAACCACCGCGTCTACCAACCTGCAACCCCCCCTATCCGCCTACTTGTGCGACTGGAACGCGCTCCATGCGATCTCTGCCTTCTCCGTCTGCCATGCCGAGTTGTTCGAGAAGCCCTTCGGTGCGATGGGTTCCGTCTGTCCGAAGATGAAGCGAAGGTGCCAGTGGATCAAGGTCATTGGGATAAGTAGAAGGCGGGCGAGGCGGAAGGCAAGGCGAACGGAGGCATTGAAAGGGTGCGCAAGGTCAGCAAGTCGTGCGCAGGACTTCAGCTCGACAAGGTACGCACCGACTGCCCTCGCAGCGAGCCTGTCAATCGCTGGTCCCGCTCCATCATCAGCTCCTCCCAGCGGTCGAGGGTGTGTCGTGTGGGCTGCGCAAAGGCGAGAACGTGAGCTCGACTTGCTCGCGAATGCATTGCGACGAAAGACGAGTCCAGGGATGAAGCAAGCGGTGTGACTGACCTTGCCGTCGTTCTGGAGACGCCTGACAGCCGAGAAACCGGTACCAGTGACGGCAAACATGACGGTCAAGAGACCTGTGTTCCAAGGGCAGGCAGGAGAAGGCGGCGTCGTCAGTGTCTGCGCTTCGTCGCCGACGCTCATTCACGCTCCTGACGTACCGAAGGGGATGAGGGCCTCGAAGGGGACGGGCTACGGGATGAAAGCGGTCAGCGAGAGCAAGAGGAGGAGCCGGAGGCCGGAGCGCACCATGTTGAGAAGTGGCTAGAAGGGGGGGACGGGAGAGCTGTGAAGTCATACGCAAGAGTCAGTCATAGTCCCGCAGGCCATCGCTGAAGTGCTTGTCAAGGGGAGGGCATCTAGAGGAGGCATCCGGAGGAAGGGAGTTCGAAGTCGTCAAGTCGTCGATTGGCCAGCGCTGCGCGGGCACTTCTGGCTTCGCTCCCTTCCTGCAATGCCATGCTCGAATTGCCCCGCTCAGTAAAGCCGTCCATCCCGGCTTTGGCGACGACCCGCTTCATCAGGCGAACGACACCCAGCTCCTCCAGCCAGTCGAGCTGCCCTTTATGACCGCATGCAGCCGCCTAACACCCAGCAGCGCCCTTCCAGTGACCTGCCATCGCTTCACCCGCGCTGACGGGCGCGTTCCGTCGTCGAGGTCGGCGAGTCGGCTCGAGGAGGACTGGCGGGCTGGCGATGGTCGCTGTTCGTGCAACAGCGGGTTCATCGAGACCTGTGGGCTTACAGCAACTGTCTGGCGGTGCCTCTGTGGGCTTTTTGAGCGTGGTGAGCGGGTGGAGAGAGCGGACAAGTTGAGGAGGGTCACCGCGAGAAGGGTTTCCCTCGACCAGCTCACCAAACTGGCTCGTACCGGTTCGTATGCTCGGAGAAGGCTACCAGAATCTGCTGGCCAGCTCTACCAAGCCACCAGCGTCCTTCCAACAGGTGCGGACGGACCTCTCCTCCTCCCGCTCGACGACGCGGTAAACAGGCGACAGCCGCTCGCTACACGGTTCGTAGTACGACGTGCAGGCCTAAGAGTGCGTAGACTCATCCGCACATGCTGCGCGACCTGCTCGGGGAACCCGCCCCGTCTCCTGTCGCCCGCTCCTCATCCCGCGGACTGTCCGGACGGTCTTGGCAGCTCCCCTTTCCTCTTCGTTTCGTTCTCGTGCTGGCTCCTTCAGTAACCCAGATTGCGCGACGCCCTGACTTGACCTTGACGACGAAGATGGGCGGCGCCGGAGGCTACGTGATCCCGCTGTCGCAGGCAGTGTACTGCTCAAACCCCGACGCCGTCGAGTCTTGCCTCAAGCTGTGTGCAGCGCCCGACGTCGTCAGTATCGGTGTGCGATTAGGCTCGTACTTGCAGGCGCTCGCGTACTTTGCACTCGTGCTGTTTGCGCCGGACGAGGGAGGCGCAGAGTCCATGGTTCGTCCGCTTCTTTCATCTCGAGAGGGTCGCCAAGACTGACACCTTCTGCGACGAACAGTGGCTCGGCTTATCCGTCTCCTTCTCCTTTCTGATGGCTTGCTACGTCCAGCTCTTCCTCGTGCGTCGCCTCGAAGCCGCTCTCGCTTCCCGCCCTCTTCCGTTCCTGACCTTCCAATGCTGGCAGGGCACCATCACTCTCCACCATACCGTCGCCGTCATCCTCCTCTCACATCTTCCCTACATCGCGACTCTCGCCGGCATGAACTCCTTGACGACTTGTGCGTTTGTTGCTTCGTCGCCGCGCTATACACCCTGACTCTCCATTCCGCAGACGAGGTCCTCGGTCCAGCCGGCGTACTGTTCCTGCAGGGCGGCATGATCCTCAAGGGTCTCCTTACCGCCATACTCTGGGGACTCTGCCTCTTCGCCTACTACGTCGGCCAACTCCCCTCCTGGACTTTCCTCCGCTTCCGCCAAGCCAACTGCTTCTCCTCCACCGCCATCGTCGTATGCTTCTACCCGGTCCGACCAAGCGACGGCCACAACGCCAAGGAGATCCTCCTCCTCGCGTCGTACTCGCTCTTCTGGTTCCTCGTCCTCTGCATCGGGTCTTATTGGACGCTCATCGCACCCGGTGTGCTGGTCAAGCGAGGTGGACACCTGCGCGACCCGCATATGAAGAAGATCAAGGGGTTCCCGATGAAGCCGCACAAGCGGGCAGTGGAGGCGGTCAGCGGTTCCGACGTGGAGTCGAGTGATGACGCGAACAAGCGGAGGCAGCATATGAAGGATGACCCGGACGACTACAAGCGGGATGACTACGATGTGCGTCCGCTCTCGCTCGTGTTTCCTCTTTCCGTTCGTCGACTGACAGTCTCGACGAGTCGCAGGACGGCATGAACCTCATGACGATGCGCTCTGTCCCCAAGGGCCGGACATCCTATCCGCCGGCACCAGCGGACCCGTCGTCCTCCCTCGCCCGCACAACCTCGACAACTTACTCCCTCCCCTCCTATCGCTCCCGCCACGACCCGCCCTCCAACTCCTCTCCCTCCGCTTCCGACTCAGACCCAGCCTCGTCCTCCTCCGACAAAGCGGCTCCACCACGACGCCCGTACTCGCCTCCTCCGGCGACAGAAGGGATGACCGCCCTCTCGCCTTGGAGCAAAAGCTTGCGAGGGACAGCGCAGGATGCGGCGACGAGGCTGAAGAAGAGGCAGGAGGCAAGCAAGCATCACTTTATCATCGTGCGTGGCGTTCACTTCAACCGTACTTAGGAAGAGGAAGAGACTGACGATTTGAGGCCCGGACTGGCAGTGGCCGCTCGTCGCGGTCCTGCTCGTTTTCACGATCGCGACGACGGAAATACAGATGGTAGCGAACGATGTCTTCCCAGGAGTGCGTTGCGCTTTCCCGCTAGGCCTTCCGAGAAGCGAGATTGACAGTCTTCTCTGCAGGAGATGCACCGTGCGGTCCCTATCTCTCTATGCGAGAGAGCGAGTCACTGACTATATTCCTCTTCCGCAGTCGACTTCCCCGGCGCCTTGACCTTCTTCCTCGCGCTCCCAACGCTCTGGGCAGTCGCCAAAGCCCTCAAACGAATCCAAGAAGGCCGTCGCCCTACACCTCAAGAGCGCGATGACAAGACGTTCTATGAGTTGGCTGCTGCGAGGAGGAGAAGGAGGGAGGAGAAAGAGTGGAGGAAGAGGCAGGCGAGGAGGAGGAGGGAGGAGAGCGAGGGAGAGGGGTACGGGTATCAGCAGGTCGAGAGGGCGCGTCGGCGATAGCGTCCGGGCGCTCGGGGCGCTCGAGCTGGATTGGCGGTCGACAGCCCGCACAATGGACTGTCTCCGCGACTCTCGAGGTTCAGACGAACTGGGAGCGAGGTGCGAGGGGGGTATGCTGTACATTGCGAGGAGGAAGTGAGTGCTGCGATACGAGATGACCCAATCAAGCCAGAGGAGAGATAAGCCTGTTCAAGGGACGAGATGGTCGTCAGCGAAGTTCGAGGAGGAGAGGTTCATGAGAAAGCGAACGCACCTCATCAAGGGCGGCCGGGGGTTTGACGCACGGTATGCGACAAAGAGGATGGTGGGGATCCAGCCGTAGTGAACGATGGTCTGCGCGGGGATGAGCGAGAAGTGAACGAGGAGAGGCAAGGTCAGCTGCTGGCTCCGTAGCATCCCACAGGCCTTGCGGGGTCCTCCAGACGGCCGCGATGCCTTCATACGACCGATACAGCCGCCTCTGACCCACCTTTGCGACCTCGATGGCCTTGGAGATGCGCTCCTGCGAGTCCGAGACGAGGGTGAGCTGAGGAAGCGCGACGACGGTGTGCGGGTGTGTGCGCACCTTGTTGTCGTCCGAGAGTCCTACAAATCCGAGCATTGTTGGCGGTACTGGCTCGTTACGGCGTGCAAGTGGTTGTGGGTGAGGACGACGTCGGCGCTCGTCCATGCGTCCATCTTGAACTTGCGAACAACCCGCTTTCTCGCTTTCGTGCTTGCGTGAGGCTGCTGAGACTGCGTACATCGTCTTCTACGACTGCTATTCCCCCCAGTACACCGCAACTCCCGCCTCGCCACCTCGCGTGCCCCCTCCAGAATGTTCATCTCTCGATCCGCTCTCCGGGCGGTTGCGGCGCCGCTGCGGGCGCAGAGACACGTGCCGGCACTGCGCTACCTCCGCACGACATCGGGACCGACGCCGCCACCGTCAGCCGCCTCGCAGACCCCCAATCCCGCATCGCCTGACCCCTCCCAGCCTACCGCCGAACCTCCTCGCGAGACTCAGACGGGCAAGACGCCCTCGGGCGAGTCATTGCCGCCCTTGAGCGCAGGCAAGCCCGTCGAGACGCCCTCTGCACCGGGCGGATCCTCGCCTGACCCGACGCCTTCGTCTGCCGCCGCCTCTCCCGCATTCCAGGTCCCTCCCGTCGATGCCCTCTCGACCCGCCAGAACTCGATCGCCGAAGCGTTCCTCGACTTGCATCCCGATGTCGCACCGCGGTCAGAGGAGGAGATGCGAGGGAACCAGTTCCCGGGCGAGAAGACGGGCGCAAAGGCGCGCGGAGCTGGAAAGTCGTCGATCGAGAAGAAGCGAGCGAACCTCGCGAGGGCTGCAGGTGTCATGACTGTTGCAGGGTTGGTGTGGGCGGTGTACGATCTCGGAAAGGACTGGGCGGACGAGGAGGAGCAGAAGAAGATGTTCGCTCGGAGTGACGACAAGCAGGCGATTGAGGAGGCGCAGGAGGGCGGATGGTTGGGCTGGTGGGGACGGTTGAAGATCCGTGCGGCGGACCACCTTGACGTGCGTCCCAGCTCGCTCGTTCCGTGAAGTGCGGACTGACCTGGTCCTCCTGCAGTACCTCAACAAGCCCGCATGGGATCCCCTCCTTCCTCCTCCTCTCCCTGAGCCCCACTACCGCCCTTACACCCTCGTTATCGACCTCGAAGACATGCTGACCCACGACAACTGGGATGTGCGTGCGAGTCCTTGAACCTCGCCTCAACCTCCTCGCTGACTTTTCCTTGCGTGCAGCTCGAGCACGGTTGGCGAACGGCCAAGCGACCTGGAGCCGACTACTTCCTCGCCTACATGTCGCAGTTCTACGAGATCGTCCTCTTCACCACCCTTCCTTCCTACGTGAGTTCGGCTGCCTTCCCTACGTCTGTGCTAGCGACTGACTGCCGTTCCCGCAGCTCGCCCTTCCCGTCATCGAGCAACTCGACCCTTACGGCGCCTACATCCCGTGGAAGCTCTTCAAGGAGGCGACTCGGTACAAGAACGGCATGAACATCAAGGACCTCTCTTACCTCAACCGCCCTCTCGAGCGCACCATCATTCTCGACACCGATCCCGCGCGTTTCCAGCTCCAGCCGACGAACGGTATCCCGATGAAGCCGTGGATGGGCACCAAGGGCGATGCGACGGCGAACGAGCTCGTCGCGATGATTCCGTTCCTCGAGGCGATCGCGATCAAGCAGGTCAAGGACGTCAGGCCCATTATCAAGCACTACGAGGGCAAGCACATCCCGACTGCGTACATGGAGGCTGAGGCCAAGACCAAGAAGGAGCTGCTCGAGAAGTGGGAGCAGCAGAAGAAGGACACGAGCGTCAAGGGTTGGATGAGCCGCATGTTCGGCGGCCTGATTTCGGTGCGTTGAGCGTGCTCCTTTCCGGACGTGCTGAAGCTGACGCGAACGCTCGCAGACCACGATGAGCGACGCGCCGCCCGAGACCGACATCGAAAAGATGCGCAAGACGGCCCAGAAGCTCTACCAGGACGAGCAGAAGTACTGGAAGGACAACGCCGAGATCATCCAGAAGCAGATCGAGGAAGACAAGCAGCGCCAGCTCAAGGAGTGCGTTCACTCGCTTTCCATCCAGTCTCGAGTTGCGAGCTGACCCGCCTTTCGCTGTCCAGGATGTCCACCTCGCTCGTCGGCGTCATGGGCTTCAAGCCCCCTCCTACAGCCGCTCCTGCACAATAATAGCACTCTTATCGATTCGCAAACACCACTGTACAGCTCGCAAGTCTCCTTCACCCCTCACGTATCGTGCGCGATTCGGCCATCGTCGTCTTCCGTTGCAACGGGCGCTACTCTGCCGCACTTCATTCTCGAGCTTCGTGTAGTTCGTGAGCGAGATCCTGCATAGCATGGCGGGAGTGAGAGTCAGCCGAGTCTCGCTCTTAGTCCGCGTCTGCTCCGCCACAATCGTGTCCTTCAGATCTGGCCTTTTCCTTCGCCATCTCAGCGTCTGCCACCTCCCGCACATGCACGAGGCACGTCCCCTCCTGCCGCCGAAACACACGACCCACACGAAGGCGGGAAGGGCTAAAGAGCGGACTGGGAGAGAGAGGGGAGGGCAAAGGGGCGCCGTGGTCCGCTATCCGTTCCTTTCTGCTGATCTCATCCGTAGGAACGTCCGTCGAGGATTCGACGCAGGGAGCGGAGACGGACCTTGGCCAAGTGGATCCTTGATTGCCGACGAACAGAATCGCGGGCGTCTGCGATGAGGGCGTCTGATCCGATCGCGTCGCCGCGACTGGAACGTCGTATCTGTGCATCGTCAGGACGCTTCAATCAGCATGACTGCACCTAGCAATCCGTGCTGGAGTTTGGGTTTGGGACGCACCAGCTCGTCTCGAACACAGATCCGACGAGCTCTTCTGCCCCGCCTAGAGCCACTTGAAGCCTCGCAGCCTTTCCCAGGAGCTCACCGCGCTCCTCTCGTGCACACTGACCGCCCGCTATCCATCTAAGCCTCGCGCACTCCACCGCCGCAACTCGCAATCAACCGCTTGTGGTGACTGAGCGCGACGAGGCTCATGCTAGTCGATACGAGTATGAAGCCGAGAAACTTGTAGAACGCTGAGCGGGACATCTGGCGTTCTTCGAGCGGAGAGCGGAACGAGGCGAACTGGACAAGCGGTGGGAGGTGATGAGGCAATGGGTGAGGGAGGACGGCGTCAGCGGCCGTGCGAAGGGCGGGAGGGAGTGCAGCGTACGATGTTGCGTAGGTTGGGGAGGGCCATGGTTCGCAGGCTGCCAGAAGGAAGAAGCACAGTGAGGAGGAGGAGGGAGAGGGTCGTCGGCGCCGACGAGAGCAGCTTACAACGCATCGTAGGGACTGCTTGTGCTTGGAACAATCATGATATGACACTAGATGACACGACATGTACAAAGGAACGCCCAAAGAGTACTCGAAACCATCCCTTCCGTCGTCAAACTCGCAAAACTCGTAACCCTGGCCTCATTCCTCCTCGACGTTGGAAATCTTCGCGAAGAGCTCGTCGGACGTCGGGCCGTGGAAAGACTTCCGCACGAAGAGGAAGTCGATGAGGGCGAGGAGGGCCATACCGCCGAGGACTGCCGCGCCGTAGTCTGCAAAGATCGACGGCGTCAGCAGAACTCCTCTGCTAGGCTACGAGAAGAACTGTACGCACTCATGTCAATCGGCTTCGGGTTGGGCGTGAGCGGGAAGAGCCACATGACAGTCGTGAGGAGGCAGAACAAGATAGTCACGACATTCGAGACTCCTCCCAGCCACCCAAGACGCATCCACCTATCGCGCTTCATCTCCCTCTTCCGGAGAAGGAGCTGAGTGGCGGGAATGGCGAACGAGATATTGCCGAGGATGATGCAGGTCGAGATGATGGACCCGTAGGCGGTTGTGGAGGCACAGTAGAGCGCGCCGAGGATGGTCACGCCCAGGCCGGAAAGGAGGAGAGGGAGGATCGGAACGCGGAAGTGCGGGTGAACGTAGGTGAGCTTGTCGGCGAAGGGGAGGCCGTTGTCGCGTGCGAAGGACCAGCTGTGAACGCCCAGGTCAGCTTCAAAGACTCCAAGCTTGCGGACAGGTTGACGCACATGAGGCGACTTGTGCTCTGATGCACCGAGTTGGCCGAGACAAAGAGGCAGAGGAGGAAGGCAACCATGAGGACCGTTCCGCAAGCCTTGCTGCCCGTCGCCTGAACGATGATCTCGAGGAACGGCAGCTCGCTGGCGAGCGCTGCATTGAGGTCTTGGACGCAGTAGATCAGCGTGACCGAGATAGCCATGCCGGTGACGAAGCCCATCCCGACGGTCGACAGAAGGGCGAGCGGGACCGCCTTCTCGGGTCGCTTGACTTCCTCGACGAGGTGGATCGCGCCGTCGAGGCCAGCGTACAGGTCTGCACGATTGCACGGTAAGCTATGCTTGACGAAAGCAGGAAGAGCCGACGACGCACAAGAAGGGTTCACCAAACCCGTCATGACGACGACGAAGGACGAGCTCCAGCCGATCTCGTTCGTGTAGGTCGCCCAGACAAACTTGTTGTCGTTGTAGGTCGGCGCCTTGGCGACCACGACGATCGTAATCACGAGGAAGACAAGGGTGGAGAAGTAGACTGCGAAACCGACGTTGTCAGCGCCGTTGGAGGCATGAGCGGGATGCGGAGGGACGCACAGAAAGCCTTGCCGACCCACGGCGTCCGCGCAGCCGCAAAGATGTTCCAGGCGACCGAGGCAAAGTTCGTGGCGAGGTAGATCATATAGACCTGCCAGCGCTGGATGACAAAGTCGGGGTGGTAGAGCTGGACGACGGCGAAGATGACTTCGCTTAGAATAATGACGACCGAGGCGGTGATAGTGATCCAGGAGAAGATGTCTGCGAGGTAAGGAGCGGGCAACAGCGTCAGCGAGAGGAAACTTGGGAGAAGAAAGGTGCACGCACTCGTCCAAGCAGTCGCAAAGGAGATCGCGCGTCGTGTACGAGGACCAGCAAGAATAGCCGACCAGACATACTGCGTAGCGAAGCGCTTTCAGAATTGGGACGGATGAGCGTGCTGAGCGAGGGCAGGGGGCGCACCTGGCCTCCTGCCGAGGGATAGGCAGATGCAAACTCGCCCAGCGACAAGGCAAGGAAAACGTTGATGATAGCGACGCCAATTAACCCGTAGAGCACGGTGACCGTCCCTGCGATAAGCGTAGAACAGTGAGAAAAGGAGATCGTGCGACTGCCTCGACAGTATGAAGACGCACCGCCTTGACTGAGTCCTACGACGATGGTGGACGACATCGCAGCCCATCCGTTACAGATGCTCATGCCCAAGCCGACGATAGAGAGCGGGCCGATGTTGCGTTTGAGGGTTGTCGTTGCTGGCGAGACGGCTGCGACAGCCATGCCCGAGTCTTTCTCGTGCTTGTCCATACTGGAGGCGTCGCTCATGGCGGGTGTGCGACGTGTGCGAGAGAGGTTGAGAGTACTCGTTCAGGGGAGGATGCGTGCAGACAGCAGAAGAGGCGCGGGCGGGTCGCTGGGCGGCTACGGCGGTCGGAGATAGCGTGCAGGTGCAGGTAGAGAAGCAAGGAGCGGGGAGTGCATGTATCGGGAGCGGAGAGCAGGCGACAAGGCGAAGATGGGGGCACACTGGGTGGCAGGGGGCGGGGGCCCGTCGTCGCCCCTGGAGCGCTGGCCGGGCGATAGCAGTGTCCCTCCAGCCCCCAGTTGCTTCAGCAGGTCGGACAAATCCTGTCCAGCAGCGGCGAGCGGACGTTCGTAGCGAGAACAAGGCGAACCGCCGTGTGCCGACGGAGTGAAGGGGTGGTCGTCGCTGGCGTCGTCCGGGAGACGCGCGGATGGTGTTCGAGCTTGGCGGAATGTCGTACTCGACGCCTTCCTCGACAAGATAGCCCAAGAGAGACGAGGAGAGCGAGCGAGAGGGCGGCGAGTCCGACAGGAGGTCATTCCGCGCGGACTCCGCTCGAGCGCTCCTCACGTCTCCGCAACACCCTCCTCTGACTTGCCACGCCGTGCACGACGTCGAGATGACTCAAGGACCGCAGTGGAAACGCCTGATCCGCTTCACGGCAGTCGAGGACGGCCAGGTGCGCCTTCTCCACTCCTCACCAGGCGTCGGCAGACTGACGGCGCTCCCTGACGACCGCAGGAGTACTACGGCGAGCCGACAAACGACGGAGACATCGGCTTGCTTGCACACAAGGGCGAGAAGCTGACCGCCCGCATCCTCGACGGCCACCCTCTCCTCCTCACCTCCACCCTCTCTCACCGGACACGCACCGTCTCCAAGCTCCTCTCCCCTCTCGCTCCGCGCGACATTACCGCCATCCGCGGACTAGGCCTGCAATACCCACCCGATCCGGCGAAACCCGTCCAACCGCCTGCCGTTCCCTGCCTCTTCTTCAAGCCTTCTTCGTCTGTCGCGGGTCCGGGAGACGAGATCGTGATCCCAAGTCTGGCGGAGGGCGAAAAGAACGACTATGAGTGCGAGTTGTGCGTCGTGATTGGGAGGGACGCGAAGGATGTCAAGGAGGAGGATGCGCTGAACTATCTGGCTGGGTGCGTCGAGCCCCCGCTGCTGTCCTCTCGCTTCAAGCAGTGTACTGACCATGTTGTTGCAGATACTGCGTCGTCAACGACGTCTCATCTCGCGGACTCTGCGGCAAAGGCGTCCAATGGGGCATGGGCAAGGCCTTCGACTGTGCGCACCTCTCCTCCTCATCCTCGCACGCCGAAGGTGACCCTCCCGCTCGCAGCTTGGTGCCCTATCGGACCTTGCCTCGTCTCCCCCGCCGCGCTTGGCAAGGCAGCGGACGCCCTGGCGCTCACGACGCATATCAACGGCCAACTCGCGCAGAAGGCGTCGACGGCAGACCTCGTCATCAAAGTCGTGCGTTTCCCTCTCCCCTCTTCCACCCATTCTCGACTGACGCACCACCGTCTTTGCAGCCCGAGTTGATCGCCCGCCTCTCACACGGCACGACCCTCCAAGCGGGCTCCTTGATCCTCACCGGCTCGCCCGTCGCAGTAGGCCGCTCAGCGCCCGGCGACGCAGTCGAAGCGAGTCCGTTCATGAAGCATGGAGACGAGGTCAGGTGTTTCGTCGAGGGGTGCGGTGAGTCGCCGAGAGCGTCAGAAGCTTCTGTTGACGACTTGAGCTGAGTCGGTTCTGTGCACGCGCAGGTACGCTCATCAACACAGTCAGGGAGGAGTCGCCGAAGGCTGCTGGAGCCCGGGGTTTCGAAAAGGCGAAGCTGTAGAGGAGGAAACAACGAAAAGGCGAGGCTGCAGGCTGAATCGCCGCCATATCGAGTCGCTCGAGCAGGAGAAGCACGAGAGCGGCTGATAGTGGATTAGTGACTAGCAATACAAGCGGGAGGAGAGTGGTTACTGCTTCGTATCGTCGGAAGTCTATCCTTGCCTCCGCGTCTACTCCTGCTTCGACTCGTGCTTGTAATGCGGCGAATCCTTCTTCCACGCGTACATCGTCGACTCGCGTTCTTCGCGCTTGAGGTCCTCGTCGGACTTGCCTTGCGCGTTGGGGATTTGCGTGAGCGCCGCGGAGCCGAGGAGGGCGACGACGGTAACTCCTTGCGCGACCATACGGGCCTGCGGGGCGATCCATCAGTGCGGGCTCAGCGAAAAGAAGACAGTGCGGACGCACCTGGACGAGCTTCTGCGCAAACGTGAGAGGCGTCGCAGCGATGTACGCTCCGGATCCGACCATACTCGCAGCCCACGACAGCCCGACGGCGGTCCACCTATTCTCCTTCGCCCACTCGACGACCGCCTCCTTCGTGCTGACAGGCGCATTGCGCTTCGGTTTCCCACCCGCGATTCCGGCCTCTTGCTCGAGTCGTTGTTGTTCGTGAGAGGAGCGCTCGAGCGCCGTGCCGGACCCGACGGCGTATTTGGCGAGCTCGAATTCGCGAGAGGCTTTGTCGGCGCTGATGATGAAGGCGGCGGTTCCGAGTGAGCTGTGTGTTTGCGAGATCGTCGGAAGCCAAGTCGAGGAGGAGAACGAGGTCAACGCGAATTCACCGAGGGAGTCGCATAGTAAGGGATCGCGGGACGTACGTGACAGCAAACGCCTTGAGAGGCAGCGTCAACCTCGTGAACGCCTGTACGTTCGCCCTCTGCAGCGCAACCGCACCCGCTCCACCCGCCGCCAACCCCATCGCGCCGCCCTTGAGTCCGCCCATGACTGTGGCGTGGTAGTGCTGCTGCTCGTCTGATCGTGGTGCTGCCTGTGTGCATGGACGAGCGGGAGGGTGGGTGGCGAGCGACGAGGTCAGTGATGTCAACGAGACGGTGGTCTCTCGTCGCGCGAGTTGGACTGGCGGGAGTGGGTGCGCACCTTGACCATTGTGAGTGTGTTGCTGTGAGTCTATCTGTGGTGGAACGGAGCAGGACGAGACGAGCAAGGCGAGAGATTCGAAGGCAGGCGAAGTTCTTCGCTCGGCAACGGAGCGAGGCGAGCGAACGGGCGAAAAAAAGTCGGGTCGTGACGAGGCGCGCAACGGAACCTGATGCCGCGCTTAGTGTTGCGTAGTGTAAGCCTTGGTAAGCAGGAGAAGTGAGAGTAGTGGCAAGTCGCGTGAGGAGGAGATTGGGAGGAGGAGGGCGGCGACAGTTTGAAGGGACGGCCTGGCAAGTGACAGAGGCGAAGAGCGACGTTCCGAGTCACAGGAGATACGAAAGGAGCAAGCAGGGCAACGGGCAAGGACTCGGCGGATTGCGAAGGTCAGACGGTACGAAGACTCGCCGCTCTCGTGTTGTCGTCCGAGATGAAGCTGGTCTTGTAGATGCCCGCAATACAGCCACAAATCCCGCCCTACAACTTCGACTCCCGCGCCGCGCCGTGGTACCGCTGGAACGCCTCGTCGACGAGCTGCGCGACATCCTCCGCCGCGCCCCAACTCTGCTGGTATCCCGCACTCGAGAAGCCATACGCATGCACAAGCGTGACCTCCTTCTCCTTCGCCGCTCGTGCGCTGCCCCTGCCGAGCGAGAGGGGCGACTTTGTCCGGTCGAGAGGCAGGACGATCCGTTCTGCCTCGACGCGGGGTCCGCCTCGTCGTGCAGGTCGCAAGCCGACGTTGTGGCGGAGGACCTCGATGCCTTCGATCGTTCCGTCGCTCGAGATGGTCGGGTCGAGGCGCAAGCAGTGCTTGAGGATCCGCTGGACCGTCTCTGGGTTGACAGACAAGTCCCAGTCTCCCACGCCGTACGTCCCGCCGCAGATGACTTCGCCACCTGGTCGGGGAATGATGTAGGCGGGAGAAGCGGGGTCGGACGAGTCCATCGTGCATCGCTTGCATGGGGACTTGACGAGGACGGTTTGGCCGCGGATTGGCTCGGCGGCTTGGTCGTCGATGCCCGCAATCGACTTGGCGCCTGCGAGCATATCAATCAGCAAAATTGCAGGTAGAGAGGGGCAGTTCGGGACATACCAAGTCCCGTAGCGTTGACCACCAAATCCGCACCGTCGAACGCCTGCTCAAGCGACGTAACGGTCCGTCTCTCAAACGTCGCGCCGAGCTTCTGCAGCTCTCTTGCAAGGTACTGGCAGTACTTTGGTGCGTGGACGGAGAGGGTGTCGTAGGTTACGCCGATAGCGCCAGGTGGACATTCGGAAGATGGGAGGGGGCGGTACTGCGCACGGCGAAAGAGGGCGGGTCAGTAAACGGAGACATGCGAAGGGAAGAGTGAATGTGGGCGCACATTTGGCGTGATGTCCTTGTACCAGTGCCCGAGCAAGCCGTCTTCGTTCTGCGCGAACCGCCTCGTCCCCTTGAGCCACATGGCATGGCCCGTCGGGACCAACTCGACCCACTTCTTGCTGTGTATCATACACTCGTCAGCTCGAGGCCAAGAATGAGGTAGAAGGAGACGCACAAAGTCGATTCTTCCCATTTTGCTTGTCGAGGACCGTCTGTAAGCGTCATGAAAGGCGTCCAATTCGCGCCCTGCGGGGATGACGAGATTGCTCAGCTCTCGCTGACATCCTCCAACTACAGTGAGACGACGCACAGCCCATGGTGAAGCGAAAGTCTGGCTCGAGACGTCCTCCGGCAAGTCGCGCGCGAGAATATGCACGCTGTAGCCCTTCCGAGCGAGGATGAGGGCGCTGCTCAGACCGATAACTGTACACTCGAGCGCTCAGTCAGCCCAGATCGCCCTCGGCAGCTTTGCTCGCCGTCCTACACCTCGTCGAGGACTGTCGGGTGTGGGGAGGAGAGGGAAAAGACGCACCGCCTGATCCGAGGACAACGACGCGCTTCTGAGAGTGCATGGCGTCGTTCGAGTAGTACAAGCAGCAGCAAGAGCGATAGAGAGCTGTTAGTCGAGCGACACCCCCTCGTCCCCCAGCGCGACTCCCCATCTGCCTCCTCCGCCCCACGCTCTGCCTCCATGTGCCCTCCTGTTGACTCTGCGCTGTCCTCCTTGGACCATCATTCACACTCATGCTCGTGCCGAAGCTTCCCGTCGTCGCAGCGCTGCTCTGCGGCCTTGCAAACGCTTACCAGTCGACCTTCACTTTACCCGACGACTCCTTGCTCGCTGAAGCCCGCGGGATCCTGAAACGCCACCCACTCATCGACGGACACGTCGACCTTCCCTACGTCGCCCGCCACCTCTCCCGGAGACCGCTCGACGTCCTCCCTGAACTCGCAACCGGCCTCGCAGGCCATGTCGACCTCCCGAAACTGCGTCGAGGAGGCGTAGGAGGCTTGTTCCATGTCGCGTATGCTCCCTGCGATGCGCAACCGACGGGAGAGGACTTCCTCGAGCCGACGAATGCGGTCGAGTGGGCGCTCGAGAGTGTCGACCTCATTCATCGGATGGTCGAGCATTATCCTGAAGAGATGGCACTCGCTCGGACAGCGGACGAGGTGCGGAGTGCGTTTGCGGAGGGCAAAATTGCGTCGCTTATTGGCTTGGAAGGGTGTGCACGAACAGTCTATCCCGACTTCGTCCCGCTGACTGGCTCTTGCGAACAGCTCCCATCACCTGATGAACTCGCTCGCCATCCTGCGACTCTTCCAGCAACTTGGCGTGCGATACCTCACGCTCACGCACACCTGCCACACCTGTGAGCGGATCCAGTCCTTCACTTCGGTTAGCTTGCTGACCCAATGCTCCCGCAGCCTTTGCCTCTTCCGCCGGCGATGGCTCTCCTATCGAGCCTGTGCATGACGGGAATGGCCTAACTGCATTTGGCCGCGAACTCGTACCGGAGCTGAACAGGCTCGGCATGATGGTCGACCTCTCGCACACCAGTGATCAGACCATGCTCGATGTGCGCACTTCGCTGCAACACTTCCGAGACTTCGCTGACGACTTGGCTAGCAGGCCCTCGAGCTCAGTGCCGCACCCGTCATCTTCTCGCACTCCGGCGCGAGAGCGATCCACGACCATCCTCGCAACGTCCCGGACGAGGTCCTCAAGCTTATCGGGCCAGGCGAGAGCCAAAACCACGGCATCGTGTACGTTCGCCTTGCTTCTTTCATGAGTGAACACTTCCTGACCCGCCGCACGCAGGATGGTCGTCTTCTACCCCTCCTTCATCGACCCTACGAACGCAACGCACATCCGCGTCGCGGATCACATCGAGTATATCGCCACCGTCTGCGGCAAGAAGCATGTCGGTCTCGGGTCCGACTTTGACGGCATGCGCTCGAGCGTCGAGGGGCTTGAGGATGCGTCGAAGTTTCCGAACTTGGTGCGCGTCGTTTCGCTCTCCCGCCTCGATGGAATGCTGACAAGCTTGTCTGCGCAGACTGCAGAGCTGTTGCGACGAGGCTGGACGGAAGACGACCTAGCGGACTTGATCGGCGGCAACCTCCTTCGCGTGATGGAAAAAGTCGAGGCGGTCCAGCGCTCTCTCGCCTCGCAGCCTGCCTCTCCAGCCGTGTACGAGAAGCGGACAGATTTGCCGGTGATGTGGGCGGGCCCGGGAGGGGAGTATCTTCCGCAGGACGTGCAGAATGAGGTGCTCAGGCGCTTCCCGCCGCGCAAGAAGGACGAGTTGTAGACTGTTCAATATGCAGGGCAAAGCTAGGAGTACCAACAACAGACTGGCGAGCGTGACTATCGGACAACCCAGGAGAGGCGAAGAGAATCAGAGCTTCCTCTGCAATAGCCCACGAAGGATGGCGGCAGCGTCGTGACCTGCGAATACTTAGTCAGCGAATGGCACAGGGCAAGTCACGAACAGGCGCTGCGTACCGATGCCCCACTGTTGGCCTTGCAGGAGGGCGGCTATTTGGGCGAGGAAGAGCGGGATGTCTTCCGCTCGATACAAAATCGGGAAGTCACGATGGAGGAAGAGGCCGTTCTGCGGGAGACAGGAGTAAGCTTGGTTCAGCTCCGAAGGGAGAGAACAAGCGCGAGACTCACCGCTTGCTCAGACGTGGCGCTCGGGTAAGCGAAGGGTGCGGGACGGAGCGAGCCGAAGATCCAGACAACGAGCTGGAGAAGCTGACGATCAGCTCCCATCCCTGATTGTGCTTGTGGAAGTGACGCACAGTAGCAATGTAGATGGCCCAAGGACCGTACATCCCGTCTGCGGCGGTCCATCCTCGCTCCAGGATCTCAGGCTGTGAAGGTAAGCCATCAGCAACGGGGGAGAGCAAGCAAACGTGCGATACGCACCTGGAGTCGCTGTGTCAGGTAGCTCCCCGCCAATTCGGCAGCCTGAAGACCCTCATCCGTTGACACCCACTTCCGCACTGCCTTCCCGGCGAGCGAGAAGTCTTCCGGTCCGACCGTTCGCGCGGCGATGCGGTCGACGCCGGCAAACGTCAGGATAGACGTACTATCGAGCCGGAAGCTGATCAGCCACGAGAGGGACGAGTAAAGAGAATAAGCGAACGCACAGGTCCGCGAGAAGATCGAGTTCGGCGACGAGCAACAGGTCGAGCGATGTCAAGCTGATGCTGCGCTCCGAAGCTGACAGGAAGGGCAGGTCGACGGTGAGGATGATGTCGGTCCTCAACTGCCGGTAGGCGTCCCGCAGCGACCCTCGCCAATTGCGCTGTACGGATTCGATCGCTGCCGCTCGAAGCGACCCGCGCCATTTGACGTCCCATCCGACGGACATCAGACCGTGAATGACGCAGTAGCGCGCAAACGGGTTTAGGTGCGGTGGAGTTGCAGGAGGAGCGGTTGAGGCGGTGGAGATGGAGAGAGCGTGCTTGACGGCGTAAGGAAAAGGTATGTCGGGTGTCGCTTGACAGGCTCGCCAAGCTGAGGAAGAAGCGGCGGTCCATCGGTCGTCGTCGCTCGGGAGGGCGAGCCGGATAAGGAGGATCGAGAGGGCGCGAGTCGGGAGGTGCTGGAAGATGGTCGACAGCTCGATCTGTGCAGCGTCGTCAGCAAAACAATTCTCGACTACTGTCAAGATGATTCGTAAAGACGCACGTCCCGCATGATCACGGCAAAAGCAACTCGCCGCCAGGACTCGCTCTCGATCCAGGCCTGCCAGCGCTCATCCTCCGTCTGCGCCTGCGCGACCTGCGCCGACATCTTCGTGTAGAAGCGCCAGGAAAAGACGTCCATCAAGCGACCGATCTGCAAATCGCGAACAGTCAGTAGGCAAGCTCACGCGAGAACTGCGAGGGTCTTGATCTTGTCTCCAGCAGACGAGCGACTCACCGTGACCTCGTACGCGCTGTCAGGATACGCCATGTCATGTCGCTTCTGATCGAGCAACATCTGGCCCGCTTGGCCGAGGATCGTGAGAGCTTGAAATGCTCCGAGCGGGATAGGCGGGACAGACGCTTCGTGCTGCACAAGCGTGGGTCAGCTACTGCTTCCCGACTCATACGATTGGATCCAATCCACCAGCATCAACATTGGTCGGACGTGCGGGAAGAGCTGCTGGCCAAAGGTGCGGACGTTTGCGTCTGGCTGGAGACAGAGTCCGACGACGATCATGGCGGACAGCAAGCCGAGCGAGCGAGTTGGGTCGAAAGTAGAGGTGTGGACAATGGGAAGCTGAGGATGGAAAGTTTGCCAGTAGCGCGAGAGGGCGGACGAGAAGGTTGAGCATGTTGCGAGGGGATGGCTCGCGAGGGATTGGGCGCTCTGCCGACACTCGCATGTCAGCGGGCTGTCATTTGAGGCGAGGCAGGGTGCGCACAAGCAAGTAGGTGCAGAGTGACAGGCGTAGCGGTTCCGTAACGTCAGTCGGCGGACTAGAGGGGAGAAAGATGTTGCTGGTTGAGGCGGACGGTCCGCCGGTGTTGAGCGAGAGGATACTCCAGTCGAAGGGAAGCGCTGCTATGTCGCCTTCGAGGTTAAATGCGAGGTCGGGCAGCGGATCGAGCCAGCCAGGTCCCGAGTCGGCCAAAAGCCACCCGTAAAGGTCGTCGAGGCCGCCGTCTCCGGGTGTTTCGGGGAGATTGGGCATTCCGGCGCCGCCGTTCGGTTCTGGCGGACTCGGCGAGCGTTCTTTGGTGGCGCCACCTTCCGCAACTTCGTGTTTCTTGAGGTGCGCGAAGAGAACGTCGCTTCTCGTGAAAGACCTCCCGCACTCTGGGCAGTTCTTCCGCTGCTCCGGGTCATGGTTGGCAGTGTGTCGCTTCAAGTGATCTGCGAACGAGCAACGAAGGGCTGTGAGAAGTGCGATGAAGGCGAAGTTGACGAGGGAGACGCACCGGCGCGGGAGAAGCTCTTGGTGCAGCCGGGATGGGCACAGAAGTGTCGCACGTCTGGATCCTTGTTCCTCCCCATCAGCGGCACAATCTAGCGAGATAGCAGCGAGTTCTTCTTCGACAACCCCCACCTCCTGAGCGGGTCGAGGAGAAGCCATTCACTCAACAGCTGCTTGTGCCCGCGTGACTGGCTAGAAGTGCTCGCTACGATGTCTGCAGCAGTCTCAGCGCGGCTGACAGCGCTCCAAGCGGCGCCATCGCTCGAGACGGCCCGCAACGACGCTCGCTCGCAACTCTCATCGTCACTGCCGGCGCCTCTCGTGCCGTCGCAGCTGGGCGAGCACCTGGCACGGTTACTAGAGCAGCAGCGGGCTCAGGCGACGCGGCTTGAGGGCGAACTCGCGGTGTCGCGGGAGAAGGACGACCAGCTCTTGAGCGCGGCGAGGGACAGGGTGCAGCAGGTCAGGGAGCGGACAGAGCGTCTCAAGGCTGAATACGCAGGGACGGATCATGGTCTGCGTACCGTGCGGGACAAGCTTGTATCGGGTCTCGAGGTAAAGGACGAGGGCACGGACGGTTTAACGCTTCGCGAACGGCTCGTTGTGCTGTCGCAGCGGCGGAAGGAGCTCGAAGCGGCGAAGAAATGGTTCGGAGCGATCGTAAAGGCCGAGGACCTCGGGTGCGCGCAGACTCTTATCGTCTTCAACTCACCCCGCTGACTTTCGTTGCAGATTGACCGTCTTGCGTTCGCTCGACACTGGTTCGCTTCCTCAAGCCTTCCGCGCCTATGTCAGCCTTATCGAGTACATCAAGACTATACATCAGGCGTCGGAGTCAAGCAAGGCTGCGACGCCGAACGGAGCGGCGGGCATGGTTGCCCTGACCTCGCACCTTGTCGGCATGGCCAACTCTGTCTGGAACTCGCTCGTACGCGTGCTGTCGAGGTGCGCACATTCTACACTCCCGCTGAAGGGGTCGTCGCTGACGCCCGCGCGAGGACAGCCGCCTGCTCAGCAAGCTCGAATCGCTTGGCTGGCCTCGGCCTTTCGCCGAACCGCTCGACCCGTACGAGGACCCCCGCGTGGCCGAGTTCCAGACGGCATTCGTCGACCTGCTCACGCTGGAACATCTGTGCGTTCCGACCCGGCTTTGTGTCCACAAGGTGCTGACCTCGTCATTTACAGGCAAGCGAACAATCCGATTCCCGGACCGTCCAAGAGCGCCGTTCCAAGCTCGTCAAAACCCAAGCCGCTGCTCGCCCTCGGGCCGCTCGTCCACCCGCTCCTCCTGCGCTTCAAGTGGCATTTTGAGGGAGATCGCGGGACGAACCGGATTGACAAGGTCAGCCCATACATACCACTCGCATTCCGCAGAGCCAACAGTGCGCTCATTTTGCATCACCACGCAGCCCGAATACCCCTTGTCGCACGTCTTGAATCTCTTGACCGCTCACGAACGATTCCTGAGCGAGGACATCCAATTCCTCCTCGACTCGAACGGCTTCGACCACATCGACGCAGTCGTGCGTACATCCAATCATGCCCATCCGGAGAGCCATCGCTGACAGCTCATCGCCCGCAGAACGAATTCACCTCCCTGCTACTCCCGCCCCTCGCATCTCGCCTGCGACACCATCTCCCTCAGCTTCTCACGATGCCACCGATCCTCGCTCATACGGTCTACCAAGTCGTCGAGTTTGATCAGCAGTTGCGGTCTCGAGGATACCGCCCGAGGACTTGGCCGACGGTCCTGCCGGAGGGGGAGGAACCGGAAGAGGAGGAACGCGAGTGGGAAGGCCTGAGCGAGACGATTCTGGGTCGGCAGGAGTGGTTCGAGCGGTGGCTCGACGGCGAGCGAATGTGTTCGTCGCAGGTCCTTACGTTCAAGCCCAAGTTTGCGGCTGACAACCTGTGCTCCGACACGCAGTCTTCAACCAGCGCTACTTCAAAGTGATCGGCGCGTCGGATGCGTGGCACATCGTGTCAGAGGAAGACTACGACGCGGATGCTGGTGGTAGCGGTACAAGGCCGACCAATTCGGCTCTCAGGGTGAAGGAGCTTGCCGAGCAGCTTGCCGGTGAGATCGCATGCCCGACCATCTCGCGTAGCGCGTGATCACTAATGCTACAAATGCAGACCGATACCGCCCAATTCCCCTGCGGCATACCCTTCCGTTCCTCCTCACCCTTCACCTCCCTCTCCTCCAGTCTTACGCCGCACGCATCACTTCGTCGCTCGACGCTTTCGAATCCCTCTCCTTCGGCATCCTGCCGGGCGCGCTCGGTCAGACAACCGCGGCTACTGCAGGCGTAGGCGGCGTTGTCAGGCTCGTCCGTGCCGGTGTGAGCGCGAGGTGGATGAGCGAGAAGTGCGCAGAATGGGGCGAGGATGCGGTACGTCGTGTTCCATGTCCTCTCATCATGCGCTCGCTGAAGCTGATTGATCGGCTACCCTGCAGTTCTTCCTCACGCTCTACGACTACCTCTCCTCTTCCGTCTCGACTCCGGGCAAGCTCGACCGCACCCTGCAAGACGCAGCCGACGACGTTCTCGACAACAGCGAAGGGACCGTCTTCGATCGCGAGCACAAGGTCTTCGAGAATTTGGCGGATCGGAGCGAGGAGCTCATCGTCAGGCATTGCGCTCGCGAGGTCTCGAACGAACTCAAGCCGTACTACCTCAAGTGCGTCCGTTCCCTTCTTATTCGGCGAGACTGGCGTTGACGACATGACCTGCAGGCGCTGGGAAGAGATTGCCGAAGAAGACGCGACGGAACGCTCGCTCTCACCCGAACTCATCGCGCCGCTCTCGCTCCTCTCTTCGCTCTTGTCGACTCTCGTCCAATCCTTCCCGCCCGCGACGCGCACGTCTCTCTATCGTCGAATCGCCGCCCTCGTCTCGCAGTCCCTCTATGACCGCCTCCTCGTCTCGCATGGCTGGACCGAATCGAGCGCCCAGCAGCTCCAGTACGACCTCGAGAACGGGTTTCTCGTCGCTGCAAAGGAGGCAGGTCTGCCTCAGCGTGGCATCATGCGCGGATGGGAGGTCGCGCGCGGCGGAGCGACGGTCCTCGCCCTCCCGTCCCAGGCGTCGCAGCAAGGCGGCTACGTCCCCGGCGGCGACTGGACCTTCTCGCGCGTCATGCAGGTCGCATTCGACGACTCGGTTACGGAGGAGGAGGGCGGCAAGTTTGCGGAGATGATGGACGACCTGGGAGTTGGCGAGGCACTCACGAAGAGCGAGGTGCAGTCGTTGCTCCGGCGCCGGCCCGAGTGTTGGAGGTAGACGGCGATGCTTCGCGTCGTGTTGATGCATTGCAAGACCGCTTACAGCAGAAGCAGCTCGTATGTCCACCGTAGCCGCTTGTTGCGCTCCTCTCCCTCTTCTGCTCCCGTCTCCTCCACTCGTCGGCCTTCGCTGGCCACCTGGGCGAGCCACGTCCGCTTAGAGCTGCCACAGCGACTTACACGCCGCTCCTCAAGCCCCGCCAAGTCCTCCCCTCTCGCCTCGCTCCGCTCATCAACATGTCGGCCACGCCGCCTGCAGCGGCTCAGGACGCACTGCCGCCCGCGTACCGAGATCCGAAAGCCTATATGAACGACCCGCGCTTCCACCGCACGATCTCCTACCGTCCCTCGTACTCCTCGAGCAGTCCGCCCCACACCATCTCCTTCGCCTTCGCAGGGTCCTCCAGTCCCGATGCGCCGACGGTAGTGTGGCTGAACGGAATGGGAGGACACCGGTTGGCCGCCGTTCTGCTCGATGGGTTGTTCGCCGCGAAGGGTGTTCGCCTCGTTGCCCTCGACCGACCGTCTGGCGGCAAGAGCACGCCCGTTCCGCTCGCCAACCGAGTGCAAGCATCGCACGAAGCCCTTCTCGCCATTCTCGCCGAACTCGAGATCAAGCGGTTCTCGATCCTCTCGCACTCGAACGGCCTTATCTATACCCTCTTCACGCTGCTCAACCTCCCTTCCGACTTGGTCGTCCTCTCATGGACCATCTCCTCCCCATACGTCCCGCCCTGGCTCTCCGGTTCGCAACTCCTCTCCCTCGCACGATGGGTTCCCGCACCGCTTACGTCTCGCCTCGGAACTCTCGTCGGTGGCTTGCAGAAGGTCGCAGAGCCCGTCATGCGAAGCGCGGGGTGGAGCAGCGGCGTCGTCAAGGACTGGGGCAGCGCCTTTGTCAGCATGGGCACGTCGGTACCAAGCGAACCCGCTACGGCGGCACCAGCGACGAACGAAACGGGCGAGGTCGATGAGTCGCAGATCCAGCCTGAGCTGCTACCGCCGCCAAGACAGCTCGCGCGGTTCCGACGACTGAACGCGCGGAGACCGCCGCATAAGAAGCTGTTTGGCGGCGAGTTCATCCCACCTGGAATGTTCAACGAGGGGATGAAGATGGCGATTGCGGAGGGTCTGGACGCGATGGGTCTCGAGGCGATGATCTGCTTGCGACAAGGCGACGGCACAAGATGGGGGTGGGGCGAACCCAAAGAGGGCACAAGCGAGGCGAGGGAGGAAGCCGAGGCAAAGTTGTACGAGCGGGGTTTTGCGGCGCTCAAGGCGCACCTCGCCGAGAGTAGCATGCAGGTGGAGATGAGCGTCTGGTACGGCGAGGATGATGCGCTGGTGCCGGCCAAGGGGAGGGCGTACTTGCGCGAGTTGCTGGTGGACTCGCTCGGAATGATGGAGGCGGATCGGTGGAGGGAGATTGAGGATGCTGGTCATGACGATACGCTAGGGCTCAGCTGCGTGATGGAGCAGCTGTTAGACAACGTTATACGCGTACATCAGCGGATGTGAGGGTTGCTGTCCGCAATCCAAGCGACTAGACGCCTCTCCTCTGCCGTGCCAGCTGAGTGCGGAAGACTCGAGACAATGGCAATACACAGACGAAAGGGCAACGGCTCAGAGAACGACGATCGTGGAAGGGGTGTATCGCTTGCTGTGGTAGTTCTTCGCGCCGACCTGTTCGTTCGAGAAGCAAGGTCAAGCGGGTCCTGGGATAGCGAGAACAGGCTTGACGCACCTCCCAGTCCGGAACATCCTTCATGATCTCCCTCTCGCGCGCCAACGCAGCCTGCTCCCTCCGGTACGTGTCGCGGTCGCCCTCGGCCAGGAGGAGAGGGGTGAGGTGGATGCGCGACCACGCCCTCTCGCGCTGGAGTTCCCTGTGATGCGGGCGAAGGACAGAATCTCAGCCGAGTCCGGAACACGTCAACGGCTCGTTTGTGATGGTAGGCGAGAAGGGGGTCATTCGCGACGAGGAGAAGAGTCCAGTCCAGTTGCCTCGAACCAGCTCAGACGCCTACGCAAGCCCCACATCGGCTTCAAGAACGCTGTGAGAACCGTTCTGACGCACCGCTGCTCGAGGTTGCCCAGCCCGACCCGCCAGAAGCCAAAGCCGCAGATGAGGGCGACGGCGCCGAAGACGACGGCGCCTCCGGGTCCCTTGATGGGCAGGTTGCGCTTGTACTTGATCGGTGCGAATCCACCTGCTGGCGGAAGATCCCTGCGCGCGGTTGTGCGTGTGTGAGCGCCCCATCGCCAGGTGAGGAGGAGAGTGGGACGACGAGAACACCCCGCGGGTCCGTTCGTTCGCTGAGGTAGTCCAGTGAGCCGCTAGAATGAACGTACTGCTTGAACGGAGTCGCCATCGTCGCTCGTTGACCGTGTGCAGCGATGTGCCCTGGCCAACCCTCGCCTCCTTGCGGGTCTCGCACTCACCACAAACACAACCACCCGCTGGGACGCTAAGGGACACGCTCGACAGCTGAGATGGCCTCGAACAATCCCTACGCCAAGCCGAACGGCGGCTACTCGGCTTACTCGCCCTCCAACTCCTACGGCCAGGCCAGCACCTCGTACACGGCGGCGGCGGCCGGAGCGTACCCGCCAGTCGCAGCAGCAGGGCCTGCTTACCCGGCGTACCCGACTGCGGGCCCAGCAGCAGGGCCGAGCATTCCTGCCGGCGGCTACGACATGAACCTCGCCCAGCAGTCGTCCATCTACACGCCCGAGGCGGCAAAGTCGGGCAGGCCGGTCGCCAGCGTCGCCAACAAGGGCAAGGCGCGGACCACAGTGCTGCGCAAGGGCGGTGGAGAGGTCTGGGAGGACCAGAGTCTGCTCGAGTGGGATCCTTGTGAGTCGGCGTCGGCCACGGTCTCTCCTGCCTGCTGTCCCGGACAGGCAGACTGACCTTTTCCTCGTCGTCCCTTGCAGCCCACTTCCGACTGTTCATCGGCGACCTCGACCCAGCCATCTCGGACGATGCCTTTCAAGCCGCCTTCTCCGGCCCTCGCTTCCCCTCCTTCGTCAAGTCCAAGGTCATCCGCGACAAGTACACCAACAAGGGTCGAGGGTACGGCTTTGTCTCGTACAGCGATCCGGAGGACTTCCTGAAGGCTTGGAAGGAGATGAACGGTGAGTTGCGCCCCGTGTCTACACAGGCGTCGCTCGCCTCGCTGACTCTGTTGCTTTTGTATCGCGTTACACAGGCAAGTACGTTGGCATGCGTCCCGTCACGATCAAGAAGGCGAACGCAGGCGTCAAGGCCGTCAACATCGGTTCGAAGAAGGCCCAGCAACTCGAGGCCAAGCAGCCGCAGAAGACCGGCACGGTCCCGTACGAGCGCGCGAATGCCGAAGAGGCGGGTCACAGGGCGATCCCGGGCGAGAAGGGGTACGGACCGCAGAGGAGCAGGAAGACGTACATTCGTCGGTGATGGGAGGAGCTTGTTGTGCGTGGACTGCCTCTTCCTTTCCCTCTGCCACCTTTCCTAGCAGTGCAAACTCGACCAAGCGTGTTGTTCCAATTTGCGCGGATCAGTTGGCGTTGATGCGTGAGCTCCCTTTCGTGCTTCTTTCTCTCCGTCGAACTGGCTCATCATCCGCTCTCCGCGTTCCTCCCGCAACATTCAGTCCATCGCGCTCGCCATCCCTCACTCTTCGATGGACAACAGCGTCCTCCCGCATCGAGCGGCAAATTTGCGACAAGCGCTTTGCTTTGCGCTGCTTCAGCCTTTCCGCCCGCAGCGCCCGTCCACGTCGACGGCGCCTGCTCCGCCGCCGCTACTACGCTGCTACCCTCGCTTCTGGATCGCTCGCTTGCTTTGCAAGGTATTAGCACCGCGCCGCCGCTCGTCCAGCGCTTGAGTTGTCGAGTCCTCGGCCAACTGTTCTTCATGTGGCATTCGTCGCGATATACTGACGCGTAGTTCTCGGTCATCCGTGCTCTGTAATTGACAACGCAACGCTACACAGCAGCCCAGACGGTGTCATTGCCGCAGAGCGGGAGGTACCAAAGCGAGAGAGCGTCGGAATGGCCTCCCTGCGCGTCGCCAGCCCTTGTGGGCCCTGCTCCCGACACAAGCCAACTCTCAGCGAGCCAGAAAGCCTTGCAACGCCGTCTCTACGCTTCATTCCAAGTTGTCAACAACTCCTCTCTCGCGTCGCGACCTGGTTGACCTTCGTCCACCTCGCTCTCTTTGTGCTGGGACATTCTGCTTGATAGCACTGCGCCGTACATGGTACGCTCAGTCTCGCCGAGCGCGCCGCCGCGCTCGAAAGACCGCGACCGGTCCAGCCGTCCTTCATCAGCAATCGCGACCTCATCCTTCCTTCACGGCTCGCCCTCGCGCTCAGGCAGCGCAAACGCGGGCGCGTCCGTCAGCAAAGGGATGGATGACTCGACTGGCAAGGCGGCGGCCGCAGGCGATGGTACGGATTTGAAGCAGGACGCGCCGAAGGTTGCGCGGATCCTGAGCGTTCAGCAGACGGAGGGTATGGGCAAGACGTATCTGTGCGTGCTCGAGGGTAGCGGGAAGAAGGTCCAAGTACGTTCGACTCGTCCTGAACAGCTGGTCGGGAGGACGATGCCGCTCGCTTCGCTCGCTCGCGAAGGGATCTCGGGCGGTTCGCAGTGCGCACTGTTCTGCGCATCCTACGGTCACGCAGAGAGTGATCGACAATCATAGAGGCGGTTTAGCTGATGGTACCTGCCCCTCGTGCTCGCAGCGGACCCGCTCTCAGCTTCGCGACCTCGCGCCCGACCTCCTCTCCGCCTTCGACGGCTCGCAGAAGTCTGCAAGCGCTACTACATCTCGCTCGTCTTCCTCCGACTCCGATGCGGCCGTTGCGGCAGTTCTGCGCAGACGGAGGGGCGCCTCAAGGGCGGCCAAACCATCGACGAAGGGCAAGGGAAAGGCGCGCGCGGTCGACGATGACGACGAGGAGATGCAGGATGCAGAGGGTGATGCAGGCGGGAGCAGCGATGAGCCCGACAACTCAGCCGACGAGACAATGGACGAGCCGTCATCGACTTCGGCGTCTGAGAATGAGGACAGCGAGGACGACATGTCGGACGACGAGCTGGCGATCGGGTCGCGAAGGCGTCGCTTAAGGAAGGGCAAGGCGAAGGCTGTGAAGCCGACGCGTCGCTCCGGGCGCCGCGAGGGGAAGAAGGCGAAGCGCTATGACTTTGGCGACGGCAGCGGCCCGTCGGACGACTCCGGCGCAGAGTCCGTCTCCGCCACGACGTCGTCTTCTGGCTCGGCGCGCGAGACGCGTGCCTCGAAGGCGAGGAAGACGCGGTCGTCGCCGGAGGAGGGCGAGTCGAGGTCGGGCGAGTCGAGCGACGAGCTATCGATGACGGCCCGTCCGCGCCGCGTTCAACCCCAACCGCCTCGCTCGCCGGCGAAGAAGCCGCACGTCCCACTGCGCAAGTCGACCGCCGCCGTTGTGGACTCGGAGGAAGAGGGCGAGGAGCAGGACGAGCTGGCGTCCGACTCGGCGCAGGGAGATGTGCAGGAAGTTGGACAGAGGCCGCAGGACCAGCATCGCGAGGTGCGTTGCCTGACTTGTCATTTTCTGCGCTTGCGACTGACCCTTCCTCTTCCGCCCCGACAGACCTGCGCCAAATGCGGTCAAGCCTCGGCTTCCGAGCTGTTCCGTCTCCTCAACGAGCGCAAGCGTCGTAAGAAGCCCGGTCGTAAGCGGAAGCGTGACATCCTCGAGGAAGACACCGACGCAGAGGAGGAGCGACTTGAGAAGCTGGGCGCTTGGGTGGAGTGCGGCGTCTGGTGAGCTGTCCTCATCTTCCTGAACTCAGACCAGCTCGCTAACACAGCATTCATGCAGCTGCGTCGCCTATCACTTCGGCTGCCTTCCCGCCTCGCAGAAGCGCGAGATCACCGACCAGCTCAAGGAAGAACACCTCGCTCTCTACGAGACCGTCGACACCGCCGACAAGCCCGCCACCCTCGCCGTCCCCGCCGGTACGACGACAGGCGGATCGAGCCTGACACCCGTCACCGCCTCGACCTCCGCGTCGGCTGCGACTTCAAAGTCCGGCTCGCCTCGCCTCGACATTCCAAAACGCGAGAAGTACGAGCTCGACCCCGAGCGGGTGTTCACGATGCGCAAGTGCCCGTCGTGCAAGAAGATGGGCGGAAGGAGGTGCTTCGTTTGCGGCGTTAGTGGGAAGGTGGTCACCAAGCGTGAGTTGCGCTCGTCCTCTTCCGCTCTCCCACGATCGCTGACTCAGCTTCCTGCTGAACAGGCGAGCGGGAGGAGCTGGGCAAGAAGGGTGATGAGCCGGCGGAAGGTGCGGAGCAGGCTGCCAAGCTGGGGGAGGATAACAAGGAGCAGACAGGCAACGCAGATGCGACGATGGCGGATAGTCACGCTGAGGTCTCGAAGAAGCCTGACGCCCCGGAGATTGTCCCCGGTCAGATGTTCCGTTGCTCGAGGTGCGTTCGCTTTGAGTTTGAGCAAGCAAGTAGCTCACGCTCTGCCAATTCTTCCGCAGGTGCAAGCGCGTCGCTCACTACGGCTGCCTCGACAACGACGAACCGGATTGGACATTCGAGCAGCACTGCCAGTCGTACTTTGACTGGCAGATCTGCCACGACTGCTACAACTTCAACGTCCCGCTCGACGTCATCCTCGCCTGGAGGGAGACGCAGCCTGTCGCTGACGTCGGACCGGACGATGTGGAGTCCGATGACGAGGTCGTGGAGCGGATTGAGGGCGAGAAGCGGGTCGACGAGAAGACCAAGAAGGTCGTGGTCCTGCCATCCCCAAAGGACCTGCGTGCCAGTGCCGAGGTGCGCTCGCATGGCCGCCCAAGAATGGCGAGCGATTCTGACGCTGCTCACTCCTGCAGTACCTCGTCAAGTGGCAGGAGATGAGCTACCGGCACCTCGTCTGGGTTCCGCACGCCTTCCTCGCCGCCGCCTACCCGAGCAAGCTTGCCAACTTCCTCAGCCGCGGATCGACGGTCACGTTCGAGCCTGCGAACGACGATGACGACGAGGACGCCGACCCGACCGATGTCAAGCACGAGAACGAGGAAGCCCCCTTGCCGGACCCGAACGCGCTCGACCGAATTCCGAAATCGTGGCGGACTGTCGATCGCATCCTCGACGTCTGGTTCGACCACCCGAAGAAGGAGGGTGAGCACGTCGGCTTCACCGAGTACCGCAAGAAGCTGCCGCAGGACGCCGACGATAGCATCAAGCTCGTCTCGCAGTGCTACATCAAGTGGGGAGAGCTCCCGTATGCACAGTGTGCGTCGCACCTTCTGGCCCTATCTCCTCAAGGCCTTGAGCTGATCCCTCGGTCACAGCCACGATCGAAGCGCCGCCGGAGGAGGACGAGGAAGGCTACGATGCGTTCGTCAAGGCATACAAAGCGTTCCTCGCAGCTTCCGAGCCGAGTATGAGCGTACCGAAGCTCAACAAGAAGCAGATGGACGGTGCGCTCACTTCATTGTCCGCATCTTCCTTCCACTGACCTCTCCCTTGTACGCACAGAACTCGACCGTCCTCGCGACCCAAAGCGCTTTAAGCCTCTCGAAGCTCAGCCGGACTACATCAGCGGCGGAAAGCTGATGGACTTCCAGATTGCCGGTGTCAACTTCCTCCGCTAGTGCGTCGTCAGTCGTCGAGTCTTGCCCGAACGGAGCGCTCACGCACCGGCACTACGTCTGCAGCCAATGGTGGCAGCGCAAGGGCTGCATTCTCGCCGACGAAATGGGTCTCGGCAAGACCTGCCAGATCATCAGCTTCCTCAGCTACCTCAACCGCGACGAAGGCGCTCGACCTTTCCTCGTCGTTGTCCCTAACTCGCTCATTGGCAATTGTGCGTCTCCTTTCGGTCTGCAATCCGCTTGGAACACGCTGACGGGCCCGATACAGGGATGCGCGAGTTCGATAAGTGGGCACCGACGATGCGAGTCGTCCCGTACAACGTGTGTTCCCTGGGCTGACCTTCCTTCCCGCGTCCGCCGAGCTGACGGCTTTGCGTGCAGGGCGACGGCGAGTCCCGCAAGATCATCGAGGACTACGAGCTCTTCGATTCTCGCGGTTCCCTTAAGACGCACGTCGTCCTCGCCACCTACGAGGCTGTCCAGGGCAATGCTCGCGTCTTCCGCCGCGTCGATCGCTGGGATTGTCTTGTCGTTGACGAAGGTCAGCGTCTCAAGGGCGGCAAGGACAGCCAGCTCTACAACGCCATCGCATCGCTCAGGATCGCACAACGTGTCATTCTTTCTGGCACGCCCCTGAATAACAACCTTCGCGAGCGTGAGTGAGCCGAGTGCTTCGCGTCTGTGCGATGCTGACAGGCTCGCCTCGCAGTGTTCAACCTTCTCGCTTTCATCAGTGCGCCGGAATTTCGCCGCTTCTTTCGCGGAACGCGTGCTGACTGCCAGCGCCATCTGCAGACCCGGCCGAATTCACCGACATCGAGGCGTTGACGCGCCGTTTCGCCGAACTGACGCCCGAGCTGGTCGAGGAGGTCCGCGAAATGCTCAAGCCGTACTTCCTTCGTCGGACGAAGGATCTCGTTCTCAATCTGCCGCCGCTGGTAAGTCGCGACAATATCTCGTTACGGAATCCCCTGCTGACGATGTCCCACCGCCACGCAGCTCGAGGTCGTTGTGCCGGTCAGCATGACCGTCCTGCAGCGCCAGATCTACCGCGGCATTCTCGAACGCAACGCCGGCGCCATCCGCTCAATCGTCCAGAAATCGGGGACGAACACGAATGGCCGCGCCAAGCCGAAGAAGAGCAACTTCAGGTGCGCTCTTTTGCCTCGCTGAAGTGGCGGGCTAAGCTGACTAGGGCTCCGCATTCGTACGAACAGCAACATCCTCATGGAGCTGCGGAAAGCTCTTTGCCACCCGTACCTCGTTGACGACGACATTGAGCCGCGCAACGTGACGCCGCAGCAAAGCCAGGTCAACCTGACGGAAGCCTCCGCCAAGTTCGTCCTGCTGGCGCGCATGCTTCCGAAGCTCAAGGCCGCAGGTCACCGCGTCCTCATCGTAAGTTGCGTTGTGTCGTCCCTTCGCAGTTCTTGACTGACGCATTACGCTCCCGCAGTTCTCGCAGTTTAAGCTCACGCTCAACATCGTCGAACGCTTCTTGGCCGGTCTCGAGCTCAAGTACCTCCGCCTCGACGGTGACACTCCGCAGCTCGAGCGTCAGCGAGGTAAGGTCTCACGGGCCGCGTGTTTCTCAAGCCCGCTCATGCGCTTCCACTGCAGACGTCGACACGTTCAATGCGCCTGGGTCCGAGTACTTCGCGTATTTGCTCAGCACGAGGGTGCGCTAGCTCACTGCCCCGCACGGCTTCATGAAGGCTGACTTGGACTCTTGCAGGCTGGCGGTGTCGGTCTGAACATCACCTCGGCGGACGTTGTCATCATGTCAGCTCCATGCGAACTCGTCGTGTTCGTTGAAGCATGCTGACCACCGAGCTTCCGCAGCTACGACCAGGACTTCAACCCGCAGATGGACATCCAGGCCATCTCTCGCGCTCATCGCATCGGTCAGACGAAGCCTGTGAGTCGCTTCGCCCTCTCGGCGCGTACCCATCGACTCATCTGCGTTCTCCGCAGGTCCGCGTCTTCAAGCTGCTCGTCAAGGGGACGTGCGAGGAGAAGATTCTCAACGCGGGCAACAAGAAGCGTGGCCTCGGTTCGTCAACTTCGTCCTCCTCGATCACCCTCCCATTTGACAGGGAATCTACCTGCAGAGCACCTGATCATCCAGCGCATCGACGCTCAGGACGAAAGCGAAGACATGGAGTCGATGCTTCAGGTACGCACGTCTCCTCCCGCAAAGCGTATGCGTCGCTGACTATGCTGCGCCTCGACAGTTCGGCGCGAAAGCTGTCTTCGACGAAGCCGCTGCCGAGGCAGCGGCAATCCGATACAACGACTCGGACATCGACGCCTTACTCGCCAAGACGGCCGAGCCCATCGAGAAGGAATCCGACTCGTCGGCTACCTTCTCCCACGCGCAGATCTGGGTGCGCGAGAACGGCGAGCTCGATGCCGCACCGCAGGAAGCTGCGGAACCCGCCGCGGACAGCACCGAGGATTTGCATGACTTCTGGAGCAAAGTCGTCGAGCAACAGCAGGAAGCGGAGAAGGCGAGCAAGGCGGCGCAGGCTGCGACCGTCGGACGCGGCAAGCGGAGACGAGCTCAGGTGCGTGGCTTTCACGCTTCTGGGAGCTCAACTGTAGCTGACTACCGCCCCAATTAGGTTAACTACAAGATCGGCGGCGAGTCGCCTAACAAGCAGGCGAAGAAGCTGGATTCAAAGAGCCCGTCCGCGCACGACCATTCGTCCGGCGACGAATACCGCATGCGTCCAGACGAGCTCGACTCGGACGACGAAGCAGCCGCTGCGATGGACGTCGACGACGGCTTGCAGGAAATCGAAGGCATTGCCAAGCCGCCTCCGCTCGCTCGCCTTGACCCAGCACAGACACCTGGCGCGACCAACTCGGACGCAAGCAAGTCGCAGGCTCGGAAGGGCGTCGTGACGGATTCCGCAGAACTCGCTGCCTTGCGTGCAGAGAAGGCGAAGAAGCGGACGGACGCAATCGATGCCCTCTTTCGCGCGGCAGGCGACCTCAACGACAAGACTTCGCTCGATCTGCTTCGAAGTGCTCGCTCTTCCGACTCGCGCAAGGAGCAGAGTGCGTCTCCTGATCTGCGGACTTTATGAAGGAGGCGGTACTGACTTCGCTTCGCGCCCAGCCTCTCTCCTCCGCCAAGCCACACACCGCATCGAATCGCTTCGCCAGCAGCTCCGCCAACACCCTCTCGCAGCGAACTCCTCCGTCGTCAACCGACCGCAACCGATGGCCTCGTCTTCCGGCTCGCACGCGAAGAATGCTCCGTCAGTCTCGCATGCCCAGCCTGCTCCGCCGAGCGAACGAGCGACTGCACAAGGCGACAAGGGCCCGGCCAAGGCGCAACCACTCGCCGGCGGATCGCAGCTTTCTGAAGCAGACGCGCAGAGGCAGGTCAAGGAGCGGGAGGAAGCGAAACGGCTGCGGAAGGAGAAGCGCGCACGCGAGTTGGAGAAGCAACGACAAGCGGATGCTGCGGACAGACCGCCAGCCACATCGGTCCCGCCCACGGCCGCCGAGCCGCCCGCCGCATCAGTCGTCGCTGCTCCAGCACGCTCAGGCGTCGAGCCTGCATCCGTCTGGAAGCGGCCAACGCCACCTTCTGCGGCGGCTTCTCGTTCGCCGACTCTGGCTTCGCCTTCAACCCTCAAGCCGTTTTCGCTCCCGCCGCACGCTTCCACATCCGCTTCTGCGAGCGGCAAGTCAAAGTCGCCAACGATTCTCGCCGCCCCCGCGATGGCGCCGTCAAGGTCGGGCGACAAGTCCGATTCTTCCAAGTCGTCCACCTCGTCGTCGTCGAAGTACAAGCAGTCAACACTGTCTTTCGGCCGTCCGGCTCCCAAGGCTTCGTCCAGCGGGACGTCAACGGCGCCCGCCCCCGCCAAGGCGTCACCCCCTTCATTGTTCGCTGCGTCCCGCCAGCCTCCCCCTTCCTCGTCCGCCACCGGCACAGACGCGCAACCCAAAGCGTCGACTGCCGTCGCGAAGCCTCCGCCTGCCGTTCCCCGGTCCGCGCCCGTCGCCAAGAAGGCCGAAATCCTCGTCATTTCCGACTCTGAAGATGATTCTTAGACCCGCTTGACCCTCGCTTACTGTGCATACCCCTTTCTCTGCTTCGCATACCATGTTCGTACTACCGAGATACTGCACTGCACTTCATTTCCATCCAACCATGGCTGAGGCTACACGGGGCGAGAAAGGACATCGAGCTACAAAGCGAAGAATAGTCTAGGGATGCCACTAAGTACACAATGCTTAGGAGACGACGCAGGCGACCCGCCCGTCCTCGTCGTCGCCCGTGTCGGTGCGCCTGAGCACTTCCGAGTCGCTCATCGCCCTCGTCCGCAGCGCACCCTGCCTCGGCTCGCCACCTGCGCCTCCCGCCTTCTCCTGTCTCTTCTTGGCGGCAGTCGTCTCGCGAACGGCGAGAGCGGCATCCACAGCGAGGTTCGAGTAGAAGGAGCGGACGACGACGCGCGATTCGTCGCACTCGCTCAGCGGAGCCTGCATCTTTTTCCGCGCCAGCGACTCCTGCGTCGGAGACGAGTCGTCGTCGTCGAGGTAGCCACCAACGACGTTCGTCCAGTAACCTCGTTGTCCGATCCTGCCGCGAAGGTTTGCCGAGCCAAGGTCGCGGCTGAGTCGCCGTCCTGTTTGGCGGTTGTCGAGGAGCGATAAGACGGCGGGATACTTGCTTGCGACGAGAGGGTCGACATCACCCTCGCGCGAGACGGCCTCTCGCTGCGCCTGCGACGCCCGCTCGCGCGCGAGCTGCACGAATTCTTTCGCGGTGCGGTCCGAGATGGCGGTCGTGTCGGCTTCGAGGACGCGCAGCTTCGGACATCCGCGTACGACGGCGGCGATGGCTGGATCCGTCAGGCTGGTGCAGGCCGAGATGACGAGATGTTCGAGGTTGGGTGCGCCTGTCGCGTCGCCAACACCGACAAGCGCGTGCAAGACGTCGTCGCCTGCTTGTTCGGCGTCTTCGATGTCGAGCTTGCGTAGCTTCGGGCAGCTGGCGACGAGACGAGCGAGGCCGTCGGTGCGAAGACGGGACCCGAGGCGGGAGAGCTCGAGGATCTCGAGGTTCGGGACGGTACCGGCGAGGTGTGAAAGGCCTACGGTAGAGACAGAGTGGCAGGCGGAAAGGTTGAGGTGGCGGAGGGATGGGAAGACTCGCTTCGACCCGCTTGTCGACGCGAGAGCGGCCCATTGGGAAGGTCGAGCAGCCGAGTCTGACGGAGTCAGCTGCTGAACGACGAGCTTGAGACCGTTGTCGGTAACGCCGTTGCACCAGGAGAGATCGAGAGTGGCGAGACGACGGTGACGGCTGAGGAACGAGGCGAGGTCGCTGCCGTTCACGCCGGAGAGACCGGCCGCCTTGAGCGTGACGAGTCCGCCGAGGAGGTCTTCGCTGGTGAACGGTCGACTGAGGGTGTTCTGTGGCGGCTGAGGCGTGTGCGGAAGTTTCTGAAGCGCCGGACCGCGCAGGTTTGGGCAGCGAGAGACGTCGAGGTGTGCGAGATGAGGGCACGACGAGCCGAGCGTGGCCATGTGTGAGTTGTCGACGCATCGGAGACTGGGTACAATAAGGCGGAGGAGGTGAGGCGAGTGCGAGAGAAGCGAGGTAAGCGATGCGGAAGTGAGCGAGGTGCAGCCTGCGAAGGTCGTTTGCGTCAGCATTCTACGGTAGCTCATGCAGTAGCGGAGCATGTGCTCACCCGTCAAGTCGATGTTCGTCAGATTCGTCAAGCCCGTGTCACTCGATCCGTCAAGCGGGACAATCATCCAAGCGAGCGTCGTCCAGTCGAGCGACTTGCCGAGTCCTCTCGCATCGAACGTCTTGACGAACCCGCCTGCTCCGACGGCGAGAGAAAGCAGGGAGGCGGAGGAGTAGGAGGTCGCGCCGAGAAGGGAAGCGGCGGGAGCTGTCGACCAGAGTTGGCCGTCGAGCGAGAGCGAACGCCAGAGTCGGCAGACCTGAACGCCAGAAGGGTATCAGTCTTCGTGATCGACTTTAAAGAGGAAGAGGTCACGCACCCTGCCCATCTTGACGAGCTCCCTACGCCCTCGCGCCCGTCCATCTCCCCATCTGTCGCACGCCTTCTCGCCCGTCCACTGTCCCTCCTTCACATCCCTCCTCCATTCCTCCTCACACACGTCGAGCAAGCCACGGAAGACTCTCAGCTGGACTTCACGCGGCAGTCGCGCGAAGAGGTCGGGCTCGGAATCCGGTTCAGCGAGTTCGAACATGTGCGAGGAGGGGTCCAAGGTGGTTGCGATAGCGGGGTTGGGTGTGGAGGAAGCGAAGCCTGAATCGAGAACGGGCGAGGAGGGACAGGTGTTGAAGGCGGAGGGGAAAGGCGACTCGTCTCTCGCGGTATCGTCCTCGATGCGAGGGTGCGTGATGGGCGGACTGATGGGCGGTACGCGGCGAGAGGCGATGTCCGTCTCGAGCAGATGGGGTGGAAGAAAGAGCGGCGCGGAATACGACCTCGACCTAGACGAGATGCGGCAGAAGACGTCGTCGTCTACGCCCGGACCATCGGCACGACTCGACGACCCAGGCGGGTTCTGCGGCGGTTTGAAGGCCTTGATGAGCTTTGCCTTGCCCTTTGCGCGCCACTTCGACAGCTTGGTCGCCTCGTCGTCGCCTGCTTCATCTGCCGCTTCGTCAGACCGCGGCGGGACGAGCGAGACGAGCGAGGTGAGGGAGCGGGAGAAGCGGCGCTTCATGCCGGGGCGCCGACGTGAGCCTTCTCTTTCTGACTCGCCGCTGGAAGAAGGGCGATAGGGCGTCATGCGGTCTTTAAAGGAGGAAAGGCGGGAGCGGCGGCCTTCGGGTCGCGAGGGCGTTGAGAAGGAGGCGTTCGCTGGCATGTCTTCGACAGTCGCAGTTGCTGATGGCGGTGGGCGAGAAGAGGCCGCTGATGGCGTCGTTACTGGATGTGACGAAGGGAGAGAAGGAGAGGGCGCCTCGAGACCGTCCAACACCTCGCTCGAGGGTGCCTCGATCCGAGCGCCTCCGAGTGTCGTTTGAGCCGCCGACGCTGACCCCGTCGAGCCAGAAGTCGACTCTCCCGCCTCCGCTCCTCCTCCTCCCGCGGCGCCCTCATAACCCGCTGATCGTCCGTCTCCCGTTCCGACCGTTTCCAGCCTCGTCCCGCCTGCGAGAGCACTCGATGAGCCCGCTGTCACTGTCGCATACGTCCTGGAGCCTGTCCTGCCTGCGCTGCAAGTTTCCCCCACCTGCGAGCCGATCAAACCTCGAGAGGGTCGAGGATGCGGCGGCGACGACATTTGCTGGCTTGGCGAGTGGTCGGAGGGGTCCAAAGCAGGCTCGAACTCTTATCTGAGGCGCGAGAGAAGTCCCCGTCGTGTGAGCGAGGCGTGAGCTCGCAGAAGAGATGAAGTCGGGCGCGGAGAGAGGGCGGCGAAGATGACCAGCGGGTGGATTCTCCTGCGTTCTGGTGCAGAGCGTTCGTTACTGTCTTCCCAGCTGTGAGTCAGAGCGAAGGAGCGGGGCGAGGGAGAGAGTGAAGAGTCGACCCTCGTCCCGATGCCTCGTCGCAAGAGCTCTTCATCGACGCCTGCATCAAAGTCAAGCTGGCAGCTGTCCACTTTGCAGCTTACGAGAGCAAGAAGTATGGCGAGAATTGCTGTCTGCACCCAGACACTGGCAGTGATGGAAGAGACCCTCGCGCTGACCTTCGCAAGCGGAATCTTCGAAAAGACGAGGACGACATGCGATTCCACGCCTTCATTGCGGCTTGACTCCTGAGCTGAGCACGTCCTCAAGTCTCTGTTTCCCCTTCCAGGTCGCCACCCTGCCTGTCCCCTGCTTCGGCTGCTCCATCTTGACGACCTTCGCCTCGAACGCCAATCCCTCATCCTTCGTATGCTCCCACTGGTCCGCCCCTTTGACCGGCTCATAACTCGTATCGAGATACTTGCTCCTCACTTCGCGCTTGTGGCTCGTCGAGACGCCAAGGACCTTATCCCTCGTCTCGAGGACTTGAGGGTCGACCTGGTCGTCGCCTGTGAAGGACATCATCAACCTCGGCGGCCCGAGAGGGAGGTCGGGGTGTTGGTCGAACGCCCAGGTGTGGATCGTCTTGCCGTACGTCGTGTGGAGCTGCTTCATCTCGGCTTGTTCTGCGGCGTCTTCGACCATCCCTGGAACCCAGTTCTTCGTCTTGAGCACGAGCTGGCCGCTCTCGACCTCGTATTTGTCTGCGAGAGTGAGAGAATGTCAGTCGGAAGGGTAGGGCGACATATTGGGACTGCAGCAACGCAAAAGGGCGGCAATGTCGAAAGCTGAAGCCGCTCGCGATGACGCCCAAGTAGCTCGACTTACGCGAATGCCAGTACTTCTTCTCGTCCTCGGGCAGTGTCTTGAAGATCTGCCGAGAGGACCGAGGAGAATCAGTCTGCGCTCGCCGGCTCACGCTTCGCAGGAAAGCACAGCCATCCGTCCGCAACTCACCTCCTCCGCAACGATATACTCAACCCCTATCAACCTCGCATCAGCCTTGTCCGAGTCGTAGATCACACACTGCCTCATGAGCGCCTTTTCGCCCGTGTGCTTCGGACAGGCGCAATAGTGGTGTGCTGGGACGAGGTTGCCGCGCGAGTCGGCGTACGAGTGGAAGGCTTGGACGTGCTGTGTCCCGTAGATCGCGTTAGGGAGGTCTAGGAAGAGCAGGAGGAGGGGAACGGACTTGGTGTATTGCGTTGACGGGTGCGAAGCTGTTTCCCTCGTCGAGCAAGGTCAGCACGCCTCGTCCCACCGATTCGAAGAACGTCTCACGCACCTAAGCATCCCACTCTGCGCGATGTACTCGTCTGTAGGTCCGCTGCGAGCGCCATCGCAAGTCCCCACATCCGCTCGTTGCGAATGTCAGCTCCGTCCGTCGTTTGCGCGCGCCAGTCGACGCGTAGCACGCGTGTGAAGCTACGCACCTCATCGTGCTGTCGTTGTGCGTGTTTGGCGGGAAGCAGCGAGTCGGAGGAAGCTGAGCAGTCGACCCCACCTTGTCGTCACTTGCGCCTCGTCGTCTCGCTCGGCGTCGCTCAAGTTCTCTCTCTCGCTGGACGTATTGGACCCGCTTGACAATACTCAATTGCGAACGAAGGAGAGGGAGGGAGGGGAGGGGGACAAAGGAGAGAAGGGATGATGTTGGCTATCGAAGTCCGAGGAGGAAGGGGAACCAGCTCCCAAGTCACCTAGCTGGCTGAGGGCTAGGCGTTGGTGACGGCAGCGTGCGCGTTTTGATTGATGGTTCGAACCCCCGCCGAAAGTAGACCGTGCGAGTTGGGCTGAATCAACACAAAAATCCTTTGTTGACCAAAAGAACCCTCTTGGATTCGCTCGAGAAAGAGAAGTTGTCGGGGGTGGAAGGGCGTCGAGTCGAGCCGCTTAGAACAAGCGCTGAGGCTTGCCCATCGACGACTTGAGGTTGAGCGACTTGACGTTCTGCGGGGCGAGGCGAAATCAGCCGCCTCCTCAGGAACAGTGACTTTCGCCGTGTACGCACCTGCCAGTGCTTCTTGAGAAGCGAGACGAGGAAGTTGACCGCAAGCATGGTGTTGGCAAGGATCTGCTCCTGGTCCATCTCGACGTGGCCGACGGCGACACCGAGGCAGAGAACCTGCGGGAGGAGGACAAGTTCTCGTCAGCCAGTTGCTCGAAATGATAGCAGCAACGGGGCGAACCTTCTTCAACTGGAACTTGAGCGTCTATTGAAGGAATGAGTAGGTTAGCTCGTGTCCGACGACGACGAGGGCGAGGGGAGGACGAGGGGACGCACCGAGCGGACGTCCGTGACCTTGTTGCCGAGGTCCTCGCCGTGCGAGACGGGGGTCGGGAACTTGCCGGCCTTGGAGAGACCCGGACCGAGGAGACGGGGGATCTGCTTGATGAGGGCCTCCGAGGCAAGGAAAGCGTCGTACTTCTTGGCGAGCTGCGAGGCGAATTCGCGGTCAGTCCCGGCGCTTCCAACGACTGTAGGGGCATTAACGTACCTTCTTGACGAGCTTCTTGTTCTTGTTGAGCTTCTTCAAGTCGTCGACCGACATGTACTCGAGCTCGATGAGCTTGGCACGGTCAATGTCGGCAGCGTCGGCGAGAATGCAGATCGACATGCGGGGACGCGGGACATGGGGGAGCCTGCGAGAGGGCGCAAGAGAGCGGTCAACGAGGTGTCCATACGGACATACCAACCTGTTGAGCCGGTCCGAATCCTTTTCGCCGGCCTGCCTCGTCGCCCGCCCGCCCGCCGGCCATCGCTCCCTCGTGCATAGTACATCCCAGACTCCATCGATTGAGTCCAAACCGCCGCGCAACCTCCCGAGACCCTCCCCTCACTTCGAACGCATCCACAGGGCGAGAGGGGCGGCCTCACTTGATGGTGCCCGAGAAACGCTTGTCGCGCTGCGGGTCGTAGTTCTTGAGGCCGATCTGGAGCTCGATCTGTGCATCGTAGCGGGCAGAAGCGCGGGAGAGTTAGCGGTCGCGTGCGAGGCGAGGTGGAGGGGCGAGGCAGAGCTCAGTCGGGGAGGGAGGGTGAGAGGGACGAAAGGAGAGCAGGCGTACGGTCTCGACCTGTTTGCGAGCAGTACTGGTCAGCACGCGCAGCTCGCAAGGCGGAAGAGCGAGAGGGAGGGGACGCACGAAGTTGCGCTTCTTCTCGCCCGACGACTCGGTGAGGATCTGAGCGATCGAGGAGCGCACGCTGCTGACGCTGAGCTTCGAAGCCGACATGGTCTGTTCGTTTGAGTTGGCGGCAGAACACGCAGGGGGAGTGAGAGAGCGGGATGGTGTGCGGGATGGGACGAGCGCGAGGGTGGCATGGCGGGCGGGAACGAGGCGTCGTGGCGGGATGCGGACAAGACTGGTCAGCGCGTGTGCTCTGTGCGTGTTCAGTGGAATGCACAGCGCACGGATAGAAGCGGGTGACCTGGGTGGGTGAGGACCAAGCCGGTGAAGACTTTGCGAGAGGACGACGACCGCCAACGAGCTCGCCCGCAACGTCTCACGGTACTGCGAGAGGAGCAGTATGTACTATCGTAGAGCGTACTGGAATTACTGCAAGCGACAACAGATTTACCTGCGAGCAAAGTCGCCTCGCTCTCCTCGTCGCCGCCCCGCTTCATCAGCTTCACCTCGCTCCGCCTCCCCAGAGCGCTCAACTGGCCTGGTGCTGCAACTAGCGTGCCTCGACTGCTTGACGCAGACACCGCTCGCGAGACCCACAGGCCAGCGTCGCGCCGTCACCACTCGTCGCTTTCTCGTTTTCGCTTGAGCAGATCTGTCGGGGTCTGCTCGGCGTCCTGCACTGCTTGGAGCCGCGCAGACTGCTCTAGCATCCTCACTCGTAGCCCTGCACGAGCACGTCCTCGCGCGAACCTGACTGTCCCCTCCTCATGTCCCTCGCCTCGCTCGTCCGATTCCTCGCATTGATCCCAACGATATTCCTCCTCTCTTACCCTGGAGCGTACGTCATCGTAGCCTCTACCCCTACTCCGACCTCTTCTCGCACATCGTCACAACTCGTGACGACTGCCCACCATGGACTGCCGAACTCGAAACGTATTACAAGACGTTCCGCCTTTATGTCTGGTACTATCTCGGTATCGACGACGGGTATGATAATGACGCGCTGAAGGCAGCGCAGGAGCGAGCGGAGGCATTGAGGAAGTCGCAGATGTCGCGAGAAGCCGACGACGGCGCTTCCCTAGCGGACCTCGAGTGGGCGATTGAGCTCCTCACGACACGGTGCCGAGTGCGCTGGGACAGGCTCTACGGTGCGTCCCTTCTCTGTTGCGGCTTCCCCCCCTCCGTCGCTGACTTCGACTTCGCCCACACCCAGGACTTCATGTCGTTCGCCAGAAGTACTTCGACAATCAACGACAGCTGCATCCCGCTGCCGACTACCTGGAGCTTACGCAGATGTTGCCTTGCGATGCGGAAGTCAAGTCGCCGAAAGCCGCTCGGCAGTCCCGTGAGTCGCCGTATCTCCAAGTTACGCACTGATGCGCCCGCTCATCTTGCCTTCCGGGTCACAGTCTGGCCCATCCCCATCAAACTTCCAAGGAATCCTGAGCTGATCCATGAGGACAAGATGATCTGCTTGCGCAACAGCGGCGTCGACTGGAGCGAGTACGCCTTGCCGGATCAGCCGACGGGGACGTCTGAGCCGGCGAGGCGGCGTATCGAACGAGGGGTACCGGCGATGGAGGAGACTGTCGCTGAGCCGGACGCAGACGTGCGCGCCATCGAGAGCACGACGACGCCTCTCCTCAATCAGTTGGACAGAGACGCCCGCTCCAGCGGCTTCTTCTCGACTTTTGGCAGCTTCTTGCGACGGCGGCACCTTTAAGCTGTCTAGGTACGTCTCTCTACCTCGCTCAGCGAGCCATTCTACCCTGCCTGACAACCTCATCCTCCGCAACAGCTTGGCTTTCTCCTCGCCTGCAACTCCTTGATCCGCTGTAGCTTCACCACCCATTTGTTGCAACGATTCTGCATTGTACGTCGTCGCATCAGCCGTTTTCGACGAATCGAGAGAGCCTCCCTCCCTCGCACACTCGCTCCGCACTCTCTCCCTTCCTACGTCTCGTCACACTCGCGCTTGACGGCTCGCCTTCACTGCTGCCGGGCTTTTATATCGCGAGAATCGCTGGCGCACGCCTCTGCACGGTCGTCCCATACTCTCCGCTGACCTCACGCCCTTTGGCGGACATCCCTCCTCCTCTGGACAGCGTCCTCGTTGCTTGCGCGCTCGTTGGATCGCATGATTCTATTGCTCTAGGACTCACACGGACCCAGCGTTACGCACACACGCCAACTTCCCCGCGTCGGACGAGACCGCCCTCCTCCTCACTTCATCAGCCAGAACCCCACACGCAGAAAGCTCCCAGGGACGACGAGACGAGCGTCTCGACAGCTACAAGGACCAGCAACCCCTCAGCATCCGCACGCCGTCTCAGCGTCCCTCGCCATGTCCCTCGCCTCTCTCGTCCCTTCGATCCAGGCGGACCCCGCTCTGATGGCCCAACTCCTTCCCTGGGGCTTGCGATACAACATTCTGCTACCCTACTGTGAAGCCGACCCCGACGACCCCGCCGCTCCCTCGCCGCGAACCGACTGTCCGCCGTGGACCGCCGAACTCGAGGCCTATCACGCTACTGTCCATCCGGACGTGTGGGCGATCTTGCGCGCAGACGATTACCTCGACACATCGGCCATTCGACAGATCCGGCTCCGGATCGAGGCGCTCAAGCAGTCGCCAAGGCGGGCAACGGAGGATGGCGCCTGTCTCGACGACCTCGAAGTAGCGCTTGACCTGCTCGAGACCCGCAGACTGCTGCGCCTGGACTCGCTGTACGGTGCGTATTCACGCTTGCCGTCAATGGATGCATCCACTGACGAGCTTGTGGCCTGGCCAGCACTCGATGTCGTTCGCGACAAGTACTTCTTTCTGAAGGCGTCTCCTTCTCTCCCGGATCCGGATCACGTCGTCGCGCAACTTCCTCGCGATCCATCTTTCAAGCCGCCTACCGCAGGAGCCGGTTCTCGTTCGTACCGCTTTTCCCCTTCAGAAGGCCTAATCACTGACTTTCTTTCTCGGACTTCCAGTCTGGCCAATCTATGTCGCCCCGCCCCCCTACCTCATCAAGTCTGACCTTGTGTGCTTTTGGCATCACGGCGTCGACTGGGACCAGTACAAGCTACCTGACTGTCCGTCGGCCAAGGCGGACGAGGCGCTCGCTCGGTACGCGCGTCTGGATGAAGAGAAGGCACCGAAGGCTTGTGGAGTTGTGATGCAGGAGGTCGCTGGTTGCGCTGGTTCGAGACGGGGCGGAGAAGCTTCTGCCGCAAGCGACCTTCGACGGCGGACTTGTCGGCCCAAGCAGGTGAGTCCTTGGTCATCTTTGTTGCGGTCCCAGTACGCGACACGTCGTTTCACCTTGCCTGATCCGCTTTCTTCTTCTGTAGACTTGATCTTGCGCCCACAGACGGTCCAGAATCCCCTTTGCACCTAATTCGTCGACTCGATGGCATCTCGTCCGCCTTTTCCGCGCTTCTACCTCGACAAGCAGGTGCGCTCAGACACTCTTCCATCGCAATGATGCCGTTCTGACGATGATGCCACGGTTCGCAGGCTCTCTCGTCTCTTCTCCCCCCTTGCTTTCGCCATCCTTCCTCTTCGCCTCGGCGGCCGTACCACCCTTCGCCTCCTTCTGTTTCCCCATCTCATTGTTGTTGCACTCAATACACATCCTTTGTGTTAGTAGCCATCCAATCCTGTACGGACTGACAACTCGCAACGCCTGTCTAGTTCCGCGAGCGGTGAGGCGTTCTCGCTTGAAGTTTTGGTAGGCTCGGTTAGCTCTGGCAGCGTCTCATATACTCGTTACGACCGTTCCAGCTCTCTGTAGCGACTTTGACGAGCGAAGTGCTGGACGCAACTCTCCTTCGAATTCGCCCCCTTCTCCTCACACTGCACCCGGCTACATCGCGCCGCATCTTGCTGAACCCGCCCGATTGCTAACTTTCACACTCTCCTACTCACTCACGACGCCGCTACTTCTGCGACGCCGTCCTCACCTCGCCCGACTCCTCATCACCTCGAACACCTCGGACAACGAAGACGATGTCGAGCGGGCTCGAGAGTGCGTGCGAGTGCCTTCCGTCGCATTGTCAGGTGTGCTAAATACTCGCACCATCGCACGCAGAGTCGCTCTTCCAGCTCAAGGTCCGCTTCGTCGACCCCCCACCTCTCGCCCACCTCTCGCCCGATGACGCTCACACACCTTGTCCCTGCGCGCAGTTCACGACGAAGCAGCTGCAGAAGCAGTCGAGGAAGGCGAGCAAGGACGAGACGACCGAGAAGGCCAAGCTGAGGAAGGTGCGCCCGTTCTCTCCTCCGTGTGCTCTGCTCGGAACGCTCGCTGACCCAGCTTGCGAAACGCAGGAGCTGCAACGAGGCAAGGCAACACGAAACTATAGCTGCCACGACGGGCGCCGAGATCCGCTACTACAACCTTCTGCCCGAGTCGAAGTGGGAGGTCGACCTTGCGCACCTCGAGTCGCAGACTGACGAGAACACGGCGTTCTGCATCCTTAAGAAGTGCGTTCGCATCCGCTGCCTTCTCCTCACTCTCTCGCTGACCTCTCGCACACAGCCCTTCGAGCCCGTGCGGTTCAAGCTGGAGCGAGGCCCACCTCCGCGACATCGCCGCCGTCATGAACCGGCACCAAGTCGTCGTGATCGCCGACGAAGTCTACGCCGGCCTCGCCTGGAACGTCATCGGTCCCCCTCCCGCTTCCGCCACTCAGCCCGCCGTCAAAGGCAAGTTCAACCGCCGCGTCTTCACGCCTTATTGCGCCTTGCCTCGTCGTTGGAGCCGTCTCGAAGCGGTGGCTCGCACCGGGCTGGCGTCTGGGATGGACGATCGTCCACGACCCACTCGGCGTCATGGGTGCCGTCCGCATCGCACTCCGCAAGAAGGCCTTTGTGATCCAAGGCCCAAACTCGACGATGCAGCGCGCCCTCCCCTCCATGCTCGCCAACACCCCCGAATCGTTCTACGTCAACACGATGGTCGAGCTCGAGCGCGTCGGAAAAGCCCTCTTTGACCGCCTCGCCCGAATCACCGGATTGAGGCCCTGTCTCCCGCAAGGAGCGATGTACCTTATCTGCGGGTACGAAGGTCTCAATTTCGAAGACGACAAGGCGTTCGTCACTGCGCTTCACAAGGAGGAACGCGTGTTCATCCTCTCTGGAGCGGCGTTCCGTTTGGATGGGTTCATGCGGTTCGTCACGACTACGCCGCTTGAAACGCTCCTTGATGCGTGCGACCGTCTCGAGGCGTTCTGCGCAAGGCACCGCAAGGACGACGCCTAGATTCTCGTTCCACTAGACTTCCCATACAGCACTACGACGCTCTTCTCCTAGACTCGCAATCGCACGCCTTGAGATAGATACCCGCATCCCCTTCGTAGACTTCGTTCTTGCTCCTCCGTACACTCGTTGTTGCATCGCACTCCTGCTTCTCTCAGCCGGAGACCGTCCGCGCTGAACTCGCAAGCAACCAAGCGAGTTCTCGCTCCTTCTCTCGCTTCGTCGCTCGCGACGGTGGCGACAATATCAAGTCTATGCAAGCGAGCGAAGGTACGGCTAGAAGAAATCGGAGACCTTCTTGTTGACGCGTACGGCGTTCGAGAAACCCTCGTTGAAGCGGTGCGTCGCCTGTCGGACGCGCTTCGGCGGAGGAGGCGCGATGGCGAGCGAGTCGCCTTCTGCAGCCGCGAAAGCAAATGTCAGAAGCGTACAGAAGCTGGAAGGAGGGGGTCGACGCACCTGCTGCGGGAGAGCATGCCTTTCAGAAAATCGCCCGTCCGGAGAACTTGACTGCCTGCGTCGTCTCAGGTGCTACGTGCGCTGCAGCCTTCGCCGGGTTCCTGAGAGAGCGAGCAGCGTCAGTAGAGGATGAGCAGGCGGCGAGATTCGCGAGACGCACGTCTTGTAGGCGGAGAAGATCTCGCACGCGTCTTGGTCGGTCCGGCGGAGCTGTCGCCTCGTCTCAGCAGTTCGGCGTCGATCTGCGTGAGAAAAGGTCTACTCGTCAGCTGAAGGATCAGGAGGACGGCAAGACGGATCAGGCGCACGTCGCGGTTGACCATCTGGCGGACAGCGTAGCGACCCGGAGCGATGTCAGTCGGCCGCTTGCCGTCGAAGTGAACAAAGACGTCGATTGGACTGCGGGGCGAGTCGTGCGAGTCAGCTAGGCACATCGGAAGAGTCGGACGAAACGAGGAGGATCACGCACGGGTCGAGCTTGAACAAGAGCTGGCCGTCCTCGCTTTTGTCAAGCACGAACGCGAGCTTGGTGCTGATCATTGTATTGACGAGACGCATCAGGGGCGCCCGCTCCTCGTTCTTGACGACTTGGCTGTTGACCTGCAGCTGAGACGAAGCGGTCAACTCGCGGGCTTTGGCGTCAATGGAGAGGATGGGACACGCACGGGCTTGAAATCGGGCGCGACAATGCGATTCAGGAGCGGCAAGAGCTCGGCCACAGTGTTTGGACCGCTGAAGAGGGTCTTGATGTGCTGCGGAACGCTCGCGGCGAAGGCATCGGCCGCTTCTTGGTGTGCGATACGCTTGAGATACATCTAGGCAGGGCGATGAGACGTTAGCAAGCCGCATAACGAAAGAGACGCCGTGGACGATTCCGCGAACGCGCCTCGTAATCGGTCTTGGGCAACTCGACCGGGTTCGGGACTTGCGAGCTGAACAGCGGATACCAAGCGACGAACGAGTACGGGACGTAGGCGAGCAACTCGTACTCGCGCTCGGAGCGGAGACGGTTGTCGAGCTGGTCGTAGAGATAGATCCAGTCGAGCGCTTGGAGGATGCGAGGAAGTGCTTCGTTGTTGGTTGGCCGGGCGGTGAGGTATTTCTCGAAGCAGCCTGCGCGATGCAACCTTCAGCAGATCGCAAGGAAACGGGAACTGAAGCCGGTGCACACCTTGCGCGATCTTCTCGTACTCGCCGCTCGTCTGGACGTCGTTGACGATCCTCGCGACATACCGCTCGTTTGCGGCGACTCCGTCGCCCAACGGTGCTCTGCGCTTCCTCGGCGGTTTCTTGAAGAGCCGGTCGAGAACTTGCGACGAGGATGTGCCGGTGTCTTTCTGACCGAGGGCGGATGAGCGGATCGCGCGCTTGTCCGCGGTCGAGCCGTTGCGCTTGATGAACTGCGATCGTACGCGCGTCAGTACGAGGTTTGCGCACGAATTTTGCTGGGAAAAGAAGCAACGTACCTAAAGCGTATTCAAGCAACTCCGCAAGTCTCCCTCAGCGACATCCACCAGCAGCGACAGATGCTTGTTCTCGGTCGACAATCCTTCGACGTCGCAGATCGTGCGGAGGCGCTTGATGAGCATTGGCGCGGTGGGCGGGTTGAAGCGGATGATTTTTGCAAGGGGGCGGAGAGGGCGGAGGGCAGGGGCGTAGCTGTGCGAAGTGAATGATGTGAGCATTCGAGCGAGACCTGCGCCGAACGAGGGAGGGGAGCGATAAGGCTGGCCGGGACTCACAGGTCGTTGCAGATGCAGATGATCGGTCGTAGAAGCGGTCGTTGCTGCTTGCCCTTACCCTTTCCTGCTCAAGAAGCCGTCAGCACATTCTCAGCGAACTGAAGAATCATGAGAACGTACTCGATGGCTTCTTCAGCGACGAGCCTTCGGTGACGAGCTTGACGAGCGTCTTGACGAAGCTCTGCGGGACGATCGCGAGCATCGTCAGCAGCTGTTTGTCCAGAAGTACCGAGACCGAGCACGCTCGCGTAGACTTACCGGACCTCCTCCGTCTCCCGCTCCATCAATCTCGTCCACCACGACACACGTCGGCCTCACCGCTTCCTCCTCCCTCTCCCTCTCTCTCTCCTTCCCCTTCCCGCCCGCTCCGCCTCGTCCCGGCTTCCACCCACTCATCAACGCCTGCAAGTAGACCGCGTTCCTGATCCGCTCGTCGACGATGCGGGAGGTCCGGTCGTCTGAAGTATCAATTTCGAGGACTTGGTAGCCTGCTTGACCGGGGAGGACGTGCGCGAGGTCGGTTTTGCCGAGCCCTGGAGGGTCGGGGAGGAGGAGAATCTGCACAAAAGAGCGAGAGGTGGTGAGCATGAGAAGCGGGAGGGGAGACGGAGGGAGACGCACCTTTTCTTGCGGCAGCCCGTACGGGTCGGGAGCCTGCTCAACCACAACCCATCAGCATCTCCCATCTGTCTCAAAGCGAACTCGAGTCTCAAACGTGCTGCCTCCTCAAACCCTCCCTCTGACCCTCCCGCTCCGGAAGTCCCCTCCCTCGCCCTCTTCTTACTCCTCTCCCGCTTCCACTCGACCGCAGCAGTCGCTTTTGAGGTGCTTTTGAAGACGCAGGCGTCCCATTCTTCGAGCCAGAGGAGGGCGGTGCGGTGGACGCGCTGTGGGCGGGAAAGGAGGAGAATGGGCGTCAGCGGGTCGCGACCATCCACGCCAAGCGGCACATCTCGTCTTTCACGGACGAGAGACGTTTGCGCGCATCGATGGGAGAGACCTAAGAGACGTTTGCGCATGAACGCACCTCGTCGCCGAGCAAGTCGACAAACCGTTTCGGCCTGTACCGGTCCGTCCAAGGTGTGAGACCGAGGAGGCGAGGAGAGCGGCGTCGATACTGTGAGGATGGCGGAGGTCAGTTTGCGAAGGTCGACTGCACAAAATCAACGAACTGCGTGCTTCGCTCGAAAGCGAGAAGCAAAGCAGCGCAACAGAAGCATCGACCTACGCATCGGCAACCGCTGCTTCTTGGCCATCGCGGCGTCGTGCTCGATTTCGCGAAGGAGTTGGTGGTAAAGTTTCTCGAGCAACCTCGATGCGAGTTGTTCGAGCGCGGCGAGTTCCCCCTTCTGCACGCGTGAAGCAGGTCTTCACGTCAGCGCACCTCGAAAGCGAGAGCAGCCGACGAAGCAAGACGTTGGCGGGACACACCTTATTCGACGTCGCACCCGCCCCAACGCCCCGTTATCCCTCCAGCCTCTTCCGCCTTCGACACAACCTTCGACCCACCGAGCCTCGTCGCTTCGATCGGAGCCACCTCGATTGACCCAGGCGGGAGGACCGTCATGTTCAGGTTCGAGACGGAGAAAGGTAGTCGTGATTGTGCGAGGGAAGACAATTCTCGCCGACGTTGGTGCTGCCCAAGTGTCGCATGTCGCGGGAGTAGAGCGCCAGTTGTCGCGAGGCGGGTCGAGCGAAAGCGAGGGGAGTCAAGGGCGCACGGAAGGGAGGGGAAGATGTCGAGACCAGACCATCTTCGCCTTGCGTAGTCGACTTTCGCTATACGTTTGGAGAAGTGATAAAAGCGCGTGCGAAGAGGTGCAGGCCTTCTAATTCGAAGCGAGACGGTGGCGGTATTAGGAGTCGTGTCGCGGATGAGGGGTCGACAGCGTCCTTTGCGGAAGACTTGCGGGGACAGCCACACGTCCGATAGGCTGAGTCTGTACGATGGAGGAGGAAGCGAGGTTGGTAATGGCCACGCGACGCGACGGAAGCCAGATGTCAATGAGCGAGATTCGCTCGGTCCTTCCCGTTCCTCCTCTCCTACTTTGCCGCACTGCTGCCATGCCCCAGGCTACTGAACCAGGAGACGAGGATGTCCCCAAGCCCCGCTCGCCGCGCCTGCCCGGCCACCTCAGCCCGCTTCAGTCCGCCATCCACGCACACCCACTACAGCACCTGGTCCGCCCCGCCCCGCCCGCTCTGAACGACCAGGAGGCGGACGCACGCACCTTGGCCACCTCGTACTTCTCCCTTGCCAAGTCGTACGACGCCCTGGCCGCCAGCAACCTCGCCCTCGCGACCTCGCAGAACAACGCGGCCACGGCAAACAACAAGCTTGCGGAGTCGTTCGCCGCTCACACCGTGGCCCTGGACGCGAACACGAAGGCGCTCGAAGACCACAGGCGTCGCGAAGAAGACGCGAAGGAGGAGGAGAGGGAGGAGGCCAAGAAGAGGTCGAGGAAGTGGAAAGTTGCGACGGCCATCCGGGGAATTCTCCTCGGCGGCACGATGGTTGTTACGCAGGGCTTGTCCTGTACGTTTAAGCTCTTGCAGCACGAAGATCGGTCGCTGACCAAGGTGCGCAGATGTCGAGAAGTACAAGGCGGCGGGGCAGGTCGCGGGGCTCGCCGGCGGGTCGGAGAGAGTCGTCCTCAGCGCGTACGAGCTCTGCCAGTGCGTAGCAGTCTTCCTCGGTTATCTAGCCGAGCCAGACTGACGTTGGTGCGTTGACAGAGCCGGCAACATGTGCGACTGAGGTAAAGGAGCGAGCAGGCGCCTGTGTCGGGTCCGCGGACTCTCCGGTCCGTAGTTACTGTGCGTGTAAGGGCGTCGTGAGCGGCTTGAATCGTTCGTGAGGCGATAGTGACACAGCGCGAGAAGCGAACCGGCAGCAGCGAGCAGCAGTTGCGAACCTGGACGACAACGGCTCAGTAGTGTGCGGCTAAATTTGAGAGACTTAGCGCGGGCGGACTTCCGCAACAACAGTAACGAGAGGTGCGAGCATGAGAAGTGTCTCCTGCCCCCGATCCTGCCCTCCGTCCCAACGCTCAGGCTTCGCTTGCATCGCTTGCGTCTGAGCTAGACTCTCAGAACTGCTCGAGAAGCGCACATTGCGCTGCCCGCCTCGCTCCGCCGGTGTCCCAGTACCTCCGTGCCCTCCCCGCCTGTTCTCATCGCACCTCGCTCTCATTCGGCCTGCCTCGACACCCGGGCGCGCTAGACCGCGTGCTGAGGCCGAGCATCTATCCTCATCATGCACGACGTCCAACCCTCTCCCGTCTCCGCCATGTCCATCGCCTCCCTCGTCCCAGACGTCTCTTGCGATCCCTTGGTCGTGGCGGATCTGCTGCCCGAGGGATTGCGAGGCAACATGCTGTACCCGTACTGCGCATTCTTCGCCGGCGTCGTCTCGCCCCGGCCCGGTTGCCCTCCCTGGACAGCAGAACTCGAGGCTCGCTACCAATCCATCCATCCTCTAGTCTGGCATTACCTCTGGACGGACGACTTCATCGACCGAAGCGCCGTCACTGGGCTCCGAGCGAGAATCGCAGCAGCTGAATCACAGCAGGGCGAGAGTCGGCCGACGGGGGAGGCGAGTTTGGAGGACTTGCGGACGGCCCTGGGCATAGTCAGGCAGAGGCGTTCGGATCGGTTGGGTTCGCTTCTCGGTGAGTTGCAGCGTTTCGCGGGTGCGCTCGCAGCGCCTGAACCCTAATACCAACTCTTCTCAGCCCTTGACGTCGTTCGTACTCGCTACATCGATTGCAAGCTTCGGGAGGAGCCGAACAAGAACCAAGCGCAGGTCTTAGCCGATCTGCCTCGCAGCGGATCAGCACCGCCGGCAGTTGCGGCGCCGCATTCGCGTAAATCCACCCCCGCTCGCGTCCGTTTTCGACGCACTGACTTGCTCCCTCCGCGCAGTCTGGCCGATCTACGCTCCTCCACCGTACCCGGGCTTGATTTGCCTGTGGGACGATGTCAACTGGACAAGATATCGCTTTCCCGACTGTCCCGCCGAAACCGCCGACATCGCACCCAAAGAACCTCGCGCTGCCCCGTCCTGCTCTCCCGCCGGCGTCGTTACGCTCCCGACATCGTCCTTCATCACATCGTCTGTCGAAGTGTCCGCAACGGGACTAAGACGCCGCCGCTGAGACGGAGTATGTGAGTTTAGCGTGTTTTGGGTCTCTCGTCCTTCTTGTACTGGCTCTCGCCGGCACCATCTTCCTTCGACCTGCTAACAGTTTCCGCATTCTGTGCAGACCGGGACTCGTTTCGCATCCCTCGAACTCTCCTACCGCTCTCCCCTCTCCTCCCTTCTGTCTCCAGTACCTCCCTGTAGCACCGACCCCTTCATTCGCTTCTCGTGTTGCCACGTTAGCGCATGTCTCGTCATTGTCACTGAACTCGTGGGACCCCGAGGACGAGCTTTCGGTCGGTGTCCTTCGTCGAGGAGGCGAACTTCAAGGCAAACTCCTCCTTCGCTTCCTCTCCTTTCACATATCCCTGTCGCTGGAGCCGCTGAAGCCGCTCAAGTCTGCTGCTTTCGACTGCATTACTCTACACCAACCCGCACCGCTCAAACGCCTCCTCGCTTCGCTTCCTCTCGAGAGACCTTGGTCGCGAGTGCCTCCCCAGCGCACCATCCTCGTCGCTCGGGCTGCTCTGAGGCACACGAGTGCGCTGCTACGACGCTCAGCACAGCGCACTCTCGCTGTCACCCGCCCGCGTCGCCTGCCCGCGCCGACCGAGCCACCCGCTCCGCCTCGCTTCATCAGCCAGAACCCGCGCAGCTCGCCTCACGCAACTGAGGCGGCTGCGGCTGACGCGAAACATTGTACCGACTGTCCACAAGCGATCAGAGCTCGAGCGCGACCATCCCATCACGCCCTTCACCTGCTCCCCCCTCCTGCTTTCCTCAACATCTTCATTGACACGCTTGTGCCGGAAGTCCACGTCAACGTAGCCAACTTGCCCCCTCTCTTGCCCTGGAGCCTTCGCTACAACGACCTGTACCCGTATTCCGACCTCTTCTCCCACATCGTGTCGACCCGTCCCGGCTGTCCGCGCTGGAACGCCGAGCTCGAGGCGTATCACCAGACGTTTCACCCGGAGGTTTGGCTCTACCTGTCGATTGATCGTGACGGGGATGCGCACGCTTTGCGGCAGCTGCGCTCGCGCTTGGGCGAGGCTGAAGCGGGAGCCTGAAGACGGAGCTTCGGTCGTCGAGCTGGAGAGCGCCATTGACTTGCTCCAGTCGCGGCAACGGGACAGGTGGAACAAGCTCTACGGGCGTGTCTCGTTTCCTCCCCGCCTTCCTGCTTGTGCGCAATGGCTTTGCTGATCTGGCGGACGATGCGCAGGTCTCCTCGACATCCGCGACAAGTACGTCGACAATCAGCCAAAGACGATCTCCTGGGGAGGCGACGGCGCGTTCTTTGACCTCGGGTTGGCTGCGATGGAGTTCACGGCACCGAGCGCTGCACGGCACTCCCGTGCGCCGGACCTTTCTCGTCGCTCCCACATCCGCTAAAGCCTCTTTGCTTGCAGTGTGGCCTATCTCTCTTCCACCACCTTCACCTCGCCTCGTCTACAAGGATGTTGACTGGAGCAAGTACGCCTTGCCGGACCGCCCGACATTGAAGTCTGATGCGGAGAGATGGCGAGCTCAGGCTGCTCAGTCGGAACATGACGCCGAATGCGACAGAGTCATGACAGTGGGACGCCGACGGGATGACGAGGCGGCGCCTCTTCTCGCCGCACCCGCCAACGGAGCGCGCTCGTCCGGCTTCCTCTCCTCCTTCTCTGGTCTACTCCGCCATCGCTCCCCTCAAGCCGTGTAGTACGCCTTCGAACCTTACGCTTCAATGGCACGCACCGCCCGGCCTGATGCGCTTGTCCCCTCCGAAGGCTTGACTTTCCGACACCAATCTTACAACACTCGCGTCGCACAAGTGCGTCCTCTCCTCGCTGTCACTCGCCACATCTGCACGGTGACACTTCCCGTTCCGCGCAGTCGGGCGACGATCGCCTCAGCAGCACCGGCAATTCGTCCGCCTTTCTCGCCCTTCCACGTCGACAAGCAGGGGCGCAGGGGCTTTCCTACTCCACAGCCGTTCCGCCCTGGCGTTCCTTCGTCGGTCAACAGACTGTCTCGTCTCTCTCCCCGCTCGCTTCCGCCATCCTTCCTCTTCGCCTCGGCGGCCGTATCACCCTTCGCCTCCTTCTATTCCCCATTCAGTTGTTGTTGCACTCAATACACATTCGCTTGTCTCAGTAGCCATCCAAATCCTGTACGGACTGACAACTCGCGACGCCTGTCTAGTTCCGCGAGCGAGCCAATTGGCGACCGCACGCGCTTTTGGTAGGCTCGTTTAGCTCTGGCAGCGTCTCATATACTCGTAACGACCGTTCCAGCTCTCTGTAACGACTTTGACGAGCGAAGTCCTGGACGCAACTCTCCTTCGCCCCCTTCTCCTCACTTCTCACACTGCACCTGACTACATCGCTCAGAACCTTGCTGAATCCGCTCGATAGCCGCCTGTTACCCTCTTCTGCTCACTGACCACGCCACAACTTCTGCGACGCCGTCCTCACCTCGCCCGACCCCTCATCATCTCGAACACCTCGGACGACGAAGACGATGTCGAGCGGGCTCGAGAGTGCGTGCGAGTGCCTTCCGTCACATGGTCAACTTGTGTTGATATTCGTATAATCACACGCAGAGTCGCTCTTCCAGCTCAAGGTCCGCTTCGTCGACCCCCCACCTCTCGCCCACCTCTCGCCCGATGACGCTCACACACCTTGTCCCTGCGCGCAGTTCACGACGAAGCAGCTGCAGAAGCAGTCGAGGAAGGCGAGCAAGGACGAGACGACCGAGAAGGCCAAGCTGAAGAAGGTGCGCCCGTTCTCTCCTCCGTGTGCTCTGCTCGGAACGCGCGCTGATCCAGCTTGTGAAACGCAGGCGCTGCAACAAGGCAACACGGAGGGTGCACGGATCTACGCTTCGAATGCGATCCGGAAGAAGAACGAAAGCTTGAACCTGTTGCGGTTGTCGAGTCGGATTGATGCGGTCGCGAGTCGGGTCGAGACGGCGGTGACGATGCGGCAGGTGCGTCCAATCTTTCATTCAAGACTCACCACGCTTGCTGACCGAGCTCTCGCAAACGCAGCTGACGGGAAGCATGGCTGCGGTCGTGAAGAACATGGACCGCGCGATGCAGGACATGAACTTGGAACGGGTTCGCTCGATTCTCCATACTCGAAGGCCTTGCCAGTCGTTCTCACCCTTGCTAGTCTCACAGATCTCGGCGGTAATGGATAAGTTCGAGTCGCAGTTCGAAGACATGGACGTCCAAACCGGCTACCTCGAAGGCACCCTGTCCTCCGACACAGCCATCGCCGCACCCTCCGACCAGATCGACCTCCTCATGTCCCAAGTCGCCGACGAAGCGGGTCTCGAAGTTGCGCACGAGTTGCAGGGCAAGAGTACGGACAAGGTGCCTGTGCTGGAGGAGCAGAAGCAGGCGGTGACGGAGGAGCAGGAGGATGCGCTGGCGCAGAGGCTGAGGGCGTTGCGACCTGCCATGTCTTGAGGAGCATGGGAGAGTATTGCTGTACGACTATCGAAACTGGACGAGCATTTGAATCAGGCAAATTGCGCTCGCGACTCGTCATGACACGTCGTTCGCGCGCTTCCAGTCAAGTCATGTCACGGGGAGTCACGGTAAAGTAGAAGCTGTCTTGCAGCGTCTACGCATCGCTCGCCTTCGCCTCGTCCGCTTCCTTCGCGCCGTTCGCTGACCTCTCCTGCGTCCGCTCCCGGTCGAGCGAGACCACCCTGCCTAGTTCCTCCCTGACGAGTCCTTCGAGGTGCCTGAGGCCCGGGACCTGCAGCGGCGGCCGACCTGGCAGTCGCAGTGAGAGGGTCGGCTGCGCGGATGGAAGGATCGGCGGTGCTTGCGAGGAGGCTGAAGACGAAGGGAGCGGGTACGAGTGCGCGACGTGGATAATGTGGCTGTTGCCGAGTGTACGCTAGGCTGTCAGCAATTGTACACGACGGGAAGAGGAGCCGAACGCACGCTTTGCCCATCCGCAGCGTCGCCAGCCCGCCAAGCTCCGTTTCGCCTCGCAACACCTTGACAACATCTGTCGCCGAGCCCTGCACCTCCTTCGCGCCATCGTGCTGAACCGCAACCTGCACGCCCTGCTCTCTGCCGCTCGCCGCGATCTCCTCCAAGATGCCCTTCAGCCTCTCGGCGCGTTGCGAGTGGTTGAGATACGCGGAGAGAGTGGCGAGGATAGGTCGAGAAGATGTGCTGGGAGCCTTCGCACGGGTGGAGGCGCGGCGAGAAGCGTATTCTTGGAGGAAGAGGAGGCGAACGAGAGAGGCGAGAGAGGCGAGCCCGGAGGAGGAGGCCGTCTCAGCCGCACCGGACGATACGACCTGTCGCAGAGAGTGTCAGGCTACCGATACTTTCCTCAGCGAGAGAGAGATGCTCTGACACACCATCGAGATCCGCAAGCTCCAGCCTGCACCTTCCAGCACGACCGAGTCGCCCTTCTTGCCCGAGCCCAGCTCGAAGCGGGCGCGCGTAGTGCTGTTTTCCGCCTGTGCTTCAGTTGCAAGCTGTAGTGACAGATATTTCAGCGGGACATGGGGCGGACAAGGAAAGAAAGGCGGACGAACCTGCGCAAACAGCTCTTCGGCGAAAGCAGCTCGACTGCGCAGCTGCAAGATCCTTTCTACCCGCTCGCTATCTGCGTCGCCTTCGCCATTCCAGCCGAACCTCTCCTTCTCGCCCCTCGAGTCCAACTCGAAGACCATCTTCCGCCCCGTCCGTTCCGCCGCTTCGTCGTGCAACAACTCGCCTACTCGCGCAACCGCCGCACGCCTGTACTCTGCCTTCGCCTCCTGGCAACCGAAGAAGACGCCCACCTCCCTCGCGGTCCTCGTCTCGCCCTTCCCGCTGAGACTCGCACCCTTCATCGCTCCCAGTGGGATGAGCGAGCGAGGCGAGCTAGCATGGAGGCGGAGGATGGTTGGCCAGGGGTCGGGATCGCAAGTGCGAGGTCGTGCGGCTTTGGTGGTGGACGAGGCGGAGGATAAGCCGGCGGCTGCAAGTTCGGCTACGTCGAGCGGAATGAGCTCTTCTGAGGCGCGGAAGAAGGCGTTTGCTGAGGACTTGAGTGTGTCAAGGGAAGAAGCGAGAGGAAGGGCGGCGAGAGGATTTGTCGACGGATCTGTCGAAGGAGGAGGGGGAGGAGCGGTCGGGACGAGAGTGAGGGTTTGCTGAGGAAGCGGGATGGTGTTGACGTCGACATCTGGCGGGTCGGTAGGCGCAGAGAGAACCGAAAGCACGTCGAGCGCTGTGCTCAACTCGCCCCGAGCGATCCTGCAGAAAGTCCAGGTGAGCGTGTGGACAAGCTGCGGAAAGCGACTGGACGCACACGAGGTTCTGCAACATCGTCTCCTGCAGCTTGTGCATGTCCTCGACAGACGGCCGGTCGACCTCGTCCGCCTGCTCCTCCTTGTCCTCCTGGACCGGGTTGCGGATCGAGTCCTCCGTCAACTGCGAGTAATCGCCCCGCTCCTGCCACACACGCATCAATCGCTCCGAAAGACTTTTCTTCGGATCATTTCTGCGCCGTCCAGTGTTATCAGCGGGGCGTGAGACGGCTCGAAGCAGCGATGTGGGACGAACCGAGTGAACACCTCGCGCCCGTCGTCCAGCACGACGTCGTGCAGCCGCGCAGGCCGCGCAAACAGGTCTGAGTCCTTTCCATCTCCAGCAAATAGCCGCAGCGGCTCGAGCGAGAGCGTTGTCGTAGAAGCCATGAGCGCTCGAAGGTCAACCAGCGGAGCGAACGGCGGCGAGGAGTAGTTCTCGCTTGGTAGCAGCGACAGCGCTTCTACGGCTTCTCCGACATGCTCGAGGGATGGCTGAGGAAGCAAAATTACAACGGATGCGAAGACGACGGGTACAGCAGACATGCGAGGCGGTCCTCCTTCTCCTCCTTCCTCGCGCTCCAACCGGCACAGCAGCGCCTTTTCTCCTGCCACTGCTCGACTCGCCATACGTGAAGCAGCCACACTCCGCCCTGCCTGCCCGCTCAGATCAACCCAAGCATCTTTGCCCGCTCCGGGTTCAACCCATTGATGAGCTTGCCTCCTCCACCTCCTGCTCCTCCGCCGGGCGGACCAGTCGGTGCACCGCTCGCTACGACGCCAGCTCCTGGAGGAGGAGGGCCGCCTGGACCGGGAGGACCGCCGCCTGGAGGGAAGAAGCCGGGAGGAGGGGCGCCCATGCCGGGTGGAGGGCGGAAGCCTGCGGGCGAGGCGAGGTACGGGAGCATCAGCGCAAGAACGGGTTAGAACGGGTGTGAGAGGCAATAGTATGCTGAGCGGGAAGCGCAAACGTACCGGGCGGAGGCATGGGAGGACCGCCTGCGCCGAATCCAGGAGGACCCATTCCTGCAGGAGCGCAACGAAAGTCAGAACGCATTGTTCAGCCAGCGTTCGCATGGATAGCGACTGACCAGGACCGCCGGGAGGACCAGGAGGACCGCCAAAGTCGGGTTGAGGAGGCATGGGACCGGAACCGAAGCGCATCGGGGGTCCGCTGCCGGGCGTGCCCATGGGAGGTCCGCCGGGAGGACCCATCCCGGGTGCGGGAGATCCGGGAAGACCGCCCATGGGAGGACCGGCGAAGCGCACTGTGTCGAGGGGAAGTACGACGGTCAGCTTCACCTCGTTCAAGCCAAAAGGACGGCTGGCGCACTTGGAGGAGGAGCAGCGCCTTGAGGCACGAAGGTCAAGTTCGCTCCCATCGACAAGGGCATTCCGCCCGGTCCCAACTGCAGAATACGCGCTTGTCCGCCTCCATGCTCGTACGCCTTGCAAATCTGGTCAATCAGCTCCTGTGCCCGTTCGCTGCCAAGGTCTGCGGGATAAACTCGTCAGCAATGGCGTTATGGCGGCGGAACAGCATCACGGGGCGCACTGGCATAGTAGTCGCGGACGTTCGAGAGGTGATTTCGGCCGGCGTTGTGTGCTCGCCGTACTGCGGGAAGACAAGGGGCATCAGTGCATCGAGGCAGATGTGAATGGGACAGAGCAAGCGCACCTGATGCACTGTCGTGCGTGAGGAAGACCTGCGGGACAAGGAACGAGTCAGCCTGGGTCTACGCCCGAGTTCAGGATGATCAATCAACGTACGTCGCAGTAGTCACAGTAGTACTTGCCCATCTCTGCAGCACCTCACCTTGGTCGAAGGGCGAAGGGCGAAGGGAGTCGGGCGGGGGAAGGAGGTCGAGTCGCGGGCTGCACGGCGGACAAGGGTCAGCCGCGGCCGTTCGCCGATCTCACAAAACCACTCGAGATTGCCGTACGCACCTTCAAGCCGCCGTGTCCTGTACGAGAGTTGCTCGAAGTCGAAGCGAGATGGAGGGGACGAGGAAGAGCGGGACGAGGGTGGGCTGGGCTGCGCGAGGTTCAAGGGTGTCGTGGGCAGTACTAGCAGTCCAGCAAGCAGCAGTACAGCCCGGTCTAGCAGTGACAGCGGTATGGTCTCCTCCAACCTCTCCGCCTCCATCACTCTCGCTCCTGCTCGTCCTCGCTCGCCGCCAGAACGCCTCGCAGATGGCCGCCAACCAGATCGCAGAGCCATTTGACCTCATCCGCGTCTCGCTGTCCGAGCGCGTCTTTGTCAAGCTGCGAGGAGACCGCGAGCTGAGGGGTGTCCTCCATGTGCGTCTCTTGCCTCACGCACGCCTCGCTGAGGGCTGCAAGCTGACGAGCGCTCCTGAACGACGTACAGGCCTACGACGGACACATGAACATGATCCTGAGCGAGGTGGAAGAGACGATTTACGTCGTCGACGCGGACGAGGCTTCGGGAGACAACGTTGTGCGGGTGCGTCCAGCGATCAGGCTCTCTTCGCGTGCTAGTAACTGACGAGCATGACCTGCCGCAGACGGTCAAGCGCAACTGTGACATGCTGTTCGTGCGAGGCGACGGTGTTGTTCTCGTGCGTCTCTCCCTTTCCCTCTTGCCAGCGCGAGCCAGGAAAGACTGGCGAACGACTATGCGAATTGCGAAAGAGTAAACGAGAGCGCTGACGGAATGGAACGAATATACAGGTCGCGCCTCCCGCACGATAGCCGCCCTCCCACATCTTCCTTCTCTCCGCCGCCGACCATGTTGTAGAATACCCTCTTCTGCCCCCGCAACGCCTTCCTTCGCACGCCGAATACCCCACACTCCGCCGTCCATGCGAAAGGAAGACACCGTCCGCAGGAAATGCATCGTCCCGCGAGAGGCTAGATCACGTCGCTCCCACTCGCAATCTCCCTTTCCGTCCGCCACCTGCTCCCTCTGAGCACATCAAGCTTGAGCTTCCCGCTCTCGCTCGACGCGCCCATCCCGTCGAGACTGGCGCTCGACTGGAGAGGCTGGATGCCTGGTTTCTCGGGTGGAGAAGCGGCTGGCGGGATGGGCGAGCCCGCTATTGGCGGTGGCTGCTCCGAGCTGGACGGAGAAGTCGGTAAAGGCGTAACGGCACGCGAGTTTTGCTGAGAGAGCGTGGCGAGGAGTGAGGGTGTTCGTTGAGGCGGAGTCGGGCGGAGGAGAGGCGTTGCGAAGGCAGAAGTCGGGGCAGAGTTGGTCGGTCCGTTCAGGTAGTGTCGATGTGCGGGCATCGGCGGATCGGGTTCGGGGACGTAGTTGGAGGGGATTGTGCCATCGAGGAACCAGGAGCGGAAGAGAAGCGAGGTCTGCAAGACGTTTCCATCAGTCCTGCGGTTCTGCGGCATCAGCGAGAGCTCCTACGCACGACTAGAGACAATGGCAACGGCTCCTTCAGCGGCCGACCCTGCTTGAACGCGAGGAATATGGACTGCGTGGATATCGAGGTCAGCGAAGGGGGGCGCGATGAGGCGGTAAGGTCGCACGCGCACCTCTGACACCTTTTTCAGCTCGTGCACGGGGTCACCCTGTGCTCCATTCGCCCCACTGTCCCGTATCGCCATCCCACCATCCGGTTCGTCCTCCTCGACGTCCTGAACCGCCTTCTGCTTGCCCTGACTCCCGCCGCTGCTGCCCGCGCCGCTCCCGCCGTCCTCCTGCACGCCCAAGAACGCGCTCGACGGGACCGACAAGATGGGCGGCGGCGGCGCGTGGACGACGCCAGGACCCGCCGACCCTCCCGGAGCGGTTGCGGCGGCGTTGCTCGCGCGCAGCATCTGTTCGAGCGTGTGGATGCGCTGCTGGAACACTGCGTCCCGCGGTCTGCGCTTCCGCGACCCTGCACGCCGCTCCTCGCCAGCCGCGCCGTCATTGTCCTCATCGCTCATTGTCCGTCGAGGTGTGAGCCAGCGCTGGCGGATCGACTCCCAACGGGCTGCAGAGTCGTCGTCGTGGTCTTCTGGAGGCCTGGCAGCCGGTGCAGCGGCGGCGGCGGGCGAGTCTGGCATGAGCAGCGGGTTATCAGAGCGAGAGAGAGCGTGAAAGCGAGAGCGAGACGAGGTGGACGATGGCGAGGGAAGGCGCTAGAGTTACAGGGCTGCCGTACAGGGCAGCACAATGCGACAAAAGTACACGAGAACAACCGACAGGAAAGAGGAGAGGGGACGAGGGGAACAACCGCAAAACGAAAGACGACCGCAAAGACGACTCTACCTACGGTTCGTCTTGCCCGCCTTGCGCTTGCCCGAGAACAGCCATTTGGGGATGGCAGCCGTCTCGTGCCTGTCGCCCTCTCCTGCGCGGGCGAGGCGGTTCGGTGCGCGCTGGGCGAGCGACCGGAGCCGCTTCGCCTTCTTGTCCTGCTCGTCGTCCTTGAGACCGGCGAGCTGGCGGTTCGAGCCCGGCACGCGCTTGCCCTTGGCGACGATGCTGCCGCTCGAGCTCGTCCGTCGCTTCTTGCTCGCCTGCGCGTCCTCGTCGACGTCCATCTCGGCATCGTCGCCCTCGTCCGCAAAGCTCTCGTCTGCGGGAGAGTCTGAGTGAGCTGAGCGGCCCTTGACCCTGCGAGAGCAAACGCGAACGCACCCTGGTCCATCTCGTCGTCGCTGTCGGCACCGCGCTTGCGACCAACCAACCCCTTCGCCTTGGCCAACAACAGCGCGCGCTCCTCGAGCGACGACGCATCGTAGCCAGCCTCCTTGAGCTTCTCCGTCATCTCCGACAAGGTGCGGGACTGCTCCTTGCGGGGGATGATCGGGCGGTTCTGCAACTTGTGCTTGTCGGCGTTCTTGAGGCGGATGAGCGCCTTCTTGTCGCGGATCGTGCTGGCAGCCGTACGGATCGCCTCCTCGTCCGAGTCGACGTCGCTCTCCGAGTCGTAGAAGCCGGCCTTCTCGAGCCGCTCCTCCTCCTCCTCGAGCTCGTCGAGCTTGGCGAGAATGTCGGGGTCGATAAAGTCGGCAACGTTCTTGCCGTCCTGGATCTCGGGAATGACGTCGTACTTCCACTCGTCGTTCTTGAGCATGTAGTTCTTCTTGAGGTCGACAGAGTGGACGCCCGCACCGCCATTCTCCTCCTCGATGTCGCGCTCGAGGCGCCTCCGCTCGGGGTCGCTCTTGTCGTACGCCTTGCGCGACTTGACCGCGTCGGGGATGAACGCCTTGCGCTCGACGCCGTCACGGGGGACGGGTACGGCAACACGAACACGGTTCGCGACGTTCTCGACACGGCGGGTCTTCTCCTTCGCCTCGACACGGTGCGCGAGGAGCGCATCGCATGCCGAGTTGCGGACATCCATGATGCCCTCCTCCGAGACACACGAGAGCGAGAGGAGCGAGACCTGGTCCTCGGCAAGGATGGCGTCGAGCATCGCCTTGCGCTCCGGGTCGAGGTCTTCGGGGCGGACAATGTCGATCTTGTTGATGACGATGAAGGTCGGCTTATTGGCGAAGAGAGGCTTGATCGACTGGTAGAGCTTGCACTGCGGGCGGACAAGCGATCAGACGGGAAGGAAGGAAGAATGGTGGCGCGCGACGGACCTGCGCCTCGACGGTGAACCCGCACTGCTCCGACAAGTCCATGAAGTAGAGGACGCAAGCGCGGAGGTGTGCAAGCGCGGTGATCGACTGCATCTCGATCGTGTTCATCTCCTCGAGCGGATGGTCGAGCACTCCGGGCGTGTCGATGACCTGCCACCGGAGGTACTTGTAGTCCATGTGGCCGACGAAGAGCGACTTCGTCGTGAAGGCGTACGGCTGAACATCGACATCGGCGCGGGTAACCTTGTTGACGAACGACGACTTGCCGACGTTGGGGTAGCCGCAGATGAGGAGCGTGCGGGTAGTCGGGTCGATCTGCGGGAGACGCGACATGTGCTGTCGGACCTGCTCGAGGTACGCAAGCGGGTCCTTCTGGCGCTTCATGATCGTCGCCATGCGACCGAGCGCCGCCTTCTTCAGCTGCTTGCAGCGGTACAGCGAGTCACCGAACTTGATCAGGCGGCAGTAATCCTTGCCGACCTGGACGATGAGGTGGCGCGCAGTGTTGAGCTGACCGAGGGCGAGCTTGTAGTGGTTCTTGTCGTAGAGGACGTTAAGAAGCGAGTTGAGGAAGGGGTGGAGGTTCTGCGGGACAACGGCGCGGGGTCAGCGGCGGGCGGTCGAGTGGCAGACGAAGTTGACGCACGTCCATGACCGGGAACTCGGTCAAGATCTGGTCAAGCCTCTCCTCGAAGGACGCCTGGGTGAACTTGACCTTGCGCATGTCTGTCGGGCGCCAAAGGTCAGCTCAAGTCGGTCTCCTTCAGGCTCCTTCACACGCACAGAAGGACCGGATACGGCTGATCTTGAAGCCTGACCGGATGACGGTCGGCGTCTTGCGCTGGGTCTTGGAGAGGATGACATCGAGGAACTGCAGGGGCCAGAAGGAGGTCAGCCGTTGAGACTACGCTTGCCGAGGAAGTGACGCACCTCCTGCGCGGTAGGAACCGGCGCAATGGCCTTGTTGATGGTGCCGGACATGGTTCAGGAGTGGTGTGAAGGCGAGTCGGCGAAAGAAGAGATGAGGAGGAGAAGGGTTGGCTGAGGGCGGGTCGAGGTGGACTGGTGGGTTCGGCGCTTCGCAGATAGGGTTCTGTAAATGCTGCTGTTGCTAGGCAAGCGTCTCTGGCAGTCCTGATGCGGCGAGAGAGGCTGGTCGGGACAGGTGAAGGTGGCGGTGTGAGCTGACGGTGGCCAGCGACGACGACGAGCTCTGGCGGGCCGCTTGTTTCGACTGGGCGTGTGTTCTAGCGCGAGTGAAGCTGGCTGTATGACTTGCTGCTCGACCCAGAGAGAGGCGAGCGCGGTGGAGAGGCTAAACCACTCGACACACCAAGCTCGAGCACTCATCAAGTTGATCTCTGAATATTACGATTAGCGGCCATAGTATTGACATTAGCCACGCTTACACTCCCTCCTGCGCCTGCGACCGCTCAAAGACGCTCCCGCGAGCATCGTGTCGACCGTGCTTCTGTCCCTCGTCCCCCTTGATCCGCTTCTCCTCGCCAACCTTGCCCCACCCGCCTCCGCCAGGCGTGTTGATGACGATCCTGTCGCCCGTGCCCATCCTGACAGTCGCCTTGCCGCCGAGGTTGATCGTGCGAGGCTGGCGAGCCGCGTCCGTGTTCTCCTTCTCGCGAGGGAGGTCGCCGTCCTCGACGCGCGGCAGTTTGAGCCACAGGTTCTTGCCGCTCGTGCCGGGCTCGCCGCCCTTCATGCCGTAGGGACGGAAGACGCGGCGCTCGGAGAGGATCGAGCACTGGATGGGCCTGCGATGAGTGAGAAGGTCAACCTGCGCCGCTTCCCTTCCTCGTCTAGCTCCGTGTGATGCGCTCCCTGTTTGTCCACCACTGCACCAAGCCTTAAGCCGCACATCCGCCGTGTCTCCTTCATCGACTTCGCTCCGCCCCGAAGAGAGCAGCCCTCGAGAACGCCTCGACTCACTCGAGGAACTCGATCTCGCGCACGACGCCATCTCCACCCCGATGTTGCCCGTCCCCTCCAGATCCTTGTCGAATAGAAAACTGGTGGAGGATAGTCGGATAGCGGCGCTCGAGGATTTCCGGGTCGGTGACTGCGGGCGAGGCAAGGGTTTTCAGCCGACTGCGCTGAGGGTGACAGTGTAGAGCGAGGGCTGAGGACGTACTACGCGTGTTGGTCATGTGCGTGTGGACGCCCGAGGTGCCTTCCCACGTCGGTCCAGCGCCGGAGCCTCCGGCGATACTGCGAATGGCCTGAGGCGTCAGATCGGCCCTACTGAAGTCCTGGACGATACGGAACAGGCCCACGTTTCGTAGTATCCGAATGAAGTTGATCCGAACGTCAAGTTGTTGCCTGAACGGCCCAAGGAAGCTGTCAGAGTCGAGAACGAGGTTTTCGGGGAAACCGCACGACTCACAGTCGCCCTGACTCGCTGCGGCCGCCTCGAACGCTTTGAGCACGACGTCTCTGCGTGATAGAGACCGTCAGAAGAGGCGAAGAGCGAGGAGGAAGGGCGGAAGGGAGTAGGAGAGCGACCGAGTTCAAGTCGCTCCGCTGCGTTCCCCTGCTCCGTCCGTGCGACTCACGTGATGCGCTGCGAGACGCAGACATTCCCTGCGACAACGGCTGCCGTGTCGGATGGGCTGAGGCACGAGCCTGGTGGGAGCTTGACCTGGATAGGTACGAGGCAGCCCTGGTTAAGGGGGATGTCCTGGTCGACCATCGCACGCAAGCAGTAGATGATAGCGCTGTAGGTGACGCTGACAGGCGCATTGAGGTTGCCGTAGATCTCGGGACCGGTGCCTTCGAAGTCGAAGACGGCGCTGCCTTCCTTCTCGTCGATCGTGACGTTCAGCGCGATGGGCGTCCCGTCGTCGAGGTAGTCGACTGCGGAGAGCTCGTTCGTGCCCTGTCGTCGGCAGACTTCTTTGAGGAGGTTGCGGACGGCGAGCTCGGCATTATCGCGGATGTGCAGCACTGCGAGCCGGATTTTCGTCAGTTCCGCTTCGCAGAACTTCGTCGGCCTTTCGAGACACGTCAAGAGGACAGCAAAGACGTACTGTACTCCTGGACCGTCTCGAGCCCGTACTCCTCGTTGAGGAGGTTGATCAGCGCGCGACCCTTCTCGTTCGCCGCAATCTGCGCCCGCAAGTCCGACTCGACGTCGCTGAAGCACCTCGAGCCCGAGCATCCCTCGTACTTGGCCGGCTCCTCAACCATTAGGCGGTAGAGCTCCTCCCGCTGGAACTTGCCGCGCTCGACGATCTTGAAAGACTTGATCTGTGCACCCTCGTCGAAGATGGTCTTGCTGTTTGGAGGCATAGATCCTGGTAGCAAACCGCCAATGTCGGCATGATGTCCGCGCGAAGCGGTGAAGAAGACGATCTGGCCGTCCTGGAAGACGGCTGTACGAGGGCAAGGTCAGCTCCGGTCTTCGCAAGGCCAGATCAGCATGCGAACGAGTTATTATAGTGGCGTCTGGCAAGTGGCTTCCGCCAGCGACAGGATGGTTGGTCAGGATGACGTCCCCCTCGTGCAGGTCGTCCTTGTAGAAGTTCTGCTGGTACCGGACCGCGAAACTCATCGATCCAAGCTGTGTAGCGTCCCGAAAGCGCATCAGCGTGTACTCCGAATACTCAAGAGTACTGCTAGACCCACGTGGACGGGCAGGTGAGGTGCGTTGGCGATGAGGTCTCCGTTCGGGGCGAAGATCTGTAGGCGCGAGAGGGTGAGTCGGAGGCGAAACTGAGGGACGGCGGAAGGATCAGACGAACAGCTGTAGGCAGAGATGGGTCAGCTGGAGCAAAGCGAAGCAGGGGGGGAAGGGCTGACCGCATGAGAAGTCGAGCCTCTCCTTGATGTTGGTCGAAATCGACGTTTGCTGCCTGGCGAGTGGTGAAGCAAGGAGTCGGGGGCAGAGTAAGATGTAGAGGACAGTCCAGGAAGATGGGAGTCGGTGGAGAGGGCGTGTACGAGGCGAGGGCAGGTGAGAAAAGGGGCAGACGGAGGAGACGAGGAGGGGAGCGAGGTCAGTCTCGAGCTCCAGCGCTTCGAACGAACGCTTGCGCCATAGCTAGACTGTTTCACTCACAGTGCACGACCCATAGCCTCCGCGATAGACCTGCATGCGACGAACAAGCTTCATCAGTCTCGCACAAGGAGGTGAGGAGAGATCCATCCAGGCGCACATGAACCTGTGAGCGACAGGCGGAAGCGGTCAATACCATCCTTCTCGCGGCTCCGACGTCAAGCAGGACGCACCGGTTCGCGAAGAGCGAGAGCAGGATCGGGTCCGCCTTCGAGGAGGGCTTCGCGGTGCCCTGCGTCGTGGACGCCGGCTTGGCGAGGTCGGGAGTGGCCATGGTCGTCTTGTCGCTTTGCAGAGCCAAGCAAGCAAGACACAAGCGAGCGAGCGGGACGGTGAAGGTAAGCGAGTCCTCCTCGACGTCGGGCGTCGAAGGTGGGGGCGGAACTCGCACGGAGAGCGACGACGGCGAAGACTTCCGTAGCGGGACTGCTCTCTAGGTGACGGGACAGACGAGTATGCAAGCGAAGGTATGCTCTTTTCAGGTCAAGAGGGAGAATTCGAGGCAAACTACAGGAGAGGGAGGGAAGCAGGCGAAGGAGAACAGAGACGGGAGGTGTTGCTGGGCGCCGCCGAGCAGCGACGGAGACAGAACAAGAAAAAGCGTGGAGGGAGATCTAGCGTAGTGTGGAGCGCGATGAATCCATGCAATCACCGCCTCGGGACATACTCGTCGACAGGCGGGTACCGAGGCGGCGAGCGAGCGCCGCCGTAGCCACCGCCGGGCGGAGGCGGAGCGCGCGCGTCGTACGGCGCGTAGCCACCAGGAGGACCGGCGGCGTACGGGTCGCGTCCGTACGGGTCAGGCGGAGCACCGTTGCGACGAGGCGAGAGCGAGCGGCGGCGTTCCATCGGGTTGCCACCGCTGTGGGAGACGCGAAGAGCAGCGTCAGTACGGATCGCGCACAGCTCTGACCAGGAAAGCGGGACGCACCGAGCGGGAGAGCGGCCGCCGGCACCGTAGGCATCGCGGTCGCCCCTGGGCGGGTAAGGCTGGTAGCGAGCTCCAGCGCCGCGCTCGTCTCGCGGGTCGTAAGCGCTCGAAGGAGGAGGAGCGCCAGCGTCCATCGGTGGTCGGCCGTACGGGTCCAGAGGAGGCGGAGGCGCGCCGTAGGGAGCGCCCGGCGGCGGGACGATAGGAGACCTCGCAGCCGCAGCGCCGGGGTAGCGGTCGGCGTACGGGTCACGCGAGCCAGGAGCTGCGACAGGAGGAGGAGGAGCGTAGGCGGGACGGTCGTAGGGAGCAGCGACGGGCGGAGGAGGGTAGCCTGGGACAGCGCCCGCAGGAGGAGGGTACGCGGGAGGAGGCGCGCCGGCGTAATACGGGTCGTAGGGCGGACGGTCCATCGGAGGACCATAGCCTGCCGGCGGAGGAGGGCCGCGGAAGTCACCGCGAGGAGGCGGAGGTCCGTAGCGGTCAAACTCGCGAGGAGGAGGAGGTCCGTAGCCAGGGCGGTCGTAGGGAGGATGCGGCTCGTCGAAGCGCTGGCCGTAGGGTCCGTAGCCAGGCCCAGGAGGACCAGGGTAGCGACCGTAGTCTCCTCCGCCGTTGCGTCCCCTGCCGCGACCCTTGTCGCCGCTGCGAGTGACGCGAAGAAGGGTCAATAAGGCGTGCGACTTCAGCAAGCGCGACCGGACGCACCCGTTCTGGTACATGGGCTTGCGTCCGTCAGAAGACCTGTCGCTGCCGGGGCCACGAGTCTTTGCGACTTCTGCGGGCGGGACGATGTGTGAGTTCGGCATTATCTCGCTGCAGCATTGCGAGAGAAGCGCACCGTCCTTCGGCAGAGGCGTACGGGCTAGCGACAACTCAACCTTGATCTGCGAGCCAAGGAAGTGTCCCTCATTGTACTTGGCGACAGCCTCAGCAGCATGAGCAGGGTCGACATATTCCTGCAGGTCGACGGAAGCGTGAGTGATGCCGCAAACAGCCTAGCGCAGCAAGCAAGAACGCACCACAAAGCCAAAGCCGCGCTTGATGACGCAAGTACAAGCCCCGATCTGGCCAAAGCAATCCTCCAGATCCGCAAGAGTCGCACTGTGTGAGACGAAGGAGACGGGAAGGAAGTCAGAACGAGCACGAGCGGAAGCAGGACGCAGAGAGGAGAACTAGCTTGCCTTTCGGGCAAGTTGCCGACGTAGATCTTGTTAGCAAGGTAGCCTCCGGTGAGCAGACTGCCTCCCTTTGTCACACGTCCAGGCGCAGCGTCGTTCGGGTGGCGAGGGCCGACGTCGTAGGCCGGGTTCGGCGTGTGCAAGATCTGAGGCGGTGGCGGAGGAGCCTGAACCTGCTGAACGTGCTGCTGCTGCTGCGGCTGAGGAGGCTGCTGCGGCGGCTGCGGCGTCGCGTGCTGCTGCAGGTGCTCAGCAACCTGGGGAGGCAAGCCACCACCGAGCTCGGGAGCAGGACCCTCCTGGGAAGACGACGCGGCCACGACGGCAGGCGGCGCAGGAACCGGCGCGGGTGCGGGCGCAGCCTCGGGCGCAGGAGCAGGTGCTTGAGCTGCTGCAGGCGCCTCGTCGGAGGCGGACGGGAAAGCGAAAGGCTGGGGAACCTCGGCGGTCGCAGGGTCGGACATGGCTTGAAGAGAAGTCGAGTGGATCTTGACGGCGGGAGCGTGCGAGCGGGTGATCACGAGAACCGAGCGAGCTGCCTGTCACACAGTGAAGCGCTACTCTGTACTCTGTGCGCGGAGGAAAGGTTTTCGAGGTGGACGTGGTCGGACCCTGGGGACGAGCTGGCGAGCTTGGAACGGCGCGCGCGGGCGTGGGAGTTGCTCGAGGGCAGTCAGTAGCTTGTGTGGAGCGTACTGCGGCAGCTGAACCGGGCGTGCGAGCCGTGCAGCGAGCGATTGGAGCGGGCGAGGGTGAGGACGAAGGCGAAGGAGCGCGGGCGGCGAAGTCCCCCGTTTGTAATGGGGATTACAACTCGATTGTAATGGTGAAAGTATAATCGGCTATGTAGATTACAACGTGCGGCTATTCCTTCCTATTCACCACCAGAAATGACGGCCTCGTCCGTTTGGGGCACAGCCGCTGCCGTGGGCCTCGCCAGTGGACTTGTGGGCTACGTGTGTCCTCAAAGCCGCACTCTCGTGGCGACCAACCGTGCTGACACTCGTTCTCTCGCCCGCTCACCAAGTACATCGGTTTGGGCTCGACACTCGGATACACAGTGCGTTGCATTCGCTGAGCCTGCGCTGGTGCATAGCTGACACCGCTCTACGCAGCGTGGAGGGACTAGCTCGGCAAAGGACGACGACGGCGACTCGGAATATGAGACGGAATCTGAGGAGGGCGATGCGGATGAGCTGAAAGCCGTCAAGGCGCAGGGTGACGAGCCGTGCAAGCTCGTGAGTCGGGTTTTAGTATCATCTGGAACGCTGCTGATCCCGCTCGACAGGTCCTCGTCGTACGAAGCGACCTCAACATGACCAGGGGCAAGATCGCTGCGCAGTGCGGGTGCGTGTGCTCGTCTGTTCACCGCTCGTGCAGCTTGCCTGACTATCGTTTGACGTCCACAGTCACGCCACGCTCGCCTGCTACAAGACTCTGATGCGATCCAACCCCAAGGCGCGTTTCTCTCCCCGTTCCTGCTCGACGAGCGCTCACGAAATGCTCTCCTCGCAGCTCGTGCAGCATTGGGAGCGAACAGGGTACGTAACGACTTCCTTACCGTCTTGTTGCGCCTGACTGAGCGCTTCGAGTCCCGCAGGCAAGCGAAGATTGCGGTCAAGTGCGAGTCGGAGGAGGAGCTCGAGATCCTGCAGGCGTCGGCCAAGTCGCTCGGTGTCTGCGCGCGGTCCATTCAGGATGCGTGAGTCGAGACACCTTCTGATGTGCATGGGTAAGCTGACACAGCGTTGTTGCAGCGGACGAACGCAAGTCGACCCTGGCACGACTACTGTCCTCGGTTCGTCCGCCCTCCCTTCACCCTTTATTTGGCTCACGCTCACCATTCAGATCGGCACAGGCATCGGTCCAGCCCCCGTCCGCGTTGTCAACCAAGTCACCGGCCACCTCAAACTGCTGTAACTGCCCGCTTCCTTCCCCTCGCCTGCAATGCATCGTCGCTTCTCGACCCTGAGCTCCTTCTCTTCCCTCAACAGGCGCGAATACTCGACGCTGGCCCGACGACTGCGACTTTGAGCTTCGACAAGACGGGCCTTGCGCTCCGCGGACCCTCCGGTCGCTCCTGTTCCGGCATGTCCGTCCGCCCTCCTTCGACCACTTCTCTCCCCTCAACGCCTCACTTGCTCCTCTGGGATGGCTCGCCGACAACGCCACGAACCGCTCGCAAAGCACGACGACTTTCTTTCCGAGTCGGATCTCTCGTCCTCCTCTTCGGAGAAAGAGAAGCGACGCTCGCACAGTCCTGGCGCAGTCTACCGCGACAACCCTTCTCGCAGCTCGCTCTCTAGGCGTTCGACTTCGGCGCGGGAGAAGCGGAGCGACGCGAGTAGCGACGAGTCGGTGAATTCGGAGGACGAGGAGGATGAGGAGAAGTTGATCGGTAGGCCCGCAACTGGCGATACAAAGTCGGTTCGGGCTGGTGCCAAGAAGCAGAAGAAGCAGAAACGGTTCTGGGAGATGAGGAGCATGGATAGCGGGCAGGCGCAGCCGGCTCAGGCAGGACAGTCGGTGCGTCGCTTCGTCGCCTGTCCTCTCCGTTCCGCCGCTAATCCACTTGACACACATGTAGAGCAACGGAATGCTCATCTGCGGAATCGTGACCGTCATTGTCCTCGTTTTGCTCGGCGTCGGCGGGTGCGTCTCGCCCTTTCTTCCCGTTCCGACCCCTTCGTTGAGTCTGCTCCGCGCAGATACTTCATGTACAAGCAAGGCATGCTCAGCTCAATCTTCCCCGACTCGGCTGCGTCGTCGTCCACGACGTCTCCTGTCGCTGAAGCTACAGGCGGCGCGGCGGTACCGACTGGAGGCGGAATGACCGACACGGCCGCAATCACCTCTAATAGTGGGTTTTGCTCTCTCGCTGAGAAGCTGCGGCTACTGATACAATCCTTGCAGCCGACGCTGCAGCGACCGGCGCTACCTCCGCTGCGACCGACTCGTCCGCTACCGACAGCTCCGCTGCAAGCGGCATGGCCTCCGGTGCCAGCGGTTCCGCCTCGAGTGGCGCAAGCGATGCCAGTGGCTCAGCTTCTGCCTCCGCTTCAGGGTCAGGCTCAGCCAGCGGCAGCGAGTCTGGCACACACTCTGGCAGCCACACCAAGAGCGGCCACGAGGACAAGTCCAAGTCGAGCGACAAGACCAACCTCCTGACGGGCATGCCGAACCTCTTCACCCAGACGCTCGTCACGACTATCGATGGGAAACCTACGACGCAGAGTGGGTACTGGGCGAACGACGGACTTCAGGGCGGGGGAGGGACCGAATTCAAGTCGCACTGGGTGCCGAAGCCGACGAATCTTGAGCGGCTCAGGCGCAGGGTCGGGTATGGCGAGCTGCCGCTCGCACAGGCTTCCCTCACGACTCTCCTCCCCGTCCAGACGGCTGCGCCGGCGTAGCTACCTTACCTCACAACGCTCTATCTCCTCACTTCCTCTTCTTGCAAAGACTGTTTCTATGCCTACATCTGCTCAACCTCAACCGGCAAGCCCGTCTCTATACTCTTCGCAATCGCCTCGAGCGTCGCAATCGTCTGTAAAGCGTCTCTCCCGCTACACCGCGGCTCTGCTCGTCCCTCGACGACGTCGACAAAGTGCCGGAGTTGGTGGGTGAAGGGTGGAGTTGGGTCGAGAGGAAGCGGGTCGGAGCGGATGAGTGGGTCGGTCCAGCTTCCGCTGAGAGAGGGGTAGTGCCAGACTTGGAGTGAGGGGAAGGCGAGGGAGCCTTGAGTGCCGAGGACCGTGTAAACCGTCTCGCCCTGTACAGAGCCGTTCGTCAGCCAAGGAAAGAGAAGTACGAGGGGGGGGGAAGCGAAGGAGGGCTTGCGGTTTGCGGCATGAGCGGATTCTCGCCTGTTGCGGCCTCAAAGAAGTAAGGCGACGCTGATGCGCTGCCAGTACGACTGTGAGTCCTAAGAGTGCACAAGTTCGAAGGGGGAGGCCGCACTCGCTGAACACGAATGTCCCGACGACACCTGATCCGAAACGCAACGTCACCGCGCCCGTCTCGTCGACAGGAAAGCCGCGTGTTGAGGCGCCGACTTCGCAGTAGACGCGGGTGATGTTGCCGAAGAGGTAGCGGAGGCAGTCGATTTCGTGCGAGAGGTTAATCATGAGAACTCCGCCTGTTCCTTTCTCCCGGCGCCATTCTGTTGGCGCGGCAAAGTGGGACATGGGCTGTGACGTGCGCACTCAGCAGGAGAAGTGAATCGTCGAAAGAAATGTCGACGCACCTTCAAGCAAGCCCAGGTTCCTTGAACAGCGAGGACTGGACCCATCTCGTCAGCGCCGGAGAGTCGCGAGCCGCCTGGAATACACTTACCGTTCCCGAGCTTGCCGTTGTCAAGCAGCTTCTTCGTGTTGACGACGTACGGGTTCTGGCAAGTTGCGAAGGTCAGCGGCGTTCGTGCGTTCGTTCCGCCCACGACAGCTGAGAGGCACAGGCGCGCGAGCCCTACGAAGCGCCTGTGATGACCAACGAGAATCTTGGCCGAGGACGACGCCTCTGCAGCCAAGAGCGCCCTGCCGCTCTCGACGTCGGTCGAGAAAGGCTTCTCAACGAGCGTGTGAATGCCGGCTTGGACGAGCTGGATGCCTAGCGGGACGTGCGTGGCATTTGGAGTCTGGCGAAGAGGAGTAGGAGATGAGCGAGTCGCCCAGCTTGTCAACGAAGTCAAAGCGGGACGCACCGCAAGAATCGCCGCATCCACCCTGACCTCCCCTTTCGTTCGCGCCGCAAGCATGTCCTCCGTCGAGCGGTACAGCTTGACACCCAGCTTCTCGGCATACGGAGGTCCAGCAGGTGTTGGGTCGACGATACAAGTCAGGTTGACATTCGGTTCGTCGAGGGCGTGTTGGGTGTGTCGTTGACCGATCAGGCCTGGCGTAGGGCGATCCGCGTCAGATCGAGTCCATCGAAGAGAGAGGGAGGCTTCACCTGGAGCGCCAATGATGGACAGCGAGACGACCATGAGAAGCGGGAGACTTCGAGGCGGAGGAGAGCCACTCGTTGGCAGCAGCGGTCAAGGGGTTCCGGTGAGCTCACGGGATGCCTCCCAGCGTCGCCAGAAGAGTGAAAGCAAGCCAGAGAACCCGTACGGATGCTGAGCGAGCGCAAGAAGTGGGGAAACAGCGGCGAGCAGAATGTTCTGCGCGTGTTCGCGGCCGTCCAGCGTTGCCGGCGAGTCTTCTGATGACTGCGCCGGCTCTGTCGGATCATTGAAATCATGCTGAGCCATTGTCAGAGCGAACGAAGCGGGAGGCTTGCGGGAGGCAGACGTCGGCGACGAGAACAACTTCGACCTCGTCCAGAATTTCGCGGCCTCGCTGTAGGTCTTCTGAAGCAGTAGGAAGTACACAGGACGAGCAACAACGTCGTCTACCGCCCTCCTTGCCGTTGTCGCTTTCCTCTGCCCGTGGTTGGTCCCGGTCGCAATTTGACTTGCTCTCGCTCTCTGCGTCGCTCACACCGCTCGACGGGGACTTGCACAGGCTAGAGCACACCTGCTGGACTCGGTAGACTAGGCTCAGACGAATCAGCGAAGTCGCAAACCCGCCACCCGCCAGTCGTCTTCCTCGCCGCTATCTCCTCTCGCTCGCTCCGGTCGACCGCACACAGCGATGTACGCCCTCCGAGCGCGCTCAGCCGGCACCATGCCTTACCGGCGATACCTCGCGACACACGCCAAGCTTCCGCAGACTTACATCGAGAAGGTCGTCCAGCGGCACTCGGTCGGGTTGCCAGAGGGAAAGGTCGTCCGGGCGGGAGACTACGTGATGATCAAGCCGCAGCATGTCATGACACACGTGAGTGGGATGCCTGACGGGCGCGCAACCCGCAGGAAGAGCTGCTGACCTACCTTTGCTTCTCCTCGCAACAGGACAACACCGGTCCGGTCATCTCCAAGTGCGCTTCCTTCGCCGCAATCTGCTCAAACATCGAATGCTTACCATCTCCCACACAGGTTCAAGTCGATTGGAGCGACCAAGATTGCCAACCCGCGACAGACCGTCTTCACCCTCGACCACGACGTCCAGAACCGCTCTCCCGCCAACCTCTCCAAGTACGCCAAGATTGAGGCCTTCGCTGGCGACCACGAGGTCGACTTCTACCCCGCCGGACGAGGTATCGGCCACCAGATCATGATCGAGGAGGGATACGCCTTTCCGGGTGTCATGACGGTTGCGAGCGATTCGCACTCGAACATGTATGGCGGAGTGGGCTGCGTCGGCACGGCGATCGTCCGAACAGACGCAGCGGCGCTGTGGGCGACCGAGCGGACATGGTGGCAGGTCCCGAACATCGTTCGCGTCAACCTCGAGGGCAAGCTCCCGCCTGGCGTGACCGGCAAGGACATCATCATTGCCCTCTGCGGCGCATTCAACAAGGACGAGGTCCTGAACCATGCCATCGAGTTTCACGGCTCGGGCATCCCCCAGCTCAGCGTCGACGAGCGACTGGCCATCGCCAACATGACGACCGAATGGGGCGCGCTCGTCGGTGTCTTCCCGACAGACGACGTCCTCAAGAAGTGGTACGAGTCGCAGCTCAAGAAGCTCGAGCTTCGGCGGTTCGAGTTCGGCGGCCGCGCCTCCGGCTCGCTGTCGTCGTCGACCAGCCAACACCCTCGCCTGAACCCTCAGCGCCTCGAGCAGGTCTTCGCCAACCCCGTACTCCCAGACGAGGGCGCCTACTACGCCAAGACGCTCACTCTCGACCTCACCTCGCTCTCACCCTCCGTCGCCGGCCCCAACTCGGTCAAGGTCGCCACCCCGCTTCCCGTCCTCGCCAAGGAGGACATCAAAATCAACAAAGCGTACCTCGTCTCGTGCACCAACTCTCGCGCATCCGACATCAAGGCTGCTGCGGACGTCATGCGTGGGAAGAAGGTTGCGCCGGGCGTCGAGTTCTACATCGCTGCTGCGTCGTCGGTCGTGCAGAAGGAGGCAGAGAAGGCGGGTGATTGGGCGGCGCTCGTCTCGGCCGGCGCCAAGGTCCTTCCTGCGGGTTGCGGACCTTGTATCGGTCTCGGAACGGGTTTGCTCGAGGATGGAGAGGTCGGTATCTCGGCGACCAACCGCAACTACAAGGGTCGGATGGGGAGCCCGAAGGCGCTCGCGTACCTCGCCAGCCCCGAAGTCGTCGCCGCCTCTGCTGTCGCCGGCAAGATCACCGGTCCGCAGGTTGCTGGTGCGACACCGACGGAGGACGCGCCGCGAATCTCGATTGAGGAGCATGCATCGTCCGCCGCCGCCTCCACCTCTTCTGCCGCTGCCGAGCCTCTCCTCCCGAACTTCCCTCCCCTCTTCTCCGGACCACTCCTCTTCGCCCCGCAAGACAATCTCAACACGGACGGCATCTACCCCGGCAAGTACACCTACCAGGACGACATCACGCGTGAGAAGCAGGCCGACGTCGTGATGGAGAACTACGACCCCGCCTTTGCGTCCATCATGAAGTCGCTCGACTCGCCGGCGCGGTCGACCAACCCTGCCGGCCCCCAGCGGAACGGCGACGGCGTCCTCCTCGCCTCGGGCTACAACTTCGGTACAGGCTCGTCGCGCGAGCAGGCTGCGACAGCGCTCCTCTCGTCGGGCATCCCGCTCGTCTTGTGCGGCTCGTTCGGCGACATCTTCAAGCGCAACTCGATCAACAACGCGCTGATCTGCGTCGAGTGCCCCGAGTTGATCGAGGACTTGACGCGCGACTTTGCGCTCGACGGAAAGCGCGGTGCCGGCGGAAAAGACGGGAAGTTGACAGTCCAGACGCCGTACTGGGTCGAGGTCGGCAGCGTCGATGGAAAAGTCACGCTCAGGAAGGAGAAGGGCGGCGAGGTTGTCAAGGAGTACAAGGTCGGAGCGGTCGGCGGCAGTGTCCAGGAGATGTGGCTCGGTGCGTCGTTCCGCTTCCCTTGCGGCTGCTCGCTCGCTGACTCCTCGTGCTCCACAGCCGGCGGACTCGAGGGCTGGGTCAAGGAGCGCATCTCTGCATAGACGAGTTGATGGGTCGAAGGAGGACATTTGTTGTTCAGCCGTATAGTTCGGCGCGTCTTCCCTGCTGCCATACGAGCATTGTAGAGCATCCCTGCGCTTCCTCGCCGTCACCCAGCGAGACTTTGCCGTCGTCGTCGTCGTCCGGCTCAGACTTGACCGCTTCGCTCTCTCACTCGTCCGATCTCCTCGCTGAAGCCATGCCAGACTCGCCAGCGCCAGCAACACAGCAGCCGACACAGCCTGAAGGACCCGTGCGGCCTGCCCCTGCCGCCGTCGCCGCTCGCGCAAGAGCCGAGGCGCTCCACCAGCAACCCGCCCGCGTCCCGTTCTTTGCCAGCGCTGCGCAGCCAGAGATTGGTGCGTACGTCGCTGATTTGTCCCCAGGTAAGCTGCTGACACGGCTAGGAGACTTCCCGCAGTCCGGGCGAACCAGAAGGACCTGTACTATCTCTCGCAACTGTCAGAGCGGATTGAGGATGTCGCGCGGTCTTTCTTGGGTGCGCAGAGCTTCCTTCCGCTCTGACACCGCATGCGAGCTGACGCCAGCGTCGCCAGGTACCCGGTGGTTGCAGACGTGGAGCAAGGAGTTGCAGCATGGGAGTCGGCTCGCATACTTTGGCTTGACGACGCTGCTGGGTACGCCTCGTTCCTTTCTATTCTGAGGTGAGAGAGACGCTGATGAGTACCGCTCGCAGGCTCGCAAACGCTCGGCGAAGAGTATTGCGACATCATGCAGTACCAGAACAAGGACCGAAGACCGCCGACTCTCCCGGTGCGTCTTCCTGGACATAGATAGTCTCACACTACACGACTGACAGACTCGCGTACGCAGCGGAGAGCAGCCCTCGTCGCCCTTCACGTCCTCTTCCCCTACATCCTCGGCCGAACATACGCCAACCTCCGCCGTTCCCTCGTCCACCGTCACGAAGCGACACAAACCTCTCAGGCGGAGATCGACTCGCTCTTCCCCTCCTCACCTCCTCCTCCAGCGAAAATGGGCGTCGTCGAGCGATGGGTCGACTGGCTTGCGTCGATCGCGAAGGACCTGCCTTCGTTCGAGACTTTGACGGAGGACTACCTGCGGAGCGTGCATCTCGCCATCTTCTACTTGCTCGGGCGCTACTACAGCCTGAGCAAGCGGGCGACCGGCATTCGCTTCGTGCGCTCCGGGTTTCCTTTCGTCAGTCACTGCGGGGACTGACCGCTCCGTTCCGCAGATCTCGATGCAAGGCCGACGAGCCAAGGCGCTTTCAGGCTCGCAAAACTCGCCTGCCCCCTCATCCTATGAAGTCCTCGGCGTTCTCATGGGCGTCCAGCTCGTCGTGCGCGGCTTGCTCGCAATCCGGCGACACCGCGCCGCCGCCGCTCTCGCCGACCCAAACGCGCTCGAGAAGGAGAAGGAGCAGGAGCGACAACGGCGGAAGAAGCGGTTTCTGATTGATGGGAGACCACTGGCGACTGTTGTGTTTGACCCAGACGACCCGGAGCAGGCGGCGCCTTACCCGGACGAGGAGGACAACGAGCGGCGGTGCACGCTGTGTCTGGGTACGAGGCGAGATGCTACAGCAACGGAGTGTGGCCATGTCTGTGAGTCGCGGGCGAAGGTTCGTTTCGTTATGAAGCGGGATTTGCTGACGCTGCCTCCCTCGCAGTCTGCTGGGAGTGTGTGGTTGGCTGGGCGCGGGAGAAGGTATGTCTCAAGCTCCTTCAACTTAGTCGCGATGCAGCACCGGCTGACTCCGCACGAACAGGCCGAATGCCCGCTTTGTCGACAAGGGATCTCGCTGTCAAAGCTGCTTCCTCTGCGGAATATGTGAGGCGCTCGGAAGTCGATGTTGTATCGAGTAGCGAGACTGCATTGCCTGCGAGCTACGTGAAGCGCAAAGCGGGAAACGCGAGAGCGACCAGCGCTTCGCGAACAACGACAGAGGGAAAAGCGAAATGAAGCATGCAAGCGTTCCTCCTCCTCCTCCTCCTTCTCAAAACTCAGAAGCGCTCCTTGCTGAACGTGAAGCGAGTCTTGCCAGCCTCGCCGGTCGTGTGCTGCGCGAAGAAAGTCGAACATCAGCGCTCTGGCTCGACTCGGAGGCGTCCGACAAGCGCACCTTGATGCACATTTTGTGCAGAATCGTGCTGAGCGGCTTCGGCCCGCAAAAGAAGACGCCAACCTCGGACACCGGGTGCTCAGCCGCGATCGAGGCAAAGATGCGGTCCCAGTTCGGGCGGCCGTAGTGCGTCGGCGCCCTCAGCTGCGTGATCGCGTCGCGGTCACTGCCGACGTCGTTGGCAAAGATGTTGAGCATGTCGTGCGCCTTGATGGTAGCCGTGAGGTACGTATGGATCTCGATGCGCTGCGAGAGAAGCAGGGTCAGCTTGAGAGTCGCTGACAGCGCTGAAGGGCGGACGTACGCCCTCAAGGTCCTGCTCCTCAAGCGAGAGAAGAAGGTCGCGGAACCACTCGAACGACTCGGCTGCAAACGAACGCAAAATCAGCTTGGGAAGGTCCGCTGGCTCGAGGGGCAAAGACGCACCGTCGCGGCAGATCCAGAAGAAGCTGCGAGCGAACCGAGCGTCAGCGCTCTCTTGCAGCGGCGCAAAGCGACAGGCGAAACTCACTAGACCTTGCGCAGCTTCTGGTCGAGCGGGTCGCGATCCGGGTCGTTGAGGCGATACCAGATGTGCTTGAGGATGGCGGCGAAGGGGGTGACGCCGATGCCTGCGCCGACGAGGACAGTGACTTCGTACTTGAGGACGTCTTCGGTTGCCGTGCCGAAGGGTCCGTCGACCTGCGTGAGACGAGTGTTGGGTTAGCGGGAGAACGGGTAAAGCGCAGGCGCAACTCACCATGACCCTCGGGAGCGGGCGGATGACCGACGGTGACAACAGCTTCTCGCGAGTCCACTCTTCGGAGAGAAGCTCCTCGTCCTGCTCGCAACCGAGGATGACCGCAAGCTGGCGAGTCCAGTCGCCGACAACGCCTGTTCGAGCCAAACTGGTCAGCATAGTCTCGTCAGCAGAGCGCAAGGGGAACGCACGGATGTGAACCCAGAGGAAGTCTTCCTCCGGCGCGCTCGTGAGCGTGAACGGGTGCCATTGCCAGTACGAGACGCTCGGGCAGCAGATCATGATGTACTGCCCAGGGCGAACGCGGGGCGTCTTCTCCTTCTTGATGCGGAGCTCGATCACGTTGCTTGGGTGGACGACAACTTTGCTCAGGTAGGTGCGGTGGCGGGAGCGGATCTCGCGGAGGATGCGTTCGCCGATGTAGACGAGGCCGCCGAGGATCCAGCTGCGCGAGGCGAGTCGGCGAGGAGTTCAAGCGACTGGGTAGGGGGAGTGCACGCACTACATCCAGAACACGCCGATCTGAGTCCAGCTGCAGTACGGAGGGCGGTCGGGTCTGCGAGGGGCATGTGAGTCTGCTGAAGAGGTGAGACTTGTTTCGGAGACGTACTTGATCATGCAGAACATCTACGACAACAGTCAACGCCGTCAGCTCGATGCGCGCGAAGAGGATCGCGAGGACGCACTCCATGGAACTGCCACAGGACGAAGAACGGAATGAACAGGTGATGCGACCAGTAGAAGCGCTGAAAGTGCGGACGCCTGCGCTTCTCGACAGCGAAGAACGTCATGACGGCGAGGAGGACGAGCATGATCCAGCCGGTGAGGAAGGGGCCAGTGGTGAAGTTCGTGTCCAGCGCGAGGAGGAGGGCCGCTGTCGCGGTCGTGGCCAGCTTGGCCCCGAGCCACCATGAGTTGAAGAGGCTGCGCGCGAGGGTGAGCGTAAGCGAGCGAGTCCGCACGAGAGCGGTGGATGAAGAAGGGCTGACTGGGCAATCGTGCTGGCGACGACGGTTCCAGTCAGCGAAGACTTCGGGTAGAATAGCGTCCCAGTACTCACTGCACGGCCGTCCAGAAGACGATCGACCAAGCGACGACCTTGTCTACGGGCGCAACACTCATCAGCGGAATCGCGCCGACGCTTCCTCGGTTCGCGAACGTACGGAACTCGACGTTCTCGTCAAACGGAATCGCTTTGTTGAGCGCGGTCCTGCGAAGAAGCGTGACGAGGTTGCGGCAGACCGGAAGGAGAATGAAGACGACGTCGATGTGGAGGACGAAGGCGGCCGAGCGAGCGATCACGTAGGTCGAGCCGAAGATGGCGCGGGCTGGGACTGAGTGTCAGTTGGTGCGAGACTGAGAAGGAATGCGGTCGGACGCACCGTTGCTGAAGTTGCCTAGTAATTCGAGGTGACAGGAAGGTGAGTTCGGGCTGATCCGACGAGGAAGGCTGAACTTACGGTTGAGGTCGTACTGAACGTCGACGAAAGGATCTGTGAGCATTCTGAAATGCAGGCTGAAGACACGGACGCACCCTGACGACACCAACGGCGAAGAAACCGAGCTGGAGGAGCAGCCAGACGAGCAGGACGAGCGCCGAAGATCCTGTCGGACAGTCGTAATGCTCGTCAGCATCATCTCTCAACGTCTGTGCCAGAGCAAAGGGCGCACCGTCCTGCCTGAGCCAGACCTTTGCCCTCAACCACCTGTCTCCCTCTTCGCCAGCCTTCTCATCGCGCGACTCGACACGCCTGACCGTCGCGCTCCTCATCAGTCCCTGCAGCCTGTCCTGCTCTCCCTCGTTCTGCCTCTTGACCTCCTCCGGCCTGCGGATCGCGCGCGAGGTCGCGCGCGAGAGGGTAGACTCGAGGTCGGAGCGGGGCGTGAGCGGGACGACGACGTGCGGAGCAGGCTCGCTCCCAAGCTTGTCGGCCTCGGAGTAGCTCGTGTCCAAGCTGGACCCGGTCGGAACGGCGGTCGCGGCGGTGTGAGCCGGGAGCGAGTCGAGGTGGGCTGCGGAGGAGGGAGTGCGGCGATGGGCGAGCGAGAAGCGCCCGTTCTGGACGAAAGCGGGCAAGGACACCATCCTGAGAGCTCAGTTGACCGTCTGCGAGCACCAGCGAAGGCAGCAGAGCCGGTCCAGCCGGATCGAGGTAAAGAGAAGGAGCGAGAGAGAGGAAACGAGCGAGCGAGGCGAGGCGACCCACTCTTGCGGGTTCGTTCGTCTCGCTGGTGGGCAGGTAGAGTCGCCTGAATAGCCAGAATGCGGTCAAGTAGGCTCACGGTGCAAGCGAGAGCCAGCAGTCGACGCCAGGACCTCCTCGTCCACCTTTCCACGCCTTCGCCGCCGACCACATCGCTCGAGTCCCGCTCGCTCGCCTCGTGTCCCGTTCAAAGCGTCGCTGCCTGTCCTGCACCTGGATTGCCGGGCCGCACGAGGGCGTAGCGAGGCAAGCGAGGTCCGATGTATGCAGCCGTTGGCGTTCGATGGCAAGTTGGCAAGGCAGCATCGACCGTTGGGCGGGAGTGACAGACTTCAAGGGATGGTTGTAGGGTAGAGGGCTGTCGTAGGGTATTCTGGCCGTCGAACAGGCGACAGGCTTCGTCTCCTTCTCTTCGTCCACGAGGAGTTCGTCGAGGAGGTCGAGCAAGGTCGTGGAAAGGCGGGCTGGGTTCGTAGTGAACTTGGTCGGCCAGCTAGCAGTGTTTCGACCTCGTATAGACTGCACGCGAGCAGCGTGAGTCGCTTCGACTTCTCCAACCGTTTGCCGGCGTTCCTCTCGCTCCGTCATCTCACTCAACCACGCTCACAATGCTTGCTGCTCGCTCTACTGCTCTCCGAACGGCCCGACGAGCCTTCTCGACGACGCCCATCGCTCGCAAGCACATCCTCAACGCGACACCGGAGGACTTCGAGACCCATGCGATCAAGGGAAACCGGACAACGGTAGTCGACTTCTACGCCGAGTGCGTGCGACTGAACCTTCCGAAGCGTTTGTAGGCTGACCGCCACCTCGCAGCTGGTGCGGACCTTGTCGATTCCTGGGACCGGTGCTCGAGAAGGTTGTCGACGAGGCTTCGGATGCTGACTGTGAATCCGCCACTGCATTCTTTTGCCTCGCTCAAGCTGACAATAGGGCCTCCTGGACGCAGTGCTGAAGGTGGACACGGACGAGCACATCGAGCTCGCGCAGAAGTACAAAATCACCGCTTTGCCAACTGTCGTGCGTTCCTTTCCGCTCTTCGCCTGCCTACTTTCGCTTTGCGAGACTGACAAGCGTATACTCCGTACACAGCTCGCCTTCCGGAACGGCCAGGTAGTGGGCAAGATGGTCGGGGCGACGAACGAAGCGGGCGTCAAGCAGTTCCTCGAGAACGCGAAGAGCGCATGAGGCGTTGCGGCTCCGCATGGAGGATAGGAGGGACCCGTGTCGTCACGGTGGGCTGGACAGAGACCCAGAAGACGCAATGGAGGGGCGTAGGACGCCCTTCGTCCGACTTTGTCCTGGCGAGAGTGCTTTCCGTTGAATCTCACGAGGCTGGTCCACTCCCTCGAGTTCTGCCGTTCCAGACAAAGTCAGCTACACTGTTGGAATGCTCGCATCGCTGCAAGACGCCCTTGTCGACCTCCTCCGAGTTCGACACCGCCTCTTCTCCATCAACTTCTCACTTTGCTTGCTTACTTGCGCTCTGCGGCTGTGGGGATGGGCGTCCCAAAGCTTTGGGAAGAGCTCGAGACCGGTCACCGCGCCACCAGCTGGTCGCAGCTCGTCGAGCCGGCCTTCCAGCGTCCAGGGATCCGCTCGCTCCGAGTGGGCGTCGACACACCGCTGTGGCTCTTGTGCGTTCTTGCGAGGCTGTGAGAGGGCGGAGCTGACTCGTATTGTCCAGCCACATGGGCCGCATGCACACTATCGTCGACCCGGAGACAGGACTGCCTCAGAATGTCGGCCCGTAAGGTTCAGTGATCCGGCTCTCGCCTCAGACGCCTCGCTAATGCTTGAGCGGCTCGCGCAGGAACGCCGACTTGCGAATGGTCTTCTTCCGCGCCTGCGACTTCCTCCGCCGCGGCATCCTCCCCGTCTTTGTCTTCGACGGCCCGAAACGACCTTCCTTCAAGCGCGACCGGAACGTGAGAGGGAACTACCGCGGACGGAGCGAGAATGACTTGACGAGGTTGTTCGGGCTTATGGGATTCGAGGTGAGGAAGGCGCCGGGTGAGGCGGAGGCGGAGTTGGCGGTCATGCAGGAGAGGGGAGAGATTGATGCGGTTCTTACGGTGCGGCCCCATCTTCGCATGCCCAACTTGCTCTAACTTATCTGCGTGCATCTGCAGGACGACGTTGACACCCTTCTCTTCGGAAGTCCAACGGTACGACGGCGCGTCCTTGCAGAATCAGTTTCCCGCAGGCTGACTGACGCGGATACCCGCAGCTCCACATCATCCGCAACCCCAGCAAGACCCTCTCGGCCAACCACAGCAAAAAATACCTCGAGCGACAAGCCAGCATGCCCGCCGCGTCCCAACCCGGCCCTTCTCAGTTCCAGTCTTCCCAGGCGACCGAGTACATGAGCGTGCCCCCTTCGCACGACAAAGCCGTCACGACCTACTCTGCCGCCGACATCGCTGCCGACGCAGGGCTCGACCGTAACGGGATGATCTTGATTGCGCTCATGTCGGGTGCGGATTACGACACGAAGGGCAGCTTCAGGGTCGGGATCACCATTTCGGCAGCGTTGGCGAGAGCAGGTTACGGCGCATCGCTCATCCAGGGCGTGGAGCGGATACGCTGCTCGCCCGCTGCTCGCGATTTCCCAACCTCCGCCAAAGCCGCGCTCGACTCGTTCCTTACGCAATGGCGCGAGTCGGTAGCGAACGAGTTGCGGACGAACGCCAACAAGCTTTTCTCGAAGCGGCATCTCAAGGTCGCTGACGAGCTCGAGGCCGACTCGTCCTTTCCCCGCCTCGATATTCTCGACTTTTACCTCTCGCCCGTCGTCTCAGACCCGACTTCAGCCAGCTACGTCACGCCGACCTGGTCTCGCGACGTCGACCTCGAAGGACTCGCATCTTACGTGATCAGCAAGTTCGAGTGGTCGCACGTCGAAGTCCTCGCACGCTTCCGCAACCTCCTCTGGCTCGGCCTCGCAGTCCAGCACATCCGCCGCGCCGCACTCGCCGAAGACGCCTCCACCCGCCTCACGCGCGTCCTGCCCGAGGGCTACATCGCGCTCGTCGAATCCCGCAAGTGCGCCGAATCAACCGACTTCATCCCCTCCTACCGCGTCGAACTCGATCCCTCCGTCTTCAACCCTCACGTCGCGGCTGCACTACCAGGCGACGACCCTTTCGAGTTTCCCGACTACACCCAGCTGAGTCAGGAGCAGGTCGATGCAGTCAAGGCTGTTCGGAAGGCGGAAGGACGGGCGCAGGAACCGCCTCCCAGTCCGCGGGGCGCAACAGTCTTCCGCCACTGGGTACCTGTTGGGGTTCTCGAGGCGTGCGAGGAAGGGCGCGAAGCGGTACAGGCCTGGAGGGACTTGGCGGGGCGGAAGAAGCGGGCGAAGGAGGACGAGGAGCGGAGGAAGGAGGAGAGAAGGACGGCGAGGGAGGCTGGGTCCAGCTCGCCTGTCAAGAAGGGTTCGCCGCTCAAGAAGCTTGCGTTTGCCGAGTCGAGCGGGACGACGGCCCGAAGGAGGCTGGCGAAGACGGTTGCGCCGCCGGAGGACTCGAGCGACTCGGACGAGGATGTCCATGAGACGGTCTTGCAGGAGAAAGCAAGGAGGTTGCGCGAGGCGATGCTGGCGGAGGCGCGAAAGGGGAAGGGCAAGGCGCGCGAAGAACCCGCCACGGCGTCGACCCTCTCCCGCTCGAAACGATCGTCATCCAACTCCACCCCGCAGCAAGGCCTGCTCTCCTTCTCGTCGACAAAGCCGGGCACCTCGTCGCAGTCGACCAAGGCGACGACTGTCTCTCCCCTTTTCGCCGGCGACTCGGACAGCGACGTCTTCGTTCACTCGCCGCCCAAACCTGCTTCCAAGCGGCCAGTCCCGTCTCCTCCGCCCGACCGCCGCGACACGCTCTCTCCACCGACATCTGAGCCGAGCGACGACGACCTGTACCGCTCGAAACACGTCTCGAAGGCGACCCGAACGAGTTCTGCCAAAACGTCGCCCACCAAGACTCGCCGGGCCAAGCCGCTTCCGGCGGTCCTCGAGCTGTCGAGCGACAGCAGTCCGGAGAAGGTCACGAAGAAGGCGTCGCCCAAGCAGAAGAAGCAGGGCGACGGCGAGGGCGAGTCGTTGACGGACTGGTTGCGGCGGCGGAAGGCGGACAAGGCTGCGGCGGAGGAGCGGCGCACTGCGAACGTGATTACGCTGTCTGACAGTGACTGACTGTACTCTGTAGCCCTACCTTGTTGCTTGTTTGACAAACCGCTTCCATCACACAACGCACGGACGAGCGGGCGCCACTTGGTGAAGTCCAGCGCCTCACTCTTCCCGCTTCACCGCTTTGCTGGACTGCTCGCTGGCATCGTAGACTCGCTCGTGGCTGCTTCCTAGTTCATCAGTGCCGTTCGAACGGGCGCACGAGCTGCCGTCGTCGACTCGCTCCCCCTCCGCCTATCGACCTCACACGACTGGCGACACCCGCACAACGCCACTGGCTAGATGGTCGCGCCGTCTGCACCGACCGCCAAGGCCACATCACACTCCCGACCTAAGCAGATCAAGCGCACCCGCATGCCGCCGCCCGCTTCAGTCGCTGCGGCCCCGCCTCAGCTCTCGTCTGTCGTCAAGGGCAAGCGGCCGCGCCCGTCCGATGGCGTCAGCGATCTCGAGAAGGAGAAGCCTCGGAGGGTCAAGAGCTCGCGCGGGCAGAAGCGATCTGAGGCCACCGAGGGACGCTCGAAGGAGGCGGCGGCTGCTCTCGCGGCGGGAGACGGCGGCGGGGCGTACAGGCGGGTCATGTTCGCCAGCTTCATAAACCAGGCTTTCGAGAAGCGGTACAAGGTGCGCAGGCGGCTCAATCGTGATGGAAGGGGCGCTCATTGACCTCGTTCGCTTCGATAGGGCCAGAACGAGGAGTACAACCAGATCATCGGCCAGTTCCGCGCCCTTCTTCCCTCAGCGACAGCCTCGCAGACCGCCTCGACCTCGTCGGGACAGCCGACCGTCACCCCGCTCACCCAGCTGCGCGCATGGCTCGAAGCCCTGACCTCGGTCGTCTCGAAGCTCGACCAGTCGCACGCTCCGCTCGTCGAGACGATCCTTGCGGTACCTTGGGCAGTCATGGAGGACGCGTTCGTGTCGGCGTACATGCGTTTCGTTGGAGCGCTCGTCAGCGCACGGCCAGAGTGGCTCAAGGGCGTTCTCGACAAGTGTGTCAAGGGCTTCAAGTACCGTACGTCACGCGTGCTTTGCGAGACTTTTCTGTATCAAGGCTGACATCGCTTGTCCGCAGGCTCACCCTACACGCAAGCCTCGCAGCACGCCCTTCCACACCTCACCCGACGCCTCGTCTACACCCGCATTCACGCCCTCCTCCGCGTCCTCCTCTCGCTCGTTCCGACTCTCTCGCCCTCCCTGTCCCCCCTGCTCGCCTCACACTTCCCCTCCAAGCGCGAACCCCGCGCCGCCCAAATATGCTACATCGACAACCTCCTCCTTCTCACCGAGTACTGCACCGCTCTCTCGGAAGACGTCTTGACGCTGGTCGTTGAGCGGGCGCTGAACATTGATGTCGAGATCCAGGGCGAGCCGGAGGATTGGGAGGATGTCGAGGAGGAGATGATGGCCGCGGCCGAGGCGAGCGAGGGTGTCGAGGGGAAGAAGCGGCTTGTGGATGGAGCGGTGAACGACCTGGTTGACCGGCCCGTTGAAGAAGACCCGGCGGACTCGGACTCGGATTCGGACGACGATGACGACGAGGGCGGGATCGACCTCGACAACCTCAGCTCGGATGACGACGAGCCTGACCCGATCAACGACGAAGATGCGGCGAAGCGGGCGAACGGTGGGAATAAGGGCATGAGCGAGGCCGCGATTCGCAAGGTGCTCGAGAGCCGGGCGAAGCTCGACGGGATCCTCAAGGTCATCCTCGATCACCTCGCCTCAGCTCACGCAGATAAGCGCGGTCTCGAGCGCAACAACACCTCGACTGTACAACCTCCTGCCACTCCGACCACCGACGTCTTCGACAAAGCGTTCGCTGCGGCACCTGTACCCGCCGAATCCGGCTCGCGAGAGGCGACTCCGACTGCTGACGACGTCCTGACAGCCGACGTCGTCGAGCGCCGCCTGACCCTCTTCCGCACCCTCCTCGACATCTTCGACCGCACCCTCCTCCGCACCTTCAAGACCCGCAACGTCCAATTCGTCCTCTTCTACCTCTGCTCGCTCGACTCGGCTTCGACAGACCACTTTATCGGCGTGCTCCTCGGCCGCGCACTGTTCGACCAGGACGCACCGCCTGTCACGCGCGTCGCAGCAGCCGGCTACGTCGCGAGCTTTATCGCTCGCGCAAAGTACGTCGACGCGGCGATGACGCGCAAGGTTGTCCGCCACTTGTGCGGGTACCTCGAGGGCCAGATGGAGGACTATGCGCGGACGAGCGCGTTGGCGACGTCCATCGCAGGCGCCAAAGCTCCAGGCGGTGGATCCGAGTTGCCCGTCTTCTACGCGGTCGCCCAGGCGGTCTTCTACATCTTTTGCTTCCGGTGGAAGGACTTGCTGGATGAAGACGATGCGGACGACGAGGCGGCGCTGTTCGGGCTGGATGCGGGTCGAAGATGGATGATGGGCCTCGAGACGGTCAAGAAGGCGGTCTCGTCCAGCTTCAACCCTTTGAAGGTGCGCAACAAGCGTCTCTACCACCGCCGTCCAGCACATGCTGATCTGACGTTGTTATCCCAGGTCTGCGCCCAGCCCGTCGTCAATCAGTTCGCCTCGATCGCGCACAAGACTGGCTTCATGTACTGCTACGCGATCCTCGACTCGAATCGGCGCGCCAACTCGTATCGCGACGCCTCGGCCGCATCGACGCCCACCCAGCCCATGCCTCCCCCGCCTCTCCGCTCCGTCTCGACCTCGTCTCTTCTCAACACCCTCACCGCCGCCCAGCTTCACCTCTCGACTCCCTCACCGTCCGGCACACCCGCTCCTCCCTCGATCCCTGCCACCGCATCTCGCCAGCTCGTCGTCGCTGAAGAGATGGACTCGTTCTTCCCCTTCGACCCGTTCAAGCTCCCCTCGTCGTCGGCCTACATCGACGGGATCTACCGCGAGTGGGAAGGCGCGGACGACGACGAGAGCACGACGTCTGGCGATGCGTCTTCGTCTGTCGCCGACTCGGACGACGACACGGGCGAGTCGGACGTGACGACGGGCGACGAGGACGAGGACGAGCCGGCGTGGGTCAAGACGCGTGGTGGACTCGCTGTCCCTGGCTCGGGCAGGCCTGGCGCCGCTGCCGACGACGACGACGACGACGAGGTGTCGCGCAGCTTTGAGGCGATGAGCTTGTCGCTCTCGCCGCAGTACGAGAGCTTTGGCGGGCGTCGTCGCCAGGAGCTCGAGCAGCGGACCAAGGTGGTTGGCTGAGACGGGGCCGGCCTCTTTCCTCTCCCTTTTATTGTACACGCTTCGCATACTCTCGCATATTCTCACGCCCTCGCATTCGTCTGTTTACGCACACGCCTTGCTGTACCAACTTCGCAACCTCTCTTCTCCTGCAACGCCTTCGTCTCGCTTCCTTTCCCCGCTCGCACAGCTCGTTGGGTGCTGTTTCCACTGTCGGCTTAGTTGTCGCCAGACTGCAGCACCGTACAGTTCCTCTCCTCCTCGTCGACCTTCTCATCTTGACCATTCTCTCACACACCTCTCCCTCGCTCGTCTGACTTGGTTACCGCTGTGTTGCAGTTGCGTGGGCTCTGACTCCCTCGCTTGGTCACCATGGAAGCTTCGAGTGGCCTCCCAAGCATCGCAGAGTCACCCTCCTCGTTTGGCACTCCGCTCGCCTCATCAGCTTGAACGACCTCGCTCGCGTCACTCACAGGGCTCTTTCACCCGTATCCACCACTCTGGCTCACTCTCGAGTACTCCTAGCTACACTCGCCGCTCTCGCCTGGGCTCTCTACACCTCGCTCTCACCCTCACCCTCACCCTCACCCTCACCCTCATCCTCGACCATGTCCGCTTCGTCTGCGCTCAAGTTCATCCCCCGCCGCTCGGGGAGCCGTGGATGGGCAGACCACTCGTGGCTCAAGACCTACCACACCTTTGTGCGCACCCGTCCTCACAGTTACCTCTCTACCTCCGTCGCTGACCTCGTCCTCTCCCGCTTCCCCGCATCGAACAGAACTTTGCCTCGTACTACGACCCCAACTACGAGTCGTGGGGTCCCCTCCGTGTCATCAACGAGGTGCGTCCTGCTTTGACCCTCGACCCGCCCAGATCCAAGCGGAAGCTGACCTCGCTCTCCTCTCCCAGGACCGCGTCGATGCAGGAACCGGTTTCGGTCTCCACCGTCACCGCGAGTTCCAGATCTGGTCGTACATCGTCGATGGCGAGCTCGAGCACAAGGACTCGCTCGGCAACACCGAGATCATGAAGCGCGGCGACGTCCAGAGTGAGTCTCCCCCCGGCCTCCCTCGCTCTCAATCTCGCTGACACTTTCTGATCCTCGCGCGCAGTGACGTCAACCGGCACTGGTATCGCCCACTCGGAGTACAACCGCAACAAGAAGCAGCAGGTCCACTTCTTGCAGGTGCGCTCGCTTCCGACTCTCCGTCCCTCGTCTGACCGCTGACCTCGCTCTCGCACCTGCAGATCTGGGCCCTGCCAAACAAGTCTGGTTTGTCGCCAACTTACTACAACCGCCACTTTACCGACGAGGAGAAGCGCGACAAGCTCGTCAAGGTCGTCGCGCCTGCTGGCTCCGAAGGATGCAGTGACGAGCGCAACGCATCCGGCCCGACTCCTGTACGTCTCCCGATGCTTCCCTTTACACCCGAAGCTAAGCTGACAAATCACCACGCAGGTCCACGCCGCGTTGACGATGTACGCCTCGATCCTGTCGCCCAAGTCGACCCTCAAACACACGCTCGCACCGACGACGACCAAAGCCCTCGTGCACAACATCATGCGGTCGGGGTACCGCTCTCCGTCGACTGCCGCGAGCGACAAGTACGAGGACGGCGGCGCGATGGTGCAGCTCAACAGCGGGCTCATCCTCGAGGAAGGCGACGGCGCGTTCATCCAGGTCAACAAGACGTCGGACGGCAGTCGCGAGATCGAGTTCAAGAATGTCGGCGAGCGCGACGCAGAGTTCCTCGTCTTCGAGATGGAGGACTAAGACGACTGGACTCGTACCTCTTTTTCCACCTCGCCTTCCTTTGATCCCTCTAGCCTCTTTCTTGTTGCCACCAACAGTCTTCTCTGCATTTAATCGAGTCGAATGCGATTCCTCCTGGTCCCCCCGTGCGAGCGAGAGGTTGTATTGTGCAGGAATACAAAGCGAGTTGTATTGGAATACAGGCCGCTCTCCCAGATGACGCTTTCGCTTGACTTCCACATTCGCTGAGCTCGCTGGACCTTGCCAGCCCGCTCTAGACATCGCTACAGACCTCGCAAAACTACACACGAACGCGCACGCGACACCACTCCTCCTTGGGACCCCTCCTCTCCTCATCGCCCAACCTCTCATCACTCACCGAACAACCCGCTCGCCCGCACGCCAAGGAAACGATGTCTGGATGGCTCTCGTACTTGACAGGGCGGGGACAGTCGTCCAAGGACTCGACGCGCGAGTCGATCGTCAAGCTGCGCGAACACCTCCTCATGCTGGATAAGAAGGAGGAGTACCTCGGCAAGAAGATTGACGACGAGCTCCGCAAGGCAAAGGCCAACGCGACGAGCAATCCTAGAGGTGCGTCTTGTTGTCCTGTTCGGAACCGCTCCCCCCGTCTGCCAGCCCTCGCCTCAGGCGGTACGGGCGGGATGAGTGGGGCTGCTCTCGCTCGTCGAGCGGCGTGGCTGAGTCTCTTCGCGTTGCAGTGGCGAAGCAGGCGCTCCGACAGAAGAAGTTGTACGAGCAGGAGCTGGAGAGCATCGCGGGCCGAAAGATGACGCTGACAACTCAGGTGCGTGGTCCTTCTTGCCTCGAGACGAAGCGTGCGGGCACTGACACAGCATATTGCAGGTCAACGCGATCGAGTCGGCCAACATGAACAAGGAGACGCTCGAGGCGATGAAGCAGGGTGCCGAGGTCCTGAAGAACATGAAGCTGTGCGTGCGCTCGCTGACTGGCGATAGAGGCGTGACTGACGAATCTGAACGCAGCAACGTCGACAAGGTGGATGCGACAATGGACGAGGTTCGCAATCAGCTCGAGCTTACGAACGAGATCTCCCAAGCGATCTCAGACCCGGCAGGAATGGGCATCGACGTGCGTTCGAGCTACGTTCTCCGCAATGATACCAATGCTGATGATTTGGCTTTGCCCAGGTCGACGACCAGGAGCTGGCGGACGAGTTGGCAGAGCTCGAGCAGGAGGAGCTCAACAAGCGGCTGGCAGGCGCAGAAGCGGCACCGCTTCATTCGCCAGCCGCGGCGGTTCCTGCTGGTGCGTCGCGCGCTGATGCCTTGGCTATCGAAGCGGGACTGACGACTTGGTCACTCGCAGCCAAGACACCGGCACAAAGGATAGAGGAGGACGAGGAGGAGGCAGAGTTGCGGGAGTTGCAGGCGCAGCTCGCGATGTGATCGCGCATCGCCACTTTACACCTCGTACTTGCCCTCCATCGGATTCGCCGCGCTACGCCTTCGCCCTCTCGCCCTCATCTCCTCGCCGGCCCTCCTCCTCGCACCTCTCCCGCCCATCCTGGCGCCTCCCTCTGCCACCTTCGCCTTTCCCCCTGCGACTCCGCGTGTACTCTGTGATGTCCCGCCATGTCTCCCTGTATTTGTCTCGTCGACTCGGTTCCGCCGTCGCCTCCCCGTTCCGTTCGTCTCGTACCGGCATCTAGCAGATCTTCTGATGTAACAGCAGCTTCGACATCGACATTCATGCTTTGCGTCAATCGCCACGCTCGTCGATGACGGCGGTTTGCGCACCTCTTCTTCTCCTCTTCCTGCCGCACCCTCCGCGGAGTCTCCGACTCTCGTTGCTCGGCTCTCTGCTTTCCTCTCTCTCCTCCTCGTCGCTACACTGACCAATGTCTGCAGCTCAAGGGAAGGATGCCGGACTCTGCGGCCTCAGCCTGCGACAGTGTGTTGCTCTCCCTCTCTCCGTCCTTGACTTCGCTGACCGCTTGTCACCGTCGCAGCTGGGCACTCTCGACCTCCTGCGCCAGCGCCATCTATTTTGCTATCATGACCGTTCTGGCGATCTGGGCGAGGTGGACGGTCGGCAACTTGGCGTTTGCGGTCGAGCAGGAGGGCAGCAAGACGGACGCATGGTCGAGTCCGAAGCTCGTGGGCATCAGTGCGTCCTATCTCTCTCTGATGCGTGAAAAACTCGGCTGACAGAGGCTCGCTTACAGTCCTCGCCGTCACCTTCGCCCTCCTCGCCCTCGTTTCCGCCTACCTCGCCTTCCGAGTCTACTCCAAGCCCGAGGACAACCTGAACAGCATCACGCGGACGTGGCACGTACTGCTCGTCGCTGTCGTGCTCGGTTCGTTCTGCTGTATCGCTGGAGCGGTCATGGCGTTTGGCAGCGCGAAGAGCGATATCGAGGCGGGCTGGTGCGTCCCCCCTTCTACTCCTTCTAGTGACGGACGAGGCTGAGGGGCTGTCATTACAGCAAAGCGATTGACACGCAGTGCTTCGCGACATACGAGGTCATTCAATGGGTCTCGATCTTCGTGCGCCCATCCGTCGTCCAGCCTTCGTTTGATCTAAACTGACAGTCTGCCCGCGCAGTTCGAAGTTGCCGGCGTCGCCCTCCTCATCGCCACACTCTTCACCGTCCGCCACTACCGGCACGACCTCGGCTCGTCTAGCTCGACCGACGGCGACACCGCCAAGTCGAAGCAGTCTCTACTCGGCTCGGCCTCGAACAAAGGTGACCCAGGCTTGAGTTACAGTCTCCGACACTCGGATCGCTCGTCGCGCAAGAAACGCGGGTCTCGTCGAGCGGAACTTGGAGAGTACAGCATGAAAAAGGGCTCGAGGCGGTCCCGCCGAGATGAGTTCGACGACTTGTACGACAAGCCGCGCGGACGCAGTCGCTCGCGCAGTCGGAGTCGGCTTGACCGCGATGCGGTGGACGAGTTGCGGCGGATGGAGGAGAAGACCGAGGCAGCAATGCGCTCTCTCAGCCGGTTTCGACACCGCTCGACCTCGAGGAGCTCTAGGCGACGGTCGAAGAGTCGCGCATCGTCGTCGAGCGAAGGCGAGATCGAGCGCTCGATCAACAAGTCGAGAAGGTCGTCGAGGACGAGGACGACGAGCAAGTCACGGTCGCGGTCTCGCTCGAGGCGCAACTCGGTTTCCAGCGCTTCTAGCGACTCTTCCGGCGACGGGAGGCGTAGAAGCGGGTCTCGGTCGAGGAGGAGGAGCTATTGAGGTCGATGGAGTCTTGCAACTCGTCGTTTCCCGTCGCACCAGCGTCTCCGTGTGGTCATCCCTTGCTGCAGCCGAGGTTATTGCATACCTTGCGTGACCCAGAGAGGCAGTAGGACTGCTTAACAAGCTCGTCAGCCCCCTCTCACCGTCGTTCATCAGCTCGGCACCGCCCCGCAGAGGGTTGGCTTCCGCCTTCACCTTCATTTCTCGCTCACATCGCTCTCTGACTGCTGCTGCGACTGTCATGTCTGCCGAAGACCTGCACGTGGAGGACCTGAGCGTGTCGGACGACCTCGAGATGGACGAGGTGTGAGTTCGCTCTCCTCATCACTTCGAGGTCTTGTAGGGGGGAGAAGCTGACGAGGACGGGTTGGTATAGACCGCAGCTGGTCGAGCCACTCGCCAAGGTCCCCTTGACCGTCTTGACGGGCTATTTGGGCGCCGGAAAGTCGACGCTTCTCGATTACATCCTCAAGGAGCAGCATGGTAGACGGATTGCAGTCATCATGAACGAGTTTGGCGACACGACCGACATCGAATGTGCGTCCAGACTTCTCTCTCGGTTACGGGACGTCCTCACACGTTCCCTCGTCGACAGCCAAGGCCATCTCTGTCCAGTCGGACGAGGCGATGGTCGAAGAATGGCTCGAACTCAACAACGGCTGCCTCTGCTGCTCCGTCCGCGACACCGGCTTGCTCGCCATCATCAATCTGATGGAGAAGAAGGGCCGCTTCGACCAGATCATGCTCGAAACGACTGGACTTGCCGACCCTGCACCGATCATCGAGTCTTTCTGGAACGAGCCGGCGCTGAACCTGGGTACGTGCGGTTCGATCCATTTGCACTTGGCGTTGTACTGATCCTCCACCCGCAGAGGTCGGACTTGACGCAGTCGTGGCTGTCGTGGATGCCGCAGGAATCGAGAAGGTGCGCAGGCGAGACTTGCGCTCTTCTTGCGGTTGCTCACCTCGTGCCAAGGATAGCAACTGATCTGAGTTGAACCTCGCGCACAGCAACTACGAGAACCCCGGCCGGACGGCTCGTACAACGAGGCTCAACGGTGCGCTTGTCCGCTCGCATCCTTTCTCCCGCTGTGCTGACCCTTCCGTATCGCTCTCGCAGGCAAGTCGCAACAGCCGACGTTATCCTGCTCAACAAGGTTGACTTGGTTCAGCCGGAAGACCTCGACCGGATAGAAGCTGCTCTTCGGTCAGCATCTCACGCTCTTTGCCTTTTAACCCTGCTAACCATCTCGCCTACAGATCTATCAACTCGACCGCTCTCATCCATCGCACCACCCGCTCATCAATAGACCTCTCCCTTATCCTCGACCTCAACATCTACGCCTCGCCCTCCATCCCCATCCGCCCCGAAACTCTCGCGCCTTTCGCACAACCCGACGACAAAGCAGAAGAATGCGCAGGTTGCAAGCTAGACGGCTCGGTGCACTCCCACACTCATCCGACCACATCATCCTCCGCTCACATGAACGACATCTCCTCTCTGACCATCCCTCTTCCGGTCCTTCCGTCCGTCGAGAACGGCAGCGCCTTCTATCGCGTCGTCTCTCGCCTCATCTGGGACTCGCAACTCCCCTCCGCCTCAACGTCTTCCGCCGAAGACTCGCTCACCCTCGACCTCCTCCGCACGAAAGGCTTCCTCCGCACGCTAGACGGCCAGAGCTACATCCTCCAAGGCGTACGCGACATCTTTGACATCTCGCCTGTCCCGCCTGCGACGGTTGCGAAGGAGGAGAGGGAGGTCAAGCCCAAGTTGGTGTTGATTGGGAGGGGAATCAAGGGGCGCGAAGGGGAGATCACGCGAAGGTTTGAGGAGGGACTGAGAGAGGCGCTGGAGGAGGACGAAAGGGAGGGTGGCAACAACGTGGAGGGGGACGAGAACATGGCGGAGTAGACGTTTCGCTGGAACGAGCTTTCGCTGGAACGAGCACGAGCTGCCAATGTACAGGGCGTATGGACGATACATCATCATTTTTCACGACAGCTACGGCAAGGGCACTACGTTTCGTTATATTTGCAGGCGGAAGAGCGAAGAGAGGGAGAGTCCATAGTCTGTGGAGGAGTCTTGAGGGGTGCGAGTCTAGGCGGGACCGATGATCTGCCACAACATGCTGCGGACGAGGCCGGAGAGGTTCTCGGGCGAGTGCTGGTACGACTGCATGACCATCGAGAGGCCGACGCTGTGAACGCGAGAGGTGCGGAGTGGAGGCGGAGCGGCGAGAGCAAATTTGCGAGGACAGGTCAGCCCTTCCCTTCGAGTCTGACAAAGACGAGCGGGAACGCATTGGAGAAGAGACGTCGGCGCACCAGGTAAGGAGCACCTCTCCGCCGGGGACGAACGGCACCCACTTCCTCCGCCTCAGGATCGACCACATGCTCTCGAGCCCGCGAGGGAGGACGTACATCGCCAACTCGCGGCGACGCTTGCGCTCCTCGAGGAAGAGCGGGAGGCATGTCGCAAAGCTGGACCAGAGCGGAGGTTAGCGATGCGAGGAAGGACAGGAGGGGGAAAAGGCGAACGTACCCGGAGAACCAGTAGTAGCTCTTGTGCATGACGATCTTCTCGAGCCACTCGGGCACGACGCCGTGGTAGCGGTTGTAGAAGTGGCGTTGGAGGCAGACGAGGCCTTGGAAGAGCGCGACGAAGGATGCGAGGAACGAGCAGGAGCGGAAAGTGCCGATCAGGGAGCGAAGGAGGTAGGTTGAGGGACTGTCGCGGTAGAGCGAGTTCAGTGGCTGCGCCGAGCGAGAAGAATGGAGGAAGTTGCCACGCACTGTCGCATCCACGCTTTGCGTCGCAAGAGGATGGGCGGGATGAAGTGTAAGCCGGCGTAGACTGGTGCAATCCAGCTGTAAGACCTGCGGCGTCAGCAACGTTACGAGCGGGGAAACGGAAGGAGCGGGCGACGAACCGGAAGACTTGGTGCCAGCGGTCGACACCGTTCCAGGTGCAAGTGTCGGCCCAGGGGTGCACGACTTCGCAAGGCGCGAACGGAGGTCCGAAGTCGCCCTTCATTCGGTGAAGACCGCGACTATCAGCGAACAGCTTCGGTAACGGAGAGGCAGCTGAAGTGGCCTCAACCGATGAGACGGACCATCTCTGCCTTCTTCGCATACGACTCGATCAATACGCGGTTCTTCGGCGTCGCTCCTCGTCCCCATGTAAGCGTCTTGCGCGCGACGGTCGGGTCGAAGGTGCCGGAGCGGTAGGCGGAGAGGTTGACGGGGAGACAGGGTTCCGAGACGCGCTGCGAGCGGGCCGCTTTAGTCGATTCCAAGCGATGCACGTGTAGGCCGCAAGAGCGAACGAATGGACGCACGGATGCTTGGGTGATCCAGCGGCGGTAGCCGGGAGGAAGCGCTTCGGGCGCCATCTGCAGTCGAAACCTCGTCAAAGCGCCAACAGCTACCCAGGCAGTCGAAGCGAACGTACGAGCCACGAGTACATGATCTGCGCACAGCTCAACCCAAACACGATCACGCTGACATTCTTGACCCGAATCCTGCCCTGGCTCTTGAGGAGGTTGTAGTGCCCTTGCAAGCCGCGGACGAACATCTGTTGCCCGATCGTGACACGACGAGAGGGCTTCTCGGCCCAGACGCTGGCGCCCGAGACGAGGCCTGCGACGGCGGCGTGCCAGGTTTCGGATTGGCCGGGTCCGAGGCGGCCGGGGTTGTAGAGGCGGAGGGTGTGGAGCGTCCATTTGCTGAACGCGAGAACGGTTGTGCAGCGAAAGTGATAGTGCAGCGGGAGGTATAGGAGCAGGATTGGGAAGGTCAGCAGGAGGAACGACGGACAGTCAGCAAAGAGCAAGACGCACTAGAGGAAGGAGAACAGGCCGAGCATGCCGCCGAAGCGAGCGACGTCGGGACCAAAGACGGCATGGATGATAACCGCTGGCGGGAGACCTCTGCGAGAGTGTGAGAGCGGCGTGTCAGAAGACCCGGGTGAAACACGAGGAGGCGGAGAGACGCACTTCTTGCGGGTCAGACGGAGCAGCGTAATGACAAGGTTGACGGCAGCACGCAGAGAGGTCCCCAGCACGAACGAACCTGCCCATTCGCACGTTTCGAGGGAGTTAGCGAAAGTCGCCGTTTTGCCAACCTCAACCGCCGGAAGCTCGGAACGCACGCAGTCCTCCTTTCAGCGCATGCGCAAACACCTCGTCGCTGTTCTTTGGCCTGTAGCGCGTCCCGTCGGACGGCTTCCCTCGCCGGTAGATATGCCCCTTCAGTTCGCGCACCTCCAAGTCGCGCAAGCTCTTGAACGAGAGGTTCTTTTTGAGCTGCCCATACGACTCTGCGAGTGTCGGCGTCGCCAGAGGTTCAGGGGACGAGGGAGCGGTGTCTGTGTCGCTCAGGGAGGAAAGCGGGGCCAAATCAAAGCGAGGAGTCCTCCTGGGCGAGTTTGGGTTAGTCGGGCGGGTTGGCGGGTTGTCCTGTCCTCCAGCCGAGTCCATCGTAGCCGTCTACACGCTCCAGCGAGCAGCGAGAGTAGCGTCGAGGTCAAGAGAGAGAGCGAGTTCGCCGGTTCGCCTCGACCAGCTCGCAACGATGGCCAGCACACAGCGATTGCGCCAGGCGTGGCATCAGGCAGCCCAGGCGTGGCCTAGGGACCCTCTCCGTCCAACCGTCCAGTTCGCAGACGCCATTCGCGCGGCCGCCGACCGCGCACTCGCCGACACCGTCACGCTCTCGCCAAAACAGGAGCAGAAGGCCGAGCAGGCGTGTCAGAGCTTGTTGAGGATGGCCAACAACGAGGCTGCCAGGCGCGTGAGTCCCCACGCTTCGTCGTCGCTGTCCTTGCACCCTCTGCGATTCTTCATCAGCTCGCGGGCATCGACTCGCGAGACAGCCTGGGCCGGCGCTGACTGGGCTTCCCTGGCACCGCAGTACCCTATGCAACCTTCAACGACCAAGCCCGCATCGTTCCCGAAGCACTACGCTCGCATCGAAGACGCCGTCGCGCGGGTTACCAGGGGCGAGAAGATGGAGCGGCCAGGGTTTCTCCAGCGGTGGTTCAGGTTCAGCGCGTAGGAGCGGGAGGGAGGTGCAGCGCGGGGTGGCGGAGCAGCGCGGGAGAGCGGAGTTCTGGGGAGTAGACGAGGAGACGGGAGGTTTATGTTGTACCCCTACGCATCGAGGCTCATCTTTCGCACCCATCGCTCGCTGGACTGCGGGAGAGTGCAGCTGGTCTGGTCGAGAGTTCGCTGTTGCAGCCAGCGTGCACGCCCTTCTTGCATCCACCCTCGTCTTTCTGGCTTCACAAGCTCCTCCTCCTCCTGCTCGCTCGCGCATCCCGTCTCAAAGGCTGTCGGTACAGCTCTTCCCGCTGACGGTTGCCTGCAGGCGTCCCCCGATGCTTCATGCTTACCTTGATGGTGGCGGAATGGAGGAGGTTGTGCGCAGGCGGAGAGGGCGCGGCGCCCGGGAGAGTCGAGATCGCAAAGTCGGCCAGGTCGGTTCGCCTGACGACGTGGGGTGCCGCAGATCGATGGTTATCGCTCTTCCGAGCCTTGTCAGTCGATATTGGCGCGGCAGAAGCGGTTCTGGTCGAAGAGAAGGGGATGCGGAGACCTTCACGGCGCCGTATCCATCGTTTCCTTGCCCTTTTCAGCCGACAGCGCCGTCAACAGCGCCATCTTGTGCAGCTCCTCCCTGCAACGTAAGGCCGAAAGCAGTCAGCTCACGGTCAACACCGGAAGAAGCGGAATCGAGAGTGTTACACACCTCTTCCGCTCGACCTCTCTCTCCAGCTCGCCAATCAGCCACGCCTGGTCGTCGAGACTCAAGTCGCCCGCAGGAAGCGCCGCAGCTTGAGCCGAAAGAGTAGCAAGTTTCGTACGGAGCGAGGCGGCCTGTCCAAAGCGAAGCGGCTGAGGAGGACGTTCCCGACAACTGGAAGCCGTGCAGACGCACCTGCTTGCTGATCTCGACCTTTGCGCTCCTCGCACCGTCCGTCTCGCCCGCTGCGTCCCCTGCCTCGCCATTCGAAGCGCCGACTGATGAAGCGTCGGCAGCGAGTTGGGAGAGTTTGACGAGCGAGGGGAGGAGCGTCGATGCGAGCGGGGCGTCGAAAGGCTTGTTTGTCGTCATTCTGGCTGATGGAAGAGCGCTTCAGCGGGTGTCGAGGTGGTGGACACCGTCAAGATGCGACGACCACTCCTCTCTCACCTCGCCGTGCACCTGGTGCACGCTCTGCTGGACTCGTGTGGCTTCAGACTGTGCTGAATTAGCTTATTTGAGTCCTTGGAGGCACCCGCATCCTGCTCCAGCGGCCGCGACACGCAGGACGACCCCTCTCACCGCCTCGCCAACTTTCCTCGAGGCTGGTGTGCGATGGTGTTGCACTCTGAGAGCTCGCATACTTTCCCGTGCGTCTTGATTCTGCTCTTTGACCCTTTCGTGTCGCATCAAGCCTGCCCAGAGTCGTCGAGATGGACTGGAACGATCTCCTCGCCGACTCCGTTGAAAGTGCTTTCAAGGGCCGCAACACTGACGAGGCGTTCTTCATGCAGGATCCCCTTCTCATACCTCGTCCAGGCGCACAACCTCCGCTACCCCTCGCCGTACGGCAAGCACATCCTCTCATCCGACGTCATCTCCCGCTCCTTCAACCCCTCGACCAATGTCCTGAAAACGACGAAACTCATTCTCAAGCGCGGCAAAGTACCGCGATGGGCACCCAGAGTCATCCAGCGCATCGACAAGACATGGGTATTAGAGGAGACGGAGATTGAGATGGGACTTGTTGAGCCGGACGGAGCGTTGTTGCCTGCGGATGGTGGGCCTGACGCGGGTGGGATGAAGCGAGAACTGCGGACGCGGAGCCGGAATATCGACCGGACGGAGTTTATGGAGGTCTTCGAGTGGCAGGTCTTTCGGGAGAAGAAGGGCGACCCGTTCTCGTGCGTTCGCTTTACATCCGTCGCTCTTTGTCCTTTCGCTGACGATTCTTAACACAGAACGGAAGTGACGACGCTTTCACGAGTGACGTCCGAGTTCGGCTTCTGGCCTCTCTCTCAGCGGATCGAGAAGTACGGGCTGAGCCGACTTCCTCGCTCAATCGAAGGCGTGCGTCCTTTTCTCTCCGCCACATAGTCCCAAGAGCTGACAATGTGTCCGCACAGTCCCGCCTCGGCTTGCAACTCATCGCCGAACTCCTCCTCCGCCCCTCGACTTCCTCAACCATCCTTTCCTCCGGCCCTCTCGCACCCTTCCTCTTCGAACCCGTCCCCTCCCAATTGTCCCTCGCCGTCCGTGCAAAACTCGACGAGGCGCGATCAGCTTGGCTCGAAGGTGAGCAGGCGAGACGACGGGAAGCAGGAGTTGCGGGAGCCGAGTTTCGCCCGGAGGAAGAACCGAGACGACTGAGGCTGTGGAGGGAGAGGTGGAGAGCTGCGGTGCAGCGCGGACGACGACGGTTCAGAGAGAAGGTGTGCGTCGTGACGGGCTTCCTGTGCGACGAGCCTGGGACAGTCGAGGGAGTCGCGGGATCGGGCGAGGGGACGGCCTGAAGGGGCGATCGATGTGTCTGTTGTACCGTCTAAGCCTCGACGCATTTTCATGTTGTAGAATTTGTATCGCTTGCAAGGCACCGTCTCCCTGCTCACGCCTCGCTGCCAACGTGAGCGGGAGAGATCACTTGAGGTCCGATTAGATGCTATGATAACGGCTCTTCCCGCAGCGTCCATCTTGCCGAACGTCCATTCCGCCTCACAAGTCTTTCTTGCCCTCGACCGATTCGCCGCGCATCTCCTCCCTCTCCTCCTCCTCGACCATCCCCTCGACATCAAGCCCAAAGCTGGGCAACCCCTCGCCCCTCCTGCGGCGCTTATCCTCCTCCGCCTTCTCCCACTCGATCCGCTTCCGCTCAAGCTCCTGCTCCTCCTTCGTCCGCCTCTTCCCCTCAGCCTTCTTGTCCCTCGCGCGCTGCAACCGCTTGAGGTAGGCCGTCCCTCCGCAAACGTTTAGCACGAAGAAGGGGACGAAGACCATCCACAGAGCGTAGAATTTGACTTCGGCCCAGGCTTGGAGGGACGACTGGACGTCGAGGAGGAGGAAGGGGACGACGGCGAAGTTGAGCACGACGATCGTGCAGATCGTGCCGAAGACGTCGTAGAGCGTCTTGAGTGGCGTCTGAGGGGGTGGCTGCAGCTTGACGCGCGGAGTGGAGGGGAGCGTGATGGCCTTGTCGCCGACCTTGACCTCATTCGCCTTCTTCTTCCCGTCCGTCTCGAGCTTGACATCGGGAAGAGGCGGCTTGGCCACGGCGGGGTTCGGGACGTTGAGCGCGCCGGGAGGGAGGAAGAAGGGGCGAAGGCCGGCGCGGAGCGAGCGGTTCAGCGCCTGGCAGAAGCCGCCGAGGACAAAGGTCATCAAGTAGCACGGGTTCGTGCCGTGCCAGAGCGCCGAAGTGATGAAGGTGATCTGAGTGCTCTTGAAGCTGTGCGAGGGGAGGAGTGAGTTGGCCTGCTTGCTGAGAGCGAAGGAAGCGGTGCTCACCCAGGCTTGCGGCCCTTCTTGGCGACGCGCTTGTAGATGCACTCGCGAAGCCAGACATTCGTATTCATGTTCCACGAGTCGAACAGGACCTGTGAGCATCAGGATTAGCGGAGTTCAGCGAGTTTCGACTGGCGCGCACCTTGAAGTTCGGGGCGAGCTCGATCGAGCGGATGCGGACGTTGCGAGAAGCGTCGTAGTGCTTCGTCTGCGGGTTGTAACCGAGGCCAGAGATGATAGAGGCAGACTCGCTGCGAGCATCGAACACGTTTTGTGGGTGGAGAGCGAAAGAGGATTGAGCGAGCAGGACTCACGCGATGCACCAGACGGCGTAGTACTTCGTGCGGGCAATGAAGCCGGCGGTGTTCATCAGGGCGAACCTGGAGAGGTAATCAAGTCAGCGCAATCACGTCTGAATGAGCGCGCTGGTACTCACTTCTGGACAAAGGTCATTCCCGCAACGGCCTTGCGGTCAAGCAACCGGTCCATGCCGTACTTCCATCCGTACGTCGAAAAGATAGCGAGGTAGATGATGCCCGTCGCGAAACGCTTCGCAGCCTTCCGTCGGCGTCCAGGCGGGACGACCGTCGGGTCGACAGGTTTTGAACCGTCGGCGGGGTGCTCCTTGGCGAAGAGGCGATGGGTGGTGAAGGAGTCGTAGGAGCGGTAGGTGAAGGACGGTCCGGCGAGGATGGAGGGGAAGAAAAAGCTGCGAATGGCGGAGTCAGCTAGCAGCGACTCGAGAGGTGAAGGCGCACGCACGCATAGCCGAGGAAGGGCAAGAGTCCCGGAACCTCCTCGATGCGCGACGCCTTCTGCGTCGCATCAAGCTCCTCGAGCGGCCGCTGCCCGTCGTAAACGGACCAGGCGAACGAGATGAGCTTCATGACGAGGACCATCTGCGAGCCGGTGATTTCGATCGTCGTGATGGGGACGTTGTTCAAGCTGCGCTCGATGTGGCTGTGGGCGCCGGCATCAGTACAAGCTCGGAAGTGCTCGAAAGGTGCAGGCGACGCACTTGACGGCGAGGTGACCCATGACAATCGCAAAGACGGTCCAGGGCATGAGCGCGCCCCAGTTGTTCCGCGCGCCAATCCTGACGATGGACCATGTCGCGAGCGAGCTCGCGAGGAGCTGAACGAATCCGAGTCCCAGGTCGAGGACGAAGCAGAGGAAGATGATCGAGGGGACGAGGCTGTAGAGGTGAGCGAGTTGCGAGCGGGTCGTCGAGGGGAACCAGGGGTAGGCGAGGGAGAGTGGTACGGATGCGACGAGGAGCAGGATGACTTTGATCTGGCTGGGCTGCGTGTTGCGAGTGTTCGAGGGTCAATGACGGCGGTCGAGCGATGAGGTTGGCGAGAGCGTGAGCGCGGGCGTACCTCTGCGCCCAGCTGCTCTGCGAGGAGCCCAGCAGTACCGTCGAGCAACATCGCTGTCCTGGCGACCTCCCGCAGCTGTTGTCGTCGAGTAGCAAGGTGTTGTCGTCGAGAGAGTTCTCCTCCGCCCGGCGACGACGACCACCGCTCGCGCACGGTAAAATAAGGTGGCCAAGCCAGTAAATCAGTCAGATCACCAGTACTCGCACCAGCCTGTTCGCGAAGCAGTTTGAGGTGATGTGACGGAGCAAGTCCTCCCTTCTCCTCCTCCTGCGAAGGTCAACTCGCTCTGGCTCCACGCCGCTTTGCTGGACCTGGTAAATCGCAGGGGAGCTCGCTGGGACTCTTTCGACTCTATACAACCTCTTTCGACTTTTGAAGACTCTTTCGACTCTATACAACCTGGCACGGGACAAGCGGAATGAAGCTGCGTAAGGTATTCGACAATTACAACCCTGAGAGGACTCATTACGACGCTCGAACAAGCGAGCGGGGCGTCCTCCGCAAGGGATAAAACCAGACATCCATCCAGACGACCGAGAAAGGGCTTAGCCGGCGAGCCCAGCTTAGACGACCTGCTTGGGCTCGCCGGCGAACTCGACAAGGAGCGAGTCTTCCTCCTTGTCGAGTTTGATCGACGAAGCATTAACGCAATGATCTATAAGATAATCATTACGTTAATGCTTATTATGACTATGTAGCCACAATGCGTTTGTAATGAAGACTTACTCTCTTCTAGAATCAAGCCATCCCCTCCCCCGCTGTTTACAGCCCGCCAATACACTTTGCAATCTGTCAATACAAACTTGGTATTAGTGCGTTTCTAATCCATAGAAAGCGTATTGCGGATTACATTTTGTATTGGCGAGCCTTGCCAGCTGTTCCCCCTAGCGAGCCCTCCGCCGACACGACCCTCCGCGGCGCTTCTCAGGCCCTCGCGCGGCGGGTGGGCGCGGCTGATTTCGGCTTCCTCTCGCTCTTCTCGCTTGCTGTTGGCTCTGTTGGGCTACAGCTGCTCTCAGCTCGACACTCGTGTCGACGGCTCGACCCCGCCCGCACCCGATCGCGGAGACCCCACATCCGCTCGCTTCTCTCGTCGTTTCTCCCCGACAACAGCCGCTGTGATCACCGTTACCAAGCTCCCTGTCCCTCTCTACACCTGCACACGACAGGCCAACCATCGGAGACGCCCCCCAGCGACTTGTCGGCGTCGTTCTTCCCCACTTCCACCTCCGTCAGGCCAGAACCGCCTACGAAGTCTCCCCGACGCCAGGGTGGCCAGCTGCGTCAGATCTCGCTCTCCAAGCCCGTCGAAACGCCCGCTGCACCGCTCGAGCCCGCCTCTCCCGCCTCTCCCGCTCCTGCAGCCGCTCCACCGCACCAGCTCGACTCGCAAGCGGCCACCGCCAAACGGCATGGCAGGGTCACCTGCGTCGCCAAAGGAGCGCAAGCTCGTCGTATCCGATGCAGAAGCCGAGCAGGAGGCAAAGGAGCGTGGGAACGGCGCGAGTGCACCGAGGCCATTTGTGAACGGGACTTGCAGTGTCAGGCGCACGACGGCGTGAGATCGGAGCAGGAGCGCAAGGCAAAGGAGGAGGCGCAGCGGTTCAAGCCAGAGAGGGAGAAGCTGCCAGTATTCCAGGGTGCGTTCGTTCACCTCCTCGAACTCTCAAGCAGTACTAACCAGACTCTCGTACTCGCAGGCAAGGACGCCATCCTGAAGGGAATCGCGGACAACGACACTGTCATCGTGCTCGCCGAGACGGGTTCGGGAAAGACGACTCGTGAGTACCGCTTCATCGACTCCGATCCCTCGATCGGACCGCTCACCCACCCACGCACCCTCGCCCGCAGAAGTACCGCAATACCACTTCCGCTCCGAGATCCCCTGCGCCGGTCCGCGCATCGTCTATACCCAACCGCGCCGAGTCGCGCCGAGTCGCCGCCATCTCGCTCGCCCAGCGCGTCTCCGCTGAGTGCGGTACCCAAACTGGCGGACTCGTAGGCTACACTGTCCGCTTCGACAACAAGACGAGCCGCACCACGCGCTTGACGTGCGCGATGGACGGTGCGTTGTTGGCGGAGATGCTCGGCAACCACGACGCGACCTCGAGGCGTACGATGTTGTCGTCCTCGACGAGGCCCACGAGCGCAGCTTGCGGACCGACATGGTGATGGGCTTCCTGAAGGGCATCCAGAAGCGATGGAAGGAGCAGGTGCAAGTGTGGAAGACGGAGCAGGCGAAATCGAAGGGAAAGGCCGAGGTGAACGGGGTCGTTGCGAATGGCGAGGTGGTCGGGAAGAAGAGCGCCGAGGAGCGGGATCCGACCGAGCTCAAGATCGTGGTCATGTCCGTGACGGTTGTCGCGCAGCGCTTCAGCGACTTCTTTGACCGGTGCGTCCGCCGCGTTTCGGCTCATCTCGTTCTTCCTGCTGACCCGTTTTCTTGCGCACAGTGCGCCGGTCCTCTACGTCGCCGGACGACAGCACACGGTCAATGCCCATTACGCCGAAGAGCATCAGCCCGACTTCCTCCAGCCCGACTTTCTCGACGCAGCTCTCGAAACCGTCTACCAGATCCACACGTGCTATCCGCCAGGCAGCATCCTCGTCTTCCTTGCAGGTGCGTCGCGTACAGTCTCTCCGTCTTTTGCGCGCGCGCCTGACGCTCCCTCGACTCGGCTAACAGGTCAGGAAGAGATCGAGGGACTGGCGGCGTCAATCAAGTCGTTCCTGCCCAGCTTGCAGAAAGAATTTCCGCACGCTGAGGAGGTGCGTGGCGAAGTGCTGTCTCACCCGCTTCGATGATGCTGACTCCTTGCCCGCTATTCATCTCGCTTTCGCCGACTTCGCTCGGCTCGCCTCGCCTCGCTTCGTCCTGCAACCCGACATCCGCCCTCGTTCACTTTGCTCTCCACGCCCTTCAGCTCCTCGTTACACCGCTCTACGCCAAGCTCCACGCCGCCGAGCAAGCGAAAGCTTTCCTCCCGTCTCCGCCTCGCACTCGCAAGGTCATTCTCGCGACCAACATCGCCGAGACGTCCGTCACGATTCCGGGTGTCAAGTACGTGGTCGACTGCGGACTCGCAAAGGAGAAGCGGTATCATGCGGGAACCGGTACGTTGCGATCTCGCTTGCGGCCCGAGAACTGGAGGGGATCTGTTGAACGCTGACGGAGTCCTTGGCGCGCAGGCATCGACTCGCTCGTCACGGAGAGCATCTCGCAGTCGTCGGCGAAGCAGCGCACTGGTCGTGCTGGTCGTGAAGTGTGTGTGGTCCTTGATCTCATCATTGACCTTGATTGACCACAAGCTGACGCTTCCCCTCGCAGACCGATGGCTTCTGCTTCCGCCTCTACACCGAAGCGACCTACAACGGTCTCGAGAAGCGCTCGCAGCCCGAGATCCAACGCGTCTCGCTCACCTTCGCCATCCTCCACCTCATCGCCTCTGGCCAAGACGACGTGTTCAAGTTCAGTTTCATGGATCCGCCCGACGTCGAGTCGAGTGCGTGTGACCCGCGCTTCTGACTGGCTTGTTCCGCTGACCTGTTCCGTTGCGCGCACAGTCAAGTTCGCCATCCTCACGCTCATCGGCCTGAACGCGCTCGGCAAGCGCGGCAAGATTACGCCGCTCGGCCGCCAGATGGCGCAACTCCCTCTCGACCCTGTTTACGCCCGCGTCCGCGTCGCCTCCTTCGTCGAGGGCTGCCCTCGCGAAATGATCGACCTTGTCTCGCTCGTCGGCGCCAAAGACCAGCTGCTCATCAACACCAGCTCGACCCGCGACGCCGCCAACGCAGCTCGACAAAAGTTTGTTCATCGATCTGGCGACCACATGATGCTGCTCAACATCTTGCGGGCATACGAAGAGCTCGACGGCAAGGACGAGCAATTTGTGGTGCACGGACAACTTCATCGGCTTCAAGGCGATGTCGTCGGTTCTGGACGTGCGGAAACAGCTGCGTGAGCGTGCACAGCGGTTGAAGCTGGGCGATCCGGACGCGAGCGCGGGCGACGAGGCGGAGCCGGCCTCAACGCCCTCATCGGGGGTCTCTTCGCCAACACGGCACTCAGGCAGGAGGACGGGTCGTATAGGCATACGATGACGAAGCAGGTGTGTGCGAGTGCGACACGAGCTTGCTGGAACCGTCTGACTTCCTTCTCACCTCTCAGTTCGTCGCGATCCACCCTTCCTCGACACTGCACGGCAAGAAGGTGCCCGCCATCATCTACGACGAGCTCGTCTTGACGACCAAAATGTACGCGCGCGGCGTCTCGTCAATCGAGCCGTCGCAGATCCGGAGCAAGGTGCGTCGCTTCCGCTTTCTGTTTTTCGAACTCGAGCTGACCCGAGTCCTCGCAGGCCCTCTCGCTCTTCGGCTCGTCTCTCAAGTAGCTCTCACTTGTGCAACTCACATCCTTCCGAGTAGCGCTCCGCATAACTGAACCTCGCGAGAGAAGAAGAGATTGCGTCGAGAACGAAAGAATGCATTGACTTCGCAAAGTACGGGACAACAACAGGACATGCGAGCTCGAAAGCAATGGTTCTACATCTCTACCGCTTGACGATTGGCATCGCCTTGATAGCGCCGCTCCCATCGCCGCCCTTTCCTCCGCTCCCTCCTCGGCTCCTCCCGCCCGTTGCGCCGGCCGCCTTCTTCGCGCTGCCGCCGGCTAGCCCGCCGTTGTACGCGAACGCCGAGAGATTGAGCGGCTTCGCAGGCTTGCTGTTCGTGCGAGATGTTGAGGCGGACGGTTTCGTCGAAGTCGAGGCGGTCGAGCGACTGGGTGGCAAGGACGGTCAGTCGCGGTGGGTGAGACGCGCGTAGAGGATGTTCGGACGCACGAGTCACTTGTCTTGCCAGTGCCGGCGCCAGCAGGACCGCGCGAGGTTGAACCGCAAGCGTTCGACGCGGCCTTCTTCGGCGGAGCCATCGCCGCCTTGTCAGCCTCCCTCGACTCGGAGCGAGCCTTGCGGACCTCTTCGATGCAGAGGGCTTTGGCATGCGAGTGGCGGAACCAATCCATCTGCTCGTCCGTAAGCTGCTCAATGCTGCGGAGAGGAGATCGTCAGCGGGAATACATGAGACGGGAGAAGAACGGACTCGCGCAGCGAGCTCGCGGTAGCTCGTCTGCTTCATGGCGGCGATGACCTGGCAAAGAGAAGGATCAACAGAGAAGCGCAAGCAAGAAACGGTCAGAACGCACCTCGAGGTGTTTCTCTGAGACGATGCCTTCTGCATCGCACTCCTCATCGGTCACGTTCTGCGTGTCATTCTATGTCAGCAGAAGGCTCACCGATCGAGAGAGCGACGCCATCGCACCTGATTGCGAACGTCGAGAAGTTGGCGGAGGAGGACCTGCGTCTCGTCTTCCTGCCCAACCTTCGCTGCGCCGTTGAGCGAATCCGAGGTCGATTACCGGACGAAACGGCGTCCGAGATGGTCCCTGCGTCGACTAAATATGTCAGCGACGTCTCGCAACGAGGTGAGCAGGCGAAGACGCACAACTCCTCCTCGACCTCGTCGTACACGCCCATCGTCTCGTCGTGCAGCTCGTCGACGTACTTCGTCGCCGGACTGCTGGTGGTCGTACGACTCGTCGATCGACTTCTGCTTCGCGGGCGCCTTGCCCTTCTCGCCGCCGCTGCCATATTTGCCGCCCTTCGTGCAGCCCATCTGGAGCGATAGCTTGCCGGAGAGCATTTGCCGAGCGTGTCGACCGAGCGTAGCGTAAGCGTTGGTGAAGCCGAGACCATCGCGCTCGTAGCGTTCGCCGAGGACCTGTTCGGCGGCGAGAAGTTGGAAGAGAAGTTCGCAGTCGCCGCGGTCGATGCTCGAGCCTTGCCGGCGTGCGCAAGTTCGTCGTGACCAGCGCGAGCGATCTGCGCAAGACTTCCAGTCAGTCAAGCGGGACGAGCGAAGAAACCAGTCGACTCCAGCGCACCTTCTGGGTCTTGCTCCCGCGGAAGACGTCGATGGCGTAGAGCATCGTGATGCCCGTGTGCTTCTGCGCCTTGGCGAGATGCGTGGCATCCTTGGCGAGGTCGGTGACGTCGCGGTGCTCGATGTTCGTGCGGACGAAGTATTTGAGGTTGGCGCGGTTGAAGGACGAGGTGAGCATGAGTGGGTGGTTCATGCGGAGGTTCCTCATGACGTCCTGCTTGACGCGGTCGTTCGCCGTGGCGGTGAGGGCGATGAGAGGGATGCCAGGGTAGTCGCGCTCGAGGGTGCCCGTCTCCTTGTAGTCGGGGCCTGCGAGGAGGAGTCAGTGCGCAAGTCGCGCGGAAACGAGGAATGCAACGCACGAAAGTCGTGCCCCCATGAGCTCACGCAGTGCGCCTCGTCAACGACAAACCGAGTGAGCTGCTTGCGGTTGTACAGGTCCGCGGGCACGTTCTGGAACGCCTTCGACTTGACGATCTGCGTGAAGCGGGCGAGTGAGCGAGTCAGCGGGAGCGCTTGATCAAGTACAGCGGAGAACGCACCTACTCGGGCGTTACGTAGGCGAGGCAGGCCATGAGCGGGTCGTTCTTGAGGCAGCTCATCACGAACTTCTTGTCTGCAGCGGGCATGGTCGAGTTGAGGAAGACGACGGGGATGTCCTTGTCGTACAATGCGCGCGTCTGATCGGAGATGAGCGAGAGGAGAGGCGAGACGACGATGGTGACGCCCGAAGTGACGCCGGTGGAGACGACGGCCGGGAGCTGGAAGCAGAGCGACTTTCCGCCGCCCGTCGGGAGGAGGACAAACACGTCTCGTCCAGCGAGTGTCGCGTTGATCGCCTCCTCCTGGTTCGTGCGGAACGACTTGAGGCCGAAACGCTGCCGCAGCGCCTTGAAGACGTCCTTCGTCTAAGGATGAAGCGTCTTGGGCTGGGCAGCGGACGCGGCTTGGACGACATCCTTGCTCGTCGAGGCGACGGCGGCGCGCGGGTCCTCGATGATGAGGTCGCTCGCGGTCGAGACAGCCGAGACGGGGCGGTTCTGGGCGGCGGGAGGATGTGGTCGAGCGGGCTGCTGGCGCTGCTGAGGCGGCTCGCATCGCGGCGGCGGACTGTCGAGTCGCACGACTGGCGCACCGAGGCCGAGACCGGAAGGGGGCTTCTTCGCCCTTGAGGCGGGCGGACGAGGAGCGGGAGACTCGACGATCTCGAGGCTCTCCTCCTATGTGTCGAGGTCGCCGTCAAGGCCGACGCCGCCGAGGAGAGCAGAAACGTCGTCGTTCGCAATGGGGTGAAAGCCGGTCGACGTGGAAGCGTTTCGCTTGTTGGCTGAGCCTGCGAAGGTCAACCCATCGTCCTCTAATGATCGCTCCGCCGCCGCACCTCCCGCCGGCCCGAAGCGCGCCGTCGCTGGCGTCGCGACCTTCGACCGACCGCCTCCATCCGCTCGTGGCCGTCCCCCTGCGCTTCCTCGCGACCCTTCCTCACCGCCATCGCTAACGTCGCGCTATTCTGGCTCTCCGTCCCGCTCGTCGTCGAGCTCGCCTTCTAGCTCGCCCTCTGCGGCGCCGGCCCCGTTACTGCTCCGCGGTTCGAGAGTCCCGAAGCGAGCGTTGGTGAAGGGTGATAGCCCGCAGCGGGCGAGAAGCCATTCGTATGAGCGGGACTGAAGGGTCGTGCGAGAGGGTGTTGGTGTGTCGGAGATGGGGCGATGCCGGAGGGCAGGAGGGCAGGCATGCGGTGATTGGGGAGCGGAGGGTGGAAGGCGGGAGCGGGTCGAATGGAGGCGGATGATAAGGTGGAGGGGTTCGCCTTCAACTTGGCGATACGAGCGTCAAGCCACGGGCTGCGCGAGAAGAGTGGTCAGTACGTCGAGCTCGCTGCGGAGGAAGAAGCGAATGCACAGGGTATGCCACAAGAAATCCTCGTCGTTTCCCATGCTGCTCCTTCCTCCTCCACTTGCGAGCACTTCGAGCAACTCTTCGAGCATGTTGGCGCGCTTCTCGGTCTCGATCTGGACGTCGGAGAGTTGCGTGCCGGATGCGAGGAGTTGGGCGCGGTACTCGGCGAGACATTCGTCGACGTAGAAGCTGTCGCAGGTGGTCGAGATCAGTCAGCCGTGAGCAGCGAAAGCGCGGAGCGATGTGCTACGCACAGCGTCATCCGCAATTTACCATCGTCTCGCCCGCCTTTCCCTTTCCGCGATCTCAAGGAACTCTTGCATAAGCGAGGCGCGACGTTCGGTGAACGAGAGGAGCTCGGCCGCGATATGCGACGAGGGCTGGGGCGGGCAAGTTCGTCCATTAGGGAAGTGACGGGCTGAACGGGAGCTGAACGCACATCGACTCCTTCGACGGCCTGCGCCTGCTGTCCCGACGACCTCGAGACCGCTCCACCCTTCTCCGGATTCGCCCTCGCCACTGCATCCACGAGCATCTCTCCTTCTCCTTCGTGCTCGCTCTCAGGCACTTCCTCCTTCTCCATCCCAGCTTCAATCCCGCTCCCCCCGCTTCGGCCGTCCCATACCCCGAATCGTCCGAAACACGAGGCTTTTTCCTCCTCGTCTCTTCCTGCTCGCGGGGCTGCTGTCATGGAAGCGCCGCCTGCCCACTCGGAGGCAGCTGCAACGCCTTGACCGGATCAACGTTCTCGATGTCCTCGTCCAGCTCGTCGAATTCCCCTTCTTCCGCTCCGGCGGCGCCGGGCGGAGAGGCGCGCTCTTTGCCTTTGCGCGAAGAGGGAGAGGGACGTTTGGCGGGGATGACGAGTGAAGAAGAGGAATCCGAGGCAGGAGGGAGAGTGGGTCCAGCGGCAAAGTGGGAGGAGACGACTACTTCGCCGGTGCTGCTCTTCGGCCCGAGTGCGGTGGTCGACGTGGACTGTCGCTGAGGGTTCGAGGGTGCGTCCGACGTCGGGTTGAGCGAGGTGAGGGGGGGCGCGAGGGCGGGCGGAAGGGCCGGCGTGAGGTGTGAAGGGCATAGGCGTGTGACAGCCGACTCGCGTAACGACTGGGTGTGCTGTGAGCGCACGAGTGCAGAGTCAGCTGGATATTGCGAGAGTAAGCGTTTGTCGAGGGGACTCACCGGACGACGAGGGACCCGCTGGAGACGACCTGCACGACCCGCCCCGCCGCACTTCCAGGCATCTCCTGCGGACCCTTTTGCGTCCCTGCACCCGCTCCACTGCCCGCACTGCCCCTCGAAGCGGTCGAGCCAGCCGTGTTGGTCCTGACGGCGAGAGGTTGCTGAGTCGGCGTCGCGGCGGCTCCTGTGGGTGAACCGGCAATTATGGCGAGCTCGAGGACGTCCTGAGCGGCCGGGTGCCCGCTCCCAGCCTTCACCGCTCCTTAACTTGCGAAGTGGACGCCTGTTGTCGTTGTCGATGAGGCCGTCGACGACCAGACGAGAGCGTGGCGCATTGTCGGGCGAGTCGGCGATACAGCAGAGGCAGTAGCAGTAGCTTGTTCGAGTAAAAACAATAGCGAAGAGAGTGAGTTGTGGCGGTGGAGGCGAGCAGCTGAACGCGGACCGACCAGGAGAAGGCGCGAGGTGGAGAAGCGTAGACACGCGACTTTGCAGTCTGATGTCCATAAATACTGCACTGCGCAAATGAGAAGTCCAAGATTTGTGGTCTAGCCGGGCGAGGGAGAAGGGAAGGGAAGTCGAGGGTAGAGAGGAGGATGGCGAGCGCAAGTCTGCGAGCGCGAACGATATCAGCTGAGCTACTGACGAGGAAGGGTTAGTGAAGAATCCGTTGCAAGCTACTGACCAACATCGCCAGCGCCCTTCCCTGTACCGCCCTCCTCCCTGCATCGCGCTCACTCGAAGTTCTCCTCAAGCGGATCCGACCAAAAGCTAACCTTCCCGCTTGCTGCACCACCATAGTACTTGCCCGCGACAGTCGGGTGCGCAGCGGTGACGGCAGGGACGGCGGTGATCGCGTCGAGGTTATGGAACCACTTGACGGTCACGCCGTCGGGCGAGATCAGGTCGATGGTGCGCCGCATGTCGCCGACGTGGAGGTGAGGCGGCAGGGAGGGCACGGTCGACCAGTGCGCGCGGAGGACGGTGACGTAGCGTCCGACTGAGGGTTGACCGTGGGAGTGCGAGTCAGTAAAGTCTAGGAGCAGAGCATCACAACGTCGGGACGCACCCTGGCAGTTGTGCGCGATGCGGCGGAGAGGCTCAAACTCCTTGCGCGCGATGGCCCGCGGCTTGCTCGGCTCGACGTTCCAGACTACGCAAGGACATTCGTCAGCTCGTTTGTCGTGAATGGAGATTGTGAAACGCACCTCGGATCGAGTCGTCATAGCTCGTCGTTGCAAGCCGCGTGCCGGTCGGGTCGAAGTAGGCGGAGGAGCAGGCGTACTCGTGCTCGTAGGCGAGGATGCGCGCCTTGTCCTGCACTTCCGCTGGTTCCGCTGTTTCCGGAAGTCCGCGAAGGGTCGAGAGGTCCCACAAGCTGCAGAAAACAAAGACTTAGCGCATGCTGAGGCGGAAGGAACGATGATTGAGCGCGCACCACATATCGCGCTTGACGTGAGCTGTCGCGGCGAGGTTTGGATTGGCCTGGTTGATACTGATGCACCCGACTGCGGAGCGCGCCGTCAGCGCAAGCTTGTGCAGGATAGACGCAAGCGGACGAACCCTTGTACCGGTCGATGTCCCACCGCTTCGCCGACTCCTTCGGCTGCCGCAAGTCGCGCCAGATCAACCCGCCTTTGTCGTCCGAGACTGCGAAGTACGTGTGTCAATACTCGAAAGAGCCGAAAAGTGACAGTACAACGCACCCCACGCTCGTTGCCCGTCGGGTCAAAGTCGAAGGAATGGAGGAGCGCCTCTTCCGACCAATGGTCGCCGTCAATCACCTCCTCCGACATGCCCGTCTCGAAGTGCGTGACGCGGAGCGTGCGGTCGTAGGAAGAATGGTAGATCTGACGAGCGTGACCGTCAGGTGCGCTCTTAAAGCAAGGAGAGACTGCTACGCACCGAGGATGGCTGATTCGGGCGGAACTTGAGCCACGAGATGCTCTTCCTGCCCGAATGCGCGTTCCAGTGCCACCACTTGCCCCACACCCGCTCCTCCTCACCCTCATCCTCCCACTCGTCCTCGCCGTCGTCGCCAACATTTCCTGCCGCGCCGTTCCGCACCGAGGAGGACTGCACCGACCCGACGAGCTTGCCGGCATCGGTGCAATCCCAGAGAGCGACGTTCCCGACCTTGTCGCCGGCGAACATCTGTGCAGTAAAGCAGCTGAGCAGTCAGTCGCGAGCAGTGAAGAAGCGGGTTTGAATGAACGCACTAGGTCGCGCTGCGTGTCGGGGTGGATGACCATCGAATAGATACGCTCAGGGATGATCTTGACGATGCTGTCGTAAGGAAGAGAGCGTCAGCACGACAGGAGGCGGATAGCGGAGGAAACGACGCACGCTCGCAGTTCAAGCGGGTCCATCTCCTTGCGCAACTTCTCCGTCTCGATGTCCGGCCGCTGTCCGACAGCCCAACTGCCGTTTCCGCCGCTTCGTCCGCCTGAACCACCGTCGCCGCCGGTTCCGCCCGCGTAAGATGCGAGATTCTCGAACTCGGCGAGAAGCGAGTCCGTGTCGAGGGCCATCTTGACGCCTCCTTCGCTCGCCTCGACTTTGCGGTCGCCGTGCTCGATGATGCGAGGCTGCTGCGCCTCTGCGGCGGCCTCCGCCGGTCCCTGCGATGGAGAACCGGATGTCAGCGTCTCAACAAACACCTCGCGTTTGCAGACTCTCGCACACACCCGTACGTACACTGTGGCCCTGCTGTGCTACGCCCTCTTCCACCGCCGCTGCCGCCGCCGTACTCGGGCGCGCCTCGCCGGAGAGACCTCCCGCGCTCGCGTACTGGCGAGTCGCCTTCTTCGGCAACTGGCCCATTGCGCGCTTTGAGACGCGTGTAGTTGGTGGCATCGCCGCTGTGTGCTGTGGGGCAGGAGCCCGTCCGGTGGTGAGACGGAGAAGTGTCGACGAGTCGAGGAGGTGGGGTTTACGGGAGCGGGCGATGGAAGACGGATGGATGTTTGCAGGGGCCAGCGGTGTGTATGCGAGTGGATTGAGTGTGTACAGGAGTCGGTCGAGCCCGTCTGACGCGAAAGAGCGAGAAGTGGGAGAGCCATGTGCCTCTCGACCTCCCGGCAACGCGCGGCGATACGCTTACTACAAGCCTGCACAGCGCCAGCGAGTCGAAAGCAGCATCGTACGCAGTTGCATCCCCATCACGCTCCACTCGTGTGAACTCGAATTCGATGTTGTCAGGCCAAGCGCGGGCTCAACTGGGACCGACGGCGTAAGGTGTAAAAGTACGAGCACATACAAGAAAGGACGACCATAACGAAGGAGGGACGCTGTTGGTGATTCTCGTGGACGAGAAGAGCGACTCCATCGATACCCACTCTCGTCCGTTCTCCTCGAGGTGCTTCGTAACGACCTTGCGGCGCTGTTTGAGGACGTGGCGGTTCGCTTCGATGCGAATTTGGACGGGACCTGCGGGATGCGAGGGGTGAGCGAGGCGAGGAAGGATGCGAGGGA